CTTTGAATGGTGTGGTCATAGGCAGTCTCAGGGGGGTCTTAGGGGATTAGGGGGAACCTTGGGTAACTGTCGGAGTCTTCTTGGGCTCAGTACAATACCTACAGCATTCTATCAGATGGGCTAAGGGGTACACGCTGGAAAGTCCTCGAGACTTCTAGTCCTAGTGGTCATAGGGGATCTTCGGGGGGTCTGGGGGGGAATACCTGGTCGGTACCTAGTGGACAACAGGCACCGTAATTCTCCTAGGCTTACTTTCGGTGCGGGGAATAGTGAGGATAGGAGGACCAGAATTGCACCAAAATATGAGACAGGACGATTTGATCTCCTGTCCCAGGTTTAGCAGGGAATAGCCTTGTCCTATCCTTAGGACAGGAGAGCGGATAGAACATTTAAATGTCCTGTCCAAATTTAAGGTGCGGGGAACGTTCTCCTGTACATAGGATAGGAGAGCAGTTTTGCCACCAAAATCGACGACAGGAGATTTAAATCTCCTGTCCGCATTTAAGGTGTAAAAAACGCTCTCCTATCCAAAGTACAAGAGAAGGGTTTCCCCACCAAAATCGCCGAGAGGAGAAATGGATGTTCTATCCGCGATTTTGCGGGGAATTGCGCTCTCCTGTACATAGGATAGGAGAGCGTTTTTCGCACCTTAAATTCGGACAGGAGGATTTACCCGCTATAAGGTCCCTGTATTTTCAGGGAGAATAGGGCGATTGCTGAGTATTTGGTACCTAGTGCTAGACCAATTGATGCGAGCCCGAAAGGACCCTACATCGTCAAGTCTCAAGCCCTGAGCACTGCCACTGTTTCTAGAGCCTATCACCGAAACAGACAACTGTATTATCCACTACTAGCAATTCTAGGTAACCACTGAGCACTTCATTTAGGTGCCTACCTCAATGCAACACGCCCATTGAAGCCGTATGCCACAACTTTGGTTCCAGGGATCCCTCTTATCACTCAGCTTCATCGCACTATGACTTCCAACAGTCACTACTACTTTTGCATCCAATGCACCAGCTGGATTAATGAGTTTGAGGAATAGACGAGTGTGCAATGGAATGGGATGTGAAGGGATGCAATGCTAATTGGATCCTAGCGGTGCACGATTGATATGACCGATCCCGAATGGGAATGAACATTGAAGGGTGCGACGACATGCTTCAAGACGTTTCGGGGGCTTTCCTAGCTAGAGGGGGCTCATGCTCAGGGGACTCAGGGGAGCTTTGGCGTCTTAGTTAGTTGGATGCGGGGAAATAGGGGTAGTTTTACTGGGTGCTATAATAGGTAGCTTGGGTACCTAGTTTCCTGCTGGATTAGCATGGGATTTAGCTAGTTCACCTCCTAAGATTCCTTTTTGGGGGCCAACTGATAGCTCCAATACCCCTATATCTATTCCAGACTCAGGATACAGTCGCTAGCTTAGTGGAATTAGGGGACAAGGTGCCGCAACCAGCACTATGTTAGTTGACGTTAATGCCAGGGAGCCACTGATACTGTACCTACCTAGCTATCCTACAACCCCCCTAATGGTTCGGTAAGTCGTCATATTCCACGCTCCAACGCACCGTAACGATCGCCGCCGCATCCTCCTCGCCACCGATTGTAAGAGGTTCCTAGCTATAGATCTATCTAACGTCTAGGTTTTCCTCCAAACATGTCACCGTCACACTCCTTGACCAAGCTTCTTTTGACATTGCCATCGATATATCGGGCTTGAACAGGTCTTTCGGTAACTGTGGTTCGGATCACTCTACATGTTGGCTAAATTCCTTCGGGATACGCTGTGAGTATCTACCGCAGTCGCATTCTATCCGACCATAGAGCTCCTGGCAGCAGTGTAGAGATGATGACCATTTTTCCGTACGTTCACAGTGGCACCCTATTCCATCGCAAGCCAGATTCCTGGTGTTTTAGTATGGTGCAGCCATCAGTTTGCCCCCTAAGATCCCTTGGATTTTTAGGGGTGAACTAGCAACCGCGCCATACGAGTCTAGCAGGAAACTAGATTCCTGTCTACGCTGCATGCGATTTGGATTAGTTTGCCCCCTATATCAGCTGCCGTCGCCATCCCCAATAGGAGCGAATGCACCTAAAGAACGCATATGGGGAATATTGTAGATTTAATTCTCCAAACGATGATGTTTGTCACGAGGCGGAACCAAAAGACTAGGAAACAACGACGTTGTTGCGCGAAGAGCTCCTAACACTCTCGCTATGGAGAACACGGTATACATACAGGTGAAGCTCTTTGTCTGTCCTGCTCCTAGGACTAGCCAACAGGACCCTCACGGGGACTCAACGGGCCGAATCCCGATCCCATAGGCCTCTAGCTACTGACCTGGAGGAAGACCGATGTCTGACAATGTTGTTTGGGTTCGGTCACCATTCAAGTCAGCGCCACGGGGAGGATTTGAGGTTTCCCGGGTCTTACAGGACCATGCTTTAGGAACGAAACATTGATCCCTTCTCGAAGCCGGATGGGACAGTTGAATACATACATTAGAGAGATACGGATCTCGATAGCCGTAGCTGCATACATCAAAACCATGAGGCCGGACTCGATCATTGTCACTTCGGGTCCTTTCACGTGTTGCCCCTGGACCATCTCATGGTTGTCCCTCGATCGTTGACCTGAACAAGCCGAATGACTCTTCCAGACAACCCCAGACCTGACAGGCATTAATGCATGTGTATAACTTTTATGTAGTTTAAAATCTGTAAAGCGATTCGTTGATTCTCTATGGAAAGATCTCGGTTGTGGGCTATGTCTGAAAGTCGGAACTGGAAAAGGGCCATGCAATATATTAGTCTGAGATTCCTGTCAATGCTGTCCGTGATTTAGCTTACCTGTTTGCCCCCAGATCAACCAGGGCCGCCGTAACAGATGCAAACTGATGCATCCAGTTGCGGAATATTGTATATGTATTTCCCTAAGCAGTTATACCATTCAGGATCGGTTGCGATCATGACTGGAGGCATTTTATCGAAAGATGCCATCGTGCGGTAGTTCCTCATGTGGCCTTATAAAGAAACCTGAGATGTGGCTCTTTGTGGACATTTCAAGTGTCGCAATAGCTACCTACATGATTAGCATGGAACTCATAAGTTCCAAGGTTGTCAGATAACTCATTTATCAATTCTCCGTACCGGTGATTTACATATTGAGTTGTGCCTCTTGTTGTGGGTTGTGTAAAATGCATCTCAATTCATAGCCTGGTAGCCGGTATGGCCCGAAAGTTGCCCAACTTGAAAATGAATAGGGGCAAACTAAGCCATGCGCTATACAAAAATCTATCAGGAATCTAACCCAGGTGGTTTCCTACCAAATTGATATATGAACGCTTACTCCCATCGCCGTAGTGAATCAGCCATGCAATATATGAATCTAGCAGCAATCTAGTTTCCTGCAGAATTCATATGGCAAAATGTCTACTATGCGGCCTAGGTTTTTTTTTCAATATCGTCTCGAATTCTCTTCCAAAGCTACGTACTTTGGAACCATTAAGGTGTCTCGTTATCGACCCTGATCTGTTACCAAGCGCCCCATCCAACTTCGAGTGAGGTACTACATCTGGGAACCTACGAGATATTCAACGTAGTTACGACCGGATCACTACGGAGAGATGCCTGCAACGCATTGGTAGTCCTATCTCTAGGCTTAGGTACATCTTGTTTAGACGTCGACTGAACACTCTGCAGGTCAATCCAAATAGATGGTGAAGAGGGGTTGACTTTGTCCAGGTCTAACTTGGAATCATCGTAGGGGTTTCGGGAGGCGCGACAATTACAGTGCAACGTGTGGCGAGCCGATGAAGTCGATAAAGGTCTCAATGGTTCTCATCTCATGGCTTCCAACCTGCTAAGACTCGTTGACATGTCCCAGATGCATTAGAGATGACCGCTTGATCTCAGGGAGGACCGTAGAAAGTGACAACGCACGATCCGCAGTCGGACTGACAACAATATTTAGGCAATCTTTCCGCCAGTCATGTCCCTATGTTGGCGCCCATGCCCGCACCGAGCTGAGATGAAGAACGTATACGCTGTGCGAGTGCTCCGGTGTAGATCTGACGCGTCAGGGGATGGAACCTCGATAGCCCTCAATCAGTTTCCCAACCAGTTCTCCGGTATGATATCTCGCTTTCGCACCACTCCACCATTTCTCGCAGTCTAGATAGGTACCCATTTCTCTTCATGTGTCGCCTGTATCTGGTCTGATTGAACATGCACCCTTCTCATCAACGAAAGCCTGTCCTGCAAAAGGCATGTAGCGAGAGCACGCGTGTATATAACGTCTAGGATTGTCCCAGCCGGGCCCGTAATGCGGTCTGTGAAGATACATTCGGTCACTAACGGGAACAGCATCTCTTCTGGTCCGAAGACTGAATGTATTTGCTTTGTCAGCCTTAGACCATATCCGCTGGATCCTCTTGTCGCTGGGTGCGAGGAGATTGAGATAGGTCTTTCCAAAGCTCGTCATCTCTATCCTAGCTATTCCAACGCTCCTCCGTTGCTCCTCCGTGGGACTCCGATCTGCTTCCGTACAGATGTATCTAGTTAAGTAGATGTATCCCAACTTCAGATGCATGGGAACCAGCGTAGGGTCGCTTGGGAAACATACCTGATAAGTCCTTCCCTCATTCAGCTAGCAGGCCACGCGACATCATCGCTCTCGTGGCATGCAAACTTCTACCTAAGTACCCAGAATATCAATAGAATGTTCAAAAATCCCTCAGGGGCCGCTCGCATCGTAGTTGATCTAAGTTAAAATCCCTGGGATCTGGTTCTATAGAATACATCGGCGCAGCGCCTTTGAGAATCATGAGGTTGGGGTAAGGATGGGGTTAGAGTTGGATCTAGGGTTGGGTGATGCATCGCGATCGCAAACGGGAAGGTTACTGATATGTTAGACGGTACGGCAACTTGCTCCAGACGATTCGATAGGGGGTTCAAGGGATCACATATGGATCCGGGCTGCGTAGCAAATTGTAAAGTCTATTGATTCTATAATGAAGGATTAACCCTTGAGAAATGAATGGAAGATGGTGACGCTCCTTGCACGAAGGCAGGGCGACACCGTATGCAACACAGCAGTCTCCAGACTACGTCAGGACCCAATTTAGCACCAATGCATTTATTTTGGATATCGTATTTACACCAAATGAAACCGGACCCCTTGCGCCTGTACAATCCTAAACCCCATATCCATCGCGGAAGAACCATATTCCCTGATCTTTTCAGGTCCCAAGACTCTTCATCAAGACTACACCACTTTACGCGGATGCAGATGCGGACGCCGAAGCCGAAGCCGAAGCAGAGGCAGAGGCAGAAGAACCCGGAGCGGTGCCGTTGGGGGCAGAGCCGCCGGAGCCGCCCGGTGGTCCAGAGTTGGGGTTAGCGACACCTCCCTCCTTGTAGTAAAAGGCTGCGGGGGTGATGGACGTGGTGGAGGTGGCGTTGATTCCGAAGGCTATCCAGCCGAAGATTCCGTCGGTGATCGTGTCGCCTAGGAGGGTGTACTCGTAGAAGGGATCGACGCCTTCGGTAGCGGTCTCCTCGGACAGGATTCCGTCGTCGGCGTTGGTGGTGAGCTCCTGGGTGTTTGTGTTGTAGGGTGCGGTGAGCTCGACGGCGGAGATGAGGTCCTGGTCGAAGAAGGCTTGTCCGACGTGGCTGGCGCTGACGTTGTTGCCGAGGGTAGAGTTGGAGAGGAGGACAGCGCCCTGGTGGATCATGATGTGGATGTGAGTTGCGCGGCTGGTGTAGTGGCCGGGGAAGATGGTTTCGAACTGCGCCACGCCGTCCGTGTTGGTCTTCTGGATGCCGCGGAGCCAGGTGTTGTCGATGTTGGTCTCGTCGGAGGAGTCTCCGTTTCCGCTGGCTACGATGCCGCCGTAGACGCCGGTGGCGTTGCAGTGCCACATCTCGACATAGACGTCGGTGACGGGCTCGCAGGTGTTGATGTCGATGACCTGGTAGTCGAGGATGGTGTCGACACCTTCCTGGTCCTCGATAATGTTCTCTCGGACATATTCGCCGCCGACGTCTGATTCGATGTTAGCCTTATATCTCCTCATCTCGTCCCATCCCGCTTCATTTGCTTCATCTGCTTCATCTCCCCGTCACTTGTCATATACAGAGCTACCTAGATAGTTACTTACAATAAGGACCCTGGGTGACCTCGGGAGTCAGGAGGCAGGCGTTGTAGCCGGCGAACAGGGTGGTGGCATCGGTGTTCGGGGTGTAGCCGAGACCGGTAGAGTTGTGGCTAGTAGCCAAGACCGATGCGAGGTCGCGCTTCTTGTGAAGACCTCCTGTTTATGTTTAGCATCTAGTACTTTTCTATCGTCAGGGGAGTTATCAAGTTCGGGAAACTCACTCTTCGCTCGCGCCTTCTCGAGCAAGGCGGCTCGGCGCTCGACGTTGCGCTTCTCGACGCCGCGTGCCTTTAGCTTCGGGGCGCAGTGGTCGAGGTTGGTACGCTTGACGGAGCTGAGATATTCGCGGCGCTCCAAGATCTCGTGAGAGATGTCGTGGCCCGGGTGTGCGAGGACGGAGCCCGATAGGACGGCTAAGCCGGACACGACTGAACTGCTGAATCTCATCGTGCTGGTTACCTAGTGACTTAGGTATCTGGTCCGTATGATAGTAAATGAACGATGTTCTTGAACGAAGGAAGTAGAACTTTGATAGTTCTGTGTGAAAGAGTGCAAGCTGTTGGCGCTGGTGGTGAGAAGGAATGGTAGAAGTCTCGACGGCATCTTCGCCTTATTATACCACGAGCTCGCCCTCATCTCCCTCTCCGCACTACGAATCATCACCACCATGCGCGCAACGCTTTTCGGCATCTTTGACAGCCTGTGGGTCGAGGTTCATTATCGTAGCCTCTTGGCAGCAGGTGGTTACGTGTGCAAATAGGCTTGACGTTACTGGTCAGCCATTTGGGCGCAGGGGCAAGGCTCACGCAAGCCTGATCGAATCTATGTTTACCGCGGTTTCGTACAGGGCTGCGCTGTTCTGGAAGAGGAACAGGGCCGTGATAGGGCCGGTATTCGTGATGCAGCAACCCCAGAACTAATACCTTAGGCCGGGGAGGGTCCGCCATGTCCAAAACAACTGCCGCTTGGCGCCCGCCAATGGTAATTTCCGAATATCTAAGCCAGTGTTCGACACAAGCCACTTCTTCTGCGGAGCGGGGAGAGAACCTGGTGACGGTCGGGATGGTTGCGTAAGCCAGCTGTTCGCCCTTCGAATCAGCTTCGCCATGCCGGAAGGCTGAGTTGTGTGGGTTGCACTGGTTGAGGCGACGGGGTTGAAGCACGACTCATGGCACGTCGATCGTCAAAATAGACGTTGTGGGTATGAATACGCAATGTGGGGTTTTTAGACGCGCGTAACTTGCCCCTTTTTTTGGGTTAATGCTACAGCGTCCAATTAGCTCTGCACCATAGGATCTTTGAATCTACAATAGTGGAAGATAAAATTTTTATATCGTATTAAAGGTGCGTCCATGGGGATGTCGACCAAAGTGACGTAGAGATATTACCCGGCTACCTAGTATCAGCGCGATTGTGACAATGACGCTGCTTTTGGGCGATTCCAATTGCGTTATTCATTAGGTAGGTATGCTGTTGACTACCAACTATGCACCTAGGTAGGAGGTAGGTAGGTATAGTGTTCATTAATCTAGGACCTGGACCGCCTCAGTAGCTTCTAAGAACCGCGTCGAGATTCTATACCATGAGTGAATCCGTGACTGAGTTCCAAGGTGGTAGAATCCTCCAAGACAAGCATCGTCAAGCCTTTAGGATTGTGCATATGCTTGTGATATGATTTGTGGTTGCCCTGGTGGCTGCCCAGGTGGTATGATAGATCTCGAGAGCCGAATCACTGATCAGAAAATGCCCAGCTCCGCATGAGGAATCCACTTTATGTGGTGATTCAACCCATGCTATAAGTTATTTCAACACCAGCAGTTAGCAGCCTTGGCATCGTGCGTAGCGGTTTCGAATGCAGATCTTTTCTATTTCCAAAGCCCATTGTCTATGAAAAAGGCAAGTGAATTTTATTTCGGTGTTCCAAAGTCGGAATGGAAGGTCAACTTTATTCTTTTAATTAGCATGAGTCGTCAGCCCCTTGTAGCTAAGAAAAGGACGCGAGGCTTTGCAAGGTAATGGAAATAGTTTGTGAGATATGATTGTCGTGATTGTTTACTTCGAATGAATCATTTGAAATATTTCGACCATCATTGGCTATTGGTCGAGGACAAGGAGGCTGTATGATCTGATATGGACCTTGGTGCAGTTGACGACATGCCAGTTGAAGGGATGTTAATACGACGGGATGATGTTAACACGGCCGGCGGCCAAGATGAACGCGTGGGTATCCTAGTAGGTTACAAGCAAATCAAGGAGTAGATATTGGTCATAACATTGGAAATCGTTGACTTGCGAATTGCTGCCAACCTAGTAGGTAGTCGGTTGCAACAGAGGGATTCGTAAGTTCTTTGCATCCCGACAAAAATAGCAGTATTGTTGAAACGACCAAGACAGGTTGAAAGCTCCAACGTAAGTCGATGCCAAGATAATTTTCAGGTTTCGTCAGTTAAAGAGCGTTGAAATCGTAGCCTCAAAGGTGGTAATATATGTCTAGCATGGCATCAGCCGGTTTGCGAAACTATTGGAGGGCTCCCATTGAGGTGTTCCACGTACAAGTATACAAATGGAATGCCACAACATAGACTATCAAGGTATGAAGACATAAGGAGGCATCACGGGCCAGCGTGGGTAACCTCCAAAGGTAGAGAATTAGAAAAATCTCGATAAGAGAACATTGGTTGATTCTGCCGGGTCTTCAGTTTAGGAAAATTCCCAAGGTTCGTTACCGTACCTATTGAGGAGATACGTCGGGACTCTAGTAAGATCATGGTGAGACCTACTTGAGGCCGTGGGAAATTTCCAAGGTTCTTAGGTACTAGGTAGGTAGTAATAGTTAGGCTTGGAGTAGAGTAAACAAAAGCTCCCCCTATACGTATACCGTGCGCCCTAGATCAGAGTAGTTTGAATCTCTGCGTGTATTTCAAGTGCGGAGCCCAAGAGGTAGTTGGTTGCATCTCGAGTGAGTGGTTGAGCCCAGAACCTCGTCGCTGGCTCTCTATTATACAAGCAGGTACTAGGTACTCGGTCAGATAAACGCCTGAACTTCTCTGGAGGGTTAGGAAATTATACTCCCTTCATATACAACCGCTTGACGATTATCTCATGACGCGTAAGAATTTCGTTGTTTTCTCCCTTGCTAGGTCCGCCTTGTGGCAAAGTTGGAATGATGATGCAGTGAAAGTAGTAAAATCAGGAGAAACTATGCGTGACGATGAACCGACGACTTATTGCCTAGTAGGTTAATAGTGTCTGTTTCTTGGGAAAAGTCGCAAAAAAAACGACGCGACATGGAACGTTCGCATGTTCAAATCGTCGTGGTCGGAGTGCTCTACTTCGTAGATCAATCATCATAGGAGACTGCAGCCATATAGAATTGACACGATGCACGCTTGTATCGATCTTCAGAGAGTCTTGCATAGGTATTTTCTAGCGTATTGAGCACTATATCATCGTCATTACCAAGTCCAGCTGTGGGAATTATGCTATTCATCAAACTCATTAGCGAGTTTCCCTAATTACAAACTCGTACATCTATTCTTCAGCCCACGTCGGTATCAGATCGTTGAGTTCTCTGCCACCTACGTCAGGTTGCCTTTATAGTGCATGCATGCAACCACAGACCTCATCCCCTATTCAGGTACATACGTCCTACGCAAGGTCATCCAGTATGCCATTACTATTAGGTTAACTGACTAATTCTCCTCAAGTCTAACATGGCCTTGATCACGGTATTCGAATAGTAACTTCACCAGCTATTGATCGCTTGCCGCAGCCTAGGTAGAAGGTCAAGGGTATTTCACCCTCACCGCTTACAGGATCAAGCCAAATCACTATTGTCTTGGAGAATTATGAACTTGGAACTTGCTTTTCCCTCGGCTTTATGCAATCGTTATCATTACCAGTCAGCCAGTATCACCTCGGACGGGTCCACGGTCTGCAGCTTATATCCTTTCGAGCGCCTCCTACTTAATTGCATTGTTGCCTAACTAGATCATTCTCTCTGTGTGGGGAACTCCGAACTGACTGGTTGATCCGGGACGTTCCTTTGGTTATGCTTATATGAGACGAATTCTTCATGAGCTGAAGCCTGAAGGTAACTTGTACTTGTTTGAAGATTGATAATGTATCACGGGAGAGTAGATTGTTATTGGTGAAATCGGAAGAGGTATGAGTAAGGTAGACCGGCCATGAGTGAGATGAGAATGATGTTGTTGTGAATAGAGCTTCTGCGTTTGTCGGTCGTGAAGTTGGCGCAGCAGCCGCAGTAAACTAATCAGGGACTATGCATGATTAGCGTGACCTTTTTAGCACCTGCATCCCTACTAGTACGCATTCAGCCGCCTAGTTTCCAGACGACCGATGTTCTGCCGGAATTTTAGTATGGGACCGGTAGAATATCGGTTGGGTCAAGCCTAAATTGGTAACTGATCCACGGTTCTGCGGAGCCCTAAGCAAGGGTCCATCGTCAAAATGCCATTCCAGCCTATGAGAGAAGACAATTTTCGGCAAGGGGCATGGTTGAAACCTGGCAGCGATCTGGTCTTGGTACCATGTAAGCTTTCTTCCATTCGGGAGGCGCCGTCATCGAACAGGCTGCAGACATATCGACATATAAATTTATGGATTATTTGACGATGTGTCGAATACCTCATTATGCGTAGGAACTTCTCGGGAAACTATGTACAGATACTTGCAGAAACGTGAAATACAACGTGGTAGGCCATACAGGAGACCTCAACTTTCGTATAGTCAATACTATTATACGATTTGGCTCTGTCTGTACGAGAAAGTGCGAAGATGTCGAACACGATGGTTGCTTATATGGGACTCGCTAAAGAAGGGGACTTTGTTATTTAGGTAGAATATTTAGAATTCTTAATCAGTAGCCTTTCGTTTCTGCCTTAACCACTTTCCAATAGTTCACCACGTTCTTTCTGCTATCGCTGGTTACAGCTTGCTTCAAGTTTCGAGTTCTGAGCTTCAAATTTCGAATTCCCATCATCTTTGCCTCACAAAGAACACCGATATTCAACTAATAGGTAGTTCCTAATAGATTGCTTAAGGCTTACTTCGGCAAGCAATGGATCTAAATTCTACCGGCTACAACACGGGCGACGGCCCTTATGGACCTGTTGTAAATGGTACCCAAATCGTCTTCTACCAGTATCTACCAAGCAAACCCGCCGGCTTTGCCTTCATGGCATTATTTTCTGTTGCAACTCTTGGTCATCTAGTGTACTTCTTTTGGCTGCGGGCGTGGTTCTTCATCCCTTTTCTGCTAGGCGGTATTGGTTAGTTATATTCCGTCTCATTCGCTGCACATTTACCCCCTTTACCTATTTGGCAGTCCTCGTACCGATGGCGCACTCAGACGGCTAGGTACCTACCTAGTCGTTGATATATCTAACTCGTTATTTCTCTTAGCCGAACTTTTTGGTTATTACTCTCGAGCCATGGCCCACGACGAACCTATCCTAGCGAAGTGGTTCATTCTACAGAATCTACTTATCCTTGCTGGAGCCCCCTTTCTCGCGGCATCGGTGTATATGAGTCTCGGGAGGATCGCAGCGGTCTTGGACGCCACACACCACTCGTTGCTTAGCTTGCGTTGGATGACTAGGTTATATGTCCTGATCGACTTCGGATGCATCTTCACACAGCTCATCGGCTCTATACTTCCTGCCTCCGGCGACCCTTCAGCGATTCGGACGTCCAGGATCATCTTGCTTTCCGGTATCATAACTCAATTCGTCGCATTGTCGTTTTTCGTCCTTCAGATCGTGTTCCTTTATAACCGTATTAAGCGGGACTTGACTACGGTTCTCCTTCATGATCCTAGCATCAGATGGCAGTTCCATTTCTACAGCATCAGCCTTGTAGCGCTACTTTTAATTTTACGTGCGGTCGTACGAGCGGTCGAATACTTGCAGGGAGAAGATGGATATGTCATATCCCACGAAAGCTTCATATACGCATTTGACGGGGCTCCGATGTTTCTTGTCATGCTGATATTCCTGATCCTTCACCCTGCAAGGCTGATAAAAGATGTACGTCGACTAAAGAAGATAAACGATGTAAGTGTACCTAGCCCCCTGAGTGAGCATGATATGGTAGCTAATGCATCTTGGTATAGGTGATCAGGTTGGGCTTGGTTGACGAACATCGAAACGACAATACTTCTCGATAGGAGTCGGCGATAATTAATACACCTCTGTGTTTAGGTTGGATGTCCAAGTTAGATGGCTAAGTCAGATGACAACCATTTCACGACCTCGAGACCTTTTTGGATCTAGGCGCACCGGCAGAGGAGATGGACGTGTGGAATCATGAGCTATGTCGCCCAACCAGCACCTGCAGGTAGTTGAGATTGGCCAATTGGGCATCTGAATATTGATATCTTATTTGGAACATGAGCGACGCCTACCTAGGTAGGTTACCACCTAGTAGGTTACGTACCTACCTAGGTACCTACCCCTTTTCCAATATTTCTAAATCTTCCAAAAGGGGTCGTGTAATACGATCCCTTTCACAACCTGGGATGCACCCCATCACAACGCATCTAAGTGGAAGGGCATTTCTTAATTGTATAACCAGATACCTACTGCCTGGTAATTATGGCTGTCAATTTATTCTGCTTCTAACGTGGGCGGCTAATTACCTAATACACCTATTCATCCGTCCCATCCTTATGTCTTGGGAATTCGAAAGACATAAATTTTAGTAAATTTCGGTACGGGTCCGCGGAATTCGCGTCCTCGGTCTTCTCTAACCCGAACGCGGATTGGTTCCGGTGGAAGGTGGAAATGTTCGTTCCGCCGCCAGGGCCGTGCCAATTCTGCCGGCTCCCGCTTTCCTTGATGGGCTAGGGCGATGGCGCTCCGATGAGGTTCATTTCCATCATTGGAACTCAGGTTCGTATTTTCACCTCTGCTCTCGGTTATTTCGGATTTTGGTTTCACGGAGAGGGAAAATAGAATGCCTAAGTAGGTACATGTCTAATAACTAGCAGTTTGATCGTTGCATCGGGCTGGCCTAGGCCTCGCTGTATAGGTGATTTAGGTAAGGATATGCTAAACGTGACATTGTTTATGAATACTAGGTCCAGGTAAGTGGTGGGTATGTAAATAAAGTACGCTGCATGCATCGCGTCAAACTCCATCACATCTTGGTTTTTTATCGCTACCTCCTACCTAGTATACTAGGTACACTATAGCACCTTTCTCCGTCGACACCTCAGGCACAATGGTTGTCGCATCTGCTGTTCTGGCGCTGGCGTTGCTTGGCAATGGCGCTCGTGCCGCCTTCGGTCTCACAACCACGAGTAGTGGATATAAGGTCCGTGTTTAATCGAAGAACGACTCACTTATTTAGCTAGTATTTCTATAGCTGACAGGTAGCGTATTAGGTTGATACGAATGGTGGCTTGGTATTTGAAGTCAATAAGTCTCGATAACCCTTCCCTGGGTATTAACGTGCTTCCAAATTAACCCAGAAATAGATCAAACGGAGACGTGACGAGCTTGTTGTTCAACGGTGTGGAGTATCAAGGAAGCAGCAAGGCATCTGGAATCAACTCTGGTCTCGGGACGTCCTCAGTGTCCGCAGAAACTATCGGCAGCAAGTACATCAGGATCACCGCCAAATCGAATTCGCTACCGGTGACCCAGTACTATGTTGCTAAACCAGACGATGCGACCATTTACATGGCGACTTATATTACCGGGGAGGTTGATCCGGGCGAGCTTCGATGGCTTGCCCGCCTGCGTCAGGGAAGCTTGCCTACAGGTGTGCACGGGGACGTCGGAAACAAGTAAGTGAGATTCGAACTTACCTAGTGCTTAGGATTGATCAGGGGCCCCTTTCCATATATCATGTATCCGTGTGTAGTGCGTCGATAGTTCCTTGACCTGTCGACGCGAACCTTTAGTCTCACGTGTCCTAACTCCAAGGGCTATAGTATCGGTTGCACCGCGTTCGAAGGCAAAGATACATTCAAATGTTCGAACGGACAGACGCGATGCAAGATGTACACGTCGGATCGGTTCATCGACGACCAGATTCACGGCGTAGTCGGTTCGGTAAGTGGAATTGCTGCGATTACCGTTGACGTGGATGCGTACCTACCTAGCACCTACACACATATATCCATATCTGTCTACCTACTAGAAAGGCAGTGGCTCGCCAAGTAAGGACCTATGAGGCTAACCCCCTCCAGAATGCTGCCGTTTGGATGATCATGCCTGGGACGGCATACGAAACCTCGTCCGGCGGACCGTTCATGCGCGACATCAACAGCCAGACTGGTAGCGACCAAGAACTTTACTGGTACATGAATAGCGGTCATGTTCGAACCGAGGCGTGGCGCTTCGGGCTGATGGGACCATATGCGATGAAATTCACGTAAGTGCTGAGAGCGTTGAGAGCGTTGAAAGTGTTGAGAGTATACCTACCTAGTGCCTAGCTGCCTGGTAGGGTTTGCTCGCTTCTCACATACCTAATATCAGTTATCGATCATTAATTGACAATTCGGTAGCAAGGGAGATACGCCTTCTGCGAATCTAGACACGTCCTTCTTCGCGGATCTCGACATTCAAGGTTACGTTCCGGCAAGCCAGCGCGGCTCCGTTTCCGGCTCGGCCTCCGGGGTCCCGAGTAATTTCGAAGCGGTTGTTCATTGGTATAACGACAAATCTCAGTATTGGGCCAAAGCTTCCGGTGGCAAGTTTAAATCCCCTCTGATGAAACCTGGAACGTATACCATGAAGCTATATAAAGGTGAGTACGAGGTAGCCAAGGATACGGTGACCGTTACAGCTGGCAAAGACGCGACCAAGAACATCGCATCTGCGGAACCGAGCACGTCGGTGGTTTGGCGTATCGGGGAATTTGATGGCCGACCGCAAGAGTTGAAAAACGGGGATAAGATCGAGCGTATGCATCCGAGTGATGTTCGGATGGGCTCTTGGGGAGGTACTTTTACTGTCGGTAAATCGTCCGCTAGCGACTTTCCCATGGCCCTCTTCTCCAAGAGTGGCGGCACGGCCAAGGTGAATTTCGACCTCACCGCCGACCAGGTCCGGGACCTTGTATTGAGGGTGGGAACGACACTCTCGTTTAAAGGAGGACGCCCGTCTGTGGCGATTGGTAGCTGGACTGGAAAGGATCCTGGAGCTCCGGTAAGTTATGGACGCAGTGGATTCAGGAGACGCGGTAGACGTAGCAATACATCGACGAGTGCGATATTGGGCTAAGCTAATTGAAACTAGAAACTCATCGACTCGAGGGGAGTAACTCGCGGAGCCTACCGAGGATACGGAGAAGTCTACAGTTGGACCGTCCCGGCGAGCGCGTTGAAGAGCGGGCAAAATACGTTGACGATTGGTGTTTATGGTACCGGTGACCAAGATTTCCTGAGTGCGAATTATATTGTGGATGCGATCGAGCTCCAGGGACCGGCGGGGACCAGCGGCTAATCTAGCAGCTACTAGGATGTACCTAGTACGCCTCTTCAAGGGTGGGGGGAAATCTCGGGCTCCACGTCACGAAATAAAAAGTTTTTTGACCATCTTCAAGTTCGTATGACGTAAGCGCAAGACAAGCTATTTATCTTGGGCTGCTTAAGGTGCCTAGCTTCAGAAATGATATGCAATTCTATTCGTCTACCTTACGAACATATGTAGGCGCTCATAAATGCGACGGACTTAAATGCCATCCCTGTCTCATTTTCTCACCCGCAACCCTCGTTTTACTATGTCAGTATTATGTGTAGCCTTGAAATATATCCATTCTCAAGACTAACTGCCTGGTAGGTGCCAACATAGGTGGCTTTGTTGCCTACCAAGTATTATGAAAAGACATTCACTACCTTTGCTACCGGCACAGATCTTTCATGGTAACCCAATGCATGCTTTCTGCATCGTAAGATTCGTACCAGGTAGCTTTACAGACCCCACTCCCATGCAGCTTCTATTGCGTGCTTCTCCAGCGGGTTATTATTAAGAATCACATTCGCTATCCCCCTTACGGATCATGTTGGATGAGCAAAGCATGCATTCCCAATTCTGTTGTGACTCTGATGGCGACAACGCTGTTCGGTGTCATCGCAGACCCTTCTATAAAGCCATGCCACGCCCATTGCTTCTAAGTAGACCAGTTCTTTGTTAGACCACTTACTAAGATCTCATTTCATATGTGAATTTCAAAATGGGGAATCTCGAACCTTTCAAAGTGATCATAGCTGGCGGTGGTGTCGCCGGTTTAGCCTTAGCTAACACGTTGCAGAAGGCCGACATTGATTTCGTCGTCCTAGAAAATCGAGATGTCGCTCCTAAGATAGGGGCATCTATATGTCTAATATCCAATACCGGAAAGATATTCGATCAGCTTGGCGTCTGGAAGACTATCTGTGCTTTGAACCCACCCCTCACGAATCGTTATCACGTTGATGAGCGAGGAAGGCTATTTGATGATTCGCCGATGTTCAGGGAGGCGATGGAGCAGACCGGTAGACCGATATTGTTCATGGAACGCCACTTCTGTCTCAAAACTCTGTACGACAACATCGAAGATCAGTCCAAAGTCCGTGAAAATACAGGCGTCGTGTCCTTTTCGGAAGACGAAGGTGGCGTTACGGTGCTGACCAGTAGTGGGGAGAATATCAGGGGTAGCATATTGGTGGCGGCGGATGGCGTTCACAGCACTATCCGGCGTTTGATAGCTGAATCGGTCGCCGAGAGTGACCCGGAGAGGTCTCAAAATCTAATCCGGCGTAGGTGATTCCTCGTGACCTAGGTCTTTCGGGCTACTGTTAGGTGCCTAGATGTTTGCCTGCCTACCTCCTATATACCTACCTAGTACCTAGTAGGCAGTTGGTACCTATCTCGAAGGAGAAGACTAACGATTTCATAGCATATACTTCAAGTTACAGGACAGTCTTCGGTACATCACCAAGCCGGCCTGAAGCCGATGCCCAGGCCTCGGACGGGGTTGTCTATCATGTCTATTCTAGAAACCGATCAGGCATCACGACTCCGGGTCCGAAGGGACTCATTTTCTGGTTCCTATTCATAAAGGAAGAAACCACTTACACCACACCGGATGTTCCGCGCTACACAGAGTCCGACGCTGCTGCTAGCGTCGAGAAATATGGAGATCTAACTGCTTGCCCTGGGTACTTATTTCGCGATCTTTGGAACACCCGGGTCAAAGGTGGTATGGTGACTCTGGAAGAAGGGGTAGTTCGAGGTGCCTGGAATAATGGTGGCAGAGTCGTACTTGTTGGGGATGCTACGTGCAAAGTGAGTTCTTCCAGAGGTCTACTACTCATCCAACACAGTCCATGAATCTTACACTCATTATGCAGACAACAATAAATGGTGGTATAGGAGGCAATCTCGCCGTCGAAGGAATCTGCAACCTTGCCAACGAGCTCGTGTCGCTGGTCCGAGGAACACCGACACCCACTACCCAGAACATTACGGATTCGTTCGAGAGATACGAACAAAAGCAGCGCCCGAGAGCCGAGATTGCCTACATGTCTTCAAATATGGCGACACGTTACGAGGCGATGGATACTCCTTGGTTGCGGTTTTTGCGGTGGTTATCATCTTGGATTCGCCTAGGGTCGGAGACGAAAGCAATCATGGGTTATATGGGACCGGCGCCTTTCCTCAATTTTCTACCAGACCCTGACGTGGACGGAGCAAGTCTGCCCTCAAACTAGATACTGGGTAACAATGATCCAATGAACCCTATATTAGTAAGTAGCTCATGAGATAATATTCATTCAACAAGACTTATATACCTAGTATGTAGTACAATCGAGAGTCCTCAGTGAGATAGAGAAGGAGAGAGACAGACAAACAGACAAACAGACAGACAGACAGACAGAAAGAGACAAGAAGAGATCCAGTGGCATCTTCTCATCAACATAGGTACTATGCCCTTAAACCTAATACATACCTACCCAAGTCAGTACCCAGTAACTAGGTACCTACTAGGTAAGCGACCTACCTAAGCGGTAGGTATCCAAATATCCATAACATATCAGCAGGTGATATGCCATCACTCTCCCCCTCTCTTTCCATCCAGAACTTCGGCGATGATGGTTCGCAAGGTCTTGCCTGTAACGCCGGGGTACAGCTCTTTGAAATCCAAGTAGCCTAGATACTTGGCATACTCGGGGGTATTGTCACCCCTCAAACCCCAACAGTTTACGTATTCGTTAAGGAGAAGATTAAATCTTGTCGACTGGTCTGTGGGATCTTTGGCTAGTGCGGCATGTGCAGATGCGATGGCGTCACGAACCGTTTCCGCGCTCAGCTATGGTAGTCCTGTTAGCTTCTTTTCTACTGTTACCTACTAGGTACATATTAGGTACCTAGTACTTAGCGATAGGGAACTTACATGTTTTCTTATAGCTTTCTCGCCGCTAAGCTCTTCGACGAGCTCGTCGACCTGGTTCGTGCTGAGAACCTCGGTATACGCAAAGACCTTCCTATTCAGCGTTCTTGGGTCAACGATGATCTTTGCGACGTAGGTCCCGATATCCGGCAAGTCGGTATATGCTATCGGGACCGTACCGTCGCCCGGGAGAACGTTTATGAGTTCGCGAACCACGTGCTTCGTTCGACCCGAGGCTACGGCCGGGATTCCTTGAAGAGACCACCAGCCGACATCGATGACGGTGTATGGTAGATAGAGGCGCTGGACCGATGCAAGAATGTCTGACTTCTGATCATGCATCGTCATGACACCTCTCGTGGTTGGCGTGGAAAAGTCGCAAGGCACGAATCTCTTCACGCCAGCTTCTTTCGCCGCTTCGGCGAGGGGAATTTGGTCACTCAAGCCATTGTAGACGATGCAAGAAATGACTACGTCGATTCCGGTCAGGGTCTTAACGAGTTCCTCTTTTGGGCCTGTCAAATCCGCGGATACGACATGGATGCCACGATTTCTGAGGGCATTGTGAGCTTCATTGTCGACAGAAGCTGGTCGTGCGAGGGCGGTGATATCCTAAGAGTTGAGGTTAGCTTGCGGGACATATTGCGATGATATCAAGGCCACGAACAAATTTAGTCTCAGATGCGAGTAACCCATTCACGATTGAACTGCCGGTCTTGCCAGTAGCACCGACGATGGCGACTTTGACTGCTGTTGACATGTTTGATATGTTAATTTGTTTCGATTTTCGATTTTATGAGTCCAATGAGTTAGTTCAATCAGTCTGATATGGGATACGAGTGGGATCAAAGATGGGTAGTAGACGTGATGCTTCAATTTCTCTACAAGATCGATAGAATTTCCTGTACTTTTATATAATTGTCTATCTACCTACCTACCTACCTCAGTACATAGTGTTCACCTAGTAGCATCTACTTAGGTATGTAGCATCATGTGTGATGTCTTGCGTGATGTTAGCTCCACTGCGACGTCAAATATTTGTAAGCCCGGAAACTTATCCTACGAATATTCGACCGTGTCCCCACCAACAAAGTATCCGAAGGTTGTCATGTTAGAATACTACAACACTTGAAGAGCCATCTCGGGTAGATTATTAATTGTCGACAATATATAAGACGAGTTTGCTCGTAAGGGTATCTAATTCTATACGATTTGTCGAATAGCTTACCTATCAAGAGACAGATTCTTATTTCGAACCAAGATCGTAATATCGCGTCACTCGGTAAGTACCTGGAAGGATTCGTATTACCAACCTTGGAACACAATTCAGGGTCTAAATGTCAACCTTGAATCGATCCTGCAATAACCAAATACATATCTAGGTACCTAGCTTCCAAGTTACGGACACAACCTTGGAAGTCATAACCAATGCTACTAGACATTTACTAGGTACCTACCTATCTAACCGCGTAGCTACCGCGCAAAGCGAAAATGCGGAGTCTGGTGATATGACCCGAATATCGCTCTCGAAACGGCAGAAACCCCGCCGTCTCTACAAACAGTACCCTAGTCTACCTAGGTAGGCGCCAGGTTCACTATGAATAATTAACGAACGGATCCATCTAGGTACAGGGTTACGAAGCGCATATCGAGTACTATGCGTACAGACACAATTCAAAAGTCCAGGACTACTAGAATTTCCATCGCACACGAGCAAAATCACATCCTTCTTAATTCGGAATCGCATCGAAAGTAGAGGATACCGAAGACTTGAAGGCGTTAGAGACCAGGTCAGCCACGCAATCTCCATACCCCGCACTGGCACACGGAATAGAAGATTTCCGGATAGAAGCGGCAAGGACGGAAGCGAAAGTTTCGTTGCGCCCGACACGGTCGACTATCACCTGACAATCCCGCCCACACTCGCCGGATGCAGCTGCAGCTACTATGGATTTGATAGATCTATCTCTATCGATAAACTCTATCCTCTCGTCCGACGCTTCCACTTAACGAAATAATGAACCTCTGTCACCATTGTCAAGTGTTTTCCTCTCTCAACTGGACCGCAGTTGCATGCAATGCCAAGCTAAGCCACCATCATTCGTCCTTCGCCATCTTACGAGAATCATCCGAAAACGGTTGCCAACTATGTAACTTTCTCTGTCGGAATCTTGTTCGCTGCGTTGCCACGTACCCCGCCGACAAGCCTGCGGGAGTGTCGTGGGAGGAGAGCGCGGCAGAGGAATGGCTGCTAGCTGAGGATGGGACTGGCAAAGGTTTCGTCTTCACGACCGATGGGGATGTGGATGACTATACCCCGCAAGGGGAGACTTCTCTGATCGATGGACTTTCCTAGATGAGAGAGTCGTGGGAAGGGACCAGTAGAGCGTGCAAGATCAGGGTTGCGACACCAAAAGGTAAGAACGTGAGCCTGCCGTCGCGGGTGAGATGCTTCTCTGCCATGTGAGTGGCATGCAAGGTAGCATATCTAGGTAACTACCTACCTATGTATATGTACCTAGTAGTAACGATTTCCCCGTAGGGAGCCCGCTATCTCCTATAAGCTGGATGGTTCAGCAACAGCGACGCCCAGATCTAGAACTTGCGAAATCCTGGTTTCGAGAATGTCGAGATAACCATAAATTTTGTGTTACACTGTCTCCATCTCACGACGCCTATCCGACTAGGCTTCTTCGCATCACCTCCGACGCGTCCGAGATTATTGCAGTGAGTTTGACGGAATCAAGGGATGCCAGAGGCCCCTATCTCGCGTTAAGTCATTGCTGGGGCACTGTCAAGCCGCTAGTCACCACGAGCATGAATTATGAAACTCACCGGAAAGGCATCCGACTACAGGATCTACCTGCGTCTTTCCAGCATGCCGTGTTAGTCACCCGGTATTTCGGCTTCGAGTTCCTTTGGATTGACTCCCTATGCATCATGCAAGATTCGAGAGAGGACTGGGAACGCGAGTGTCCGCGCATGGCCGACATATATTCCAACGCGACGGTAACGATCGCCGCATCGGACGCACCGAATAGCTCACAAGGCTTCCTACACGACTATCCTCCGGCAGATGCGGATATCATCAGTCTCAACGTTCGGGCAGGGCTAGAGTGTGATGGTATCACCGCCCCGATTATGTTAGAGTGTGCAACTGAAATCCCATCTATCGGTGTCACCATGGCCAATGACTGGGGCACCAACCTATCAACGCGAGGATGGGCTTTGCAGGAGAGGCTCCTTTCCAATCGCATGCTTTCCTTTCGCAAGAGTCGTACGGTATGGGAATGTCAACAAGTTTGCTATGCCGACGACCGCCACCACCCTTTTACTCTAGGGCCTATGATGCTTTCCGAGATCGCCCAAGTCAGGAGGGTGGAAGACATAAACACTGAAGGCGAAATATTTCAATACTGGCGGGAGGTTGCCGAGACATTTGCCGACTGCTCGCTCACGCACGTTTCGGACAGGCTCCCAGCTTTGTCGGGACTGGCCAGTCGGTTCTCGCTGCGTCTCAACGACAATTATGCGGCCGGTATCTGGCTACGTGATATCCATGCCGGTCTCTCGTGGAATGTTGAACATCGCTATGGGTTTGATCCGAAGTTTCCGCAACGTCGCCTATGCTCGTACGTAGAATCTGCCGGGCAAGAGTATCTTAAGACAATTCCCTCCTGGTCTTGGCTTTCTTCCGGCTGCGGGGTCTCATTCGAAAGCAGATTTGACCAACCAGGAAGGATGCGGTCTGACCTTCAGATTAGTTCTGTCGAAATCAACCTCTCCGGAACGGATTCTTTCGGTAGAGTCCGCGGCGGGCGGCTTAAGGTCAACGGCCGGATCAAGAATTGCATCTTGGACTCTAGGTCTCATAATCAGAACTTGTACGATGACGTATATGACCAAGAATCAACTGCCAAGGTAGCTTCGTTAGTTGCGGACTGCTCATACATACAAGGCCCCCGGAATAATAATCGTGGGCATAGGAGAAACGCCACAGCATTATTCCTGGCAAAGTGCGATCCCAAAGGGGATGACATCGGCCTAGAGCTAGCTCTTGCTCTTCAGCCCGTTCACGATACTGGCGGAGCTGCAGAGCAGACCTTTCGTCGCATTGGCATAATAGCATGGTCGTCCAACATGGATGATTGTAAAGAAGGTAAAGCCTGGTTCGAAAATGGAGTGCATTCTTGTTTAACTATAGTCTAATGCAGACTATTCCTGACGAACATGTCTACAAGGTGGTAGGTACCTATCCGGTAGGTATCTCCAGCTATCCTCTAACGCCTATATTGTTATTCTAAGGCCCGAATCAAGTGGGTCGGTAGTTTAAAGACATGGGCCGCTATACAAAACCCATCACACAATACTCAGTTGGCTCCCAATATCCATTGGCGGGCACTTAAAGTCTTAGGTGCCTACCAGATCCTACCTACCTGCCTAGGTCCTACTAGGTAGGTTAGGAGGTAGGTTAGGCTATCCCATAGGGATTAAGTCCACCTTAGTACATCGAAAACCCCTTTCAAGATATAGCAATTAGTAATTGCAAACAACATAAGCAACGATAGAAGAAGGAATACAGTGACTTACTCCGCTCGCACTGATGGTTTGTCCAGTAATCCAAGCGCCATCTTTACTGGCAAGACTAGCCACTATGTTTGATACTTCGTCGACCGTCCCTATCCTGTTCCCGATAGGCGTGAGGATCTTTTGAAGATTCACGATATCCTTTGGGATGTCGTCGAGCATGTCACTCTGGACTGGTCCCGGCTCGACACAGTTGACTGTAGTTCCGTTGCCACCCAACTCGGCAGCCCAAACTCGGGTCAATCCCTCAAGTGCAGCTTTCGAAGAACAGTACAAGCTGAAATTTTTGAAGGGGGTTCTTGCAGCAACCGAGCCTATATTAATGATGCGACCATTGCTATTCAAGTATGGTAGGATTGCCTGAGTCAATAGTATCGTCCCGCGTATGTTCAGATTGTACACGTCGTTGTAGTCGTCGATCGTCACTTCTGCCAGGGACATCGCCTTTTCTATCCCTGCATTATTGACAAGTATGTCGATTTTGAGCTTGCCTTCGCTCCACTCTAGGAGACCACCTATGAGTGACCGAGCTCCATCGAGAGTGCTCAGGTCGACTCGAATAGCGTGGGAACGAGGCTTATGGGGAAGAGCCTCGATCGTTCGGCAGACTTCTCTAGCAAGGACCTCACTGCCTTGCGACACGTATGTCAAGATTACCTAGGTATTAAATGTTAGAGAACCTATTAGGTAGCTACCAGGTACCTAGATAGGTACTAGGTAGGTTGCTATTCGAAAGTGACACGAATAATATCTGATGGGGACATACCGTAGCGCCACGACGAGCAAGTTCCAAGGCGATGCCTTTTCCAATGCCCCTCGAAGATCCTGTTACCAGAGCAACTTTGTTCGAAAGTGGGAAATTATAATCTGACATCTTCACTCTTCACAATTTTAATCACCTCTGTTAACTTTCGAGATGCTCAGCCATTTTCATAGAGCTTCATCGCATCACGACAACCTTTTTTATATATTTATATTTTTATCAACGTGTGCTTGAGGTCGAATGCCGTTGTAGAATGTTAGTATGGAACGCTATTGTTGCTGCTATTCTCCGATTCGGCTTTGTTCCTGTAAACGCCGATGGCATTCCTATGTCCGATAATTTATACGTCGCAGCTATCTTCAATCAACTTTAAATGGCTAGGACCCATCAATGTCTCTTAAAACACTGGCGATCTAGTTTAAGAGCCTTGGGTTAACCCTTGAGTTGCATCATTGCGTCGTCTAGATACGCGCTTCAGATCTAACGATGCTCGCGTAAAATGATTCTGAATTATTCCCGACTAGATCCCTACCAAAAACTCATCGGGCCATCGACGATATCTCCTAAATAGCAGAGTACCACCGAATATTAATCGACTTGACTCGCGATCATTTATGATATATAGGTAGGTATCTGGGTAGGTATGTCGGAGACTTATGTACTAGGTTAGGTAGATAGGTACCTAATAAACTCCATAACGTACGTGCCAACAATTGGCAAAGATGGAGATTAGCAACCTTGGAAAGTAGAGCTGATGGAAACTGTTTTTCCGTGGTCAGTGCATCTAGGACTGTACGCGCGTAACTTAGATAACTTCAAGACATCTGTGGATCCTTCGACACGTGAAGACGTCAACATACATATTCTAAACGCGACGAAATCAATCGATACTGGATGCTCGTCGTAAATTGGGTATAATTCTCGTACGAAAAAAATAAGAACAAAAAGGAAACATTTACTTATATACATTCATTATACCATTATACCATTCTCAGGTCGTCTATGTATCCTAGCATGTCCCGTTTCTCGTCACAGACTCGCGCAAACTCGAGAAGTAACCTCCAGACATACAACAGCATGTCCTCCCTTCTGAGCACCTTGGAGCCCCATGACCTGCCTTCCTCGGCGATGAAACGTGCCGACTTATCGCCCTTCTTATCTCGGGTGAAGTAATCCAGGACGGCGTATAAATCCTGGAAAGTGTTGTCCATCGGAGCAAAATGAAGCCAAGGCAACAAGCGATCATCGTGCCATTCGGCGTAGATCGTGGCCTTTAACGGCAGAGATGTTGACAACAAGAATCCCCTAAACCTAGCGCTAAAGCTATTTCCGTCCACATCGGGCATGAACTTGTACTTGTACTGTTCCTTCATAGGGATGCTCTGAAGCTCGGAAAAGTACGGCCTAACGTAGGCGCAGTCGGAGTCGTCCGGGAAGCAGAGCAGATTCACGAATCCCGCGTTCGCGAAGTGCTCCAGCCAGCTACCGATGGTTCCCTCCCGCCTTTTAGGAAAGTCGTACTTCTTCACGGGCGGCATCTCGAAAGTCATCGCGCGAGAGCTGTTCTCCTCCATCCCAGCTACCGTCGTTCCGTTCAACATCTCGATAAGGCGGTGACGCTGGAAATGCGACCAATTCTCCTTCTTGTTGCGACCGCCGGACGCTACACCACGCCATACGACACCGTCGATCTTCCGTCTCCACGCCGGACCGTGCGTGTCGCCTCCGGAATAGAAAGGGTCGTCGGTCAGATACATCGCGCCGGGAATGAGGATCTCGTTGTTTACGGACAACTTGCAACCGCCGAATAACGGAATGAGCTCCTGACTCGTCGACATGGTAAGGGGCTCGGCGAAGGTGCCGTGCATGCCGCGGAGGTGGGGCTGGACGCATGGGTCCGCCGCGGAAGTAAAGTTCACGACGTACCCTTTGTAGGAATATTCGGGGTTCCAATTGTCCGGAAAGACAGGTAACGTCTCAAAGTTTTCGATTGGTGCGACGTCGCGGGACGGGGAATCGGGGGCGCAGGCAACCCGTGTCAGATTCCAGTAATTCCCTCCGAGCCACTTGGGACGATAAGGTTCGGCTCCGTCGATAGCGTCAACCTTAGCAAGGCCGCTATATTTCGTAATCACCTCGTCGATTGGTTTGACCGACCGACTTTTTTGTTCTTTCCCTACAAGATCGCTCACGTTTTCCCAAGGAACGATCAGTCGAGACTCGTCCATGTAATTGATGGGCATGTCCACGTCCGGCAGCCACGGCGCCGCTTCGGTCACCAGCTCAGTCCATAGTTGCAGCCACGGAACTTTATGCTCGGTGTTGCCTGTGCCGTTAGCGACGCCGCCCCGTACGCGGACTACGTGCTCCCACGACGAAGCCCTCTCCGCCGTGACTTGGGGATCGAGTCCCCAGAATGGTGCGATGTCGGCATATATCCGATCGAAGAAAGACTCTACGATGATTGTGTCGTGTTCTATCGCATACTTAAACCAGGCGTCGAATCCCGGAGGAGGATGCCGGCCTCGCCGTTCCCGATACCGAGCGGCGGCTGTAGGGATGTCGAAACTTCGCTGCCTAAGCAAGTTCTCGTGAAATGCATGCGCGTCGCCGATGAGTTTATCGATTGGATGGTTCGATGTCCGATTCCAGAAGTATTCGAAATAGTGCGACCCGTTATTGCGGAGGAACCCCTCCGGGCGGCGAAATAAAAAGACACCCGACAAAGTTACAGAGACGATAAAGGTGATGGCGGCATATCGAAGTATGGACTGCCACCTCAGCGAGCATATGCGACTGTCGGGAAGGCTTTCCAGCCAGTTGCGAGCGCTACGGGCGGCCAACATCGAGTCGTTGCTATTGCTGATGGAGCGGAGCGGAGCGGAATCGGTTGAAGAAACTGATTTCCCCCTTCTACCTCGGCCGATTCTTTAAATCATAAATTTAGCACACCTCATGGTGATAGCTACTGTGCGAACGCAGATTAACTTAGCACGCCTGAGGAGGGGCAGAGGAAGATTGGCGGATAGCTGGACAGACCGCACTGTGAGAGTTGAAGGTGGTGGATGAGAAGTACAAAATTTTAGACAAAGAAGTCCCCCGTTGACGCGATCATCGATGCCAGCCCTTAAACATGGGCCTTGGACCGTGGACCATAGCCATGGGTGCAACCCGCCACTCCATACTGGGGCCAATTTATCATGGTGCTTATCGATGCAACGATGTCGCTTCGGCTTGGGCAGCTTGGGTAGATGATTGCGAGCAGCTCCAATAGAGCGGAACGTTGGTGTCTTGGCTACACCCCTCGACCTCGATGTGTAATAGTGATAGAATTGTACTCGTTACAAGCACGTTCCCAAGATTACCGACGATCTGGTCCGATAGGAGAGAGCTGATCAAGTATTCGGTACAGAGTTCTAGAACCAGGCGATAGTAAAGGATCTAAACCATGTTACTTAATCTCTTCTAAGAGGTCCGCCGTCATCTCCGCACTGTTAAGCGCAAACGACTGAGCCAGTTACATTCCATCGTCTATCTGCAGCTCCACCCCCGCTAATCCGAACCAGGATGACGAGACAGGGATCTCCCTGAGGAAAACTCCAAGACCCCTTATTACATAAGCTGTCTTTCCACCTGGCATCATCCCGTCATCCACCGCCGCATGTAGTGTAACTATTTCGATGAAGGCTATTTTTACCTCAACTTCGAGGATTTTATTTGGCAATGACTTGTTATTTGATTCAGTGCCTAGTAACCTTTAAATCTACCAACCAACACTGACTCACATTGATATAGGTGGGTGGGCACCTATCAACATAAAACAACAAATGCTGGTTAGCCACCAAAGTTGCGACATGAATTGGAAATTGGGTGAGATTACCCACCTGCCTAGGTAGGTAGGTAGGTAGGTAGGTACTTAGTGTAATATGTACTATGTATGTAGGTAGGTGGGCACCTGGTAGTCATACAAAATTTCCACGGTAAGCACATCAACCCAAAAAAGGATGAGATCAGACATAATTACTCTCGATTGCCGTAACAGTCTGCCTATCTGACATCTTCAGTTGACTTCAATCCTAGGCAACAGCACTTATATCATGCTGCAAGGGGGCTCCTTTTACGACAGCTAAGTCAACGTAGATCTTTCTACTCTGGCGGCGCCGCCTCTTGCTTCAATAGAACCGTAATCATAGCCCTTCCCGGCACGCTAGCTGCAGCCGCGCCGTCACTCAACGATACGGTCAAGTCGCTTATATCATGATTATTATCTGTGACATAGGCGGTTGCTGCGCTAGAGGTGAAACCACTTCCTCCGCTGACCTTTACCTGGACGTTGGCTGCTGACCCTCCGCTGTTGATAAGCTGAACGGCGACGGAACCGTCGATATTCTGAAATGCGGCTGTGCGTACACCCGACGGGGCTCCCTGCACGCCTACGCGAACGGCGCCGGGTCGGACGAATCGGCTCCACTGCCCAAAAGCCCATAACCTTTTCGAGGGAGTGACGTTGTCGCCGTCGATCCTGATGAGTTTTGAATTGGTCACCCCCGTCTGAGCACCGATCCAGTAGAGATAGCCGGAAGCGTTCGCGTTGACGATAGCCGTATAGATGTTGTTAGCCCAAGTCATGCCGTCCCCGGCACCGCCGCTGCTATACCATGCGCCTTGCCACTGGCCGTTTAGGTCGGCGGCCTCTGTCTGCCAGACGCGGTGGCGCGTGTTCAAAGGCGACCCAGGAGAGGATGTATAGGAATGCGCCGTGATGGTTGATATGAGGCTGTCTACTGAGCCTAGCTGGCCTAGCATACTTGCCTGGCTTCCCCAGCCCTCCGGGTCGCAGCAGTTGATGCCGACGGAGCTTAGGTTGGCCTTTTCGAGAGTGGGGTGGAGTACTTTAATGAAGTCCGCCGCTTGCGAGCCCGAAAAGCGCATTGATGCATAACTCGTCCTGAATCAGTGAATGTCGTGTCAGCGAACTAAGTTTACCTAACTACCCCTAGTAGGTATGCCGTGCCATAATTAACTAAAAGTTACTATCTGAGGTACTAGGTAGCTATCTGTAACTGTACTCACGTGAGATCTGGCTCGTTGACAAATCCTAGGTGTGTTATCGTCACGTTAGCCTCTTGGTAGTATTTGATATACTGCACGAGGTAATCGGCATATGCTTGCTTCCAGTCGCCGCTAGAACACGAAGCGCCGCCGACCCCGCACAGAGTCCCGCCGTTCGCGTCGTTTCCGTTAGTCTTCATGTATCCGGGTGCGCTCCAAGCGTTGGCGTATATCGTCTTGACCCCACGTTTGACAGCCTCCTGAGAAACCCATAGCTGTTTGTTGTCCGAACCATCCCAGACGTAATTCGGAGTGCTCGATGGACCTCCCGGGCTCTTGGGTTGGATAGAGACCATGTGATCGGCGCTCATATCGGGCGACGAGCCGATTCCGTTACGGAGGATGGACATGCCAGCCCCTTTTGTCGTGCTAAAGAGAAGGTCGAGGGTATACTGTTGCTGTGCCTCTGTCAGTTTAGACATTTGTACGGCTCTCTGAAAAGCCTCCGAGCAACCGAAACCATCGATCGTCTGGTACTTCTGGTCGAGGTTCACTGTAATCCCAGTCCCCGACTGCCGACCTTCGAGGCTGGCGCTCCTTGCGAAGACCGTCAGTGGTAGAAAGACTCCAGCCGCTATCAGTAGTACGAGTGTCATTGTATCTGTAATTGCTGTTGTATGTAAGTTGGACCTTCAACCATGACGAGTTAGAACCTTGACGGATCCTAGGTAGATATATTGAGCATCTTATGAACTCTGATCTTTGATTGACCAGACTAACAAGATTTATCCGTACTCTTCTGGCCTTGGTTGCTACAAGATTCATATTGCCTAAGATCTAGAACTTCCCCAAGATGCCTTTTGCCGATCAAGGCAATCTGGATGCTATTTTGAGAACCTAGGCATCATAGCTGGTGCGAGAATTCTCCACGAATTGAAGGCTCAATCGGTTATAAGGGGCGGGTAAATCTGTGACCTGGTATTATATAGAAACAATATCAAGTCTCGAAACCTATGTTTAGCACCACGATCCCCTCCTTTCAGAAAGGAACCTTGGAAGGCTTTAGCGTGCCGTCGAGTCTGGTAAAGGTACTTAAGGAAACCCAAAGAATAGGTAGCCAAGCCTCCCATATTTCATTTAAATAGGTACCATACGTCCAATATTGGCTCGGTTTCATCGTAGAGCTGTCGCGTACTTAGTGAGGTAAGTAGGTACCTAGGTACGTAGGTAAGCACTAGGTAGGTAGGTATCATTCATCATAAATTATTCAGGTGGGCAGCTACTGGATAGTAGGTAGGAGGTAGGTAAGTAGTGAAAAATGAAGCTGCGTAAATTTTACTATCAGCTGCTGGCGCGCAAAACTTTTCTCGATTTCTGTAGAATCGCAGTTTCTTTATCCTTTCGCCACTGACAACTCTCCGCGAACTCGCATGATCGACATTTATAAGTCTCTTCGATGCAAACGCCATCAGCCTCCCTCTCCCCGCGCCACCATTGCAGGTCTCGTTGAAGATATCCTTTCAGCGCTTCGGGGTCGTTGGGAAACGCGTTGATCCCGATGATGCGACCGTCGTCTCTGTGGCGGTATTGAACGGCGAGAAGCTCGCCAAGAGTAGCGGCGCCGCGTGGGAAAGTCTCCCGCAGCTCTGACCGAAGTAGTGGGAGCATCTGCGCAATGGATCGATATCTAATCAATTCTGCGGGCGGCATCATTTGATACGACTGACTTGACGACGGAGGCCCTTGCCCAGATCGATTGGAATGAGGAGTCGACGGCGCCCCGCCAAATTCAGAGTCTGCGTCGTAGAATATTTCATCGTGCAGATCGCCTACCTGGGCCATGAAGGCGTCCGAAAACAATGCCTCGGCTCTCAGACCGTATCGGTCCAATATAACATTAAAATCTACCGTCCCAGAAGCCATCTCACCCAGAAGACGATGATACAGGAACAGCTGAACCCTCGCCGGCCTGAGAGCTGCACCGGTAGGAAGCCTTTCTGAGGCGCGAGTCTTGACGTCAGTAAGGTAAAATGTTTTGTGATGCGGTTTGAGATAGTCCGTTATCGCCGACTGTTCCTTTGAGGTTGTGTCGACGAAGCCCCTGGATGATTGGGAGAGGCTGAGCTCTTGCTCGAACATGGGATTTGGACTTTCGTGGCTGATTTCGTCTATGATACCATTGACGATCTGACCTTCGATGATCCCCCATACTTCCAATTCTCTGGTCAGACCAGCATCCCGAAGCGTGCGCAGTCCTTGGATGACATTCCATAGCCGTAGCGCAAACGCTTCCTCTTTGTTAGTTATGCTAACTTGGACTGTCGTATGAACTTGATCCTCTAACGTCTGGTGAACACGGGTTCCCCCTTTCATCGCCGCCGTTCGCGTCTTCCTCCCTCCAGGCAGCCGAGTGAGTGTATACCAATATTGAAGCTCGCACCAGGCACCGGATGACAAGTCAGAAACGGTGAGCGGCCTCTTCGGAAAGGAGCGAAAGCGCTTCAGTGGAGACGAAGAATCTTTCGGTCGCTTGGAAGTTTCCGGTATTGGGGTCTCTATATTGGAAGATACGTTGGAAGCTATATTGGAAGCTATATTTGGAGCTACATTAGGATTGACAATTGATAGGGCATGGCTAACTAAACACTGCTAGTTAGTTAGACATGTCTTATGGGTGGAGATAAGTTTCGTTTCGCAAACTCACGATCTGGGTACAGGACATCGTCGGATGGGATATGTAATGGAGTGCTCGCATTTGCATCATTGGAATGATTTGTATTTGAGCGGGTATTCGACTCGTCGCTATATTGCCTACGATTATTCGCGGACGCGCTGGATTTCCTAGGTAGAGTGCCCGTTGAGTAGTTACGCTGACCCGATCCAAAGTGTAAATTTTCCAATTTCGGAGGTGGCAATAGGGTAGATAGAGTCCCGGAGGCTTTAGCATCCGTATCTATAGGCAAAGTGAATTGGGTAGGACTAGAAAAAGAACTCGTAGATTCACTCGGTGAGCCACTCTTGTTTCTAATATCTTCGAGAAGTCGATTTACGATAACCTCTTCTCCTATTGAAAAGTCGGACCCGTAGTCGCTCTCATCTGGACCGTTCCCACCCATCATGGGAGCAACGGAGGTAGCCATGTTGAGTATATAGAGAGGCGATAGGTCATCGCGTTATGGAAGACGTCAAGTATGTGATAGTACAGCAAAGAGAGTACATCCAGCACATCAGCTAAGGTGGTTTGGTAAGGCTCAGATTAGATCTAAAGGGAGGAAGCTAGGAAGTTGTAACTTAGAAGGGGTCATATGTTGAGTCATGATCTCCGTGACCAGGCACTTCTCCATTGTTCAGGTTGATCAAGCATGACGATGTGATTTTGGTGATGATGGATGTTTTGGTGGGGGAGGGGAACAGGAGAGGAATGGAAGATGGCCCCTAATATGGCCCTATCTTTACAGCGTACACGCGCTAAAATGATCTTGCCAGTCGCGCGATCACATGCCCCCACAATACCCATAACCGTGGACGGCTGCCTGCAGTTCCAACCTTGGAAGTTTAAGGTTGCAAGGTTGTTTACTTATTCCCTTTAATATCATTGGCCAATATCAAAGTACCTAAGTCCATTACCCCTGTTCAGATGAAGAGGCGTTTGGATGCCAGGATAGGGGGTTATGCCTAAGCCACAGGCATCTTCAATTCATCTTCACTTTTCACTCGAACATCAATTCCGTGAATTCCGACATTGGAATTCCCTTTCCCTCCTTCTAAAGCTTCTCCTATGCTAGGCTTTAACATTATTTTGAGAACACCACCTTTCCTAGGTACCTAGTAGTAGGCACATGTATGCATCCCTCTTAGATTGGTGAGTTGGGTATCTTGCTGCCTCCGCCACACGCCCCGTATATCACACCCAGTATATGGATGCCTACCTATTATTTCCTACGTGGCTAGTATCTCAATCGTCAGTTGACAAAGCCAAAATAGCCAATTCCAGATATCCATATCGAATCGTCTCGGTGGTGGGGAGCTGAGGTTAGGCGTCCGCATGAGACACGATGTCTACAAAATCAGCCTAGCTTCTTACATAGAAGACCAAGCCTAGGCAGCAGGTAGATACAAAGCAATTGGTCGTCCAGTTCTATGCCTGGTCTTCGAAACTTCAATCATCAATTTGACATTACCTTCTTCTTCGCATCTTTGATAAGAAATCGCCAATCACCAATCGCAATACCTGCATAATGAACGTGATTCGCCGTTCTCGCACATCTGGGACGGACCCTATCAAGGTGCCACAGTCGGAGTCTATCACTCAGCTCCGACCTAAAACGCCATCGGCTTTCGAAAGTCTGCCACCTGAAATTCATTTACTTATTAGTCAGGAACTTTCGTACCCCGATGCACTATCCCTCAAACATACGAACAGCTACTTCTATTACCTGGTCGATACCGGACTAGAGCTCAAAGTGGATTGGTTGATCGAGCGTCGGAGTTTACATTTAGAATGCCCAAATGATCGACAATGCGATCTAGGTAGCGATTTGAAATTCTGCCGGGGTAGCGTAAGGTGAGAACGAATAAATATGCCTAAGAAGACATACTAGGCAGTGGTGCTATATGTTGGGACGTTACTAATTCTGATCCTTAGGTTGCTTATGCAACGACGTCGTGAACATATCGAATGCGAATCGCGACCTGGTCTAGGATGTCTAGTTTATGGGACGAAGAAATGTGCACATCAACAACTATTTAAAGTGCGAGTCAAAAGATGGCTCAGATCTCGTCTTACTATCGAGCTATGGTGGATTCTTCTAGCACTGATCCCGGCACTCTTGGGATGTCTTTGGGTGACCGAATTTACGAGATGGCAAGCGGAAGGATGAGTTCTGCTGTCACTTAGAGCATCAGCCCCTATTTTCTGACCACTGGGTATTTCGACTAACCTCGGAATTTATCGTTCTTTCATACGTGTTATTCGAATAGCGTAGTTGGGTAGTTTGTTTTAACAGCATAGGCATTCTATATAGGTACTGCAGTGCAGTATCCAGCTAGGCATTAGGGATCCTTTTTTGTATTAATATATTCATCGAAGGATATTCTCCATCCCAGATACCAAGAATGGTCCCGAAAAGTTTATGATGCCTCCACAACGTCCAAGCATAATGAGGAGGAAGATCGTCTAAACGTTGTGAAGGGGGTCAGGAGATACAGTGTGGACATACAGTGCACAAATCAAACGCATACGGCTCCAATTTTCAATCTTAAAATTCATCCATCCTTGGACGCACCTCACTCTCATTTCTTAGAAATAAGAACTCCGTTTACGACATCATACCGAACTCCTAAGTAGATTCAATCGTTCCATAGTTTGGTTGACAGAATACTAGCATCCGGTTTCAATATATAAACCCTGTCTTTTACCTCACTCCTAAGTCCTGATCATGTCTTCGACGCGATACTGGTTAGATAAGGCCTACCTCACATATTTCCTCATTCATCTCCCAGTTCTATTCTGTATGTGTCTAGAAATCTCACTTCCAATATAACCCTATATATCTCAGTAACCATGAGTTTGCGAAATCTCTCATCTAACATAGTCAGGCGTTGATCTCGTTCCCCTCTACCCAACCTCTCTATGGGTACCGCCTTCGTCACCGCTTCATTTCTTATATAAGCTGCGGGTCTACTATATAGAGACGTACAATGACCAGTTCTTCGCGCCTCCTCCAGCACCCATTCCTAGCTTCTTCCCGCTATTCGCCTTCCTAGAGCTCGTCTTTCACTTGCCCGTGTCGTTGTGGGCAGTACGCGCACTCCTTAGCGGGGGTCGTAGTGCTGGTAGCACTATTAAGCAGAGTGGTCTGGTCGGTTCTGCTGAATTGCTACTTCTCGTTTATGGCATCGAGACAGCATTGACTACTGCTACTTGCATGTACGAGGCCTTTCTATGGGACTCTGCCGTGGTGACCGCGGAGCAGAAAATGGTGCTGCTAGGTGGTCTGTATGGAGGATATCTTGCCGTTGGTAAGTTTACTTGACATTGACTGATGAGGTCTTTCAAACGTAGAGATAATGGCCGCATACTGACTATGCGGTAGCCGTTCTATTGACCGTTGATATGTATACGCGACTACTCAGCCGAATCGGTGCGGTTGATGCTAGAAAGAAGAACCAATAATGAAAGGATCTGTCAATAGGTATGCGTATGATTTGTATCGTCGTGAAGGATTTGAATATGGGTTTGGATTATTATTAGGAGTAATACCTAATTCCTCAAAGTTCACGTTGCTTCACCTATAACTATACCCTAGGAAGCTACCTATTCTTCCCACATTTGGTATCATTAACAGAACCGTCCTTTTGGTACAGCAAACAATCCCAAGATCATGTCAACACGCGATTCCTCGTCACCGTCAAAATATGTACAAGAACCCGTTCGAGCTGAGACGTCGAGAGCTACCCCAAGCACTCAATCGATTCTCTTTGAATAGCCCCATCCGTTTCCTACGCCGTTCATGCCATACCCCAACGGCGTGGCACCGCCCAGGCCTCTACCCTTTAACCTCTTAGGTAGGATGATACCGAAAAAGTAGACGCCCGATACAAGGATGCCGGCTACGAAGGATACAAGAGCATAAAATACGGTGCTAGCGTATATGTGTCCTCCCATCCCCTGCCACTCGACCTTTCCCTCGATCTTGGGCAGAGCCGGAGTCGGGAACCACCTTACGCTGAAGCTAAGAGGTAAAGGGTCGCCGATAACTAATCGCTTCGTGAAACTACCGTCCATGTGGCTGAGCGGGCTCGTGCTGTATGCGGCGCCGCTGTCTAGGACACCGCTGTCGTGGGGATGTATGTGGTGCTTGGGCGTGCTATGTAATAGGATGTTGAGGTGTGTGCTGATATGTAAATGACTTAGTTGCAACGTGCCGGCCAACGCGAATACTAAAGGTATGTATTCTTGTTCGTAGGGCTTCTCTCCGACCATCTCGACGTGGGCGGGTGGTCGGGCAGGAAGGCGACAGGCGAGAGGGGCGTCGCTATGGATATAAAACTCTAGCAGGTGGAAGAAAGGGTCGTCGATCATAGGTATCGTGCAGTTCATCTCGCCTTCTATACCGTAGTTGAATTCGAGAGACTTCCCCGTTTCGTTGCATACTGGAAAGGGGATCCACTGGATCTCGTTCTTGGCATCTTGAATGTGTTCGCCCGTCTCTCTAGGAAACGAAAAGTGTTAGTAAAAAGTTGAGTCGAGAATCGTCGATAATTGTCGACAATCTTGGTTCGTGGATATTTGTTTGGGATATAGAATAGGCTATTTATACTTACACACTTCTGTTCATGCACTCGACACCGATGGGTGCGCCGTAGTGGTAGGAGGGCAAGATGCCTTCGTGAAGATTATTGTTTGCTGTCGCAACTTGAAGGAGCAGCGATGCGCCTAGGTAAAGGGGCGCGAATGAAAGCATCATCGATCACCTTGGTATCGATATTAAGGAAGTAGAAGGACCATGTCGAGGTTATAGGTAGGTAATAAGGAATTGTTACTGCGACACTTGTCTAGCTGTAAAACGAGGGACAAAGGGCTGGACGACAGCCTGGTCAAAATTCAACTGGTCGCGTTGCAACGACGATCACTACGAACCTTAGATATGTACGAAATACCTACAAGGATACCCAGGTAAAATACCAGTAGGTACAATTTAGTCGATAAAGTTATATCTCTGTATATATGCATCATATTTAGCACCTCGCTTAGTACTACTACGGAATAATCCGCGGGGTAACATCCAGTACCTATTAGCACGGGCAACATTTGAACATTCTCCCATCCGATTCTCCCATCCGATTCTTACACCTCGATCAAAAAGCCTTCTGGCACGTAGCCTGAATCACGGTCCAATCCAAATCCCATCCCTCCCCGTTATACTTCTCCTTAAGATGCTTCACAATATGCTCGTCTAGCATACCCTGTGCCTTTTTCTTACTATCCTCGCTCCAATGCGCGTTGATCATCCAGTCCTTCATCATCGAGTAGCTCCTAAGATAATCCTCGGCGCTGTAGACAGGAACCACGTGAGGCATCGTCTTGACCTGGATATTTTCAAACCCGTGAGACTTTAGCTCTTCCTCGATGCCCTTTGGGTCCGTCCACTGGAGCTTCCCGTGAATTGCCATTGGCACCGGGTTAGGCATCGGTGCGTCGAAGGGTAGCGCCTCAAAACACGACCTCATATCGGTGGCCCAACCCTTCGTGTCCTTATGCCAGACACTAAAAGCAAAGATGCCACCCGGCTTGAGTAGTCTCATAGTATCTAGATGGAGTTTCATCAGCAACCCTGCAATCAGGTTTGGATCTTCTCCTAAGAACATACCTTGCAGCACGGCCTCTGGGTCTGGGATGACATGCATGGCAAAGTTGATGGTTACATGTGAGAAAGATTCCGCCGGAAATACCGAGTTCTATGGAAATTAGACACATGCGTCTTGGTGTCTCGGATGAGGTACTGTATATCGACTAACCTGGGCATCGCCTACAGCTGTTTCGATATTCACCCAACTATACTTAGCAGCTCGCCTCTTCAAAATACCTACGAGGTTCGCGTTGAAGTCCGCACATACTATCTTGCTTTCCGATAGAAGCTTTTTGTCGATATGATCTTGCAAATGCGCCGCAATGGGGCCTGTTCCGCAGGCGTTGTCCAGAAGTTGGAATGGCTGAGTGGTGGACTGGTCTAGCCCTGCCTGCGCAAGCAGTAGTCCTGCAGGGCCTCTCATAATCCGTTCCGAATCTGCGACGATTCGCTCCAATTCTTCATCCTCGACGCCGCCTGTAACACTGCTGTACAGTTTCTGCAATTCTTTTTGTTGTGTAGTCGCCATGGTACCGAGGTGTTTGGTAAGAATCAAATTTGGTTATACTGATATATGGCAACAGACTTATAATTATCTATTTCTCGATGAATGATGTACTTGATTAACACAACTAAGAAATAACATGAAAAGTCCTCAGCAGAGATGTCTGAACAGATATTGCCATTTTATACACACCAGAAAGCAATGCGTCGCTCCTTGCGAAGTCCCCGGAATGTCTCCGGGTTGAAGCACCTTGAGGGCACAGCCAACCTGGATTTCATGAATTTTGAGTGATAATAGTATTGAACGATGTCAGCATCCCCCCTACTTACACCCAAATGATCATCTATTCATTATCTAAGACAAAATAATACCCAGTAACCCTGTCGGAGAGTTTCCCTCACTTGGCTTCTCCAACCCTTCACCGTCTTCTACCTAAAGTAGCCGCTACTCTCATCGTCTGGCCTAGACAAGAAGAAAAGATCATACAGTTCTAAGTCCTTCTCTATGGCATAACATCATCTTCTCTATCCTCTATCCTTTCTCGGCTAGATATCATAGGCCGTCATGAATAGTGTCAGGAAGGACGCTTCGAAGTCGAGGCAACGTTGCCAGATGCTCTTACGGGGCTTCTTTTCTGGCGTATTTTTGGCTTGCTTCTTGCTTCTTCTTTTCTCCGACTGGGCCGCGCCTTGTTTTTGATGTTCCGTTGCCTTCGTAGGACTAGTTTCCAGACTTGGTTTTTCTGTCGAACCAGTATAGGGCGAAGGTGGGCTTGAGCAGGCAAGGTGATCGTGTTCGTTTGATCTGCCTTGATGGGGTCGACATGGCGTATCCGGAGCCATGGGACGAGTCGACCGAGGTTCAACTGACGCGGACTGTTTGGGCTGTAATTGATCCCCCCATCGGATATGTTCGGTATGTGCTCTGGGTGATGTGACTGGTATTCTGGCTAGTTCATACCTTTCGTGATGCGACATCTCGGGGGATGAAACGTGATCCTGGCTTGGTGAAGGTGATGGTAGTCCATGTCTGGCATGGGACCGGTTGTCTTGGGATAACCTCATGGTAACTACTAAAGACCTAGGTAGATAGGTACCTAGGGTCCTAGCTTAAGTCGCGGGAACGAGCTCGATTCAGTCTGAGACTATATAGGTACAGTAGGTATACAGTAGGTATAGTAGGTATAGTAGGGATAGTAAATGTGTCGTCACCATATACCTGATATGTTATGTTCGAAGAATTTCAACTGGAGGGTCTTAACATATTTCAATGACATAGAGAAGCATCGGGCACGCCATATCTCTATCAAGCGTCACCCGTGGCGCATCACCATTATGAAAAGTATTCGAGTTTATAGTTTACATGATAAGGAGTACGTGAGATATAGAGTCATTCATAACTAACCTATAAGCAGATTTGGAAGTCAATTTTAGGGTTATCTATTGATGCCTCTTGGTCCGGAAACTATCTCCACGAGGACCGGGTGACCTTACCTCATACTCGATGCTAAGATACTCTATGTCCACGTTGATAAGATTTTAGCCTAGTTATTGATTTTGATAAAGGAGTGTGAGGGAATCACGTTTCTTGAGACCGGTAAATTCAGAGTATGAGTATCTACCTAGGTACCTAGTAATCTTTGTAGTGAAGCTACTACTAGGTATTGTAGTAATGGCCACCGAACTCCCCAATATCGAACATGAAACTTCGCAGATCATCACATGAGCAGCGTTGCGTAAGGGAAGCAATGTATTTGGGGCTCATTAACTGCCGACATCGCATGATGCGCCGACAAGACTGCCCAACCCGGTATACTATTTTACATGATGGTTGACTAGCATCGAGGTATAACCATTGTCTGCCCATTTCATGACGTTCTAACATGCCAGGGGTCGGCCCCCGTCTTCCAAATCAACTCCTATCGCTGGAATACATAATACGCATCTCATCCGTAGCTTGTTGGCATACCAGGGCTTCCGCGTGCTCGTTATTACTTTCGTTTTAATCCCCTCGTGTGAAATCTTGCTATTCCAACGACTGACGCATCTTTGGCGTCTGGTATCAAGTTTCCAAGTCCTGGCCTAGACGTTATGCTAGGATTCGTCTAGTCTTAATAGAAACCCATACTTCGGCTGGCCATTGGCGACACGACTAATCCCTCGACGGCCCGTCGGACTTCTTTGACGCTTCGTGCGACATCCCTAATGTCTGCACCGCCTTCGTTGTTGACTCGTACGTTTGCCGATACCCAATTGTCGCATTCCAAGATCAAATCACCAACCCACGGATCTAGTCTCGCCTCGGGGCGACCGCTCCTATTCAGATCGCGGATCCACTGACTGACGGCATGCGTGATCCATTCCACGATCCTTGCTCGCCCAGCACCGCGGAACGGTACTTCTTGCGCCTCGAACATTTGTTCCAAAACCCGAACTACGAGATCGTAGCTCACCCCTAAGTTGAGGAAGACGATCACAGGCCAGTTGATTTCGGCAGAGATTCTTCTGTCCTGCGCGTTCTCGAAGGCGTAGCGGCAGATCTCGGGTAAGAGAGTCGGCACGGGAAATATGAAAGAATCGTTGGAAGATCGGTGACAGATATCTTGAATTTGACCGACTAGCACCTCATACGGTTGTGGGGGCGGATCACCGGCTTGTGCCCCGCGTCTACGACGTTCCGCGTCGTATACCGACCACTGCTCCGCGATATTCTCGTGGGTTTGTTGGATGAGGTTGCTCCAAGTTTGTGCGATGGTGGTCGAGTTTCGGAAGTCGGCGACGTGATAGATGAGGAGGCAAAGGTCGTAGTAACCAGCCTGGTCGGCATAACCGTTGAAGAGCTAATTGGTAGAGGTTAGCAGCTGGCTTCGAACGAATATCATAACTATAATTGGATGGATGCGGGTGATGTTACTTACTTCCGAGAGTGGTTGGATCTTGCCGTCTAAGGCTTGGTGAATCTCTTCCTGACGTTCCTGGGGAATTCTGCTATCGACCCTCAGCCTTTCTAATAGGTCATCTTGAATATGAGCAACCTCGAGAAGTTCGGTAACTTCATGGTTGAGAAGCTGCTGCTCCTGTCGACTGACTCCGGTGGTCATAACGCTAGCATTCGTCTTGGCTTTGCTGAGCAGGGTAAGACGATCTTTGATGGAGATCGTGAAGTCGGACTGCACGAGGCCGGCCTGAACTTTGGCGGCGTCAAAATACTGCTTGCGCATGGTGTAGAACCTGCAGAGGAGGTCTGCGTGCTCGACGTCCTTGGAGGCGAGGCGTCGGAGGAAGGTGGTGACGTGGGGTGAATCGATGCCTAAGAGACGGTCGGTCCATCCTTGTTGTATATACCATTCGTAGAGATCGAAGTGGAAAACTTCGTCCGAAGAGGTGCTGACGACGTCGTAGGCTTCGGCACGTTTTGTCGCGATTAGCGTCGGCTTTCCGTCGACCATCTCGGGCTCTCGACTTGACGCGGCGTCCAAGTGTTGAAGAACGAGGTGGATTAAGCCGTAACATACTCTGCGATCGTCGAACAACTTCGCCCTCGGGTCGCCTACAGGTTTGCCGTCGTTAACCCAGGATAGCGCAGCATTGCCTCGATCCTTCTCGCTAGCGACTACTAGACATAGCTGAATAGCCCCGGCGTAGTACCTCAGCCCGACGTATTGTTCGATGGCTGATTCGAGGTTGGCCTGCGTTAGGCTCTTCGCAACCTTCTCGAAGAGTCTGAGGCTTTCGTGGAGGAGTGTTCGAGACGTATTCGGGTTTAGGGACGGCTCGGATGCCCTCTTCAGCTGCTCCTGAGCCTTGAAAACGACCACGTCGTCGGGACTGCAGAAGCTACCGCACTTTCGTCGTAACGCGTCTGCCACGGTTTCGACGTTGGACCCGTTCTCGATATTTCGATTGACGATGGCCTTCACCAACACTTTCGCCAATTCTTTACCGCCGTCCTGAGAGAAGAGCTGCTCGTACGTAAGGTCGCGCAGCTGTTGTCGAGCTGTGTCGTCGAGCCGGGCAAATATGTCCGTGACTCGCTCCTCGAACAATGTCGTGACAAAAGATATACCTTCCGTGATGCCCGTCATCAGGGTTTCCAGAGCTCGCATGGCTTGATGTTCGCCTTGAAACCCGAGCTCTTCCTGCTTACTTCCTGCTCTGCGCAGGTCTGCAGGTCCGGATAGGCCTTGGATGAAAGCCCTGTTTGCGTCGAGGAAAGTCCTTAGGCTCTCCACGCTCCCTTGGACATCCTTCAATTTTCCAGTTGCGATGACGCTTGTTATAGTTAATGCGCCACCGGCGTCGGTACCTAACCCGATCACCCTCGACTTCCACAGCTTTCGGACGAGTCGGCTAAGATATAGGGTCAACGCGGCATGACGTGTAGAAGGCTGGACCATCTCGACAGTCGCCGGCTGCACATCCTGCTCGGGGAGTCTGGGGTTTCCGCCGAAGTTGATATAGACTTGCTTGGCACGGTCCTGGGTGACTTGGTCGACGGCGCCGCGTCCTATGCCGGGACGACCGTTCTCTCCTTGTCGACAGGCGACGGCGAGCGCGGCGGTGATGGTTTCGACGTTGCCGTAAGAACCCCGAAACTTGCTTACCTCGGCCTTCACACCCTCATCCCCGGAAACACTCCTGATGGCTGAAGCGAAGATGTCGACTAACCGTCTGCGACGTACTAAGTGTATGCCTGTGTTGGTAAGAATGGCAAATTCGCTACCATTCGGGTCGTCAAACTGGACGGCTAATTCGTTACCGAAACCTTGGGGTTGGCCGCTCGCGGCGAACGGTTTCGTAACGAGACCGACATCTTCAGCCCTACTGCCGATCTCGATCCAATTAGCGTGCTCGTAGAACCGCATGTTTTGAATCTGGCGGCCGTGATTGATTCGACCGCTGTCGGGCGCCGACATGAACAAGATATCGCCATTTGGTTGATCCGTCTTGGTGATGAAGTCTAAGAAATAGCCTGGCGCGAAACGAATTCCTCGTCGGCTCATCTCGAGCGTCCTCGCTTGGATGTCGGTATACTCAGCAGGACCGCCGAACGGATCGACTCTGGGCCTTCGCTGATCGGAGGGTGGGAATTTGATGGATTGCAACTGCATACTTTGAGGAGCTTGGTTCGACGAGCCGAGCATGTACGAAGCGGCGCTTGTCGCGCTCATGAAAAGACGGCAACCCGTGTTGGTTAAGGCCATGAGATGAACTTTGAAGTCTTCGACCGCTGTGATGGGACTGATCGAAACGATGTCGATTCGTTCGTTAAGTAAAGGCGATACGACGCTTAGCACGTGAGCGATGTCGCGCAGGAAATCGTCCTTGGTCTTCTCGATGACCTTGGTCAGCTTGTTCGGGGGCTCCATATGATAAGTCCGCACGGTGGATGAGGTAGAAAGGGAGTAGAGAAGATTTCTACTATCGTCCACGACGATATCCAGGATGTGTTCGTTAGTAGTCTTTCCCCAGAGGATCTGCGACGGGTTGGGAACCGCGGCAGTCCAAGGGCGATACGTATGATTGATCTTCTCCGTTCTGTTGGTAAACCACTTCTCTTCCTGTTGATACTTCAGCTCATAGATGTCGTTATCAGACTGGCCGGAGAAGAAGATACGTCCGCTCGCAGAGCCGGCGATGACGCGCGCCTCGGTGCCTTTCAAGGGCTGCGACATCTTCGTGCCGTAAAGTTCGATAGTCGTGGCGCCGCTCGGCGCATCCTTCGCGGCGACTCCTAATAAGAACATCTCCGAGGTAGTAGCGACGACTAATATGTGTGTGATGATCTTGTTGAACACGTCGGGTTTGGGAGGTACGAGCTTCACGGCAGTTATGCTATGCTGGCTATCTTCGTAGCCGATAAGTTCGGGGTTAGGGTGGGTATAGTCCCAGAGGTATAGACAGTTGTCGATGGTGACCCAAGCGTGGTTCAGCTCTGCGAACAATCCCATCATGGTGGAAACTTCGGCTCGATTATATTGCTCGAGCACATTTTGAGGGATTGGATACATGTTCGTCTTCTGGAAAGGGGCCCAGGCGGAATCGTTGCGCGAGAGGTCGTAGTCAGACGAGATTTCTGCGTTGACACGTAGGTAAGCATTGGGGCACGTCAACAAAATATTAGGGATATACGGTACACTTACGTCTGCAATAAGAGTCGAGTTGGGGATATTCGCCATCTCGATTGAGAGCGGTGTTGATGTACGTGGCGGCTTTAGCTAGGGGAGGTTGAGGAGACATGTTTTGAGTTTGTAAACTTCGAACGGCCTGCTCCTCCGCTATTGTAGTAGGGGCATCGAGTCCAAGGCCGTGGTCTTGACTGAATCTCGACGCCTGGCTACTAGGGGGGGCGGAATTTTCTCGAAATAGACGACGTCGAACTGGATCCTGCTGGGCGTTGAGGCGCGATGCGACAGCAGGCGTATGCAAGAAGGCGCCGGGCAGTGCATGTGACGGGGTCTGCGGGAAAGCCATCTTGTACGAATTGCGCTGGAATGAACCAGTCGCGGAAAGGAGACGAGGTAATCGCGTAAAAAAGGAGTGGTTAACTAGGTTAACAAGGACTTAAAGGTAGAGCCAATGCAGGCGGGCAAGGCACCGCGATGCTATCGGGTCATCAATGGCGATGTCGAGATATTTCTCCCTGGAATGGTAAAAAAGACGAAGGAGGAAGATTCGAGAGGTGGAAGATGGCCAATGTTTTTTGACTGTGCATCCAATTCAAAAGGTTTGTCTCACAGGGAAACCAGAAAATTGTCTCTAGTCTGGGCTGCTAAGTAACTTGTCAAGACGTGGGTGCAGACAAGTGCGAGGTCTACGTGATTAATATTGGTGAGAAGATTGAAATCAGAAGGTATTCGTAAATGGATGTTACCTTATTTTTTTTCGAAAACGGGAAGCCTTGACGACACGCGCTTTCCGTTGGAGCTGCCCTTTCGTTTTTTCTGGACTGCGCGACTGAGATACGCTAGTCCTAATATAGCTATCAGCTTTATAAGTGGGACAAACATACAAGCTGCCTATGTACTCTGTACAAACCTTGGAAGCGTTACAGACACTGGATATTGTGGTCAGTGCTTTATAGAATACATATACAGCGTATGTATGCATAGTAAGGAGAGTGATCGTTGCTGGGGTCTTGGTTTTAAGATAATAGGTAGACAGTTGGATTATAGATATCAAAATCTCGTTATCTGGAACGAAGGGATACCTTCTCCTATGTACCTATTTATACAATATTCTGCCCTTATTATCCATGGATCTATGAGCGCTCATCATCTAGTGCTACTCAGTGATACTGATCAATGAGCGAGGCTCATCATGGATGGCTCAAAGAGGCTCAGAGGGCTCCGAGGGATGAGCACCGCGGGGTGTCACGTGACCGCCTCTCCCTCGCTAATGTGGTCCGGTAGACGAATAAACCCTGGCCCGGTCCCACTCTACAATTCCTGGTTACTTGGAAGAATATCCATGGGGATATGAATGAACTGCAGCATTCCCAAATATGATTAGCTGCATTGATTCTCGACTGTCCGTTGCCGGGAATGGTTATGAGATAGGTCGCCCGCTAGGTAAGGATCAGTAACTACAAAGGTCTTCCGTAAATTTACTATCTTGCAATTATCTAAGCCTATAGGTAGGTAGTTACAGATATAGCTATTTATGGATAACAATACCCCATTCCATGCAGACATCCTCCCCTCTATCTCCAAAGTAGTCTTGTTCGTCTCCTACTCCTTCTTCGCGTTTCGGGCCGCCTTCTTTAGAGCTCGGTCCCGGATATCCATTTCCATTTTTAGATTAACCCAAATACCAAGGCGATGACCAACGCCAATGGTATTCTCGATAGCCCAGGCCATCAACGCGTGACTCCAGAATGGCGTGTACGTGTATGCCATGCTCTGCCAACCTCCGAGGCCCACCTTGCCTAGGGCGGCCCGTACGAAAGGCTTTGGGCCGGGAATCAATACGCTTGCGCGTCGGACCTTGCTCATGGCGGTAGTTACGAGGTAGCTGAGGCATAGTTGAACATCTACGTTGCTAGGCTTCAGCTCTGCGGCGAGGGAAGACGACCAGTGCTGTAGGAATGCCTTGCTTCCGGAGTATGTGGCTAGATACGGGGTCGGGATCCAGCCTCCGAAGCTGCCCATCGTGAGAATCAAGCCACGCTTGCGAGCTTGCATACCGGGTGCAATAGCTTGAGTGACCTTTAGAGTACCGAGGCAGTTGATAGTGACGATGTCCTGAAGTTCCTTCTGCTCGGTGAGGAGGAAAGGGACAGCAATGCTGTGGCTTTGGCCGACATTGTTGATGAGGATACCGATATCAAGACCGGTCGTCAGCTTGGCGAGACGAGCGTAGTCGGCGTCGTCGTCAGCAGAGAAATCCATGTCAAGGACTTTCGTCTGCAGTCCGGAAAATTTCTTTTCCAGCTCCTGAGACAGTGATTCTAGCTTGGACAAGGTTCGGGATACTAGAACCAAGTTGAAGCCCTTCGCTGCGAGTTGAGTAGCGAATTCTTTTCCTAAGCCGTCTGATGCACCTGTCACCACCGCCCAGGTACCTTTCTTGCCATATTTTCTGAGCTATATAGCAGAAGTATCACGTGTTAGAGGAAGACACAACTCATTGAATTGGATTAAATCACAGGTATTATATAGGGGAACATACATTGGTGCCACTAAGGACAAATACACTCATAAACAAACTGAGGAAGCTTAGGAGCTTAGAGGCCACGAATAGACCTCCAAGACTAGCAAAGGCTAGTATCACGCTCTGCGGAATAGAAGCGAGAGCATCGCTCACAGAGTCCATATTGGATATAGTCAAGGAAACTTGGAACCAATGTTAAAACGTCTCGTAGGCCGATATCTAGGCGGTCTTGTCAAGTTGTGGCGTCCTTCTCAGATGAAAAGTGAGGAAAGAGAGTAGGAAAAAAATACGTGGATGATAATTCAATTCATGCGGCGTTGTTGGGTTTTCGTTGGCGCAACGAATATCAGTGCTGAAGCTAATGTGGGTCGTTTGATACCTGTACAATATTGAACTAACTGCTTTGGGTTGATTTGCTTTTCTGAGTACCGGTAATTACGAGGTTTATCGCTTGGGGTTCCTTGATCGGAAACAGTACCCAGTACGAAGTACAAACTCAATTGAACTTTTTAGCTCCGACAGCAGCTGAGAGCTTGGTGCTTGACAGCTAGGCCCTGGACCCATACCTTGATGGCTTCTAGAAAATCGTAAGTTCGTACATAATTACCTGACATACATACTAGGTACTTGTAGGTAGCACCCATTCGGATAACCCAATTGCTAGAATATCTGGAAGTTATAATCGGTCATCTCATCGCCATGGATCTTGTCAAAGAGTATCTTCCCCAATCCGAGGGGTATTTGCCCTATTACTTAGTTGTGGTATGTTGACTCTATGTTACCCTTTTCACCGTCTCCTAACACTTCTAACTAAACCCAACAGACATCTATCCTCGCCGTTGGCAATTCGCTTCAGAATTATCTAACGTTGCACTTTTCACGGCGCCTATACAATGGGCAATTCGTACCGAACTCGTCGTTGCCTCCCAAGTCAGACAAGTTCGACCCCGAAGACTCGACCCAAAAATTTCTACCGGCGAATGCGGTATCCAACCCGAAAGAAGCCCGCACACAAGACCAAGTCACTCCCCTCGCTGCAAGGTTGTTTGGTACCTATACAATCATCTCGGCCATCGTGCGTTTCTACGCCGCCTACTATCTTCACTTGGCCCCCGTATACCAGATGACTATATGGACGTACGTCGTCGCGCTGTTCCATTTCGGCTCTGAGTTTGCTGTCTACCGGACTGCATATCTTGGCCCAATCGCAACCACCTTCTTCTTTGCCACCGTCGGTATTACTTGGATGACCAGCCAATACGGCTTTTATGTCCAAGCATAGGCTAAGGGGGATACGTCATTCGAGGGAAATGATCGAATATGTGGGCGGTTTGGTGGCGCCTGTGGATGGCATCTGTGAAGCAGCTAGATCACTGCGGCCGCTAAATATTGTTGTATCTATGTATATGCTACTAATTACCCGTGTATCTAACATCTATTTTTTTGAGTCTTCCCTGCTAACCAAGTCGTGAGCAACGATTCGTTGCTATTGAAGCTTTTTACGGTACAACTCTCCGGCGCAGTCCCTAAGCCTTGCGGCAGCTTGTTCGGGAGTAATATCTCGTTGCGGTTCCGCCATCAATTCATACCCGACCAGGAACTTTCGTACAGTAGCTGATCGAAGTAATGGTGGGTAGAAGTGCATATGGAACCAGCTACTTTCAATTTCGTCCTCTGTTCCGTCCAGGGGCGCCTGATGGATTCCGGAGCTATACGGAAAGCTTGTTTCGAACAAGTTATCGTATCTCCTCGTCACCTCCTGGATTGCGTCCGCGAAGTGAAATCTCTCCTGTTCGGTGAAATCTACCAAAGCTCTGACGTGACGCTTAGCAATTATCATGACTTCGAACGGCCAAATCGCCCACCACGGACAGACGACCAGGAAGGACTCATTTTGATATACGATGCGCTCTTCTTTCTCCATCTCCAACTTGACATAATCCCCAAGGAGATGTCGTCCTCCGTGCTCGGTTCTGTACTTGGCCATGTTGACGAGCTCTGCGCCGGGTTCCTCCGGCAGGGTACTAGTTGTCCAGATTTGACAATGCGGGTGAGGATTTGAGCATCCCATCGCGGCGCCCTTGTTTTCGAAGATCTGCATGTATCGCAGCTGCTGCGTTGGCGGAGGTACGATAGACTCCCGTGGCGCTTCTCGGTTCAGGAGATCGAGCTTTGCGGCGACTTGCCGAAGAGGGTTTGTCGGCGCAAGATGGATAGCATAAATCCTGGTCCAAGTTTCGACAATAGGTAGCGTATCTCGGGCAGGCATATCGGCTAGGGTAAGATGATGCTTCGGCGAGAATGTAAGGACGAAACATTTGCCCTTGACACCTTCGGCGCGGAGCAGCAAAGAGGATAGATCTATTCGGGTTAATATGCGACGAGGTGAGTAAGGGCTAGCCGATTACCATCAGTCGAGGATTCGGCCTCGTAGTCTTGCTGCTGTTCCTTCACGGCGCTGTAGTCGTTTACGAAGACGAAAGTCTGGGTATAGTCGGGATTGGCGTCTCCTTGCGCTCGCGAATTTCTAGGACACAGGTAACACTTGATGCAGTCAATAACGGACACGGATACCTGAGATGGGTGTTGCAGATAGGGTCAGGGTCATCTACCTTTGGATCATATTCAGGCAACTTATTGACACTGGGAGCCTCCTGCTGCCCCCTATTCGGATAGGTGGTAAGCAATGCTATTGACGGCTAAACACCAACGTGGTACACTTACTGCCATGGCCTCTTGGTTCTGTGAGGCGACACCAACAACCACGACCCCCTCAATGGATTGTAGCGCCGGTGAGAGATGTCATCTAGGATCTTGTCGGGCATTGTGAATAGGAGAGGTATTTTTAATAGTGATACGGATGATCGAACTATCGCGAACTACTAGGTACCTAGTATGGATCCCTACGTCCTGAAAGAAGATAACATGAAACGAGGATGGATATGAAAGGTGAGAACGTAGAGGGGAAAAGGAGGGATCGAAGGAGATACTTTGCTAAAGTAGCAAACAATTGTGATACCCGAATCTGACTATCTGCTCACCACGGTCAAGAGCTTCTGAGGAGATATAGGATACACGTGAATGCTTCTATTAATCTATCTTATATGTACGAAGTATCATGTGGTTTGTACATTTTGTACATTGAAAAAGCAAACGGCAACCCCGCCCGAGCTCTACTTAAAAGTGCTTGAAATGCTATGATGCAATTGGGCAGGTTCGAGGAATGAATCGATCTCGGTGGTTCAGTCGGCCGAATTATACCTAGAAGGTACGAAGTACTGGTACATTGTATTATACCTAGTAGTTGCTCTCCCATTATGTACATACCTATGTATGCGTGATAGGTGGGCCTTAGCGTGGATCGCTTAAGATAATAACATACAGTTTGCAAGATGCTTTACTGAACAAATCTTGATCGGATAAATCGATGTTATTTACCACTAGGTAACACGCCAACTCTGAGCAGTCACATCCTTTGTGGTTGATTTACAAGGCTTTGTTACGTGCATAATAAGCATCCCGAGTCATCACCTGAACCTTCAGCAATAATCCGAGCTACAATATCAACCGAACCTGCCCAAACTGACCTATGCAGTGCCTAAAGCCTAAAGCTTACCATCTTATTTAGTGCCCAGTAAGCGCGCAATTTGACACATCGCGATCAAACGGAAAGACCACCCACTGAATATTATCAATCGATACCAGGCAACCGAGCGCTCCATCGTCGCAATTTACATGTACCACCAATGCGCATCCATCAACACATCCATCAACGCACCCATTAACGATCCATCAATGATCCATCAACAGCCTTGTTGATATCGCTCACTTGTATTCGTCGGCTAGCCCAAATTTTTTTCTCTTTCCACTCCACCTTGCAATTTTCCCACGGAGTCCCCTCGGACTTCGTAATCGCTATATTTCACACTGGACGATAACATGGGTGTTATCCGTAAGAAGACGGCCACCAGGGGCGGTGAAGGTGGCGTCAAATACGTTTGCGATGTCTGTTCAGCAGATATCACATCTACGGTATGTACCCCCGTTCTTGATTCGCGTTGTTGCTACATCTTTATGTTGTTATGTCATGTTGTTCTGTTGCTATGATTTGCCCTTCTAGCCCCTGTCCCTACGCCGATATCTCCGATGTCATCATGCGCCACAACCTCAAACTTCCTATTCACATACTAGTCAACTTTTATGCGGAGACATTGTTGCTAACATGCATCGGTTTCTATAGGTACGGATACGATGCGCCCATAGTGCATGCAATGATTACGATTTGTGTGTGCAATGCTTCGCCAGCGGCGCCGCCAGCGGTTCTCATCAACCCTCAACGCACCCCTACAAGGTCATTGAACAGAATTCCTTCCCTATCTTCGACAGAGACTGGGGTGCGGACGAAGAGTTGCTGCTCCTAGAGGGTTGCGAAATCTATGGCCTTGGATCATGGGCTGACATTGCTGACCATATCGGTGGTTATCGTCATAAAGACGAGGTTCGAGATCATTACCTTAACGTCTACGTAGACTCAAAATCCTTCCCGCTTCCGGAACGATGCAAGCCCTCCGATATGGGTCTGGCGCAGGAGATATCTCGCGAGGAGTTCCAGTCACGTAAGAAGCGGAGGATCGAGGAACGCCGCGAGGCTCAGAAGAATGCGCCGCCGATGCCACCTAAGACGAAGCCGACCGCTAGTGTCCCTTCGTGCCACGAGATCCAGGGCTACATGCCCGGCCGACTCGAATTCGAGACCGAATATGCCAACGAGGCCGAGGAGGCGGTCCAACTCATGCAGTTCGACCCCGGCGATGGTATAAATCCCCGCACAGGGGAGCTCGAACCCGAGATGGAACTTAAGCTCACGGTTATGGACATATATAACTGCCGCCTGACCCAACGTGTAGAGAGGAAAAAGGTCATCTTCGAGCACAACTTGCTGGACTATCGAGAAAACAGCAAGCAAGAGAAGAAGAGGACGAAGGAAGAACGAGACATGTTGAACAAGGCTAAACCCTTCGCGCGCATGATGAACCACGACGACTTCGAGTCGTTCTGCCAGGGACTTATCGACGAGTGGAACTTACGACAGGCGATAGCACAATTGCAGGAATGGAGAAGTCTCAAGATCGGGGATCTTCGTAGCGGAGAGAAGTACGAGCAGGAGAAGGGTCAGCGCAGCCTGAAAGCTCAACCTATGGGGTTGATGGACAGGGATCGATTAGCATCGGCGCAACGTTCTAAGCAAAACGTGCAACCAGATCCTCCTAGCGGTGCTGCCTTGTTAGTCGCCCCCGAGCTCCCATCTCGGCCGGCTGCAACTAGGACTCCATCTCAGGGTCCCCCGGACAGCTTGACGAATGGCGAGTCTAAGGCGCTCACCAACGGTCACACAAATGGAGTTAACGGGGTCGTTACTAACGGAACATCGACACCAGGCAAGCAGAAATTTATCTCTCAACCTATCTCGGGCGTACAGCCGCTCTCCTTTTCGCTAGACACTACGCCAGATCTGCATCTTCTCACACCGGAAGAAATAGAGCTGTGCAAGGGCTGCCGAATTCAGCCGAAACCTTACCTAATGATCAAGGAACAGGTGATGAAGGAAGGTCTCAAGGGCAACGGTGCGTTGAAGAAGAAGCAGGTGAAGGAGATTTCTCGGTTGGATTCGCAGAAGGGAAGCAGGATCTTCGACTTCTTTATCCATTCCGGTTGGATTTCCAAGGCCTAGTCCACCGCATCCTTTGCGTCAACCCTACTTACCTAATATCTAAGTGCTCACTATTCAACGAGAAGAAGCCGACCCTGCGCTAGAAATCAAGCACACACATCCTCCATCCTAATCCAGACGTGGCTTCGTCTCACATAGGCTTCACCTCTTTCGAATGTCCCACCTCTCCATTTTTCTATTGCTTTGCAAACATGTGCAGATATGTTGGGGCGCGTCGGCGGGTTGTACGAAAGGGGCAGAGTAATTGTCAATGCAGGTGTTGATTAAGTGTACAGATGATACCATTGACCGTCGGTCAAGAAACCTCGAATGAAATGAATGAAAGACATGTTAAATCTGACTATCTATCTAAGGACGTAGGTGTGTGACGAATGACAATTCCTAGTTTCATCAGTTCAAGGCGAGGGCCTAGTAGACTTGGCAATTCAACACTTGCCGAGACAAGTCATGCTACGTGTAGAAAGGGCTATTTGGTGTGACCTATAAAGGTGCTAGGTATCTGATATCGAGGATAGAATCGGCTATAGATCCATAAATGTCTTGGGTAAAGCGAGAAGCTGTGCGGCGTCATACAAATAGCTGCTAATAGCAACTTGGAATATTGTAGATGTGTACGTGCTTACTAGGCATGTACCAACCTACGAAGTATGTATGTTTTACAATTGTGTAATAGCAACACGAGCTCATGGTTTCTTTCAAGATCGTTGGTCTCTTACACATAAACCTCGATCAGCTTTTCATTTGCTCAATTTTCTTATGAGCGTACCTAGGTGATCCTCCAAAACCACATCCAATAAATCGGTCTTTACTTACCTACCTAAAGGAATACCTACAAGGCAGGTAGTAGCAAATTTTAAATCATTATTGGTGGGATCTATCTTGCTGATAAGAATCTACTGGTGAACTGGTAGGAGCAATCTTGGGACTTCAAGCTACCTACATTTGAACTTGCTTTCATACCTACCTAGTACTTTATGCTATGACGAGTTTGGTACCTTGCACCTTCGTCGGTCGTCCACATTAACTCGGCAAGGGGTACCCGGCATCCTGGAAGAAGCCGCGCAATCCACATTCCCCACATGTCTACCCCAAGACCCCAAGTCCCAGTTCCAAGACCATTCCTATTTCTACCTACCCGTCCCTACTTTGGCGCGACTCTTTTTCTTCCACGATGGCTATTGGCTATCCGTGGAAATTTTTAGGCTTCATGCCGCGTCGAAACATTCTCCTCCCGATCATCTGCATCGCCCTATTAGTCGCAGTCTGGACTTTTCGTTCCTCCCCTTCATCTATCGACAGATGGCTTGACGTCGCTGCAATTCGAGGTGGCGCATCCTCTCCGACGACTTCGCTCAATCCCCCACCACCACCTCAATCACACAACAATGTCGACTTGTCAGCTCCCGATGCGCCTTTCGTCGGCTGGCCGTTGCAAAGGGTATGCAACGAAGCTGAGTGGGTTCCAGGTCTAGTGTTTATCTGCGACAATAATTCCGGAGGCGTTGGTAATATAAGGAATTATATACACACTTGCATACGATACGGTCTCGAGGCTGGAGCAACCGGACTGGTTATGCCCAAGATACGGAAACGCAACGAGACAGACCTAGCCGATCTTTTCACCGACTACCTACCATTCGACTACATGTTCGACGAGAAACACTTCAAAGATGCGTTCGCCGCCAACTGTCCGCAGATCACCATCTATGATTCTATTCGGAATATACCGGGCGTAGGTAGCAAACCCAACATCGAACACGTCACGCCGAAGAAGTTTGGGAATCGCGAGGGTTGCGACTTTAGGGACCAGAATCGCCATACGGATCGTTTCGGTGATAGATTCCGCAAATGGCTGAACGATTCCAAAAGTGGCCAGAAACCGCCCTCTCAAAACCGACCACGGCTAATCCGATTCAACTGGGGTGTGTTGTGGGACTGGCAAACCTATCGCGATGGACCCGAATTTGTAAATACATTTGGTAGCATCCTCAGGTTTAACGACCAGGTTCTACGTTTGGGGAAGACGGCGTTAAAGAGGATGCACGCCTACGCGGAAGCTAACGGAGTTAAGGACGGCAAGTTTCTCGGTGTGCATCTGAGGACGGAAAGCGACGCTCTGGGCTTCTGGCCTACGTACAATACCCAAACAGAAGCTTACCTCAAGCAAGCCACTAAAAGGGGGTTCGAGGTAGCGTATATAGCTACGGGGGACTCCCTAGAGGCGCAGAATTTTGGGGGCGCGGCCATCGAAATGGCACAGATGAGGGTCGTTACCAAGGCCGACTTGCTAGACGACGAAGACTTGGACGAGCTAGACTCATTGAGCTGGGATCAACAGGGTCTGATCGACTTAATTGTCCTGCTGGGAAGCGACTACTTCGTCGGCGCTATGCCAAGTAGTTTCTCGATTTATACGGCCATGAAGCGACATCTGAGGACGGACGGTCTATACACAAGACCTTACAAGGTGGGTACAGAGGGAGACGCGTACTCCTATCTCGTGGGCAACTACGATAAATATTGGGAAGGTTGGCTTTATATGTGGGATGGCATGTGGCCTTAAGGTTTAATGATTTTGCAATGGTTCATCCTATAGACATAAATATTGTAATAAGACATTTACGAATTTAGATCCGTGTTCCAGTGAAAATATAATCCTATAGATTTACTCGAGCAGACGAGGTGTTAGGAATATCTATAGTATAGTACTAGGTATTTACAATAGGAGGCTTTAGTATGATATTGATACCTAGTATTAGGTACATAATATCTATCTACAACTGGGCGTGACTAAGCAGAACTTACCTACTTGAGTACCTAGTAGGTACATATTCTCCTTAATTGAAAAAGTGCATTTAACCATGTCTCGCGGCGTTTGCCAGAAACCTCTGAAGATGCATACTAAACTCATTTCATATGTTCGACGATTTAAACTTCAATATTAACTTACACTCACTCACCTTCATACTCACATCAGCCATACCTATTCAAATTATACTTCATGCTAAGTCCACAATGACGATATTGACAATATCCAGCTTACAGCGCATCACGGCGTCTAAGTTAGCAGAGATGCTACTTGCCAGCTCCCACCAACCAGCTTCCGATGCACCAGTAGCTATCGTAGATGTGCGAGACGATGGTATGAATTCATCTTGCCCTAGCATTTTTAAATTTCTCACATATCATATCTTATCATTTCGTTGATTGAACGGCTATTAAGTCAGTTCGTTCATAGAGAGAATGGTGTATTGCCACCAAATCTGCCTGTCCCATCTAACGTAAATCAACTATCTCAACTATTCTATCCTATTAACTTAATTACAGATCACATTGGTGGCCACATTAAGTCATCTCTACACTTTCCTAGCGTTAGCCTTGACGCCACCATGCCTACTCTACTTCGCAAGCTCGCCGACAAAGAAGTCGTCGTCTTCCATTGCGCATTAAGCCAGCAACGCGGACCTAGTGCCGCTCTCAGGTACCTTAGGGAAAAGGAGGCTACAGCTATAAAGAAACCTGCGGCAAAGGAAGTCGATGGTGAGAGCGAGATCAGCAAGCAACAAGTCTATGTCTTAGACAAGGGATTCGTCGGCTGGCAGGAAATCTATGGACCCGACGAGAGACTTACGGAGGGATATAGGAAAGAGATATGGGAATCTGGATATTAAACCGAGGATAATTTCGAGAGGGAAATATGGCCATCGGCGAAGGTAAGGGAATATATGCTGGTAGAGTAGATGTCGGGATGGAAATTGCATTTATCTGGTAAGGCAATCCTGTCAGCACCATGGTATTGTACTTTACGACTTACTTACAAGGGGATTTAGTAACCCAATGCGCTATATTCCAACATCTCTGGGGCTCCAGAGCTGTATGGTGTCTGCAATGGTGGCGCACATTACCGCTAAAACCCCTCATAAATATAGCATATTTTAGGGCTTAATGCGCTATAAATCCGAGGATAAATACAAGCACCCCGAGATCTTTCGCGATTTCCATACCTAAGTACAAGTCTTTATGCTATGTTGCTAACAGACTCTAACAGAAACTATCAGAATAGAATTTTGAAGTTTATTAGCAAGCATCTGAATGTTGAGCCATCGGCGTATTTTCTCAGCCACATGGTTAAAGATTTGGTGCTGTCGCTGTATCTATCCCATTGCTCGTCTCAATCAACACCGGGGTAAGCAGCGCACCTTACTATCTAATGCGCATCCCCTGACGCATTGCAACGATAATATCTACAAAATAGCTATCGGAGACTGCGTACAACTAACTACCTGGGTAGTTAGGTAGGTAATTGACAGTTTGTCCTGGTATATATCTCAAGTGTCAAAAGATAATATGATGCAAGTGGCAGAAGACTTTGAACAAGTGGCACTTTTGAAAAGCTACACCAAAGTATGCTCTCAACAAGTTAGTTGCCGCATCAACCTTAACCATTTAGATACGTCTAAATAACTTCAAGAAGCCTTCTACTGTTCCAATATAAATATTCCCGGTAAGTAAAATGTCGATGCATCTATCTCTGTCGGTATCGTGGAATCTATGTAGTATAGCACATACCTACCTAGTACATATACAACCTACCAGATTCTATTCGAGCATAAGTCAGAACCCTATGAAAGATATTCTACACTGCTGCGATCCGTTCCCTCGTCATGGAGTCCGAATATACGTCTCGCAAAAAACGACCTCGCCGTGTCTCGATCAGCACACTTCCAGAGTTGTCTCGAGAGGGAACATTCAAGTTAGATCATTCAGTATCCAAAACCCGCTACCGACTAGATAAAGCCTCAAAAGTTCTTAAGAAAACTGGCAAACCCATTTGCAAGGTTCTGAAGGTCGTCATAGCCGCCCCATTCATGCCCTGCATTCTATTTTTCGTCCTGTTCGACAAGATTGCCGTGGCTACGCAACAAAAAAAGGACGAGAAAAGAGAAGACATGATTTTTGACAGGGGCAAACGATCGGATCCTATTAGTGTTTATGAAGTCGTCGTAGAACAGTACCGCAGAGATTACGGATATGAATTGGGCTGACTTGTTGGCAACAGCTATACTAAGCTTTAGTAATTATAAGATTATATGTTGATTTGAAGATTGACTCGGATTATTTGGTCTAAGGCGACATATTAGGTACATGTAAGCATACCCAATTACTTGGGTATTTCCTCGTTAGATAGAAACGAACGATGGAATATTATTGAATAGAGGACGAGACTCGAAAGAAGTTGTTGTATCAACAAAGAAGCATATGATTTGAGAACCATGTCTACATGCACTAGGTAGCTAGCAGCCCTCTCCTTTTGCAACCCTTTATCTTCGTTCAATCAAAGCTATATGTACTATCTAAAATCCAAGGTTCGAAGATATGCAACTATCATAACTCAAGACTGTTCATGTCAGTTTACCCGCCATCCGATAGACATCAGCTTGGAAAGTATCAATCAGTTTCCTCATCCTTGAGTCGGAAGGTAGAACCTGAGCACCAAATACGCCACATATCCCAGCAGAGCGATCAACAAACTATTTCGAGATTTTATGTTAGCAGGTGAATACACGTAAGTACCCAGTACCTAGTAGATGAGCGAGAGGGCGTCAGTCAGAATTCTTACCCAGTTGAGACTCGCGGCACCACCCCACATCAATGCCCCCTTTCGCCAATACGGATGGGCTTCTCCCACGATGAGGAGTCCACCTAATCCAAAGTCGTAGTCGTTAGGGGGAGAGGGGAAGGTTATCTTCATTTCAGGAGTTTCCATGAATTTGTTCAATTCCTCTTTGCTCGCGGGCGTTAATTGAGGTTGGAAGATCAACGCCGCGGTTTCCTTCTTCAACAGCTTCTGATCATCCATAAGCAGGGAGTAAACCAACTTGAAATAGTCCGGCATAGTTGAGAATAGGCCGTGTCCGCCAAATGGCACTTTCAACCCCGTAGTGACAGTTGGGATTTCGGGCTTTTCAACGGCGGGTCCTTCCGGATCCTTGCGAAAAGCCATGGACACTCGACGGGCGTTGATACTGGGATGCTGGTCCGGGAGAAAGACGGAGCTTTCGGCTCCAAGAGGTTCCCAAATATTCTTTCTCATGTACTCATCTAGAGACATGCCACTTAGTTTCTCGACAACTTGACCAACTCGATCGAGGCCAGTACTATATGCCCAACCTTCCCCTGGCTCAAACAAAAGGGGGAGGTTGAAGGATTCATCGACAGTAACACTAGGGCCCGCTTTCCGCTGAGCAGCTCGAATCTTCCCAAGGCCCTCGTGAAGAAAGTTGTAACCGGCGCCGGAACTATGCGTGATTAGGTGACGCAATGTAATGGGGTTCTGTCGTTTGCGAACGGTCGGAGTCCCATCATCGGCTACCGAAATAAAAATACCTTGGCTGGAGAAGGATGGGAGGAGATTAGATAAATCCTCGTCGAGAGTGACAAGACCTCGCTCGACGAGCTGCAATGCGGCAATTGATGTAGGGAACTTGGTCATAGAGGATAACTCCATAACCGTATCTAGGGTATATGGCGTTCCATTTTTAGACGAGAACGCTTTAGAGATATCGACTTTGCCTTTGGGAGGGTCAATTGGTTGAAGATATAAAAATAGGGGTATGCAACTCATAAGTGAAACTCACCATCCTTATCTTTGGCGATTACGACGATTCCGGGCGCGGTACCGTCATTTACTGCGGACTCAAACAAACTTTCAAACGAGGTCATCTTCATTCAATTCATAGTATGAACAGATGGATGGGTTTGGTGGAATTTTTTTATTCCCGCTTTGTTTGAATTTTTATATCTCGACATGCTGCAATTACATAGGTACCTAGTACCTAGGATTAGTCGTGTTGTTCATTGTTGTTAATTATTAGATGCGATAGCGTGGCGTGCCGAATGACTCTTCGCCGAGATTGTACAATACAATACAATAGGGACATGCTTACCTCCTACTAGGTAATGCAGGCCGCTAAACTACCTGGATACTAGGTACCTACTAGGTACGCTATGCGAATTTCGTATATGTAGGTCCTAGGCACTAGGTAGGTACTAGGTAGGTATCGTACATGTATGGTTTCCATATTTCACCATATTTAACTATCTTGAAGTACACTGATATCCTAAGGAACATGTTGCGTCGCATTTAGAAGACTAAGACTTCAATTGTGCAACCAGTATGCGACAAGACTCGGAATCATGAAGATCCATCCTTCTCCTCAACTTCAATTATCCTATCGATCGCTTTCTTGGCCACGTCGCGAGCTCGCGGGTCGACCCTCTCATCCCAAGCGAAGAGTTGGAATTGCGCTTTCCATATCCTCCAGTTTTCCATGCTCCACGTGTCTCTAGGGTTCTTCTTGTCCGTCTTTTCCTTTTTCCTGCACTGCTGATATACGTAGCGCGCCTCGTCGGGCCATATAAGCCATTGTGCCGCGGCCAGAATGTGGCCTCCAATAACATCAGGCTTGGAAGCCACCCGGACATTGAAACTGGGATATTTTTTGCCGCTGGGAAGGATATCGCGCAGCGCGCTAGTGAAGCCACATTCGCTGAAACCGGTCAATGTAATGCGCGCTATGGTGGACTGGTAGTTGCGCCAGCGAGTCTCTGATTCACTGTCAGGGGTTTCGATTCCCGAACCGGAGTATCCAATAGCTGCATCTCAGTTGTTAGACCACTTGGGCATTTATCTTGTATATATTGGGCTGCAGAAACACAAACCATCTGCTCCGACGCGAAGATATTCGGTCGAATAACCACGGTCCGACCATAAGGTTATCTTATTAACATCTTTATGGCTACCGCCTTCCGCGAAGGAATCGGGTGCCTCGTGGTCGGGGATGGCTAACAAGGCCTCGAGAAACTGAATGATTCTAGTCTGGCCGCCATGATGCGGTGGAAAAACAGAACACAGAGAGGGAAAACTCTGAAAGAAGCGCTCAACATATCCGCTGGCGTTTGGCATGCTAGTACGGAGCACATGGCCGTTTCCATCTTTTTGGATGAGATCAGGTTGGTCTGAGAATTTCTGCAACCTGTCCGAAGACTCTTTGACAACCCAGGCATCAAGATCGGTAGCGATCTGGGACGGAGTTCGAGAGCCATCGACCAGAGCTTGCATCAAATTCTTGCAGAATCGGTCCTCGGCGTCATCATCATCGTATAGGCTTAGAATAAGAGCCATCGGCTCATCTTTTTCGGTAGCCATGGTTGGTAACGGGGCGTAGGCAGTTTCAGTGAAAGCGATGGGAGAAGATTGGGAGCAAAGATGATGGATTCAATGAAGTGTATAGGCAGCTTGTATTTTGTTGATGCATATGTAGGTAGGCACCTACTTACATACTAATATGATACTAGGAGGTATGTAGCTACCTACCTATGATCCTATCCATACCTGCCTAGCAGGTAGATGTGGCTCTAATGTTACCTAATCACCAATGATGTAGTTGTGTAAGTAGGAGCGATGCGATCGAAGACTCAGCCCCAGAGCCCTAGATATTGCTTGGCCCCTTACGTCGTACAGCTGAACCCAGCGAAGGAAAGCCCGATGTTTGTCATTACCTGAACGGGTTTTAATTAGGTAAGTGGTACAGATCTGGAATCCATCGGGGTTTAACTTAAATGCATTCTACAAACCTAGGCTGCTAGGTACCTATGAGGTAGATAAGCTTACGTCTGATTAAGCTGACATACATTGAATATGTACATTCTAGGTATGTTCGGCAATGATTGCCGTTAGGCTTGTCTCTGACGTATTAGCGTGTCTGGATATTTCTCGTTGCCTTTCGATTGCAGCGTTTAGCTTCAAGTTATAATCCACATCACAACATAGTCCATTCCTTCTCTTTGATTAAGTAAGGCTTGAAGTGGATTGAAATTACTAAGTATATCTCTTCCTTGAACCACTCTTCCTAGAAACTGAAGATCTTTAACCCATACCCATCATTCGAGCATCGTTCAACTTCGCCTTCCTCGCTATCGTCGTAAATTTAGTTACAAAATGCCACTCAATATATTTTCGATCGAGATCGACATATGCTGTCAGCCTTTGCCCTAATATCGCACAAGAAGCCGAGGAATAATATACACGATACAGGATGTAGACGCCACCCAACTGGCACCAGTCTCAGAGGTAGGTCATTTGTCTATGAAACGTGCCTATGGGCAGTTGGCAGCGTAGCAAGTTCGTATCGTGTGCCTATCTTCTTTGTTGACCTGATTGTTGACCTGAGCCTCAAGTACCTACCTAGGTATCTACCAGGTCTACGTAGCTCGCTACCTCCATTCAGATATGTGACGTTCAAAATTTAACAATTGCTCCCAGGATAGTAGGTATTGATCCTACCGATACTAGAGACTAGAGCCCTGGACCCTGCGTTGGTCATACCCACATCTGCCACACGTAGCCATATTCTGGGGATAGCTACCGGTTGGACCTAAGTTCCTACTTACGCCTCATGCTGACGGCATATCCTGATACAGACCGTTCAGCTGAGCTTGCCTATGTTTAAACCGATGCATCGATTCTGTTACTAGGCAGCTAGACAATCCTCAAATTCAGATCGTCGCTGTACAGCCTCGTTCTAAGTAAAGATATATTGGTTTAGATTTGGTAATGGGGTAGAATCAACGGGTGCGTCTATAGTAGACGCGATGGTTTAAAAGGAGACCTTCGTCGCCTTGGGAGTCAACTTCTTCATCCAAACAATTCAAAGCAACAGCAACAGCAACAGCAACAGCAACAACGCACAACTCCATTCAATCTTCGCTACAAAACTCTACAACTATTCAACTTTTGAATACTCCTCCAATTATCGAAATGCTCTTCTCCAAGATCTTCCTCTCTATCGCCCTCGCCGGTGCCTCCGTCTCCGCGCTGCCTGTCGAAGAGAACGGCGTTGCTGTCGAGCTCGAGGCCCGCGCCACCGAGGTCACCTGCAACCCTAAGAACAACCAGTCTGGGGCAAAGTTCAAGGTTGACATGAGCTATGCTACCGAACAGGCCAAGAAGGCTGCCTTCACCACGGGCAAGAGCGGCGACCCTCACAACTACAGAAACGGTGACAACCTCCAGTGGGGTGTTAAGGGCTGCAACGTCAAGAACGCCAAGCTGTGGGAGTGTAAGTGACGGAACTTTCCCATTCGCAACATCTTACGAGCTCCCGCTAACGTTAATGAATTAGACCCCATCTACTGGAACGACAAGAAGGTCAACGGAAAGATGCCTGAGTGGCAGAAGGATGCCCAATCCAACGGTCAGGCCAAGACACCCCTCCGCGTTGTCTACATCGTAGACAACGGTACCCACGACAAGAGGCCCAAGGTCTGCGGTGTCATGACACACTCTACGGTCGACAAGGAGTTCCAGGGCAAGGACTTCTTCCAGAAGTGCACTTAAATGGGACCTTCCATTTAGCGCCGTCATCACTTGGTGACGATAGGATATTAGACATTGGAAACCTTCATTGGTATAAAACGACCTTACATCTTGCTAGGGTCGCGTATATAGCTTCTTCGCCTTCGCTTTTCATGTTATTTACCTAGTTAGATCACTTGGAGCTACCACTTAGGTGGCACACCGAATTTTGAACAATTATCACCCCGAATTGACCTTAGCATTATCTCCTGTTGTGAAAGGCCTCGATATGTGCTAGTCAAGATGATAGAAATTAGATTGTCATAGCTACTGGTGAGCATCTATCAAGTTGTCTCGATGGTTTTTGTCTCGTAATACTTTGGCTTTCCAATTTGTTGTAAGTCTAACCATTGACCGAACCGGAAGTAGTTGGGTATTGTTTTTCATCATCTTCGTGGTCGTGGTCGTCGTCGTCGTCATGGTCGTCGTACGCCAGCTGTGGACTTTCAATCAGCCAAATTGGATTTGGAACGGTTCCATCGATTATAGCAAAGTATGCAGATCTTCGTAGGGCTGTGGTATCCAATCAATTTACAAACTTTCCACCACAATTGCCGCAAAGTTCATCAGAAATTTCGTCCGTGATGATATCCTTAAGTTGGGGTGCTATGACGATGAGGTTCTCCCTATTTAGGCACTTGGAGCTGCACACGTTACACGTTCTCGATAAACCTGGAGCTAAGATAGGGAGACCTGTAGTCGCACACGTAGCTAGTAGAAAATATGGTTAGATTGTCACATAAATCAACATATCGTGCCGGGTTGGTACACCTACAGAAAGGGTGCCCCTTATCACACCGACACAACTTCCCCTCCGACTTTAGGGGTGACTTGCAGAAAGAGCATGCTTGCTGACGGATGGCTAGTTCGAAATGGTCCTTCAACGCGCTGCGATCTTCGCTGCTCTGGCTCGTCAAGTGACCTACTCCTGGCACGGGAGGACCGCCACCGTACATCCATTCCCACGTCTTAGCTTCGGTGCTGAGGTTTTTCATAGCTAAGGTGGTGAGAGCTTCTTCGCCTTTGTCCGAGGTGCCGTCGTGGCGACCAAAGAGGATGCGACATTTTATCCCTGCGAACGTATCTCGTCCGTAGAAGACAGTGTTATGATGGCTGATAAAAACCGCGGTGACTCCTCCGCCCGGACTCGAAGCCATTCCCCAAATGCGGGCCCTGTTGATATGAACTTGATCTTCAGTGTCTATGCCGGCAAAATTCTCGTCGGGGTCATAGTCTGATCCCTCAAATGACTCGTTATCCATTTCCTCATCTCCGTCCGAAACGTCGTCCGATCCGACGCTACCTCCATCCACGACGGCTCTATATGCCATCGCACGCGGAAGTTGTTGCTCCACGATTTGGTTAATCTCGGTCGCCCATCGTGGCCCGATTGTTCCGTCCTCGGGATTGGGAGGTAGGGGAAGGTTTGTCTGATACCACGCATCGTTTTCGTGAGTTGCCGAGAGTCGAACGAGTGAGTAAGAAGGCGTAGCGGTTTTTTGAGAGAGCGAAGGAGGGTGGATTACGAGTCCTATAAAATGTGAGACATAGTATAAGACTGGCATAGGAGAAAGTGAAAACATACCAGTGATAGGATTTTGTGTAGAAATATCATCTATATCAGGATATGTGCTACCGCACTCATACGCGGTGTGTCTAGAAATCTTACTAGACTTGGGATTGTCAAAGGAAACCTGAAATGCTTTCGCCAACATAGGAGTAGCGATAACACCACGACACACCTTCGACTGATCAATGGTCCATATCTGATCTTACATTAGTTCGAATTTCAAGATGAGGCGATGACTAATCAATAAGAATCTTACAAGATCTTCCCACACCACAAAAGCATCTTGGCCTAAGGAGAGGCAGACCCCGTCGGTATCAACCTTATTGACTTTTACATTTGGAGGCTCCATTCGCTGCTGGGGAGAGTCGATGGTAACTTGTCGGAAACCGACGTAATTATTGTTTATGTAGGAGATCATGCTGGTCTTTGAAGTTCCCCTTTTAAGCCAAGGACCCCAACTGAGCGAAAAGGATGAGCCGGAGGGCAAAGAGTCCGGGTCGTTTTGCTATAGAAAGCTTCAGTAAAAGGTATAAGGAGTATGGCGTCCAAAACGTAAATAAAAAACATACATTCGTTTTTGGGTGCGGCCCTATACCTGCGAATCTTGCGACTTCCTCAACCCTCCATTGACCACAGTCTCCTAGAGTTGCATTAGGATCGTGCTGAGCTTGTACGGATAATATGACGATCTCATCGTCGTCGTTTGCATACGCCAATAGTGTGCCGTAGCCATCCGTATCCCTGGCCCACGCGAATGCCGTGATGTACTCTTTGACATATTCGGTTTGATGTCCTTCGATGGCAGGTAAGAGCAGGCCTGCACCAACACCCCAGGGAGCAACCCAAGGTAGCAAAGTTCTAGCGCTACGGCCGCGCGGCTTATATGCATTATTCCTATCCGATGCGCCTTCGCAATAGACGGTGATGGTACCGGCGCCAGTGAGAACGGCGAGAACAGATCGATTCATCCGACCTAAGCCGCAGGGGGACCATTCCAACGCGACGAGATGGTTCATAGAACTGCCCTGACTAGTGACAGTACCCGAACCACCACCACCCGGGATGAACTCAAAGTCGGGAAACTCCAGTCCTACATAGTCGAATAAGGGGCGGTTCAATTCCGGGCTCCGGTGTTCGACACTAGGGAAACGGAGAGCGACGTCGTTGAACTGACGGACTACACTAGGGTCTCTACCATTCTCGGATTTGGGGATGGTAAAATCCGGGATGAATATGTATACACAGTCGTCGCATCCGACTGCTAGTTCAGCGTCAGGAGACCAAACGACATTATGTGTGCTTGCTGGGACGGCTGTGAGGGCGAATGATTCTAGTGGGAGAATGTTTTCGTTACGAGTTCCGGAAGACATATTGAAGGGAGCGAGTGGAAAGAGAGCGGTATTATTAGGTCATCGCAATTTATCTAATCTTATTGCTGACTGGTATGTATGAATTGGTTGTTTCATGGTAAGTTGTCGGTTTGACGAAGTGTGGAACTGAGATTCAGAATGAGGAAAGAAAAAAGATTGAAGCGAATTTTCTGAATCTGAATTTTAACGAAGATAAATGTTCAACGACTAGAAAAGTTGGAATGGACGAAGTACTTCCTCATGTACCTAATATATAATAACAGAATAATCTTAGATGTCTATTTTGCAATGCATTCTCATTAAGAAAAATTATGACTGGACGAAAATCGCATTTTGTCTGTCGCCTCTTAAAATATCCCCCATCTGATTCAATTTAACTTCGTGGATGCAGGTGGTTAGGTACCTATGCAAACTTATTCCTAGGCACTAAGTATTAGGCACCTAGTACCTATCTTAACAGCCTACTAGGTACCTACCTACCTAAGGTTAGAGCTCTTTATAAACTCGGCATACTCAATAGCTACATCCACGTCTCATCTACGCATAGGTATATGTATGTAGGTGACTACATGTAAGTACCTAGCAGGTATGAACCATTTCAAGTCAAATCGATATAATGGTATTTTCCTCTATTATTAACACGAATCAAATTTCTACTCTAATTCTTTGGTGTCTCCAAATAGGACCCGAGAGCCCATAAAGCGGCGCAACTAGCTAATGCTGTCGCACCTACAAGTTTCTTCGTGTACCAGTTCTCGTCCGTCAACGGTTTGGCCATCTGAATTCTCTTTGATTGTCGAGAGTTAGCTTTCGTCGACTCTTTAGCATCGCTCTTGTTCGAAGCAGTTGCTTCTTCCTCTTGATCGGCTAACTCTCGCAGCTTTGCTATCGTTCTGCTGAGAGCTAATACGTCCTCATCTATCGTGTTGTTCCTAGCGCCGTCTACCTCCACATTCTGTATGTTTCCGAAGAAATCGGTCAACAGCCGACTCCGCGCCGCTTCCGCGCCACCTCGGAATAAGTCGTACCGGACACCGGCATTTGAATGTATCTTCTCGTAGTTGTAACTGTCGAATAAGTCGCCGACTGTCTTTTTACTGCCTAGATCTTTAACTTCCGACTCTAAAAACTCGAGGTTATAGTACGTGTACCGATCGATGACAGCCACCCCGACGTCGTTATCGGCGTGATGGGAATACGAGGATTGGTCCAACTCCGAGGAACCTGTCGCGATTATGTTGGGGGAGTAAAGCTTGCTGTACATTGTGTTCGCTTGGCATGTGTCGATCATAAATAGAATCTCGTGGTACCTACCCGTCGTCGTTGTTAGTCTGGACTACCTACTAGGCAGACGCCACTATTAGTTTCTCTGAGAGCCTTACCTTCTCTTTTCCCACATCTGCTCAAACGCATCCGCCAAATCAAAAGCACCGATTTCCTCCGCGTCCTGAAATTTTAGGAACTCGTTTCCTCCGTGACCTGTCATGTACACGAATATGTTGCTCCGGTCGTCTGTTAGCAACCGCTTGCTCCTCGGCATCTCGTCCCCGACACGATCCGTCAATAACCTGATGAAGTTCTCGACTGTAACCTCGTACCCTCGGTAGTCGACTTCGATGTTGTCTCCGTACAGGTCGACGGCGCGGTCTGCGTTACTATACACGGTACCCGGAAATGCATTTCGAGGATTGCAGGCCATGTCATCGGGAAGCATCAGGATGATTTGCGAATCGGGTATTCCTAATCGCTTGACGGTTCGGTACATGGATAAGACATTGGCAAGATGACGGTAGTTGAACCAAAATCTGGAAGTGCCTACTAAGACAGCCCAATTGCTAGTATGCTCTGCTGTCACAGGTTGTATAGGCTGTATGGGAGATAGCAATGTCGCTGCCAGGAGCGCGGGGAGGTGTAATGCGTTCGAGAGCTTCATGGTGATGGGTGACCAGCTATCGCTGGATTACTTCGTTTCGACGCCTCGTTATTGACAGAAGACGATAAAATATTGATGTTCGTGCTGTAGTATAGTATTGATCTGAGACAATCACTATTAGATGGCGGAATATTAACATGTATTGGAATAAGAATTGATTTGTCATCCCCTCGAGACTCAATAAACAGGGGTTCTTCCCGTGTACCCTGTATCGTATTGAATGCGCTAGCGAGAGCGGCAGGAACGAGTAGATTTCATAGGTGCGCCAATGTCGGCAGGCATTATCTCCGATCATCCACTTAATGCATAAGTACCTAGTAGGTATTCATTATGCCTATTCAGTACTTAAAGGCCCTAGAGATTCAAGCATCGTAGCGTCATCGAGCGGGCTACTTCGTACCTACTATGTACCTATCCATAGATGTATCTCTTACCCAACGCTAGGGTTGCAGGGGTTTGGAGATATCCAATAGCCCTCGGCCAGTCCTTCCACATGTCTCCTAATAAATGCTAGAATCAAGCTGTTGGCTCCCAGCCTTCCACTGAGGCACCTGTAGTGCCATTTATGTCGTAGTGAAGGCAGCCACATACATGAAATAATAAGTACGGTATTATGTGAACTTAGATAGGACGTTAGCTTTCAAGGTTTGCCCCGCCTCATCGTCATGCGCCGTCTCCGCCCTTGCATCTAGGCTTAGAGACGGCAGCTGCTAGCTGTACTGGTACTTACCTACCCACAGCCGTCCATGTAAGTATTGGAGGTTTGGAGGTAGAATGCGCGAACAACGCAAGTACCTACCCTAATTAAACCTTAATTCTAACATTGAATCTATTTTCCCTCACGACTATATTCTTTGTAAGGGTCTTTTTCACTTTCTTTCCCGAATCTCATCTCATCTGATCTGTTCTCACCATATGAGGACTACTTAAAGCCGAAAGTCGCACGACAATGAGATTGTTCTGATACGAGACCCGCAACTCATTTACCGTTGTCGCCAAATACCGAGACCTGCGTTACTTAAGGTAGCACCTTCGTGACAGCCCTCTAACAGCTTTCCCGGCAAAAATCACATGCATTTGATCAAAGCTAGGACCTAGCTGTCGCCTCGCGAATTTAACGAAGCGAAGCATTTTACGGCGTCTACATACCTACCTTTCTACATTTCTATTCAAACCCGACCCGAGACGGATAGCCCTTGTTTCTAACCATACTGATATTCGACATCTAATCCATTTTGCTATCCCTATAAAATACCTAAATATGGGCCGCCCTCCGGCTTACATATTCATAGTTAGGTTTGTACATGTACCTTGCGATATATTGCCCCTTTGACCCTCTGAAATCGTCTATGTCGCAACTAACCAAGATAATCTGAATTCAGGCACGGTAACCGCCTCGATGCCACAGACAAGCAATGGCACCTTTCCTCGCCTACTCCTTATGACCCCCCTTTAACATACGGAGGATGGATGCAGTCCAAGACCGTCGGAGCAAGGATTGCTTCTATTTTGCAAGAGAGAGAAGAATACGATGAGGCTGAGGCTGAGGCTGAGGCTGCCGCCGCCGATCACAAACCCGACACGGCTTCTGTCAAGCAGAAGAAGCGCCGCTACAGGGTTGTGATACATAGTTCGCCATTCCTTCGTTGTACACAGACATCCGTAGCGATAGCTGCTGGCCTGGCTTCGAGTTCCTCGGTTCCTGCGATGGTATCCGTCGAACGATCTCCATCTCCGCGCAATACGCCATCGCCGCCACCGAACTACGTCGAGAAATCCGTTTTGCGACTCGACCCCTTCCTCGGCGAATGGCTATCCCCCGACTACTTCGAACATATTACGCCGCCCCCTAAATCGAGCCTGATGCTGATGACTGCGAAAGCCGAGCTTTTGCGGAGGGAAAACTACAACGATTACCCTCACTTTCACAGTCGACATGCTCCAAATGCTCCGACTCAGTTATGGAATGCTTCCGCTGGTCGAGGGAGCCCCTTAGCGACATCTATGACCCCCAGTTCCGATGTTCCTTCTGGACTTGAAACCCTTTCTGCTCTGAAGGGTGGCTTGCCAAAAGTCTCGAGCGAATCGGCTGGACACCTGGACCCGAAGGCCGCACATAAGGTTTCCTCTGACCCGTCTTGGAATCCAGGTTACGTAGCTCCCGTTCCTTCATATGCTCTCTCAACTAGCGAGCCTATCCCGAAGGGCTATTCTGCACATGCCCGCGACGCCTGTGTCAACATCGACTACCAATGGGACTCTAGTAGGGACAATCTAGGCTGGGGAGAGGGGGGTGTCCTACCTGAAGATTGGGCGGCGATGCATCAGAGGTTTAGGAAAGGGTTGTGTCGGTTAGTCGAGTGGTATAGTACTACGGAAAATCCGGGAGAGATGGTGACCAAAACGGTCTCCAATCCGAAATCGGTTCATCCTCCGCAAAAGGGGGGTAGCTCTGGTGGTCTAGCCGTTAGCGACGATCAGGAAGTTGAGATCGAAGACGTAGTTGTCCTTGTTTCTCATGGTGCTGGTTGCAATGCTCTCATCGGTGCCATCACGCATCAGCCTGTGCTGATTGATGTTGCGATGTCGTCGATTACGCTGGCGCAGCGAAAACCCGAATTCGATGACGGGGTAAATTTAAAGATCTATAATGGACACGCTTCTTCGGTCGAGGAACCTCTATCAACCAAGCGGCCTACGATGTCGGAAATGTTCGAACTGAAGCTATTCGCTAACACAGAACATCTCCATTCTCCCATGGCCGCGCCCATCATCAGCCGTTCTTCTTCGTCCGGCAGCCGTAATTCTCATGGTCGACTTAACAATGGCTTTAGTTCCGCGCTACAGGATGTCAATTTGGCCGCTTCGTTATACGGAAGTCCGACGCTGGGTAGCCGCAGCACTTCAGTCAACGCGTCGCTCGGTAGTATGCGAAGAGGGTCCCCGGTGCTGGGGTCTTCCATTCGGCCGACGGTCCCTAACGGTACGATCAGCGGAGGAATAACTGTCGGCAGCGGCGTCTCTAGTTTCCCGTCGACCCGAGCGAATCGATCAGGTTCGATAGGTCTATGGACACCGCCAACTCAAGAAGATGAGGTGGGGATGAAGGTAGAAACGCCGTCGCTGACGATTCCCAAACATGAAGGTGGGGTACCAAAGGGAAAGGTCGAGGCATCCCCAAAGACGCAAGCGCATGGCTCTAATTCTAACAACGTGGAGTCTAGAGAGTCGACGGATAAGGTCGCCTCGAAACCAGACAAACTAGACTCGCAATCCGAACATGGCGAAGAGCACGACAGCTTTGACGAGAATGCGTTTCCGAGCCTCTGGCCCGGCACAAATAACGGGGGCCTCTGGGGTTCGCCCCGACCACCAGGAGAAGCCGAAAGAATCCGGGATTTCAGCTCGACGAAACGACGATGGACGGTCAACGAACGATGAATCCCGGTCCCTCCCAACGAAATTCGACTTGCTTAGAAGGATCCAAATTACTAACATTCGATGGGTTTTCTCTCGAATCTTGAACGAGACAACGCCCTACCAAATATTATCTATCCAAAAGTGACGGCTAACCCAGCGCATCGGACGGCGGCATCGACAACTCGAAAAATTTCTAGGCATATTAGCGAATCTTTTAATGGACTGTACTATTTCTCTATTTTCTTAGCCCCCGGAGTATATATGTCGTTGATATCGTGGGCAATTCCTAAAAAAAGGAGGTCGGCGTCTTCAAACTTTCCACTCTACCCATACCCATCTCTTTAACTCCCCTATTTCGTGGTTGTTTCCTGTTTTTTTTTTTTTTTTGAGAAGATACCTCTCGGTCTGTCGATATTTGCATTGCCCTAGGGAATAAGAAAGGGGTCCGAGTGAGAGAAGGACCCGAGGGCTGGAGTTCAAATTGTAGTGATATCAAATGAAGTGTGCTAAGTTAGGAACGCTTGAGGAAAGCTCGGGGAATACTTGGCTATCCATGATCCATAGATGAATGAGTGAATTCTACATCATCAGGAACTGGATATCTATGAGACCTACTTGTTGAGTGACTTATAATGTATGATGCGTAATGTCTTATCTTGACTTGCTAAACTTTGATTGGTGGCATATCGGTTATACGATTCTCAAATACACCTATTGCCGACATGTTGGGATCGTGGGAAAAGCAATGCATACACTAATGGCCTCAACAGACGTGCTAGGTATTTATAGGAGGCGCCAGGGAGTAACCGCTTATCTATGTCACCGTCGATCTCCCGGTGGTTTTCGACCTGCATATAACTTCCCGGGTTTAGAGCTCTATACAGGTAGGTTAGGTACCTAGACCTAGGTATGTATAGGTAGTTTGCGCGGTGCTATGCGTACCTAGGTACATTAAAAACGCCTTTGCATTGCACAGCATATCAAATCTCCTCACGATACGCCAACACGGCTGCACGGCGTAAGTAAGCGCCTAGCTAATTCTTCGACACGGAAACAAAGTAGAGCGGGGTCACGGAGTGGTACGACGGACGGGAGCCGTGTAAGCATCTAGCATCGTCTACTTTATCGTCACGTTGCCCATTTTGCACAAGTGTATACCTACCTACCTAGGTATGTTCGGCGGAAAAACACGAAGTTGATGGAAGTTCCCATTTCTACCTACTAGATACATCTCTGCATATCTACACTATCTCTAACTTGGGTCCCTGGGCAACGACGTGAATCAATAGAAGGCCCATCCTTCATAAACGCCCTAGATATGCAATTCCACCACTCTCATACTCATCCTCACGTGCTGTACTCTAGGAAGGAGATTCTGATCAGTCTCTTGGGAGACTTTCCCCATTTAGATATCTAGGCCATCGTCCAGTGACTTCTTCTACTCTAGCGAGTCCTCTTTTCAAGCCCTTGCTTTCTTCTTCCACACACCTTTACCAAGCTCAGTAACCACCTAGGCAGGTCCTTAGTAGACAGTTCTGGGCATTCGGCAATATGCAGACTATGCAGACTGTGTCGAACCAACACCCCAACTACCGCAATCCTGGCGATAAATCAAGTGCTCAATCAAACATCTTCTTGAAGAATTGATGCGCTAGCTCGACGCCCAAGAACGTTGCCGCATTCGCAGGCACCGCTCTGGCAAGAGCAGGTCCGAAGCCGGGGAAGAACGCCTTGATCCCTCCCTTGCCGTATAGCTCCTTGAACACACGCCCTATGCTCGTCTTACCCTCGGCCGTCTGCAGTCGGCTCTTAATCGTATCGATAGGGAACACGGGCGTCCACATCGCCACACCCGCCGCACCGCCGGCTGCCGTGATAGCGAGTAAGCTCAACTCGCCCTTCGGCTTGCCCGTCACTGGGTCTAGCGGCGTAAGCCTTCGCTTGATAAACTCGTACGCGGCGAAGTAGGCGGCAGACCCAGGGCCGTCGCGCGCGAACGTGGCGACGCTGCCGCGGAAGACGGAGCGCACGCCACCTTCGCGGTAGAGCTGGCGCACGACGTCGAGACCGCCCTTGTACTTCGGCTCCTCGCCGGGCTTGAGGCGCTGGCCTTGGACTTGCAGGATCACCTTGATGCGCTCGAAGGGGGCGGTAATGACGGTCATCGGGACGGCGCTGAGGAAGCCGGCCGTGCTGATCTGGGCGATGGAGAGGGTGCCGCTGGGGTTCGGGGACGAGAGGCTAGTTACGACGCGCTTGCCCATGTCATAGCCCCAAAAGGATACAGCGACTGTAGAGGAGTGAGGGTTAGTGCGAAGCCCTATGAATCGCGGATGATGAGAGTAGAGGAGGGAATAGCATACACATTGGCGTCACCCCCACTAACGGCGCACTGACACCTGCGTAGAGACCCCTCCTTAGCCCATCCCTTGCGACGCTTTTCCGCACCACGTCGATGGCGGAGGAGTACACGCCCTTGTCCGCGGTTTGTAAGCGCACCTTCACCAGATCGAACGGATGTCCAACGACGACGGCGCATACGCCACCGAAGCCGCCGGCGGCAAATGATCGTATACTCGAGCTGACGGCCTTCTCGCCGGCTTCCAACTCGGCCTTCAGCTCAGCCTTCAACTCATCCCTACTCTCGGGGATATGGGGGAGGCGGTCGGCGACGGGGGACGGTAGCGAGGAATGCAGCTTCTCGTTGATGCCGTTGTGCTTCTCGTTCGAAGACATGGTGGCGACGTCTTCGGCTTACGTCTGATCGGGTTTACCAAGGTGCGGGATTTCTCACTCTATGGAGATATCCTTATCGGGCGCGAAGACGAGAATCTGAGGCTTGAGCAAAGGGATGTCGATATCTACTTAGGAGGTGAAGATGGTGCCAAGTTCTTTTGAGCGAATTCACATGCGATATGGAATCCCGATCGCTAATGCTGTCCCGATTATACCTAGCAATTTCAACCTCTTGCGCCCGCGTGTAATGATTGTCAAATCTCAAACAAACCGAAACGGAGCGGAAGTCCGAAGAGTAGAGGGAATTGACTTTTTATCAGATGATAGCTCGTCCAATGTTTCGGCAATAGAAAGCCGAACAAACGTCAGAAGCAACTACAAACCTCGGCAGGCGAAATGGTCCCCATCCTTACCACTGGGTAGTGGGCATTCTTACCATTCAAAAAAGGTTTATAGGTTCCTAAGTATCGGTACCGTACCCACTCTAATAGCCCTCACATCGAGGTACTTACTAAGGTACATTCTCAGATATTCAAGGATGTACCTACATCTAGATCTGATAAGGCATCTCATCTTAAAAATGACGTGCGTCTTCAATTCTCTCTCCTCCGACTATAAAAGCTCAACATTTCACCCCGATTCAACAGTTATCGTCCTTCACCTACTCATTCCCATGCGAAACACCTTATACCTCTTCACAAGGTACAAAACATATCCGATGTTTGAACCGGGGGTTTATTGTGCCTCGGCCAAGTCGGCTTAATGGAAGAGACATAAAGGCATTATCATTCTTACGTAAACTTCAGATGCTGGAGGTACTAACAAAACTAGTAGCGATAGGTACTACAAAGCTCCAAGGAGCACCCCGCCAATTGATCTACATCCATATGTCCACTAGCTATCCTGATTGAAAACATGGATCTTACTCCGTCTGTCCTGGGGAACGAACACAGCTCTCTTATAGGATAAACAGAGAGGATAGAGGGAATACCCAATTGTTCATTGGACATACATTCGCATTCAGGCCTCTTGGATGTTGAGTGATAGGTAGGTATTCAATTCGTTGTCGAACCTCCAACATTCGAATGGGTAAGTCAAGGTACTAGTTCAACCAACCAAACTAGAAGCCGGCGGAAGCCGTTCTCTTCCTTGTGCCTGGTTCAACATGACTTTACCTTTCATATCTACGTCATTGTCATATGCCAAAAACGACCACAGGAAATAAACATTATGCGAATAGGTATTGGATCGTTTAATTCACTTCCAGATGATGTATACGCTCTCTATCCGAAAGAAGTATATACAGAACGATAACATACGTTAGGCGCTTAGATATATCATGGGTATATTCGTTTTCTCGCCTTCCTGCCTGCCTGCCTCTATGCCATCCCCCTTGTCGATATCCCCATCGATATGCCCTCTCCAACCAACATACGTTGTCCAAATAAAACATTGTTGATCGTCAAGTTTCGTGAGGTTAGACCGTCCCCGATATCAAGCTCCAACTCCGAGGCCATGCGCAGTACTCTTTTATCGACCCCGATCCCGCCGTCACTCAGTAAAGCAAGTTCCTTACGCCCACCATTATAACCATTTCAATAAGCACTCAAACCTCTGGGCGGGACACCACCACCCAGCCTACCCATCCCACACCAACATGTCGTATCACCTTCCCTCTCCATCTGTATCGTGAGATCGATCCCGCGTTTATTGAGGTAGTTCTGAACCCTATCTCGAACCTCCTCCAAGTCTGCTCCTCGCACAGCTGCTACGTGCACCACCCCTAGGAGTCTAACGCCAGACTCACTACCAGCGCCATCATCCACCCAGAACTTTGGTACCGAATACGCAGCAACGCCTCGCTGGTTTGTAATATCGGATAATGTGTTGCGGAGATTATACTCCGTATCAGCCGGTATCGTTAGTAACAGACGTTGAGCTGACGACTTTACTAATGGTGTTGCCGTGATGAGAATCAGATATGCGATCAAGAAGGAAGCCAGAGGATCCCAGCCGGACCAGGGAATAAAATAGGTCAAAATCGTCGAGACGATGACCGATGCGCTTCCGAGAGTATCAGCTAGAATATGTAAATAGATCCCATGCATGTTTTCGTTATCATGGTCGTGAGAGTGGTCGTGAGAATGACCATGACTATGACTATGGCCATGATCGTGCTTATGATCGTGCTCGTGTTCTTGATGAGAACTGCAATCGTGGTGATCGTGGTCTTTATCATGACTGTGGCTGTGACTGAGATCGTGAGAATGCCCATGACCATGCCCATGTGAATGATCGTGGCCATGGCCGTGGCTGTGGCCGTGGGATCCAAAAGCAAAAATGCCTAGCAGATTGACAACTAATCCTAAAGTACTGACGATAAAAAGCTCCCTGAGCCTCTTGGTTTCTCGCCCTTCTAATAGTCGCTCGAATCCTTCGAACATGATTTCAAGGCTTATAAGTCTACAAAAATAGTTAGCTAATCGTTTCAGTTAGATTAGACTACTAGACGAGGACGCACATTAAGAAGACACCATTGGCAAATCCGCTTAGTGTCTCAATCTTTCCAAATCCATAAGGAAACCTCTCGCTAGGTGGCCATTTGCTCATCACAGACGCGAAAAGGCCTACTGCCAAAGCTACACAGTCAAAAAACATGTGTATGCTATCGCTTAGAAGCCCGAGGGAGTCGGTGAGGTAACCGTAGACGGCTTGGACGGCCATAAACGAAAAATTGACTCTAGAAATGGACATGGTTAGCGATATGTGGAGAAACAAACACTTCGATTAGTTTGAGCCTTACCCCATAAAATAGAAAATGCGACGCGAGTCCTTCTCTGTCATGATTGCGTGGATCAATGGCCACCTCGAAGTATACGGGAGAAGTAATGCTGTAAATCTCGAGTAGGTCGCTGCATGTCCGTGGTGGCTATCGTGATGATCATGATTATGGCCATGGTTATGGTTATGGTCGTGGTCGTGGTCGTGGTCATGAGTATGCTCATGTAAAACAGCGCCGGTGGGAGCGTCGTAGCTGGAAGCCTTCGACATATCTGGTATATCTTCCTTCTGCGGGCTAGGTAAGTTCTCGGTGTTCTGTCTCAAAGGAGATGGTCGGTTTTCTCGTCTTTGTAGAGGTAGGAATGAGTTGGCTCGGTATTGTGACACGTTCTGTCGGACTTGAGCCTGAGTATCGCTATCGCTATGATCATGATCGTGGTCGTGATCGTGGTCGTGATCATGGTCATGATTATGAGCGGCCTCTGACTTCTGGCTTTGGGAATAGACCTGCAAGGAGCGGGTCGATCTCGAGTGACCAAAAGATGGAGGCGAATGAGAATGCGGGTGGGAGTGGGAATGTGTATGGCCGTGGGTATGTGATAGCGGAGGCTGTGGTAAGGCATATGAGGATGCCATGTTGCCGCTCAATGATCTTGTAGATCTCCTCGTCTAACTAACGGTGAGAGTGTTGTGAGTCTTGAAGACCCTCTTTGTTTCCCTGTCTTATCGCATAGAGATGGAAGCACAACGAATATCTAAGTATTATATCGTATTGTATTGTATTGTGTAATTGACAGATTGTGGTAAGTCGAGTGGGTCAAATTGTGTCGTGAACGACGGATCGTATGGATTCGTATGGATATCTGGCTGTTGACAAGATCGGACAGGGGTTTTAATTGTGATCGCGCGCGTTCGAATCGATTGGACCTAGATAAATAAATATTTGGATGTCTAATTTGAATAGAAGCAGACGGCAGACAGTACACAAGCGATCACGGTTTTAATAGACAACGATGGGAAACAATCCAAAGAGAACGAGCAATGGTGGCATCTTCTGATGATAAAAGAATGGAGGAGAAAACCGAGCGGTAGTCGTCGAGAAGAAGGAAGGTAAACCTCCTACCTCCTACCCCTGCCCCCTGTTCCTGAATGCGGTTCTTAGATAAATCTTTGCTCTTTCCGATCTAGGGCGAGTTGGGTATGATGCAACCTGCAGCGCATCCTCCGCATTACTAGTTACTCAGGTATCTGGGTACAACCACATAGATAAAGTCCCGTAATCTCTCGCTTAGTTACAGTAAGATTACTAGGCTTGATAGGCCACCTTGTCCCCAAAGTTAAAGTTGACAGGCCAGAGAGACCTGAAAGAAAGGCCAATGCCGAAAGTAATCTGTACATCTGCGGGGATAATGCAACACCCACTAAAGTTCAGCCGGACATTACAACCTCATTGGTTCCGGTTTGTCAAACAACACGAATCAATCGATGCAATAAACAAAGATTTCTGTACGTAATACACATCTGGCAGTTTAAGGCTTGGACATTGAAGGCATCTCGGAACCTTATCTCAACACCACCTAGGGATACCTAACTCGATATTAGAGATATTTATTGTTCACCGTTGCTTAGTGTGACTGTACCTATTAGGTAGACGGGATCACAACCTTGACTTATCTAACTAACATTCATCTGCCGATACTGTTGAGCAACTTTAGATCAAGTTGCGGAAAGAGCCCTGAGGAGTATGAAAGCATGTACGCAATAATTTAGCCAACCGTATAACTCACTCGTTCTCTTAGTAAGTCTTCCACCCCATTTTCTTCTACATGTCACCAAACAGGTAACTGATCCCATACCCAAGTAACAACGTCTTACTGTTTCCGCCATGGCGTATCTTGCCATTGTCCTAGCATTTACGGCTTTCGGCCTGTTACTCGGTCTGGTTGTAACATTGACAATGCTTCCCTCACGCTACGTTAAACATTCTCCGGCTTCAAAGGAATCCGTGTCTGTTCAAGTTTTAGTCCTCGGGGACATTGGCCGAAGCCCGCGTATGCAATACCATGCGCTAAGTGTTGCTAGACATGGTGGGAGAGTCGATCTTATTGGCTATCACGGTATCTTAATCTCCTCCATTTCTCTATTTCTCTACAGGCTTGAATGCGGCTTTTATACTAATTCACTGTATAGAATCCCCTCCTCATCCCGACCTTCTTTCTAACCCTCGGGTTAGGATCTATCCGTTGGCACCTCCGCCAAATTTATTAAAGTCTAGGTCAATTCCATTCATCATCTCTGGGCCTTTGAAAGTATTGTGGCAGATATGGACTCTCTTTCAAGTGTTGGGTTACCGAACACCCCCTGCAAGATGGCTTCTAGTTCAGGTATATTGCTTTTTCCATATTCATAACTACCTAGGTACCCAGGAGTCCTCATTGACATCTATTACAGAACCCACCATCCATCCCAACTCTTGCCATTGCGCTCCTTATTTCTATCTTACGAAATACCCATCTCATGATTGATTGGCACAATTATGGCTGGACAATCCTCGCAGGTACCAAGGGGCGGGATCACCCTTTTGTTAAAATTTCCAAGGCCTATGAATGTGCATTAGGCCAGGCAGCCCCAACCGTCAACATTACTGTTACCCATGCAATGAAAAAGCAATTAGAACGGGAACCCTACAACGTCACGGCGCCAATCCTTACTCTTCACGACCGACCGGCTTCCATTTTTCAACCCCTCACATCGTTACCGGACCGTAGAGATTTTCTCGAGAAGTTGTCGGAGACGAGAGACTTCGCCTCGAATATAATAGCAGGTCAAACGAGACTCATAGTGAGCAGCACTTCCTGGACACCTGACGAGGATTTCTCTCTTTTGCTCGAGGCATTGGTCAAGTACGCCAAGGAGGAAACTGTTCGTCCAATCATCGCGATTATTACGGGACGTGGTCCCCAAAAGGCATTTTACGAAGAGAAAATTAAATATCTGCAGAAAGCAGGAAGATTGCCTAACATTCGCATACTAACTGCATGGCTTACAATGGAAGACTACGCCAGGCTCCTAAGTTGTGCTGACCTTGGAATATGTCTTCACATGTCTAGCTCAGGCGTGGATCTACCTATGAAAGTAGTAGACATGTTCGGCTCGGGTTTACCAGTCGCAGCTTACTCGGGATACGAAAGTTTTAGCGAGTTAGTCAAGGAAGGGGTAAACGGATGTGGCTTCGAGAAAGCAGATGAGCTGGCTGTTATCTTAAAGCGGCTATTTAGCGACGACGGATCAGCTGAGCTCCAGATCCTACGTCAAGGGGCCAAGAAAGAGAGTGGTTTACGGTGGGACGAGGAGTGGGATCGGGTTTTGGGACGTGTATTTGGGGTCATCGACTGAAAAGAGACCAAAGTCCAACTGCTTATGCTAGAAACGATTTACAAAACCCTATGAATGAATTCGGATATTCGCCGAGGAATACCTGGACCTGAAACGCCACCCCACATGCTCAGAAATCAACCAAACCACCTATCATCCGTAGTGACGAGTGATGGGTCCAACTTGGAGGCGCCTCTCTATAATCGTCTCTTGATTACCGTTGAATTAGAGGCACCATGAATCGTTATAATGGTTGAAACACCACTGTGTGGTCACAGATTTCAATGGATCCGGATCACCTGCGCAATTAATCCTCGCCCAGACTCTCCCTGACGCACTTTCTGACCATCTTTCTGAATTCCTTCGGTCCGCCTTCTCGCTCGGCACGCAGAAGCTTAGCGGCATCTAGGTTGGCAGGGCTCTCATCGTTAGGCTCATTGAAGAGACTAAGGACGCTTAGGAGAATTGTCTCCGGGGTCTGCACCGGACTCCATCGCTCGGAGGCGCTCTCGTAGCCATACTTGTCTTCTTCGGGCGGGTGCAAGATCGAGATGCAGAGTTCGCCGTTCGGGTAGATGTTCGGGTGGAAGGGCACCGGCGTCTGGAATACGATCTTGGGCGGTAGATGAGGATATTCGGGAGGGAAGGTCATGACGGCTCGGAAATTGGCACCTACATTTCCTCGTGTGTTAGCTAAGTATATTTGGGTTGTGATCTCTTACGCTAGATTAGAAAAGTGGTGTTGTGATCCTAATTAGCAGGGGATGTAGAAAGTACTTAGTGTATACTAGGTTAGGACATACCTCCATAATACTTGCAGTCGTCGTTAATCATGAGAATCACTTCCCACTCGAAGACATTAGTATCCTTAGCCAATCCGACAGAGATACCAGATGGGTCTGGAGACGTGTGCATCTCCTTCAGCTGACGCTGGAGGAGTCGGGCGGCTCCCGTCATCTGCGACGAAGACGATGCAGTACCCGGAATTGACATTGCGACGCGCTGTATCACTTTGTGTAACTGAAGATAAGGAGTTTTAAGGTGAACTCGAACTTGAACTCGAACTGTCCCGCCGTCCTGGGAGGATTCCCGAAGGATTGATCGTGTGATTGTGTGATCGTGCAATTGTAGATGCGACGGAGATTGTACCTATGCAATACCATATGTACCTAGGTATTTGAATTCAACGTTACAACTCCCCAGAAACGTTTCAATATTAGAGTGCAACGAGAACGAGTCTGGAGATTTCGACCTGTCGAATCCGTCACGGAGGTTTCCCAGTCGTTTGGTGGGGTAGACACCTGAACTTACGGTGGGATGGAGATGTACTGTACCTATTAAGTAGTGCGGACGGGTACAAGATATTATAAAGTTTGAACTCGAATTGGATTCGTTTATGCGAGAGCGGGTAAGCGCAGTTACCAGGTAGGTAGGAGCTAACTGACGTAACGGGTTGATAATTTGCACATCTTATTTGATGCAGTTGGTCGATATGAATTAACCGAAGCTATGCGAATTCAACACATCCATGATTGTTCCGCATACAGTACTAGTTACTTGCTGTATGAATAATTCCGCACCGGGCCGGGTCATATGTGACACCCTATGGAATAATGTGTGAATAATGTGTACCTAGTAGCTAAGTAGAAATGAATTAATGATACTCAAAGACATTTTCTTCCATGCTCTCTTCCATTTTTGTTCCTCAAATGGGTATCATGTACTAGGTGAACATACATCCATAGAAGTTTACCTTGAACGACAAGGTAGATCAATAACCAAGCCATCCTAAACGCCAATTCTAATGCCGCAATAATTCCATACGCCTTATACCAGCTTCACATGTATCAACAGCATGCCTCAGAGTATCCAATCTGTTCTCCTATGCCCATCTACTTTTTTTTCGACGTGCCAAAGCCTGTAATACCCATCGCTGCCATCATATCATCCTCGTCATGTTCGCCTTCGATCCGGACATCGTCGCCGTATTCGACCTTGACCTTTTCGGTAGCCTCTTTCTCAGCCTTCTTCTTAGCTAGTTCTTCCTGCCTCTTAATCCGCCTCTCTTCCCTCTCCTTGGTAGCCTCCTCTTCGCGCAGCTCTAGACGCTCTTTCAATGTCGTGGTACTCGCCTTCTTCTGTTCCTGCAACCTCTCCCACACCTCGGCTATGCGTCTGTGTACGTCTTCCGCGGTGGCCTTCTTGACCTCGCCCGTCTCGCCCACGTTACGCAGATGCTGCATACTGTTGATGTGCTCGACCCATTGCATGTTATCCTTGAACGTGAGATCGCAAGCACTACAGTAGAAACCGGCACTGCGACCACGTTTACCCTGACCCGCGCCCGCTGGTACTAATGTAGTCTTGCCGACATTGGCCTCGAGGTCGATGATCTCGCGACGCGCGTGCGTATGGGTTTCGTCACCCGTCATCGGCTTGTAGTATTTCTTTCCAGCCATCTTGGCTTCGTATCGCGCTTTCGCTTCTTCTCGCTCGGCCGACTCTCGTACCTTAGCTTTTTGCGCGTACTCGTCTAAGTCGTAGTTCCGCCGGAACGACGTGTCCGACGCCGGCGTGCCGTACGCCGAGCCCTTTTTGTCGGACATCTTGGTCTATTTACGGTGGTTATTTCGAGATGGCGAGTTCTTAGGAGCTAGAGCTTTAATACGTTGGTGAAGTTGACGACCTGTATTGTAATGTTGATTTAATTATAGAGTAGAGCACGGGAAGGTTTCCAGGTTACCATCAATTGAAGACTTGATAAGAGGTTGGGTCCACTCTAATTTTCTTATCAGAACATCCCCTGTCATCCTGTTTATTGCGATACCCCGCGATTTATTCTACTATACATTATGTCCCTGTTGAAATATTAAAATTTATACCAAGACATAATGATTCCATCCGTCAAAGCCTCTATAAGTTGAATCGATAGGTATAAATCTTGCTTATTCCAAGATGTTGTATCTAGTAGGCCTAGGTCTCTCAGACGAGACAGATATCACCGTTAAAGGTCTCCAAATTGTCAAGAAAGCTTCGCGCATCTATCTCGAGGCATACACGAGTATTCTGTTGGTAGATCAATCTATCTTGGTATGATTACTATTAGATCGCATCGTCGTTCGTGTCCTGATTTTCATATAGCTAACGCTAATAAAATAGTAGGAAAAATACTATGGCAGATCTATCGTAGTCGCAGACCGAGAAATGGTCGAATCCAACAGTGACGAAATCCTCCGCGATGCGCATACAGAAGATGTCGCATTCCTAGTCGTCGGTGATCCTTTCGGGTATGAGAGAACCTGAAGATATTGAAGAGACACTACCTCTTATCTTCCCGTAACCCTAAGTACGACTTACATTAACTGATATGACCCAGTGCTACTACGCATACCGACCTCGTTCTTCGAGCGCGCGAGCTCTCAATCCCCGTTCAGACAGTCCCCAACGCATCCATAATGTCTGGGATTGGCGCCACAGGACTCCAGTTATACAACTTCGGACAGACAGTGTCAATGGTCTTCTTCTTAGATAATTGGCGCCCGGCCTCTTTCTACGATCGCATCAAGGAGAACCGAGAGATTGGCCTTCATACGCTCGTACTATTAGACATCAAAGTCAAAGAGCAAAGCTTAGAGAACATGGCGCGAGGCAGAAAGATTTACGAGCCCCCGAGATATATGACAGTCGGCCAATGTGCGCAGCAAATGCTCGAGATTGAGGAAGAGAAGAAAGAGGGCGTCTATGGACCTGATAGTCTAGCTGTCGGCGCTGCGAGGGTTGGCGGCAGAACGGAGAAGTTCGTCGCGGGAACGCTACAACAGCTTTGCGACGCCGATGAAGCTCTAGGATCGCCATTGCATAGCTTAGTATTGCTTGGCAGAAGGGCGCACGAGCTAGAGAGAGATTACACGCGGGAGTTTGCAGTTGACAAGGAGTTATGGAACACAATATGGAATAAGGATTACGGCATGCAATGAGGGCGCCGTCAGATATTATACAGCTCCCCTTATTAAAACTACCTAGTAGTTCGAGCGATTTGGCAAATTTGAATTCTCATATCCCATTTATCTCTAAGACCTAGGTACTTGGGTCCTAACTATGCGAACTAATGAGATGCTCTCCACGACTGAATTTCATTCTCACTAATCTCGCGAAGTTTGTTGATGCTCGCAGGTTGTCCGGTCACGGTACCCTTAGCTACCTCGGTCGCGAAGCCAAGGAAGGTCAAATCGCTAACGGAATATGTCGCCGTCGATATCTTAACCCTGATGATGCCAATTCGAGGATCATTCTCCGAACCGTCATGGATTCCATCTCCTAGATCACCTACCCACACTTTCAACGTTGGGCTGTAGTATTTATTAACCAGGCTGCGATCAGTCTCGATAGATGCCATTCCAGATACGGACGCCCATTGGCCGGAACTATCCATGAATGAGATATTGACGTGTGGGTCGTTTTCCAGTTCGTCTGTCTTTTTAGACTCTGTGTTGGTGAAGAATATTTGGTCCACTCCTCCATTTTCCTTATGAGGTGTGAGAATGTCCAAGATTTTTTGAGCTAGGAGAACGATTTACCTTCGCGGCCAATGCCATGCATCGTGATACGAGTCTTCCAGTGCTAAAATCGCGCGTAGTCATCATTCCATACTTGCATGTAAATACGAACTTGTTGAGCCTCTCGATTTTCTCGTTCACTGGTAGATTGTCGTCCTTGTTGACGAGCTTATAAGGGTCAGCAGACTTACTACCAGTATCTGTATTAGAGAATGTCGACATGCTGATCTCGTAGCTATGGTATCGTGTGGCTGTCTGTTTCTTATTAGGTATTGGAGTGAACATATGTTGATCAGCAACTCAAATTCGCGAAGGAGACGGTCGCTATTTGAATAATTAGCATCAACACCTTTAGCATAAAAACGTCACTATCTATCGTAGAATGATGCTGATCTATTCTTCAATTCGTACGATCGACCCCGGAAGTCTTGTGTTGCATTTGGAGGCGCATCGGATTTCATCATAGACGCCTTTGTCTCTGGGAGGTTTCAATGACGTCAACTCATGGGAATTACTACCTAGGTATTCAATAGCAAGAACTACATCAAGTGTATTGATCTTTCTCTATCCACTATGGAATGTTAGCGATGCCATATCCTACCCCTGTGCCTATAGACGCTTACCTACTATAGATATACATTTATAACATTGGAAGTACAGTATATTTTCAAGTCTTGCATCATATACTATGTCCGATACAAAATAACTCGATGCAGCTCTCTCACCTCGCTCCTAATTGAGTAACGTCATTTGGAGAGATCGCGTTTAGATAAGATAACCCAATCTCCGTACGTGCACTGCAGTATGTATCTATGTACATGTAAAGTATAATTAGAAACCACTTCCAATCCATGTCCCGATCTGTACCGGGGCAGGATGGAATCAAGCAGGAACTGGAACAGGGGATATGAGAGTTTATTCCGAGGTTTCCTCATGTAGGTGCGACGCGCAATACCTAATATTGGACTTAAAGGAGTCCGTGGATGCGTGCACCTGCCTTTCTATCTAGTTCTGTTGATGTGCAATACCAAGAAGGTACATATCTACCTACCTAGTACGTAGATATAGGAAGCAGCTGCCTTTAAATTCACTTCTACTCATACATTAGCATCATGTTGCCCCTCTTCCCAGTGACGTCCGCTCCCGCTAATTTAGCACTGGGAACTGACAGCATCCGCGGATAAGCCTGCACTGTACAACTTGGAACTGGCTCCCGGTTAGATCACCTACCGTTCTCATCCCTCACCTGATAGATCCACTCGTCCCGTCTGGTTTCATGGACTAGCGGATTTATGTCAGGAAACACCACCTCAAATTATTTGAACTACGCAACCTCAAAGTTCTCCCGGTTACCCATCCAAACCCTCTTTCTTTTCCTTTCTCACCACCTGAGCAGACAGAGCCATCTCACCGGGCAACGATCCGCATGATCTAGTGATCAGGGTTCGTAAGATTATATTGATGAGGGGTACTATCTCGTCGCTGCGTCCTCACCACTAAGGTACACTGGGCACAGTCAGGTCATGATCAGACATACACCCAAGAATTAAATTTAAGCTCCGTTTGACCAATTGGCAATTGATTTCTTTGTTCTATGGAATAGTTGGAACTCGTCTTCCACCTTCTCCCCAACCGAATCTCATTCTCAGCATCGCCGTCATACTACCATCGTACCCGCGGACATCTACTAACCGCGTTATCTCTCCGGTTTTCGATTCCGAATTTCTAACAATATCGTCGGCATCGTCATCGCATCCGCGCACATCTTACGTGTTCTAATCTTCTTTGGTTATGATCAACACTACATCCGAGAAGACCTGTGACATATCACGTCATTCAACATGGTATGTCCCCTAACGTTGCAATATCCTGATAGTTCACTTGAACGCCCAAACATACATATATGGACGCCGAACATTTGTGCTAACAAATATTCCTAGAGTATCGCTTGGGAATGCCGTGATCAGGCCGACCAGGCCGAGATTTACTACAACCATCCCCTCCGCACCAAAGTTAGACATCTTGAGGATGAAAACCGAGCCTTGAGACGAATGCTTCGCAAGAACGGCATATCGTGGCGACCCCGATCCAAGCCAGCTCATAAATCCAATGGACGCACCACCCGCTCTTCAGGCATGGTCAACTGTAGACCTCTTCCGCACCTACCTGTGGAGATCCAGCTTCGAATCTTGTCCTTCGCCGTGACTAGCCCACAACCCATCCTTGATCCGCTTTGCAATGTTAAGCCGGAGCATCTTCTTGTTCAGGAAAAGGTCAAGTCCAACCAAATCGCCATTCACTTCCTGGCTACGTGTAAAGCCTATTATGCCGAAGGTACCAAGCTTCTCTGGAGCAACAATTCCTTCGTATTCACCACCCCGGAAGCGCTTCGAAACTTCGCCGAGGTCCCTCTCAAGTTCCGACGTGATATCAAAGATATCAACCTCCGCATTATCGCGAAGTTCTACGATGACGAGGATCGTACTCGCAAAATCGGCCGCAGCTACCACCCCGACCTCTCGAAGTCCTTCCCCCTCACTGTGCACACGAGACCTAAGGAGAACACGCCCGCTCGCCGCGGTTTTCGCGCGTACGGTTGGTACCAGCTTATCGATTTTCTAACGGCGTTGCTACCACCGTACGACCCTTCCCAAGGTTCGTTAAGCACACAGTCGGCCCCTATGCCGAAGTTACTTCCATCTCTCGAGAAGCTCCGTATCGACTTCGTGAACTTCGGCGTGGATCTACATGTTGGACCACCGGCTCAACTTCACGATCTTGCTTCCCATCAGTTTGGATGCTCGCTGAACGAGTTAGTTCTCACGGGTTTGCCGAACGACGAAGTAGGAGAGCGTGTTTCTAACGAACTTGCTGGTCTTCTGAAGAACGAGGGCCTCCTTATCGATCACGCACCAATCATGATCGGTTACAAGAACAGTATACGCCTTCTCACCTGCGATTCTGTCAAGTGTCACTATTCGTCTAGGGTCATCCGAGCAGCGGGGAACATCGATCTGAACCCGTACGTGCATGGTGACGAGCTTCATGCGCATTCTTTTGGGCTCGAATTTCCTCCTGCGCCTAAGGACGAAGGCAAACCACCCCACTCTTTTTACCATTCGTGTCGAACGATCTGGAAGAAGGTTCCGGTCAAGCTTGGTGGCGACGAACGCAAGTGGGAACTATTCGACAGAATAAGCGGACAGCCTTGGGATGAAGTGGAGGAGGAGGCGACGATGTACGACTATTCGTCGATCGGAGGGCCGGATATTGGTATCTCTTGCGAGAATTGCGGCGAGATACATCCAGGGGCAATCCCGCCTGATCACCTGATTGAGGATATCTTCGGCATTGACCTTTAAGCATAGGATGGGGGTGTGACTACGACTTTTCTACGACGATTACGAACAACATGCATATGATACCAGGTTTGCTTTGCTCTGGGCATTTACGGGGGCAGACGTCCAAAAGGGAGGGGGTGCGGCATATGGCGGGACTAGGTAAATGGAGGACCCGATGTGGACGAGGGCGTTGGGACCTCGCTATGTGTATGAGCTATATGGATTGCTTAATCACCCAAGGCCACAAGGCATAATGAACACTTGCTCGCGCGAGTAAACTAAATTGGCTGCACTCTGCACTTGAACTCTTCTGACTTACTTGAGCTATCCTGTGCCCAGTGCATCCATGTATGTTTGCTAACAACTGTAAGTATCTACCTAGTAGGTACCAAAATATGTTGTAGGAAATATGTGTGTAACCTACTAGGTACTTTTCATTACTCGGCTACGGCAACATTTCCTCCGCATCTATGGAGAAGTGTCTAGATGTGACTAACTCAACTATTCGACTTTTGCTGATTTCGTCCCTCTAACTCCATTAACAGTACCTACACGACGGCCGTAAGACAAGGCTCATCTCATTTCATCGTCACTCAGCATAAGGCGACTCGACATAACTTGACACCACCCAAGGCGAATACTACTCGTCTGCCTCAGACTCGGATTCGGCTTCTTCTTCCTCCTCCTCTTCGGCCTCTTCGGCTTCTCCATTCACGTTTTCGATAGCCACACCGCCCTCGCTCTCAAGTCGTAACCACTCGTCCCATTCTGGGAATAGCCCATCGTCTTCTACCGGAACACCGATCATTTTTGCGACGCGGCCCTTCTTATTCTTCTCCAAGTTTTCTTTCCACGCCTTCGTAGCATCGACTGTGAGGCTGGGCTTGTACGTTTGCGAGAACAAGACTGCCTCGGCTAATCTGCTTGTCTTGGTGAGAACTTCCACGCAGCCGGGCGTATCGCCGAGTAGCCATTTGGCGGTGAACGCGACGTTGTGTGCACCGGATTCTTCCGCCTGTTTCGCAAGTGCCTCCAATCCAGCCTGGTCGGACGTGCTCGAGTAGATTAGGAGAAGCGATCCCAAGTCCCGCGCGTGGGTAAAGCACTCGGTTGCGAGCGGAACATCCCACCCCGAAAGAGCTGCGTCGCCCACCGTCTTCCACTTGTGGTCACTATCAGCTTCCCGCGCGAGGCCTAGAGCGATGTCGAGTTGGTTTAGGGATAATGATAAGTCGAACTTGTGCTCTGGGTCAGTGGCAACTTCGAGCGCCAACTCCTTATGACCTTGGCCCTCGAGGAACCTGGCAATCTTGTTGAGCTGATCGGCGGGGATGCTAGGGAGTAGTTCGGCAGCCGTCTCCATATCGCCGCGGAGGACAAGCGTTTGGTATTCCAATACGGGAAGAGAGAGGGCAAAACTCGTGACGTTGACATCCTTGTCTGCGAGGTATATTCGGGAATCCCTTTGGATATAACCGAGGATATACGTTGGCTGGTCGAAATGTGAGATAGTATAGATTTGATCGCCGACCAGGTAGTTAAGTCGGTTTGTGCTATTTGTATAGATAAAACAATCGCCAACCCACTGGCCCGTTCGTACGCTGCGGATAGATTAGTGACGGGTGATGAAGTTTCGGAAGTGCATAGGCATGCTTACCTCTCAGCAATATCGGTAATAACCTCAAAAGCGGCCTCGACTCCATCTTCGTCGATTTGACCAGACTGGGCAGCTTCGATGTAGCTTTCGCGAGAAAATCTCAAAACGTAGAAAGTATCCTCGCACGCCAACGTAACAAGCTCACCGCTGTCTGACCAATAGACCTGTTTAGGTTCGACTTCGATCCGTCTGACTAAACCACCAGTGGCCCAGTCGTAGAAAGAGACGCCTCCTTGACCTTTTACGCCAAGCAATACGCCACCCGTCAAGCCATCGGCCTGGAAAGGGATATCTAGGCCGCCAGATTTTTCAACAAAGTTTTTGTACACCTTAACGCTTGTCGCCGACTCGCGAATAGCGAAATCGTTGCTATTGTCCTTGGAAGCCCATACGAAGTCTAGCGCGGATCCGAACGCCTTGTTGCGCCACGCGAGAGCTGTGTAGATGATGTACTCTCCGTCGCCACAGACTGCGACAAAACGACCGTTGGGAGAGTGGATGAGTGTTTGCGGATAAACTTCGCAAGTACCAAGCTCTTTTGTTGGAAGTGTGATCGCTTCGTTGTCCTTAATCGAAGCATCTGCCATATAAGTTAGCACTCAGCACCCAGGGCACCAACCCGACGGATCGAAGGTGAGACATACCGCCACCCTTTATTATAGAGGATACTACTTCGTTATGTCTAGCCCAGATCAATTTACCAGAGCTATCCATAGACACAGCTGGCTCTTCTCGTCCCAGTTTGACCACGACCGCACCATCGTCGAAACCGACAGCTACGCCTTGCTTGCCACGTTGATAGGAAATACACCAAGCACGCTCTAGCCCATAGTTCAAAGACTGCTCAAAACGGTAGGTATTGGCATGCCATATCCTGATAGTACCATCCTCAGAACCAGAGATGATGACAGGTAGCTCAGGGTGGTAACAGGCGAAGGACACGTTGTTCGTGTGGCCCTCGAGGCTTGCGATGAGACTCTTGGTAGTGTAGTCCCAAACCTTGACGGTCCTGTCATCCGACGTCGTGAGAAGGTAGGGCTTGTCAGAGTGCGGGTAGTAATCGACATGGTTCACACCCTTCGTCTCGTGAGCCTCGAGCGTAAAGTTGGCGGTAGATGATCCCAAGCTCCAGATCTTAACGGTTCTATCCAGACAGGCGGAGGCGAATGTGTTGGTGTCTTTGGGATTGATGGCTAGTCCCATAACGTAATGGCTGTGACCCTCGAATATCTGCACGCACTTCCATCCTTTTTCCCAATCCCATAGCTTGATAGTCATGTCATCGGAAGCGGTCAGGACGAAAGGTTGCGTAGGGTGAACGGCGATGGCACGTATGTAGTCGGGATGCGCTTCGAACGAGGCAATCTTCTCTGAAGTGTTATAGTTATATACTCTGAGCTGGAAGTCGTCGGAACCGCAGACGATCCAGTTCTTCCTCGCGACGAATCGCCCGGCTCGGACAGGGACATCGGTAAGTTCGAAGGTCTTGACGATTTGTTGTGTTTCGTACGACCAAATGTAGACATGGCCTTGGGAAATTCCATGTCAGTAAGATATATAGAATTGTGATCGGGTATCAGCAGGACGGGTGGGCTCACCGCTGTATAATGTCGTTAGGATCCATGGTTCTTGAGGATGGCAGTCGATGCCCTTAACACGCTCGCTGCGCGCAAAGAGTTGTCGCTGTGCGTCGAGGGCCATGTCAGTGAATCCCATGGTCGCTTAAATAGTATATATATGTGGGTATATGGGTATATAGAAAGTATAGGGGCTACTTCATAAAGGAAGATAGCGGCAGCAGCAACAGCAGCAGCAGTGTGCAAGTAGCTCTGCTGGTAGCCAAGCTACAATTGAAAAAGGCCAGGTCTCGTTGCGAGCCAAAAAAGGAACGGGAACTAATGGGGACATTGAACATACCTTTACATCCAGCCTCATTTTGCCGACAGCTCCAACCCGTAGAGTGAATGGTTCGGTAATATAATGGATTGTTCTCGGCGGGGTGGTGGTGGTAATGGTAGTAGTGGTAGTGGTTGATCGTAGGTAGATCTATATTATTCCATGGAAGACAAGACCATCTAAATCGGGATCGGAAGTTGTTAATTGTGTACCCTGTTACCTAGTATAGTTACCTAGTAGATTACTAGAATTCATTCGTCTATACCCAGGTGTGGTCGTTGAAACGATTGGGATGTTGTTTAGTTGTCGTTAGTAGCTTTGCTTAGCCTGACCGGCCAAAGTACACAACATTGAATTTACCCTATTGCATTTCCACATTTTCTTGAAGTTCAAACGGTGGTCACTTCCAGGATTCTTCTGCACCAATCAAATTGCTTACGTAATTTTGTGGCTGAAGCTTTAGTGTTTGACGCCGACTCCCGACCCGCCATCCGTTATCCTTTATCGTCAGCCACGAATCCCCAGCATCGCCATCGCCAAGTCATTCGGAACATGGCCCCCTAGTACGGACAGTAGATACTAGGTACTTAGTATTATTCTACGCAACTTCAACTTCCAGGACCCTACATGATACGTACAGCAAAGTTGCATGTCACACTAATGCTGAGGAAAACCATATCATATCACGCTAGTAAATGCATAGAACTTCGTCAAGTTTTGTAATGAATTTATTGGAAGTCAATCTTCTCGTCATCTCATCAGATTGATTTTACATTCGAGAACGCAACGCATGTGATGCTTCTAGTAGCATTGTCTTGGTTGATCACCAGAAAGCGTTCGCGCGTCCTGCGTTCCTTTGGTTTCCATTCCCGTGATATATGAACGCCTTTATTCCCAGTCATTTCCCTGTACCTTGCAATCGCTCCCATGCCGTAAAACTCGTAACAAATGCAGACGCGAAAGTATAGCACAAGCAGACAGAAAGCAACCGACGGCGCTTAGTCTTGGCTGTCCGCCTGTACCTTCTGGACGATCTCCACCACCTTGGGATACAGCTTCTCCGTCTTCTGCAGGCCGCACACCTTGGCTACTACGTCCTCGGGGCCGTTCTCGGCCATGATCTTGGCAAGCTCCTTGCTCTCATCGTCGCCGTCCACGTTCTGGAAGCGGAAGGCCATCTCGGCAGCGGCCAGAAGAGCCGGTGTCTCGTGACCTAGCTCAGCCAGTTCGGCGGCGGGGCCGATGAAGCGCTCCTTGCGACCAAGCTTCCTCAGAGGAGCACGGCCGACACGTTCGACAGCGTCGGCAAGATGCGGGTTGCTGATTCTGTCGATGATCTTCTTCTTGTACGCATCCTGCTCCTCAGGGGCGATACCGTGCTTGTCGACGATTAGCTTGGCAGTCTCGTTGATAGCAGCGGCGACCTGGTTCTTGATGTCCTTGTCCCGCATGGCATCGTCGACAGTCTGTTTTTGTCTGTTGTATCCGAAGTAGGCGGCGGTGGCGTGAGAGGTGTTGACGGTGAAGAGCTTGCGCTCGATGAAGGGTAGTAGGTTGTCGACCCACTTAATTCCCTCGATCGACGGCCTCTCGACGTTGCTTGCCGTGTTTTCGCTCGGCTTGAACGGGGTCTCTTCTACGACCCACTCGTAGAACTTCTCTAGGGTCACATCCAAGCCTGCATTGGGATCTTGAGCAGGAACGATACGGTCGATCGCGGAGTTGGCATATGCGGCTCTTTCGTGGTGGTCGTCGAGACGATGTTCGGCAGTGTTCTTAGGGTCCTTGATGTGACCGGCAAGCGCATCCGTAGCACCGATCATGTTTTCGCAAGCTATGACAGCTAGGGGCTTCTCGTCATTCGAGCGCTTGTCGATACCCTTGGCGATGACTGGGGCGATGAACTTTAGGATGTTGGGGCCGACCGAGCAAGTGACGACATCAGCAGTTGCGATCTCATCAACTAGTTCGGCCTCGTTGTACTTGGAGTTGATGGCTCGGTAGTTGGTGATCTTCTTGGTAACTGTGCCCTCGACACCCCGCTCAATAACGTTGTATGAAGGTGTCGCATTGAGGGAGTCGACGAGCTTGTCAACGACATCAGCGAAGATTACTTCGTAACCTGATTCGTGTAGGAAGCAGGCGACGAAACCTCGGCCAATGTTGCCGGAACCGAAGTGAACTGCCTTCTTACCCATTGTGAGTGGTTATAGGCAGAGATGATAGGAATGGATGAAAGAAAGAATAGTCGTAGGATAATGATATATTGGTTGACTAGGATCAAAGAATTGATGGATTCAATTTATGTCAAATGCTTCTTGCGAGTTGAATTCGAGAAACACCGAGGTAGGTTGTATGAATAACGTTGTGGAGGAAAAAGGAAGATGTGGAAAGAGGAAAAAAAGAGAAGGAGAGGGAAACACGATGTTCTTATGTATTACACAGGAAGTTGGCAAAGGCACGGGAAAGCGACTTGAGAGAAGCCACGAGGGTCCACGAGCCCCGAACAATTCGTCCGGATGTGGAGGGGCAAGTGGGAAGGGGTACCGTAGCGTTACGGGCAGGAATGATGGGGACTCGATTTTAGGGTCCAGAATGCCAAGGAAGGCAAAAGCACTGTGTCATACTGTACATTTTTAGAGGGAGCATCCACCGTTTCATGAATTGCGATACATCCCGATACGCTGAATACCCACCTATTATAACCGGCAATCTCCAGTAATTGGCAGTCCACTTTAACGTATTGCCTTACCGTAAGCACTTGCTATCAATTGATCTATGGTTCATATAATAAAGAGGCAAAATTCTATAATAAAAATGTATACCAGGCGCAATAGAACAGTGTACTTTCTATCATTACCTACCTGCCAGCCTGCATATGTGTCATATTGTGACTAAACTACCTAGAAGAAAAGGCCTCAAGTTTGCATGTATGAGGCAACTGATTTGCCAATCGGCATAGAACGTCTACTGCGAGTCATTGGAGTTACTATTGGGGTTTGTGATATTTGGGAACATAATAAGTATATGCTGCCGAAATGGCTGCTGGCTCTCAACAATAGCTCCTCTCCTAACCTTTAATCTGTCATGCTATTTGACGATGCGCGGGAATATTCTACGAGTCTCGAAACATGCGATCATTTTCGTCCGTGAGAAGCTGAGTTCATCTATATTATATCTCGCAGTGCTAGATGGCTTGGAGGACATCATATCTCCATCGCCATCGTATGATCTGACTGCACTGGCTTCTATTTCTATTTTACGTTACCTCCTAGGACCTATGTATTACCATTGGACCTCCGATGGGTTCCACGATATGTAAACCGTACCGTATCATCTTCCACGCCGTATCTAGAAATCAACTAATACTGTGGATCCCGATTCGTTCCTCAAGTGTTACTACATTGCTAGTCCATTTTAATATCGTCATTAACTTCATATATCACATCCCTGGACTTCGTTAGTCGTTCGACTTTGACCCGGCAATTCCTCAAGTCCTCAAGTCAAGAAGACACCCGGGATCGTCAGGAGTCTGTGAAACAATGCGTTAAGGGGAACCCATAGGACACGGCTACGGCCCACCATCAGTAGCCGACCATATCAAATTACACGCGAAGATTGATGAATTCATGTAGACAAGGCGAACGAATATAAAGATGCCAGGTACTTGGACCCCTGGTAATCAGAAACCACATGCCACTAGCAAAAGTCCGGGGGAATTGGCCTTGCCTATATATTCTCTAGCCCCTCTCCGCTCTATAACTTTGTATGTGATTTGGTATCTGCGGTGCGCTTGGCGTATATTGCAGTCCACTCACATACGAGTCTTTGGTTGAGGCTAGGTAAACTAGTCCCTGCAGCTTTATCACAGCCCAGCATCGCTAATTGGGTGACTGCTAACCCCAGTGGCTGGAATAGGAAGAGGGCGTAATAACAACTAGAATACAGGTCGGAAACAAGGTGGTGTGGCTCGGCGCTTCTTCACTATACTATAGCTCCACACACACGCGCGTTTTAACGCAGGCTGGCTGGCTGGGCAAGTTGGCTGTCATCCGAGGCCTTTAAGTGCTTTACATCTATCTACTACCTAATTACATACCTGGGTAATACATTCATGAATGTATCCTGTTGAGAAATAGAACCTTTATCGGTGTATTGAGCAAAGAATTGGAGTTCGGGGTATTTGATAGAAATATGAAGTGATAAATGTTGACTATATCTACCTACATAGGTAGGTATAACACATTGATTCGAGATATCCATGACAGAACCATCGCAGTACTATGTAGAGATTATAGCCCTTACATCCATGTAGGGCTTCCCGATGCGGAAAACATTTACGGGCTCACAGTCTTGTACACAGTCAAACCGTTCGAAACGTATAAATGTTAAAAAAGATAAGACAGGGTCTTTAGCCGGACAGAGACAACTTCAGCCTAACCAATCAAACGTATCCCTCATCCATCTTTGGAAGCCGAAACCCCTCTCCATCCTAGTCGATGATCTCATCAAGCGTCACTTGCTCACCATCCAAACTTTGGCTAACACAGTTAGCAGCAAACAAGTGCCACGCTAAAAACCGCTCAGCGTCTTGGGGACGAACTGGCGAAACATATTACGCTTCTTTAAACGTCCATAATCCATCATCCATCATCGCGATTCGTGAATGTCATTAACCAGGGTTCAAGGATCTTAAGGTTGCACTCGATCGATTCATGGGTGATGGGTCACCCGAATGTTTCTTCACATTTACACATGATTACGTACCCTTACGCATCTGCGCACCTGCGTATCTTCTTAGAGAGGGGCAGTGTTTGATCCATACGATGCGTCAATTTGTTCGAGTTCTACTACTTCTCTAAAACCTCATCCACTCCATTAAGTCATAGATATTGCGGGGTACGATCTACGAGGTGTATCTTGCGGTCTGGCAGACCTTTAGCCTTCTCTCAGTGTTGGGAAGAGGAGGTTTCGATGTCCCAACGTACCTCGTCCGTCCTTCCATCGTGCCACGGCTTCATCTATCTATCTACCTACCTACTTGATAGTAATAGTTTACTATGTAGCCCATATTGCCATTTTGGATTAACAAACCCGTTCTCGACCAATCATCAATCGGCTCTCCTGTATTCTCAATGGCATCCTAGCCAGGCGTCCAACTTTGACATGTCGATCTCCCCGCCTTATGTTGAACTGACCTGGATTAACCTAGCACTAGCTGAGATGGCAGGATGGTTCGGAATTCTGACCGCGGGTTCCCCCAGATTTTCGCCTTCGCTCAAAATCATGTTACACGACGGTGCGAGATGGACTCAACCTTATGTACATACATTGGACATATCACTGAATAAGGCTGTCGACTTGTCGCTAATACATAGCCGCGAACGGTTGTTACGATTCCCGTCGCACGCAAATATAGGTACCTACCTGGTATCTACCTATCTGGCCCTACCTCCATAGCGCTCATATGAGCCGATAAGCACCTAGGCACATTGCGTAAGGAGGCTAGAAAATCATCTAATTATCTATCAACTTACATACAGGTAGGTACCAACCCAGCATCCAACAATTCATGCGGCTCTGTTCCCTCTCATTCGACCTCCATCCTTATGCAAGGTCGCATAGTTACGATTATCGTAGCGAACTCCACCGGAGATACCAATTAGAAATCCAATACTTTGTTTGAACGTAACAGACGTATTACAGCATACCCAACAATTTATACAGATCTCGATACTGTTAGACAGTTGTCAATACATACCAACGTGACCCAGGCCGAACGTCTAGAACAACAACCTTGCTGTCAAACAACTAATCGTTTAGAAGGACATCATCCACTTTCTTGCATGTTTAATGTCTTGAAGTTGTGTTCGCGGTCGATCTTCGAAACTCGGGCTAAGGAAGATCCACTCACATACATATCCCCTGAAAGGCGCTTGGGGTTATATGTATGGTATCCCTTGCGACTCCATTCTTCGAGCGATTTCGTGTTAGTTGATTGGACGACCTGGCGAGTTCGGCATGAGCAAGGCTATGTATTCTCGTGAGATTCGTTGCCGTTGATGGACGAGCATGGGACGGCCCATGACCGTTGGGATAAAAAGCCACGATGTTCCTAGGCACTGTGCAAAGTTCCGTAATCAGCCTAGCGAGCTTCCACAGTGTCCTAAGAGTGCATCGAATCTACTAAGTAGATCGAATTTTTCCTGTTCCGTTTGGGTTCAATCTCAATCTCGAATCTTCCGGCGTTAGCGGGCCGATTATTCCAATGAGCGGACTTATTCCTTCAGGGCTTCCTATCTGCTATTAACTCGTTGCTCGCTACATCACTCTCCGACGGTAGGGGATAACTTGGAATCCGACCCTGCCAGTCTATGAAAAGGACCGATCATTTTTTTTCTCTTCTTTTTTTACTTGTCTCAGGGCAATGCCACAAACTCGATTCCTTTGAGGATCAAGAAACATACAACGTGCCAGCATGTGTTGTTATCGTTTGCTCATGAAAAGTCGGTATGCTTACATGCTTTCTTTCAGCTTCTTTCGGCTATCACTCGGCCGGCAGCGCCATCTACCGACCTGAACCAGCCTTAGTGGGGCCGATTTATCCCGAATTCTTTTGAAGTAGTTGAAATGGGTCCTGCCAAGCCAAGTCACGATACTTGTCAGACTCGTCAATCCATATGCATTCTGGTTTTTGGGACGTGTCTATGTTCAATTTGATTGACGAGAAACCTACGAGGATAAGTACGGATAAGCCAGTAGGTATGATTTCCTATGTTTCTTTACTCACCGATCATGACAGATTGCATTTGCCACGATATTCATGACTAAGATTGTTTTCCTTGAGTAACAGCTCCATTGCCAAAATTCTAAGCCAGAAACTGAAATTTTTCTTTTTTCTTTTTCATCCTGCCAATTTCAGCTGGGTTTTCTCCCCTTGCCGACGACGAAAAGTAGATCCTGTCTCTTTCCTTTAGCTAATGGTTTTTGCCATCCCCTCTATTCGCATTTGGTGAATTCACTTCTTCTGGTCCCCGCACTCTCTATCATTCTCGAATTCCTGTATCGTCACAACCAGTTTTCTTTGATGCATTGTAAGGAGATTAAATTGATCTAATCAGTGAAACCGGAAGCCTATGTTGTTTAAAATCCCAGCCACGTTATCAGAAATTATATGTATAGCTCATGCGACAAAATGTGAACAGGTCATGACTTCATAAGGATATAGTCGGATAGGGGTAAAGGGGTGGACTGTCGAAATGGCACTTGCCGAATGCCTTCGGGTCACAAACATGATCGACCTCGAGAATGTCTATCCAAAATGAGATACTCGAAATTCATAAATCGCGCAAGTATCTAAGCTTTGGTAACCAGTTTATTTCCGGTTATCACGAAGCGCAATACTGCGATAAATGCGGCCGTTGCCATGAACAGAAATCCGGCAAAGAGCTGTATGCCAAGATAGTTCCCAGTGGCGCCTAGTATGGCCCCGGCGATAGGGGCCCCAATCAACGAAGCGACGCCATTTAACACCGAGGACATGCCTAGGCGAGTCCCTAGGCGGCTCAGATCAGGGGTGAACGAGGTTAATACGACAGCGGGCAGCGCCACGATGCCGCCGGTAAAGAAGCCGAAGAAAGCAGCGAATGCGATATTTCCAGCCCCCGAGTTCGTATTAATCCAACTAAACGCTGTCACGCCTGCTAGTGTAATGCTGATGAAGAACGTGTGAATAGGACCGATGCGATTCGCTATGAGAGACGGTGTGAGCCGGCCTAAGACGGATGCTGCGTTGTGTATGGCGACCAGATATAGGGCAACAGTCTGGCCCTCTAAACCGTGCGAGAGTGCGTACGTTTGGAGGTAGAAGATGGGTACGAAAAACGCGAGGTAGCTCAAGCAGATTCCTAAGCAGTATATGACGTATGGTCGCTCATGGAATGCTTGCATATCGAGTAGCGAACGTATGTGCACCGCGGCCGTTCGCCTGCGTAGTACGAGGAAGGATATTGATATCGTAGCAAAGGAAGTGAAACCCATGATACGAGTTGTCCAACCAAAACCGACACGGGGTAACAGGCCTTGGAACATGAGGGCATAGATCACGCCACCGAAACTGCTACCGGAAGTCACGATGCCCATTGCGAGGGCTTTACGCTTAGAGAAATACTGGGGTATGATGGCGACGGATGGGATGTACAGAAATCCTGTGCCTACGCCGACGCACACAGCTTGCGCAAGCATGACTTGCCAGTATTCCGTGCAAAGGCTAGTCATCATCATGCCAAGCGTGACTAATACCAGTCCGAGGCAAAGAAGCAGCCGCAAATGGCCAGCATCGTAAAGGGGGCCGCTAATCACTCCGACAGCTAAGAGTAGGAAGGATTGAAGCGACCCGATCCACGATATAGCAGATGGCGACATATGCCGAAGCAATTCAGTCTCGTAGTACGTTTGATACACGCCAAATGTATTGATCGTTCCCCTGGAGTAAGGTTAGCCTTCTTGACATTTACTACATAGGTAGTGTGTACCTAGGTAGGTACTAGGTAGGTAGGTAAATACCCTTTATGGGTGCTCATACCAAGTATTGAAGTAAAGCGAATACGATCCGACGACCTGGAGCCATGCTTGTAGCCCTCCATCTGGTGGATTATCATCGTCTGGGGCGACAACCTCGGTGAAATTTATCTTTTCCTCATCTCTATTTGAACTCTCATCGCCCGAAATGATCCCATTCTCGGGGGTTACGCCTGACTGACTAAATTTTGTCATAGTTAGTCCTACCACCACAACTGTTTTAGACGACAGCGAATTCGGCCAAAAAGTCGGGTTCAATTTCAGAGCCAGCGAGGAAAAAAAGGAAATTAGACAATAATAGGCAATTATAACGGAGTATATCGAGGTTTAGTATCTCCGATGGATGTTACTGTGGGCATGGGCAGGGGTTGCTTCGGCTTATGCTTCGGGTTCGGATTAAGTCCTAAAACACCCATATAAAAAAGACGACGCTATATACCCAGCCGAATTCGGACTTGACAGACGAGGAGCTTGATATCCTGTTGGCTAGTATTTCGAATGTTTCACATTACAATACCCGAGGAGTCTATTTTGATTCGAATTCGGTTATGCTAAGCTACCTAGTACTTACCTACCTTCTACCACTTGACAATACAGCTAACCTTAGAACCCAACCACTAAAACGGTCCTGTTCATTTTATCAACACTTTCGACACCTAAACGCTTTCGACACCCAACAGATCTCGATATCTAGGTACCTAAGGATGTATGGGTGTAACACAAGCAGGATCCTGTGAATGTTTTAGCATGGATATTCTGTGTCGTCGAAAATAGGGGAAAGATAACTTACATCGAAATCTGGGTCGTTATACTCCGAGATCTCTTCTTCCCTAATCAATTCCGCGAACAAATCTCTGTCTGGTTCCTCATATGAGGGCTGCGTAGCTGTCTGGCCACCGCCAGTGCAAGGGATTTGGTAGCCTACGCCAGCTCTTGGTGGTCCCGGCCCCGGTTGCCCGCCTGCTCCGTCGTTCGGCCAGTTCGCACCCTTAAGTCTGACAGCTTCGGATAAGAGGTATGCTTTCGCGTTCGCCACCGTGGTTTGCTGCTTGGCCAGATACATAGCCACGATACCGGCTACCTGGGCCGTCGCGGGCGATGAACCGGTGTTCCTTGCGTAGTTATCGAAAGCCTTCCTACCGCCGCAGACGACGTCTTTGCCGACGGCATAGATAGATAGGATGCCATTTTGAGTGCTATCTTTGAAAGAGCTGAAATCACACTTCTGAGACGTGATGTCTGCAGCGCCGACGACAATCATCGGTGTATCACGACCACCGTTTCTGCGCGGCGTCCGGTTGAACATGTCGTCATCCGCATCATTACCCGCGCTTGCGACGGCTACTATGCCAGCGGGTCCGATGCGGTCGAAAATATCCGCGAACGGGTCAACTGTGTTTACCTCTTGACTATTTGCCACTTTCAGAGCCGATATCGGGAAACCAAAGGACATGCTCATCACACCAGCACCAACTTTGCTGTTGGCTTTATCGTTAATGACCCATGCGATGGCGTTTACTATGTCGTCGAGGAAAGGTGCAGTGTTGCTGTTCTTCAAGATCCTGACCGGTACGATATTTGCCTGCTTGAAGCTGCCTGCGAATGTGCCGCCGACACAGGAGCACATACAAGTGCCGTGACCGTCAAGGTCGGTGACATCATCGTTGGCTCCTTCTTGTAGAGCATTAAATGACCCGACGATTCTTCCGTCGGGGAATTCCTAAAGCTCCGACTTAGCATTTTGGAAGATGGGTTATGAATGACTAACTGACGGACTCAACTTACCATATGGTCCTTCGTGGCGCCCGTGTCTAAGACGTATACACGGACCGAGACAGGGAGCTGGGCATTTTTCTCATATAGGTAATGGTCAAAGCCAAGGTCTTGTGTGAACAAGTAAGTCAGTATGTCATCTATGTACTTTGGTAGGAGACGGATAGGTAATGACATGAATCAATATGATACTGGGTAGAATAACTTACAGGTACCCGTGAGCGCCCTTTGAGCCCAAGGAGCAGTAAGCCAATCGAGGTGAGATGGATAGAGATCCGGGCTGCGATCTTCGGGTCTCAGCAAGCCGGCGACATATAGACTTAGATACTCGGCCGGAATGCTTGTTCGCTTTGCTAGCTGAGTGATATTGGTTTCGGGTTCTCGGACGCTGATTTGGCTCGTGGCATTTACGGTCGTCTCGTCAATCTCGATGTCCCTTTTGGTTAACGGCATATTACTGAACGTTTCCGCTTCGCCTTGGGCATTGAGACTTAGTGTGGATACGATTTTATTTCCGAGGAGATTATCAATGTCGCAATTATCAAGCTCGGCTACGAATGCTCGGAAATTGACCGAGTCGTAGACTATTTGTCGGGTAACAGTGGTGTCGTTAACTTTGAGCTGGCCCATGAGAGTGTCATATTCACTTCTGGTCGAGTCGGAGGTAGTCAACACCACAACAGGAGTAGGGGCTTGAGTCGGTGAACAGGTTGTTGTAGAGCTCGATGTGACACTAGAAGTCGTAACCGTCGTCGTTACGGGCTGTATCGTTGTCGTGGGTTGACCCGTATTTCCTCCACCCCCTGAATGGAAGATGCCAAAGAGGGTTATGATGGTTAAGACTGGGTGAAATGTTAGTGGTGGGCAACATGGCAGGTACCTAGTACCTAATTATAATTTGGAAAGGGGGTGAATACATATTCCCGTCGCTGCGCCCACACCAGTAGCAACGCCCGCTTTGCCGATAGAGGTAATCTAGGACCATGAATGTTAGATGTATACCAGGTAGGTAGGTAGGTAAGTAGGTAGGTAAGTAGATAGTATATTTAGACAGGTATGGGCCATGACATGTACTTACCGCGCTGGTTGCAGCACTTGCGTCCCTTTCCAGGTTTAATAGAGGTGCACTAGATCCGGCGCTTGCTATGCTTGCTGCATCATCCGAGGCAGCGTCTGATACATCGTCAAGGACATCGCTTGCCCGTTCAGCTATCCAGCTAATCAGTACGGGTAGTTCATGATCAGCTATAAGGTACTAGGTACGTACTTGCACTTCTAAGTTGCGAAAGGTGGTCAGATGTAACCTATAGCAACTTATTAGCTATGATTCGGGCAATAATAGTGTCTGGGGCGATTCCTCTTACCAAGGGAGAGTTCGGTCTCTCAATGTCGTTGCTAGAGCCGACGAGAAACAGACGATTCCCATTTCTAGCCGCTTTGTCTGTTGCGTGAAATCCTTAATTAGAACCATACTTATAAAACCACGATGTCAATCTATAGCTGGGCTTACCTAGTAACTTTCTGACTATTTCCAATTGCGATGCGTCGCTGGTAATTTCCTGCAAGAGGATAGTCTCCGTTTCTGACCGAGAAACAGCCAACCTGCTGTTCAGCCCTCTCTTCTTCTGGTTGCGGATAGTCTTCAGTTGTTGGATGTGAGAATTATAATTATTGATGGCATCCAACACTTGGGACAGAGTCGAGCTATACTCTTGTAGAACATCGGCAAGCTGATCAGCCGTCGGGTCGACCCAGCTAGAGTCTTTGTATATCCCGATACGATTTCCAGCACCGCAGGCTTGGCCTGGATTACCACCACAAACTTGGTTGCAATCGTTAGCATTCGATTTCGAGGCGCCATGAAGAGTATTGCCGACGAAACACTGAGTTCCAAACTCGACACCGGCATATTGCCACGAGCCATTATCACCGAATGCGATGCACTTCTCCACCGTCATCTTATCATTGGTCATACTATCGGCAACTAGAACTCGGGGGCTCTCTTGGTCGAAATAGCATCCTGTGTTTGAGAAGCTTCCAATCGATGGCACGATTGTTGGGGCCGTAGTTGTGGAGCTGGTAAGTGATGTCGATGAGGTCGTCGTTGATGAGACTGTTGTAGTTGTCGTACTATGGCCTGTGTCATACGATTTATTTTCATAAATCGCGAGTCTTCGTGCTCCTCCGCATGTTTCGCCAGAGTTGCCGGCACACGCTTTGGTACAGCCGTCAGACCCCGACGCCGTAAGGTTAGTACCGAAGAAACATTGACTATGTCCTCAAGTTAGCAATAATAGCTAGGTACCGGTAGGTATGATGTTAGGTCTTGGATCACTATTAACTCACTTTCCGTTCTCGAGACCAGCATACCTGGCGTTCCCAGCCGTCGCCAAGTTGATACACTTTTCAACGGTCATGGAAGTATCTTGGTTTTGGTTGGGTAGTATCCTGCTTGCCGGGTCGTCTACGAAGCATCCGAGATAGGTGAACAAGCCTACTTTCGAAGGAGTTGTTGCTGGATCCGTGTAGTCTTGATTTTGGTAGACATTTATGCGGTTACCATCTCCGCATAGCTCCTTCGAATCCCCGGCGCATGCCATCGTGCACTCTCCTTTTGCCTGTTTGGAGGTCGAGCTAAGGGTGTCTCCCCAATAACATTCCCTGTTTATGACATGTCAGCCCCTATACTGGGTACCTAGTCCTAGCTACATAGTAGGAACCTAGTAGGTATATAAAGCCATAAATCCCAAAGGGACACTTACTTCGCGTACTCGACGGCAGCATATTTATGGCTTCCTGCAAGCTTGACGCACTGTTCCACGGTCATGCTGTCGCTTGTCGACGATCCTGCAGTCAGTGCTCTTGCCGAGCCGCTGTCACTATAGCATCCTATCGATGAGAAAGATCCAACCGAGGGCTTCTCGGATGCGGGCTGGCTGTAGGCATTATTTTGATAGAGATTAATACGGTTACCTCCGCCACAGAGCTCAGATGGTGATCCTGCGCATTGCATATTGCAACCAGAGTCTTGTTTAGATGCCGAGGGCGAAAGGTAGTTCCCATAATAACACTCCCTAAGATAAGAGAATTGTTAGCATTCCGAGGTTGTCAGTCGCATTGAGCCTTGGCCCTTTAGGAACATCTTTACTCACTTTCCGTATTCAACAGCAGCATACTTGAACCCTGCGGCGGCATCTAAGCATATTTCCACTGTCGTCGCAGTTCCGCTTGGCACATTATAAGTGTTTGGAAGACTGCGCGCATCTGCGGAATCAGAATAGCACCCTTGCGTTACCCACGTCTTGTAGCTGCCAACCTCTTTAGGCACAACGTTTGACGGGTTAACGTAGAGTCCTAATTGTCCCGTTAAACCCCCACATGCTTGCCGATTGTTTCCAGCGCAGTAAGAGGTACATAAGTTGGCATTCTGCTGTGTCGAGGCCGAGTTGATGGAATTGCCCCAATAACATTCTCCGTAGTATTCGACACCGAAGTAAGTCGCACCAGCTGCTGCCGCTTTCTGTGCACATAACTCTACAGTCATGCCATTGAAGTCGGTGAAAGAGCCTCCTGTTAAGGTCCTGGAACTCGAGGAATCCGAGTAGCATCCTTGATATTTGTAATTCCCAGTACTCTGGACCGGGCTCAGAACAGGTTGGTCTTCACAATACCAATAGCTTGAGCTAGGCCCGGGATCAAGACAGATATTTCCGCCATTGCCTCGGGGATCAGCATAAATGAGGACCTCTTTATTGTGGGTTAGTTTAGATTTCAAGAATATGACACAGAACATTTGAAAGTTTTCAAGATATAATTGAGGTACGTAGGTACTTACTATTTTGGGCAGGACATGGATTGGAAGTTGGGCAAGCGTGATGTCCATCAGTTGGTGCAGTAGGTACCCAGACGGCGCTTTTGCTCGGGAAGGGGCAGCAGACGAGAGAGTCTTGATTGCCGCAGTAGTTCCCTTTTATGTCTTCGAAGGCGCGGACGTGAAGTGTCAAGCCCGATGGACAAGACCCAGTACCGCAGCCCGTCTGAACACATCCTGGGTAAAGATATGATGGTGCTGCTATCTGCCCATAAGCAAATATAGGCAGATATATCAGTGCAATAAGTTTAACAGAGACCATTGCGACTGCGACACACGGCTAAGGGAGAAATGAAGCAGCCAGAAATCATCACAGCATGGAATGTAGACCTCGGAAGTTTTGCTGTGAACAGGTCGAAGGGTCTCTTGACTTTTAAATCAAACATACCTCTTACTGGGTAGGTAGGTTCCTAGTAGGCATTGGGACGTAAAGGTTCCTTACCTGATCATCAGCGTAACTAGTCACACAGCTATTTCTAAAAAGGGGTATAAAATCTAGCCTGGCCTAGATCGTGAATATTCTTACATCCCTGGATAATGACTAACCTAGCTGCTGAAGAAATATTTGAGTTAGTGATCAGAAAAATGACCTCGGTTATGCTTGATATGATATCTACAGGCTTGGCTATAGAATAAGTATAATGCGGCTCTAATTACTATCAGCTATGACATAAGTTGCTAGGTAGGTGGACTACTAGGGGGTGCGGTATCTACCTTAATTCGGCATCAAATCATTCCCCAGTCCAATCATGTTAGAACACTATAGTATATACGAGATGACATGACTTAAATCATACAAAGGTACCTACCTACTAATCTAGCGGATATGTGACAAAGAATATTTCTTCTACCCCATGATCGTTGCTATGCGATGAAGTTCGCTATGGCGTCAGCATCGGAATGGTAAACTTACAACCTTGGAGCGATCCAACCACTAAAAACCGGGCATCGTCGATACAGCTTCTGAATTATGTAAGTCTCCATCGCTATAGTGCCTTGGCGCGTTACCGGCTGAGATTTCTTCACCGATCCCTGGTCTATGTGTCTATTTCTAGGTCTCTCATGTTACATCGCTAGTGGTTCTAAGTCGCGATAACTATCGTCAAGGAAATCGGCCGATTGGAATAGCTTCTTACAAAGAACGATTCAGGTCAGGACCTGGACAGAATTTAATATGTGACATTCTTTGGTAAGCACCGAATGAGGTCTAAACGATTTGAACAATAAGTCCTTTCAGCACACAAGAAGTTACCTTCACCTTGGCATCTATAGTCTGATCAGATATCACGTTCTGGAACCTCTAGGTACCTTTATGTCACTGTGCGCACAGATTATAGGACTTTGCATAGTCCAAGGCAATTGTCAACTGGTCTGGAAACATACCACAAGGTTAACAGCTGAATTGCAAGGCGGTAGCTACAAGGTAGGTACGCAAATAGCTGTTCGTACGAGAGCCTTAGTCATTGCAGAGCAGAAGGTTCGTTTAGCCTTGGCGATATTCTCGATATCATGGAAGTGGTTGATTCTAGGCCTGTGCAGAAATTGGTATAGGTTGAAGCTCCTGGATATGTACTAGGTCGGCTTGTAGGTCAGAACATGCCTAGGTAGGAAAAATTAGATGAAAGATGAGATATAAAATAGGCTGAGCGCCCACGTCTCTTCATATTGATTCAACCATCACAGTTCTCATCAAGTTCGAAAGTACATAACCAGCATCACTCACCACCTTCGTTGACTTCTAAACTCCCCCAAGTCTCAATCCAAAAGACACAATGTTTACCCGCGTCCTTGCAACCGCCATCATCTCTCTTCTGGGATCTGCTGTGGCTATCCCTCGCCCAGAGGACTTTGTCCATGATGCTGGGATCCAAATGAAGCTCGACTATGTCCCCATAGAGCAAGGCATCGAGGTAAGTCCTGCTACCTACTCAGTAGGTAATATTGTTATTGAGAATCAAGTCTTCTAACGCCTAAGCAGGCCATTGATATCTCTAACGCTACTCTTGGAGCCCGTGAAAACATCTTCTTCCAGGGCAGGTTCTGGGAGAACAAGAACTTTGGGGGAGCCTCTAAGACGTGGGGCATGCCTAACTTTGCTACCGGATACTATGTTGGCGACGGCTGGAATGACAGAATTTCTAGTCTCTCTCAGGGGTACCCCTCGGGGACTGGAGCCTTATGCTGCAGATGGGTAAGCTTGAATTGAACCTTCGACTGATAGGAACGGCGAGCTAACTCTAGGCTTCTTCTAGTACAACGACTACGATGGATCGAAGTGTTATGGTAGCTCTCTTATTGTGACGGGAACAGGCTCTATCAGCTATGTCGGTGATGCCCAAAACGATCAAATCAGCTGTGGTGCTTGCTGGCCCTGGACGGGGTCTTGTTAAGGGTGGTGGGCATGTCGTAACTAAACGAGTCAAGAAATCCCATGCTACCCCATTGCTATTATCTTCATATTCTAGTATAAACTTTACTCTTCCGATATTATATAGACGTTAAGGATATTTCTACAACCACTACATTTGAAATAGTTAGTACAACCGACCTAATTCCTCCTTGAGTGCGCGATATGATGAGAAAGCTACTAGGGAGTAAACGACTGTTGTGGGGTGCTAGAATATACATTCCCATGATGGGTACTTAGGTATTGACATAAATAGGAGAGAACACGGAACTCTTCCTAACCCCCTCCCTTTCCATTCCATTTCTCTGGTAATTTAGAGCCCATACGAAACTCCCATAATTTCTTATCAAATCTCCCCTCCTTCAACGCCGCAGCATCGCCGGCATACTTGAAAGTACTACCTGAACTCTGAATTGGCTCCTGTCCGTCGGTGTAGTCGATAAGACAAGGCATGACTTCGTACGCATTTGTCTCGTAGTACGCTAGCTTATACGCATGTTCGGATGACCTAACCTCGTAGGCCGTTCCCGCGACTTCTTCACCCGTCTCACCATCTATAAGGGCCTTGTAATCCCCCCATTTCGCGAGTGAGTATCCAATGATCTTGGCCGGTCGCATGACAGGGTCATGGTCCAAGTCAAGGATTCGCTTTAGAATATCGGGACGCGTGAGGGTACCGTAGAAAAAGTAAACCGTAGGCGTATACCTTGTTGGCGATGCCAAGTCAGTCGTTGTTGTTATCCAGACATTGTCGCCAGCTGCCTCTAAGTTTGCAAGATATTGTGAGGGTCTTTGATCCATATGTTGTGCCTTGGATTGTGGAGGGAGAGGTGGTGGCGTGGGAGGTTTGGCCGGGACTGGATCGCTCATGGTTCAATCCGTGATGCTTCACATATAATGCCTACCTAAATTACCTAGACAAATGAAATTTTTTTTGATTGATAGGTATGAAGACAATGTTGAGAAAGTGAACTAATGTTAATTGACCCTAACCCTAACTTAAATCTGAGAAAGGTATGACAACGCAAGGGGGAACGAACAATTCAACACATCTAGATAGACTCTTAAATAGACCCTTTATGGCAAAGAACACTAGTAGCCACATCTCTCCTATTCCAATTGAAAACCTGACACTAGAGAGGAGAAAAACACTAGAGGTGGCTTAGAATGGAATCAATGGATACATCAACTAGCAACATACCAACCAAAACTTATGTCGTTGGATCTAAGGGTGTGTAGATTTTGATTGTATAGGTAGATTATAACTATAGTCGGGCGTGCTCTATGCAGTAGGGTTGGGTTGAACTCCTTAGTCTTGTAAGCCTAATTTATTTCTTATTACTTTTACCAGTCTCACTTCAAATAGCAGAGAACGTACAAAGTAGTCTCAGACCCGTCTCTGCAAGTTACCTAAACACGTCATAGCATGCCACATGTATACTACCTAGTAGTTACAACTCAGAGCCTCGACTGCTTCCCGGACTGCCGAGTCGTTTCTAACCTTCAGTTGCCAGCAAATTTTTTGAAAGCGCCGATGAGGCTGCCTGTGCTGGCATCGTGACCATCGCCGTTCCCTGGTTCATCTAATTCCTTTAGAATCTTCTTGGCGAGCACCTTACCTAACTCGACACCCCACTGGTCAAACGAGTTGATGTCCCAGATTGCGCCCTCGGTGAATGTTAGGTGCTCGTAGTAGACGATCAAAGCGCCTAGCTCGGCAGGACCGATGACATCACCAACTAGGATGCTCGTTGTCGGTCGGTTACCTAAGAAGACCTTATGGGGTACGAGCTCGTCGGGAGTGCCCTCGCTCTTGACTTGATCGGCCGTCTTTCCGATCATAAGAGCTTCGGCCTGGGCAAAGTAGTTGGATGCCAACATCTTCTGGTGCAGGTTGCCGGAGATGGGGTTTTGGGACTTCGCGGCGAGGATAAAATCGGTGGGGATCAGCTTGGTACCTTGGTGCACGAGCTGGAAGAAGGAGTGCTGAGCATTGGTGCAAGGTTCGCCGAAGAGGATGGGCCCGGTCGTGTATTTAGCAGGTGAGCCGTCAGATGTGATTGTCTTACCGTTGGACTCCATCGACAATTGTTGAAGGTAGGCGGGGAAACGGTGCAGATATTGGTCAAAGCTGTTATATGTTAACAAAACATAAAACTTTCAATCCACCTCCAACTACATATTAGGCGTATTAAATTGGAAGGCTTACGGTGCAACTAGATGTGTTTGCGCAGCAAAGAAGTCGCTGTACCATACACTTAGTAGACCACCCAAAACAGGGATGTTGTCTTTTAGGGGGGTTTCGCGGAAGTGCTTGTCCATCGCATGTGCACCGGCCAAGAATTTGTGGAAGTTTTCGTAGCCGACGTATAGAGCGACGCTGAGGCCAATGGCACTCCAAACTGAGTATCGGCCTCCAACCCAGCTCTCGAAGCCGAACATGTTCTTGCTGTCGATGCCGAATTTGGTTACCTCGACCTCGTTTGTAGATAACGCAACGAAGTGTTTGGCGATTTCTCCCTTTCCACCGGTCTTCTCAAGGAACCACGACTTGGCAGTGTTGGCGTTCGTTGTAGTCTCTGCCGTAGTGAAAGTCTTGGAGGCAACGAGAAAGAGAGTTGTCTCGGGATCAGAGTTGGCAAGGGCCTCGGCCATATGGGTACCGTCGATATTTGAAACGAAATGCAAGGTCATGTCTTTTGCGCCATAGTGCTTTAAAGCCTCGGTAACCATGACCGGACCCCTATTGCGTGGTTAGCAGGCAGACGCCAGATGCCGGATAGATACGTTGCGTTAAAAAGGACGCTTACAGATCCGAACCACCGATACCGATGTTGATGATGGTGGTTAACTTCTTTCCGGTAAATCCCTTCCACTCGCCACTCCGGACCTGCTCGGAAAACTCCTTCATGTGTTGCAAGACTTCATTGACACCACCCTTGGCGTTCATGACATCCTGGCCCTCCACCTTCATCTCCCAGCCGCCTACATTACGCAACGCGGTGTGGTATACAGCACGGTGCTCGGTGAAGTTGATCTTTTCTCCTGCAAACATAGCATCGCGCTTCTTCTCGAGGCCGGCCTCTTCCGCGAGCTTTAACAGGAGGTTGATTGTTTCTTCGGTAACGAGGTTTTTACTGAAGTCGAACAGTATATCGGTACCGGAGGGGGTGTTCTTAAAAGTCTTGCTGAACTTTCCGAAACGGGCTGGGTCGGAGGCGAAGGCTTCCTTCAAGACGAAGGTCTTACCAACGGTCTTGTAGTGGTCTTCCAAGGTGGCCCAGGCGGGCAGAGAAGCTGCTTGAGGCATCTTGACTTCGGAGGTTTCGCAGAAGCGAGAAAGAAACTAAACAAAGCTAGTACTGCGTCAAGCAGATTTACAGTTAGAATAAGTTACTAGACGATATATGAAAAAAAAAGAATAGTGAAGCAAGGTGTATGAGATGCATGTATGACATGCGTGTATTATAAGTTATAGCATCGTCATAATGGCCGCAGTAGGAAACCGAACAATGCGTAATGCGGACGGCGGGGCGGAAATCATATTGGATGTCACAACTGCGTTTCACTTACCTCAAGCAAAGACGAAGAAGGATTATGCTGTTTGAGGATGTATTGACAGTATCGTTTTATGTCGAAGCTGAAGGATGTGAGGCTGGAGATATAAAAGTCAATCTAACAACTCGAGTGGAAGTTTTTGCTTCTTTATGTTTTATGTCTCAGGAAGGAGACAAGGTGGGGTGATAGTGGGAAGCATCCGGGATGAGTGAGCGCCATTTCCAGCTCCCTCCTTCCAAGCAGTTTAAGCTGCCTGGATGCGCGGTTTGCTACCTAGATACTACCTAGATCAGCTCCCAAATTTCATCTCATCCCGCCTACCCCGCGCTAGTGACGTGATGCTTTATGTCCGGGTGCATGTGTACATTAGCATGTACCTCCATATCGTGTGCGCATGTGTATTGATACTCCCAACCCAACCCAACCCCTAATCCATGTAACCATGCAGCATGCAACTTAGCTCCAGGTGGCGTCCGATGTAACTATATATTCCCGATAAGTGACTTATCTATTTCTGCTTAATCTGCTGACGAGATTATTCACTTACCCCCCTACCTATTAGGTACCTGGTAGCCATCATCGCCGAAGACAAATACAATCTACAGTAAGCCTCGGTTGCAAAAGAAACAACCGAATTTCTCAAATAACAAGTTTCACTTAAAATGGACACCAAAACATTCAGCTCAGCAACGGCATCTTTCTCTTTTCTTAACCTCCGTCTTCTTTATCTACAGAGTGGTTGTCTCCCCTTTTGAGGTCCCAGAAGGCGCAAGCTCGGAGGCATCGTCAACAATTCATGCCAAACTCCATATGAAAGTGCTTCCTGTGTGGTCCAAAGTCCGGCAAACGAGTCGCAACCGCAACGCAAAGCAAAGCAACACAACAGAACACACCGTAGTTGTACTTCGTAGCCTAGTAAGTGGTGTGAACTCTCCAGCCACACCATATGGTGTACCCCCTATTCTACCCAGCCCTACTTCGCATCCACCTATCTTTAAGTCTTCCAATCTTGTAATCGTGAACCCCCTTTACATGTCTCTCTGTTTGCATGTTCCTATCCCTTTGTTTATCGCCGATCCTGGATGCTGCCTACGAATGAAGGGTCCTTAACGCTGCCACCGGCGTCACCTAATCCGGCAATTGGTCTGTTGTAACTGAAACCCGCAAATTGGTTTTGCATCGTCTCCGACAATACTGGCCCCTCGACGTACGAGTCCTGTGGGGCTTCTGACGTAAACTCCGGGTCGAAATTCTTGGTATCGAGAGCATCGGCCTAAACATTGGTTAGAGGTGACTAAAGACCGAAAATATGGATAATTGGAACACTTACCACGCTGGGCTTGAAGGTAGGCTCATACTTCCGCTGCAACAGCTTGCGCCAATCTATGGCGTGGAAGAACGGGTGGGCCTTGATCTCGGCGCTGCCTGCAGCTCCCAATCGCTCCTCGGGATTGCGGTTCAACAGTTTCGAGAGAAGATCCTTGGCTGCCGGGGGAACGACGTCCGCGCTAGGGAAGTGTAGCGGCTCGGACAAAATCTTCCGATACATCTCGTTCGTATTCTCATCGTAGAAAGGTGGGAGACCCGTAAGCATTTCATAGAGGAGAACTCCCAAGGTCCACCAGTCGACCGTCTTGTTATAGCCTTTGCCCATAAGAAGTTCGGGAGCTAGATATTCGGGGGTTCCGCAGAAGGTATTCGTCCGGTCTTCGTCCTTCATGTCCAATTTGCACAGACCGAAATCGCAGAGGGCGATGTGGCCTTGGTAATCGAGAAGGATGTTCTCGGGCTTCAGATCTCGGTAGATGACGTTGAAACCGTGTAAACATTCCAGCGCACAGAGAAGTTCAGCGGTGTAGAATCGCGCTCGATTGACGTCGAATCGCTGCTCTTTTTGAAGGTGGTGGAATAACTCGCCGCCGTTGACGAAAGCCAGCACGAAGTAGAGCTTCTCCGGAGACTGGAATGTAAACTTTAGAGGCACGATGAAGGGGTTGTTAATCTGTGCCAGCACAGATCTCTCGGCCAACGTGTGGGCGACCTCGGATCTGGAGATGATGTGTGCCTTGCGAATCGTCTTGAGGGCGTAGATTCGGCTGGTATCTTTCTTGCGAACCTGCATAACCTTTCCGAAACTACCCTTGCCGACCACCTTGAGCAACTCGAAATCCTCAATCTTAAGCTTGCCGGCACGGTTTTCGACGTACTCCACACCGATCTTGAGTTTACCAGCGCCGTATTGCACTTCGACCCAGTCAACGCCGCTGTGGCCCAACTCCCGCTCTCGGCTCTGGAACTCCGCGGCAGCCTTCTCGCGATCTTTCTTGCTAGCCTTAGGATCCTCGACGAAAGTATGCTTCTCCTCGAACCTAGGGTTAATTCGAACTACGCCTAAAAAGATATCTTGGCTTCGTCCCGACCCTGGAGGTGCTAGGGGATTGCGCATATATAAATGTACATTCAACTCTGTCACTCGAGACACATCGAACTTGTACTGGGTGTTATCGCCGGCCCATAGAGGGTTCTCTGGGTTGCCCGAGACCGAGTTGACAAAAACCTGTACCTTATCGAAATCTAGGAGTGCATACGGTAGATATTTGCTAGAAATTCGACCGTGGTTGGAGGGTATGCCAGTAAAACCACCTGCTGAAGTCTGAGGTCTACCATTCATAAACGAACCCGCTACTGTTCGTTGGGAAGATCCTGGTCGCACGGATCCGACAGTCAGGGCATTCCCCGTCGACATGGAGCCCTGTCCATGTTGGGAGAAGGCATTCCGATGTTGCTCGGGAAGTGCGAAGTTCTGACCTTCGTGGAGCGTAACCACGAGGATACCGGGTTTCGGGGGCTTCACGACGGGCTCTTGGACCATATGTTCCGAGGCAGCTGTAGACGACAGAGTGTAAATAAGAGCTTTCTACGAATTATTGTATTGTGGGGGATACGTATAGGGAATACGAACCGATTGCGTTATCGCTGGGAGTAGGCGTGGCAGAGGTAGGAATGGGAGACTTCTCGTCCTTTTCTGTAATGGTAGACGTCGAAGGATTTCGTGAAAATGTATTGGTAAGGGGACCCAAATGGGTGTCCTTTAACTCTATCAAAACAGCGCGTTAGTAAAACCATTCACGATTGTGAAGTACATAATAATTGGATCGTGATAGTTAATTTAGCTACCTCCCACCTTCCTAGGGGGGGAGACGAGGAGAGGAGCACAGAACTACTAGGTACATGTGCATCAATAGAAAGTTTAATACTTACTCTTAGTGAGCTTCCACGACATTTTCCAACAATGCCCCTAAAACGACTGGTTGAAGATTGTGTATGTTGTTCGGAAGTCGGTGAAGGTCGCAAAATGGCAAGGCTGGTAAACACGACCAAGGGATTCTAAAAAGAGGAGACGATAAGTTGGTTGGTATCAAGGTGGGCGTCTCTTATCGGTGTCACGATACTTCTAAAAGTTAGGTGTGGGCGGACGGGAACTGGAATAAGGAAAGAAGAAAAAGAAAAAAGGAAGGACGCGAAGAAGGTGGCTGAGGACGAAGAAGCAATGATGTCGATTTTCTACCTAGGATAGGATTGAGTTGGGTTGATCATCGAATCAATTAGAGAAAAAAAGGTCAAAGACCTGAAGTTGCAAGGTCAATGTTTCGGTTCAAATGGGTTCGAATGTTCATGGGGGGGTGTATTTTGACGAGCGCGGACTATCGGGGGGCGGATCTCTAAGCGTTCCTTAAGCGTAGCGACTCTTAGGTAAGTGTACCCGGGCTAGGTAGTGTATCACAGGCGGCTGATACGACGTGTAAATCCCCTACCGGGACGAAAGTTAGGGGTGCGTCTTACTGGGCTCTTATCGAAGTTTGAACCCCCTATTTTCCCTTTTTTTAGGTACGCAGCTAGGTACGATAAAACGATAAAGATTCCAAGTACGTGCAAAGGCGGGGTAGCACATGCGCGGTTTCCAGAATTAAGACACTTCCGCCCAACCCGTTGTGGGTCACGTCGATTCAATGTATTTTATGTTCTTCTTATGTACATATATACATATGTACATACATACTAGTATGCGTAGTGAGTTTCCAAGCAGCCAAGTTCAGATGTCGTCAACTTTTTAAACTTCCAAGTTACAAAGATGCTAAATGCCATCCAAATACGAACTTACCTACATAGCGCCTCTAGAAATTTCGAGGCGAAGTAGCACAGACATACGAGAAGACACGAGGAGATATTGAAGAGGACAAAGAACCAAGTCGGTTATTGTAATACATGGGTAATATCTCAGCCAATCCACATGTTCAATCCAATTACCTCTGATAGCGGATCGTGGCGGAGCAACTCAGGGGCTGATTCAAAGTAAATTATCTCAGGTCCGTCATCTATGTAATTACAATTTGCAGACGACACTATTTATTCTTGTCTTCCAGGGAGTTAATAACGACCCACTATCATGACCTAAAGTGTATGGTCCTCATCGACAATTATAATGGCATAATGTCTTGTACGTGTGATCGCGTCGAACCGATTGAATTTATCGAAAATCAGGTACAGATCTGTAGGCGCTATTTGGTCTAGTTCATAATATAGCATCTTATTCTCATGAGTCGGTCAATCATAAAGAAACCCACCGCTGGAATAATAAAACTTTAGAGTTGATTACCAAATTCGAATGTAAGCAATGAATAAGAACTTTATCAACTAGTCACTCTCTCACTTGCGCTCTGCCATTTACATTCTGTCACCTATCTCAAGGGATGTTCTTGTTCGGTCATAATTCCGTGTAACCTACCATCCCAAAGATACCTAAGTAGTACGAAGTATACATAGATATATTTAGATACGCACTTGGAAATCATGTAGGCTATAAGCTTCGTTTTTTATTCTAGAACTAGTAGCGATCATTTCCAAAGTGCAAATACTATGCAGTAGTTCAAAAGTTGCGGCTATGCCTGTGGAGAATACGAAGATTTGGTAATTGCTAAGAAGGAAAACGCGCAAGCCTAACGTGTTTCTTCACGGCGGCACCGATGAAGATGTGGCTGAAAAGCCATTTATGTATATATGCAGATACGTTATGATTATTAGATAACAGATTTATGCATCAAACGCAAATAACAATCTACATACGTACCTAGGTACCTACATATGTCGGGGACACCTTCGATTTCTTGTTATCTCAATACCTACCTATACTCTTGCGAACATATGTATTACCTTCTTCCAGCATACCAAGTACCTACCTACATAATCATCTCACTCTCGGCCATATTAACTATATAGTAGGTAGATATTTCTACGACTAAAGTTTGGATCTTACTGTATTAAATCTTAGATCAAGTACCATGTCAGCTTCTCGACAACTAGACTGGCCTTGGACTGCGATTCTCCATGAAATCACTCATTCAAAGTTGTGTTCGGTGAAGTTATAAAGAACAGTTTCAAAGTAAGACACAATCAGCCGATTGGGAATTCAGAATGCTACGTCTAGAGATACGCGATAGTCACCCCTGTTTCGAGGGTTAATATGCTGCGCCGCAACATTCGCATCTTCCACAAACCTGTCCTCTCCTTTAACTCGGGACTATATTGATTCTTTAACACCATGTCTCAGAGCTAGTCTCATTAGCTTAGTTTATTCCTAAAGGCCAATGACGATAGATTATCGCTATGGCGCCGTCTCCCGAGATTCAAGAGCATGAGGCATCATCTAGGGCCACAGAGAACAACAATGGTGAGAGCATCGTGCTTGAACATATCGATTCCAAACGACCTCAATCTAAACACGATCAGCATGATAGCCAAACTACTCAAGATATCATCGCTGAGCCACCGCGCGAATATCTTAAAGGATGGAGATTATACGTCCTAACTTTCGCGTACTACCCCTATTGCATTATCCACGTGCATCTAAGAGCCTTCGCCTAACCGCGGATAGATTATGCCTATCCCTATTCTTATCGACGTTAGAAACAACAATAGTCAGCACATCTTTAATATCTATCACGAATGCTTTAGGAGACTTTGAGCAGCGAGATTGGGTCGTCACCGCCTATCTCATCACATATACAGGCAAGATAACGAATATGAAAATGTTGAGTTGTAATATTAACTGGATACGTGACACTCAGGTTTCTTAGTCGTGTATGCAAAATTCAGTGACATCCTAGGACGCAAGTTATTGATATTGGTTGCCATCGCGTTCTTCACTATATTCTCAATCGTATGCGGCTCGATCTCAAATATGATTCAGCTGTATGTCGATCTATGATATTGCAGTGATGCTTTATACTAACTAAATTCAATGCAGGATTGTGTTTCGGTCTTTGCAAGGTGTAGGAGCATCGGGAATATATGCGATGGTGACAGTCATCCAGCCCGAATTGGTACCCCCTGAGAAATGGGGCAACTACATCGCCGTCGTCTCCTTAGTTTCTGTTCTTAGTTCGGTCCTCGGTCCCATACTTGGCGGTGCAATTAACGACCATTCTTCATGGCGATGGGTTTTCCTCCTAAAGTTAACTCACACTATTTGCTGTTGACCTCATATTGAAGGGAAGGCTAATAGAATTATAGTGCCCCTGCCGGTGTAGCGGCCACTGCTTTAATAGCCTTTGTCATGCCAACTCACTTTCCAAACCTCGACAACCCGACTGTTCGATTGACATTTCGAACCAAAATAACGCGGGCCTCACTCCGCCGACTTGATGTTCTCGGAGCGATCCTGCTACTCTTTTCATCTGCTCTAATTGTCTTTGCCTTTGAGGAAGCTGGGTCTCGATACAGTTGGAAAAGCCCAGCTATTTTAAGTACGATCATAATCGGCGGAGTCCTTTTCATTGGGTTTATTGCGTGGGAAAAGGTCGTCGATGGACCGAGAGCAGCACAAGAGCCCATATTTCCCCTTCGGTTAATGAAGGATCGTATGTTTAGTGCCCTTATACTGTGAGTGATATTTCTTAAACCCCATCGGATCCAAATTGCTAAATCGTAATAGGATTGGACTATGTACGGGACCCCCTTTCATGACCGTTCTAATCAATCTCCCACAACGCTTCCAAGCTGTCGACGGAGCCAGCGCATTTGAAGCGGGTATCCATCTCCTACCACTTCTACTTGCTTCTCCGGTGGCCACAGTTGTAGCTGGACAATTTGCTGGAAAATTCAAGGTTCCCCCCTTTTACATTCTCCTATTTGGAGCATCTATGCAATTGCTTGGAATTGGTCTTGCTAGTTCGATCTCATTTACAAGCGGGAAAGCTATGTACGGCTATGAGGTCATAATGGGCTTTGGCTTTGGTATGAGCCTTGTTTCCCTATTGATTTTCACACCGATGGTGGTGAAACGATCTGATATGGGTAAGATATGATCGCCCCCTTGGAATGATAAGATTTTGAAGCCTAACGTGTGATACAACAGCCGTTGCCATGGGCGCAATCACTCAAATAAGGGTACTTGGAGGAACAATAGGACTGGCTATCAGGTATGTTCAAATCTATATCAACTTCAACAAAGGTGTTGACTAACATGAACAGCTCAACCATCCTCAATAACCATTTGTCTTCAGACTTGCCAACTCTACTCAGCCCAACAGATATCCAACAGATCTCAGATTCAGTACAATACATTAACACACTTCCTGATGCTACTCGGGATGCCGTAAGACAAGTTTTTGCAGATGGTTACAGCTCTCAATTGCGAGTCATGATGTATTTTAGTGCCGTTGTTTGGATATTCGCTGCAACGCTCTGGGAGCGTAAATTAAGAAGCGCGGCGACTATGGAGGGGTATTGAAGTACGCAATACAGCGAGGTTCAAGTATAGTCTTAGAGACCTAGGTAGCCTCATTCCTGTTAGATAATTCATGAGACACAGGCTAACTACCTAGGTACCTATGTTGCCCACTAGTTCGCTCTATAACTACAGTAAAGGTCCAAATTTATCCGGCCCACCTCCAAAATCACACCAAAAAACGCCGTTTTGCTACCTTTTCACTTTGCGATATCTCCACCAATAAAAATAGTAAAAATAGAGAATTGATTTTACTTAATAGAAATTTACTTAGGCTTCATTTTATATATATAATATTTTTGGGGAAATCTTAAAATGAAGAAGTTGTTGCAAGTTAAAGTAGAGGTCAATGTAGAATTGTCAACTCTCCCATACAAATCGAGATTTTTTGTATGGAGACTTGCTAAATTTCACATTCAGTCAACTTTGGCTTGCGATAACTTCTTCATTTTAAGATTTCTCCAAAAATATTATATATATATAATAAAGATATAATAAAGTTCTATTAGATTTAATTAACCAATACCTTCTATCATTTTTATTAATTAAGATATTATAAAGTTAAAAGGGTAAGTTTTGGTGTAAAATGGGGGGTGGGCCGGATTAATTTGGACCTTTACTGTACCTAGGTAAACTCAGGAGAGAGCCACAATAGGTGCATGGCCGACTCTACCCCTTAATATGCTCGCCATTCCTAACCCTCTCACAGAGCACCTTTAGTATCTCAGCGCCTCTCCTAAAATCTTCCACATCGACATAAATCATACCGCTAATGCGCCACCACCAGATACCCCTATAAAATACGGTCTGGAAGTATGTACCATTCTCACGATATCCTGTCGCTTTGAACCAGTCCGACACTTTGTGGGCGTGCGCCGGGTCGATTTTACCGGGACCATCAGTACCTAGCTCCAGCGGTAGTCGCACATTGGCGAAGGCGCAGTCTCGTAGACATGAGCCAGGACAGTCCATGATAGAGGTACCTAGGATCTTAGCTGCCACCACAGCGCTTTCTTGCGCTACTGTATGGCAATATGTCTGGATGGCGGCCTCACCACCACAAATATTGCGACGGAAATCGCGCGCAGCTATAGACAGCTGTTTAGCACACCTCCTAGATATTATTATAGGCGACTAAAGGAGACTCACCTTCAACACACAACCAAGCCGTCGTGTCATCAGTGCCTACGAAGTCAAACATCTCCACAAACCCAACTTCGTCCTCCTGGCCCAACTTCTTCCTAGATCGATATCTATGCCCGGTCGGCAATGTCGTTCGGATTAAGTGCTGATGTTTCTTCGGAACGTAGAACGCAGCGCATCCCCTTGGCACAAAGAACCACTTATGCAAGTTCGTAACGAAGAAGTCGGGTTTGAGCACCGCAAGATCGATATCGATCTGACCGATGCCATGTGCGCCATCGACCAAAACTAACGCCCCCTCGGCCTGTAGCGCCGGAACCAATTTCTCAAACGGCACGCGCACGCCGGGCATACTCACAATCGTATCTACGATCGCCAACTTAACCCTTCTCCCAGGCTCACTATTAATAGCCCGTGCCGCATCCACCATCGCCTTAACCAACACCTCATCACTCACCGGCCATGCCACCTTAACAACATGCACATCGACTCCCCTCTCCTCCTCAAGCCACTGCAACCCATGTCCCAAGCTCTCATAAACCAGCTCGTAGCACAACACCACATCACCCTCCACCCACCTCAAATTCTTCAACACCGTATCCGATCCCGTCGTCGCATTCGACACGAACACCAATTCATCCACGTCCTCACAATTTAATAATTCAGCAGCTAGCCTCCGATGCGGCAGAAGCCGATCGTGAAACTCCAGCGCAATGAACGGGTCCGGCGCTTCGTCGACCACAGCGCGCAGGGTCGTGTGTGCGGCCCTTACAGGTGCCGGGATGGCGCCGTAAGAGCCGTGGTTCAGCGGTGTGTAAGAAGGGCTGAAAGAGAAATGCGCCTTGCGGAAGGCTGCGCCGAAGGGTGTTTGGGTTGAGGATGTCATTGCGGGCTTAAGGTTGAGCTTGCGCTTACCTTCATTGTCGGACTGGTATATGATTGTCATGGTGAAGAATTCAACCGGGTACTTATATGTATACCAAGAGACAAGTGAGTCACAATTATCTGGCGGTTAAAGGGAGATATAGGTAATTATGAGTCTTCTATACGAAATTCGGACTGCTCTCGGACTAGTCCAGGTTGACACTTGTAGGATGAAGTATTCATTCCCCTATGGCGGACTATATGCAGGTATTGATCCCGGCCGTTGGGGTATCCCCACCCGCCTGTATCGGCTTGTATCGGGAATAGGTAGGAGTATAATGTAGTATTCTGCAGATATCGTGAAAGACATACCAAGACCTTGATGGATTTAATAAAATATCGCTTATTGAAAAGGGTGGATTATCATAGCACAACCTATTCCAGTTATCTTATATTAACTATCCTGAAAACTAGTAGATATATACTAGGTATTCTACAGAAAAAGTAGTAGCGCGTCAAAAAAACATACTACTATTGATATAGGGGAGAAGGAAAAGGAGACCGCTTCATCACTCGTAACCGTTTCCCTAAATTCCTGTTCACCATACGCTAAATCGGATATCCTACCGGAGCGAGACCGGACTTAGCCTAAAAACGCCGTGTGATGCAAAACCTGCTTAAATCAAATATGCCAATCCTTGGGATGTATTATCTTCCGTCGGGTCCTTTTATCGATGGATTCGACTGTGACCATATCACGTTCTCTACCTAGTACCTAATACTCCCTCGATACCCTCGTCTACCAATCTGCAGCCCATCCGTTCTTCTCTAAGAAATCTTGACAGGCTTCTCTCAGTTGAATATTCGGGCGTAATTCGCTCGGGTGTAGCGGTTCTCTCGTTAAGGGGTCGATAGGATGTCGTCGGAGATGTTCCATGATAGATGATCTATCGTATGATTTGCCAGTCTTGGTCTGCAGGCCTAGTTAGTTGTCCATTCCTCTCGACCTAGCCTTTCTTGTTTCCCTATCTAATAACGGATAACTTACCATAACCGGATCGACCATAATCGCAAAACTTATTTCATCGATGGCCCAATCTGGCACCTCGCGCTTCTGGTCTGACGCGGGTCTAGACCTGTCGAATGTGTCCCGTAACATGGCCATCTTGTGGTGCCACTCCTCTCCAACCTGCACCCTATCGAAATCGTTGGTACACGAATTGACCATGTCGTCACGTTCGCGTTCCATGAGAGCAATCATTTCTTCCTCGAGCTCCTGGCCTTCGCGGATCCTCTTCTTCTCCATCTCGTCCCAGCGATCCTTCTTGCAACGTAGGACCTGATCGGTGACGGGACCCAGGGATTTGTCGTTGGTCTTGACACACAACCGGTGGGCTTGAAGCGCGCTCTCTAGCGCGGCTTCGCAGTCCTTGATGGCTAGTTGGCACTTGGATAGGATGAAGTGCGCCTTGAGATTTTCGCCTTTGCTCAACTTAAGACAGTCGTTGCAGTCCGATATAGCAGAGTCGTAGCAACCCAATTGGACTCTTGCCATGGCACGGTTCGTATATAAGGAAGGGTTCGTTTCGTCTGCAATGATGCTGAGATGTAAAATACTAATTAGTTCATCGGTGCAGATAGTCACATATATACCTAGTATTTTGTCAGTTACTCACGCCTTCGAGTAGAGAGCCTCGGCGCCTGGAAAGTCGCCAGCCTGGTAATGATGGTTTCCATCTTCCTTCAGCTTAGCAGACTTCTCTGCATCCTTCGCCATCGCTGTTTGTATAGACTAGTCGTAGGTAGGGAGAGCCTGGTAGTTCGATCGTCTTATTCGGATTCGAATGTCTTCGGTGATAGTTGAATGGATAGAGCGGGATCAACGGTATTAGTGTAACAATCTCTTTGTCTTTAGGTGGCTAAGTGATATAGAACAACAAAGCAGAGAGGTACTAGAAGGATCCAGCATATATCATTGAGAAAATAGGTTCATTGGATTGAGGAACAGTGCAGCCTGACTGTGAAGTGGTCTGACATCGAAGTGCGGATTCAGATAGGTATTAAAGGACCGGAGTTGGTATCATATAGGCCGGGTAATGATTGTAGGTGATTCAGTCCATGATTCGATGGGTTTTGAGGGATTCAGCATCCAGACCCATTCGCATTTCGCAATTCGGCCGAATTTATTGTTTGCTGTTGCTGCCGTTGTTAATGTCAGAAGATGATAATGTGGTTCCGGTTTAGGCGCCATTTGTCAGGCGAACCTTCGAGAAATCGGCCATAAAACGAGATCGGGTATCGGCGCTTATGTACCTGCCCTGTATAAATCTGGTAGGGATTAGATGTCAGGAACGTATCACACCTTCCCGCGCTATATTAAGCCCAAACATAGCGCTAGGAGTGGGTCTCCCCAGTGCTTTGGGTCATCTATTAGCCCTGGAGTACGTACCTGTAGTGAGATAGGTACCTAGGTACTCCCTAATAAATAGTGCTAATTGACCCCCCTTTTAGATCTATGGATGATAATTGTACCACGTATGAATTTACAAGTTCACACATCTTCGCATCTCAAGATCTGATCGCATCACTTTTAAATAAAGTACAGCGGGGCACCGCGTAGCGAGTTAACCAGCACTCGGGAGGAATATCCCGAATTTGTCACGCGTCAGGTTTTCGAGTTGTACCAAGACACCTACCTATGATTTAAGAAGTCCATCTCGCCTAGAGAATAATTACGGCATCCTGTCGCCATGTTTGACTCATTAGAACGAGGATAAATGGTTGTCTCATATTTGGTCCGTAAAGGTCCGATCAATAGGTAGCTAAAACTACCTACCAACCGGATATATTGTTTTTGTGGCAGCAGGAGAACAGTCCCGGGTTATTCCTTTTTCATATTCCCCAGTTGATATTTCGACGTCAGGGAACAATGCAATAGACAATGTTCCAGATAATTACGTTAGGTCCAGCCGTTCAACCGCTGGTTCGCCAGAAGTTTGCGAACTGCGGTCCCCGAAGATTGATCGAATAGAATTATCCGTGAGGTAGGAATATTAACTGGTAGCTTCATCACTCTATCCGCCAATATAACGACGTATGGCGATATACACACTGCTTAGCACCTTGTGCCCTAGAGGAAATCGCGCGATAACTTGGAGGTCGCCATTTGGATCTATCGTTCCAATTGCTCTGTGGAGGCAAAGGACGAGAGAAGATTCCGGGTCGTTTTATATGAATTCAACGTTAAATCAACCTATAATATCGAGATCGACACCGAGTGGCCTTTCTAACAGGCTCTGCTCACTGCGGCAGTAGAGCTTTAGGGGTAACACGTGCTGAGCATAGAAGGCTTTTCCGTCTGTGGAGAGATTAGGCGGGGCGAGATCCATCGCGCTGATCTAGAACGCAACTTGAAATTATTCAAGGCTGATCTACCTAGTATGGCAAATGTGAGTAGGATAAGCTATGTGCTAAGTATTAGGGGTATACGCAGTATAATGAGATGCGATATAGGGGTAGCGGCTTAAGAAGCTAATTTGATAGGAGGTAAACCTAGGATCAAATGGATATTTACGTGAAGCGCGGTTATGGATTTCAAGAGAAGGATATTGGAATGGGGCTCCAAGATTTGAAGCCATAACGATTTGAACCAAATCTGGTTGAAAGCGATGGATCCCTTACAGCCCTGGAGGCATTTAGACCCCTCACTATAGGTACTCAGATACCTGTGACCCGCCTAAATTATTAGTCAATTACAGCACATACATATGTGAGTCTCCCTGTAAGACCTATTAGGTACACTGGTGATTATCTAGGCGTATGCATGTCTCATTCACCGTCGTCTTCGCCAATCGTGGATTTTAGGCGAGTGAATCATTTGTGCTGAAAGCTGGTTAGGGCTCGTCATGCCGGTAGAGGAATCCATAGTAAGACACTTAAGAGACTGTTGAAGCATGAGAGACCCAAAAGCGTAGTTTTCGTTTGCGGGATACCCATCAAACTCCTCAAATTATTGTGAGGTACTAGGTAGCTTATGCATCATGGATTGTATTTCTACTTAATGGAGAGGTTGATTGACTATGAATATGAACTATTTAGCAGAAACGTCAAAACTACAAATGAAGGGTACGATTTCTAAATTTCTGTCATGACATTATACCAGTACCTTGAAAACTTCCAATTCGACCCCACGATGAGCAAGGATGACCAATTATAAACTCTCATTGGTCGATATTTTCTTGTCTACCTAAACACTACCGATTCTAGTGGTCTAAGTAAGCTATTTAATTTACACATTCCGTATTTTTTGAAGCACAACTAGTTTAAATGGTAGTTATGAGGAAGCATAACGATACTAGTCAAACTACCTAGTCACGTCATCGGTGTATGGGGCCGAAGCGCATATCATAGAGACAGATTCTTCATTGAGGCGGTGACGACTCATATCATTCACCTTTAATATGCATGGATAGCTCTAACGCTGGTCAAATTCCTCTCCTTCACGTAAAGTGTTGGTTAAATGGTAACTACAAAGTGCTAGGTAGGAGATCTCGTTTTACCTGATGCAAGTTGACTCCCTTTCAAGCTCTACCTAGTAATTGTAAATGCCTAGGTATCTATAGATGACTTGTTTAAGTCGGACTTACCGAAAAACGACATGTCGGTACCACAGGTATCTCATAGCGTTTCTCGTGAACAATTGTCATATGCGTGATTGAGGAGTCTTCAATGACTTTCACATAAAAGCCATAAATGACATCTTGAAAGGGGGATAAACATTCGTGATGAGTGTCCATTTTAGTTGTCGCCACCGTAAAATCAATCAAAGTTGTATTCTATTGTTAGTGTTTTTTTTCTCGGCGTACTAAGGATTAACAGAATGTATTATGAGATGCGCTTTGGCTTCATCATACTAGTGAAATGAGATGTTCATGATCCTGGAAGTTTTGAATGTCATGATAAGTATTTGTTGAGAGTCGACGTATGATGCGACCATATGATGTGATTACATTTGTTGTAAGAATAAACGATTGTGAGGTTGCTTCAAGACGGTCTAAAGAGGATATAGTTAGAGAAAATGAAACGATACTCACTTTTCGAAGAATATCATGAGAATAAAATATTATACAAGATTAAATAATATAATTATGTAAGGTATAAAGTAATGAAATGGTACATTATTATACATGATCTTATTGGCCATCGGTGTGCCAAGGCGTCAAATATGTTGAGTTTTGATGGAACGCACATGGGTGGCGCAGCAGATCTAGTGCCGGGTTTAATTAGAAAAACCCCTTATCAATTTTAACCTTCTTCCCCACGTTTTCCTGACCGCCAATATAACGACATATTTTGCAGGCAAATGCACTGCTAAACATACAGGTCCCAGCCCAAGGTCCAAGGTCAGGAAGAAGAAAAAAAAAAAGGTCATCGGTCATCGGTCATCAACATGAAGGCCGTTGCTATGAAGGTAGCGAGGAAAGGCGATGACAAACCAAACAGCTTTTCGAGTTGGCTGTTCAATAATCAGACCGGTACGTCATAATAAGAAGCTGCCGTCGTTGCCCGGTGCTGCCCAGTGCTGCCCGGGCAGTGCTCGTCCTCTCTTCTACGCCCAGGCAAAGGCATCTTATACGAGACATCGAGCCGTCGCTAACCAACACGGCTTGCCGAACAGCCGTATCTTTCACACTAATCACATCTCTCTTCCTCTCGCATAGTTCTGTGCCTAGGGTAAGACCGTTCACGTCTCAGTTCTTTACTCTATCTTACTATAACCCCGCCACCGGAAAATACGCCTCCGGCCATGGAGACCTCTATTTTCTTACTTTTTGCGTCGTGCTCTTCACCGGAATCCGCGCGGCTCTGATGCAACACGTTCTCGCCCCTCTGGCCAAGCACTGGGGGGTCACCAAGAAGAAGGACGCCACTCGATTCGCCGAGCAGGGATGGATGTTGATGTACAACACCATATTCTGGTCCTTGGGCATGGTATTTCACCCCTCTAATCATATGTATCTCACAATAGGTCATAGGTGACTGACTGCTCCTAGTATATCTACTGCAATTCGTCATATCTCCTCGACATGACGGAATTGTGGACGAATTGGCCCCAGAGGGAGCTTCCAGGGCTCGTAAAGGGGTATATACTTGCCCAGTGGTCTTACTGGATGCAACAGCTTCTTGTTGTGAACATCGAAGCTCGCAGAAAGGATTACTGGCAGATGATAGTCCATCATTTCGCCACCATCGCCTTGATTGCTTCGGCTTACGCCTATCATCATTACCAAGTCGCTAACTTGATCCTAGTTCTTATGGACGTGATCGAGTTAATTTTCCCTGTAAGATTATCTACTCAGACAGTCGAAACGATCTTCTGCTAACATTTCAATAGCTTGCTAAATGCCTTAAGAGCCTTGGCTATACTACCATTTGCGATGTTATCTTTGGAGTGTTTGCCGTTACGTGGCTTCTTACACGCCATGTGGTTTACTTGAGGGCTTGCTGGAGTGTCTACTTCGATATGCCCAAAGTAATGCCAACAGGCTGTTACCGGGGCACCACGGGCGATCTCGAAGGTCCGTTTCCGGTACCGGATGACTGGGCGCATCTACTGGAACCATTTTACAACCCCGAGGGTACCGTCTGCATGAATGATAACATAAGACTTGGCTTCCTATCATTCCTCCTCCTGTTGCAGGTTGTGATGATGGTATGGTTTGCATTTATCATTCAAGTTATCGTTCGCGTTCTCAGGGGAGCCAGCGCCGAGGATGTGAGGAGCGACGAAGAAGGCGATGAGGAGGAAGAAGAAGAAGAAGAAACCGGATATGATGGGCCGCAAGTTCTCGAAGAGGAAGTCGGCGTCGAGTCTATCAACTTTGAAGTGTGGAAGCGCCGTGCCGGAGTCAAGGAAGTTTCACATTCGAGCGGTCTGAGTTTGCCTGGGCATAGCGATCGGAAGGAGTTATTAAATCGGGTTGGATGCGAAAAACAAATCGACTAAGCCACGTTTTAGGTGGTATTATCCCTGGGTTACCGGAATCTATGGCTTATCAGTCATTCCGCCTGTACCGAAGCCATAATGTTTGGCGAGGCTCGATTTTATTCACGGATATCACATTTGTACATGGAGACTGGTAGGGCGAACGGAGTGGACGCGGTTGCATTAGGGTACACTGGTTAATGAGAGCCTGTAAGGTACCTAGGTAAATTGAAAAGCAACTGTCCTCTCCTAAGAACTTTCTAAGGTCTAATCAAAAAGCTTACTTACAGTTGTGATGCGAAAGTCTCAAGCCATTCTCGCTCTACGTAGCCTCAACTTCTTCGACTCCGTGTCCGACGAGCTTTGGCGTCTCTGATTTCTAGTGACGTACTTGCTAGGGTTCTGTGTAGATCTTACCGGGTGAACCATTGACAACTTGAGACAATATAGGAACTATGATATGGAGGTCCATAGAAGCGCATCACCGCCTATTTCATCAGGTAATTTCGAAATAAGAATCCTAGAATACAGATAGACGATGCGGCACAGCGGATTAAATTGGAAACCCGTCATCTCTCCAGCAATGAAAAGTTAAGAATGAATTGACTAGGGGAAGCCAATCGGAAAGGATGGAACACAAGGACGCTCTCCGCGGACACCGATCCGGCCTCGGTTCGGATTCGAAGATATGGGATTTCCTGAAGAAGTTAATATTGTTAATAGGTTTTGAACGATTGGAACATTCAAATAAGTAGCTGCTAAGAACCTAAGAATCTATTTCAATTGGTTCTAGGAACACCTTGGTGTTTCTCTAGCTGTCTTACTGTCCAGTCCAGAGCTACCGACATAGCTAGGTACCTAAGACATCGACAACCCCATACATCTCCACCTTTTAAGCATCCCATACGATGGCGACCTCTAAGGATTCTTCGCTCTTAAATATACTCGACGACCGGTTGCACATACCTGTGGAAAATGGAATATCGCATTCGCATCCCCGAAGGAAACCGAGTCACGATATCACTCGCGCGTCTAAGCGAACTCATAAGAAAATATTTTCTAAACGCAAGAGAAATAGATCTCTTCTACGACGTACATGGACTTTGCCGTTTGGCCTTGTACTCATAGTCCTCCTCTTATACATGATTAGCCCAACCGAGTCCAATATCTTCCACCATTTTCTCTTCCTTTCATATAGGTTAGAGGATGATGTGAGCACCATGCAATATGGCAAAGGTCCCTGGGACTTCGCTTTTGTATGCTTCTACACGGTTGTCTTAACCTTTGCGCGCGAGTTTCTTATGCAAGAGATATTGCGCCCTCTTGCCCGTTTTTGTGGTATCAAATCACGAAGCAAGCAGTCCCGTTTCCTAGAGCAGATGTACGTGGTTGTCTACGTTGCTTTCATGGGACCCTTTGGGCTGTACTGTATGAAACAGACACCGGTATGGTACTTCAACACTCGGGGCATGTACGAGTTCTTTCCGCACAGGACGCATGACGCGGAATTGAAGTTCTACTACCTATTCCAGGCTGCTTTTTGGTCGCAACAAGCCCTAGTCATGTTGCTAGGTATGGAGGAGAAGCGTAAAGACTATCAGGAACTTGTGGCGCATCACTTCGTGACCATAGCTCTTATTGGCCTCAGCTATCGGTTTCATTTTACGTATATGGGTATCGCCGTCTACATTAGTCATGACATTAGTGACTTCTTCCTCGCTGTAAGTTCATTTCATACATACCTACTAGGTACCTATTTGCGGTCGCCAAATGATAGCTGCAGAGGCACTGCTGACATGTCTTTACCTTCTCACAGATGTCAAAGTCATTAAACTACATTGGTAGCCCCTTACAAGGCCCATCATTCGGGTTTTGCATAGTTATGTGGACTTACCTTCGCCATTATATAAATCTACGCATCCTCTACTCCATTCTTACCGAGTTCAGCACCGTTGGGCCGTACGGAATAGATTGGGAAACGCAGCAGTACAAAGGCTTAATTTCCCAGACCATCACGTTCGTGCTACTAGCAGCGCTTCAGCTCCTCAACCTGTTTTGGCTTTACTGCTTGTTACGGAACGCCTACCGCTTCATCTTTCTGGGTATCGCGAAAGACGATCGGTCTGAGGATGAAGAGCCAGAACATGACACCAAGGAACCTCGGATAGAGAATAATGATAAAATAGGCGAGATGTCCTCGTCGAAGAGTACTGAGACTCATGGGTTAGCTGTGAAAAGGAGGGGCACTGCAAAGAAGCACTCTGCTTTATGACCGTCACTAATTTTATCCGTAATGTCGACTTTACGTGAGAGCCTTAATAACCTTTGACACCTGTCCTTTTAGTAATATTAATACAGAACAAGATATGTATAAATGTCTAGTCTACTAGGTCCTATAAAATTGCGTTTTGCCTCTTAGTTAATCCCTAGCTAAAGTCAATTACCAGTTGCTGCTTTGCTACTAATAGCGCAGCACTCGTTCGGGCACGAGGCGACGCCTACGTAGTGTACAAGGTACCTAGAAGTCGGTACAAATAGCGCACAGGCCCGCCCTGATAGTTACCTCCAGGGCTCCTTTTAAAGGTTATTGCCCCTTTCTGAACCACCAACATGACGCTGATGTCAGCAAACAGCACCAATCACGGATCGTACCAAACTGTCGGGTTAGTGTTTGTTGCATTAGCCTACGTACCGCGGCTTTCTCAAGATCCTTTCCCAAGATCGTTTGATTGCGCGCATAAGGTACTCGATTGATCGCGAAGTTGGAAGCTGGCGGTCCGATATCGAATAGCCTAATATTTCTTATACCCACTACTATACTAGGTATACCATATGACCAAGGCCAGATCCAGTCGGCGGCTGATCGCAATGGGTTGCGTTACGTTGGTAACAAGGCGACGGAACATTCCCATAGGCATTAGAACTACATATGTAGAAATTGGAGTTCCCTTAGTCCTCTTGGAGCAATGCTTCAGCCTTCAGCAGCGACCTAGGTATATGATATCCAATTATTATAAGGGTTATAGGTGTTCCAGTGTGGGGTTGTTTTGCGGGGTAACCACTAGACAACACCACCTAGGCAGTCTCAGCTTACAGTCAGCTACCGCTACATACACCTCTAGCTTTCATCTTATTGCTTATTATTCGAACACAATCTCAATCGCAATTACCAGTCACCCACGATCATTCTATCTGCCTTGCTGCCAAGCGTTTCCTAACCCAGTAAAATCCTAACCCGATTATCCAAACGACGATAACCACCAGCGCCAGTACCGGTGCGAAGAATGCCCCCCTAATTACCACAAACCCGCTAACTACGGCGAATACTATGGGAACTAGAATAAAAGGTTTGTATGGTCGTCGTAAGTCGGGTTCCTTGAACCTTAGAACGATTGCACCTAGAACCGTCAAAAAGAAAAACGAGTACTCGCCTAGACCATTGAAAGTCAAGAGAGCGCGGAAATTGCCTAGGAGGATGTAGAGGGCCGAGAGGACGGCTGAAAGTATAATGGCGTTGATGGGAGCATCTGAGCGGACCGTAGGCGGAGTTGTCTGCTCGTCGCGGGGGGGTGTGGGCTCGTCTTCTGACCGAGGCTTCAACCCGATATGACCGACTAACGCAAATATACGGGGAAACCAATTCAACCTAGCGGCAGCGACCGCCATACGGCCAGCGACAAATGAGTTACCAAGAAGGGAGCCAGCTACAACTAGGCATATAAGAATCGCAGCAACGATACCAAATCCACGGCCAAGAAGACGGGTTATCGCAGTCTGGTCAAGTAATGTTAAGAAATAGCCCTCTAAATAATCAGGATGCCACTTACCACGGCTACGCTATCAGTAGTCGAGACGACGTTCCAAGGAAGTAAGATGTAGTAGGCGGCATTTGCGGTGATAAAGCAAAGTATGATGGTGGGAACTGCAGTATTGATAGAAAGCGGTAGTTGGCAAGCTGGCGATTGCAACTCGGCTGAAATATAGATTGCCTGAGAAGTCATCTAGGTAAGTACTAGATACCTGAGAATGAACAATGTCAGTGAAATATAAACTCACCTTATCCCACCCGGAATATGCCCACAACGCCCCGTACAACGCCGCGGAATAGTGACCGAGAATCTCCCACTCGCCTAACTGAGTCCAGTCCGTCTTGCTCCCGTCTGGATTAGTAACTACACGATCACTAAACCAGGACCTCTTAAACCAATCTCTTCCACCAATATCCCTCTCGGGGTCGGTAGCCTGAAGGATAGCGACTACTATGCCCGCAATCACGATAGCTGCAATGGTGATGAATTTCGTCACTACAAAAAAGTTGTTCAGACGAGTACTAGCTTTCGTGCTGATGGAATTTGCAACACTGATGACGACCAAGATGAGGATAGAGAAGAGCTTGTGCTCAATTCTTCCAGCTTGGTCGGTGACGCCTAGCGAAGAGTAGATACTCTCGACGAATACGATGCTTAGAATAGCGAGGGTAGCTGGCATCACAGCCACGATCCATGTCCAGGCGGCTAAAAAGCCGAAGACATCGCCAAAGATGTACTGTAGGTACGGCTGTACCCCGCCTATGGTGTAGATTAGATACCATCTCATCTCTCATCCGCGTTGGCGAATAGAGCTAGAGTTAACAGATGAGTTTCACTCACCCTCTCCGGGAATAGCAGTTCCCAATTCTGCCATAGTAGAAGCACCAGTCCATGCGAGCACGCCACCGATCAACCAGACAACTAGAGCAGAGCCAGGAGACGGTACATTGGTGTCTATAGAGCCTGGAGAAGTGAATATACCACTCCCGATGACGATGCTGATGACGATGGCAAAAGCCTCGAGAGCACCGAGATTCTTAGTGAACGTGCCGCTTTCCCGGTCCGGGGCGGACGGCGGGGCGACATCATCGGTTAAGCTGGCGTCCCGCGCCTCTCGCTGATCGGCTAGAAGAGGCCTCGAGGCTCCATCTTCTGGTTCTAATGTCGATGTCATTTCGCAGAAGCAGATAGATCAATTGATCAATGCTGTTCTGAAAAATGATGTTGAAGGGAAGTTGAAGCGGAGTCGATCAATCACGCAATTCAGTTGATGAAGGCGGGCGCCAGTGGTGGGGCAATTAGCACCCATTTCTCTTCTTAGCTACCTCTAGGTATTTAGCATATTTACCCACGTCGACGTGGATCAGTTATAGACTATAGAGTAGTATTCTTCTGTAATGACAGTTTATATGAAACGTTTCTCATAGTTAGTGTCGTTGCTATCTATATCTATTGTCATGACTGTCCATAGAATATGAAAATGAGATAGTCTTCCGTTAACCTTCATTCTACAAGGAGGTCAGTACCTAGTGTGCAAGTAACGGGTACCTATCCATATCTACCTAGAGTGGATAGATTAATAAACTACTAGGTATCAACCCAACTAATTCCTGTCTAATTATAGGGCACCTAACCCCTAAGGCCCTTACATTTAGAACATCATAAATCCATCTCCATTGGTGTTTTAACAATCGAACGGATAATTCCCAACCTCCTGCTCCCCAAAACTACGGAATGAATACACCCCCGAATATACAGCGACATGCGCGTAGTTTTCTTGATCTCCCACCTGAGATCCGAAGGCATATTCTCGAATTTACCGATCTCGTGACACCATATAGAGATGTATATTGGTGTGCAGTTCGAGGTTTTCGCATTGCGTCTCCTTTACGTAGATGTGAAGGCGACAACTGCAACGCGCATCTTCATCAGGGTTGTCGCTTTCTGTATTGCGCGCCACCCTATCCCGTAACGACGGAATATGTCTACTATCGACGTCAGAGCGGCTATTCATCTCGCTGCCAATGTTGGTTACCTCCGAAGAGTTTATTTTTAACATGCCATTCTTTGTATCGAGAGGCGCTACAGGTTCTTTACTCATGTAACCGCATCATCGTCGTTCCCTCCGAAGGACTCAGGTCATACTTACGGCTAGATGGTACGGCGACGCGATTAGATGCATCGAGATTCCTCACAAGACACATGTGGCCGGATGTCCTTCATGATATCCGCAGCATAGAATTCGTATTACCAGCCATCAGCCCTACATGCAGCACGGTGCGCAACGAGTTGTTTTACCTCGACTTATGCTTTGCTATTGATCACCTCAAAGCGCATGCAGACATGCCCATATTAACAATTATCGTAAACGTAAATTCGGTCCCTTCTATAACCAACGGTGACCGGGAATGGTTCTATGAGGAGCTAGTCAACCAAAGGCGTGACAAGGCCCAGGTTTTTCAGGCCTTCGTTCAATTACTCAACTGCCTGAAGCCGCTTCGATCTATGAGAAGCTTCTTCGTCCACATAGAGTGGGCCACTCACTGGTCTGTTGAGCATCCACGTATAGGTCTCTCCGAACACGATGATTTAGATTTGCGAATGAATGAGATGGAGTCATGGTTGGAGAAAATGGTGATGGGCGACGAGTATGATAGCGAAGCCATGGGAAAGTTGAAGCGGCAGCCGAGTATTTGGCTATATGTCGTTTGGGCTACGCTCAGCCAGGTCTGGTGGTCAAGTCTCCCAGAGCAAACTTCATTCATGGTATGTCCTTACCTGCACTAAACGATAACTTCAACTTCTCCTATCCTCCATCTCTCCAAATCATGATTCATCGAATATGTTCAAATGACGGGAATTCTAATTCTGCTATGTTGAACATAGACCTCATTCTCTATTCATTTAAGTGTTTGCATCTATCTGCCACTAACCATCTGTGCCATCTTCCAGATATAGTGATAAGCACCCATAACCTGGAAAGGATTCAGGGGAATGTACCCTAACAATTTAATAGATTTAGCGGATACAGCTCCCCACCTATAGGTCCATAGATGCTTCAACGGGGTGCGGGGTTCATCCTCTATCTACAACACCTCTCGCCCGTTACCCACATACCATAAAACGATCGGGCAGGACAGCGAACGTTACGACGAAAGCCGCTCTCTGCGAGAGGACTCACGAATAGTATCGAAATGGGTCAATCCTGATTTGAATGGTTTTCTTATCTACCTAATTACCAACCCGAAATTTTTTGACATATTATTTCTAACATGTAACCCTTTTGGTTCTCAACCTTCTACCCCCTTAACCTGGACTGGTACCAAATTCTTCCATTCGTCCCACCGAAAGCCGGCCGGCGTCACTGGCTGCGGTCCCCCGTTTTGGAATGAATACACGTCATCCATAAGAGGGTGAGTTAGGACCTCTTCCCTTGTTATCGAGTGTCGGTAGATGTAGTCATCCATGAGAGAATACGCCATCCAGATTTGATAGGGTACAGCCTCTGGCTTGCGGGACGGACGACCCCGGTGCTCGATATCCGGGATCCAACGGTCGCCTCTCCGAAGCTGTTCAGTCCCCTTTCCTCCTTTCGTATCCTCCTCTCCATCTTCGTCCGATTTCAGGAAGTAATCCATGTACATATCTACCGATTGCTTCCTCTTGTGAGCTCGCTTGCGCTTGGTAGACTTCGGTGGCGCTACATTTCGGTTATCGGGGGCGACATCTTCTGACTCCCCAGCAATACCGAGAAGTTCGCGCTGCTCTAGCAAGGCTACCTCGGACTCCATTGCAGTAACCCTTCTCTCTAGGGCTTTCGTCGCCCTCGCTCGCGCGCCGGGTGGAAATCTCCCTCCTTTTTTCCCTTGCTTCACGCCTTGTTTACCCGCTGACAGCTTCCTAACACTATCTCTGGACTTGCGCTTCTTGATTAGGTGTGTTGGCGGAGTGGGCGATTCATCTTTGTTATCTCGAACAGCACGACGAGGCTGTTGACGACTTGCTGAACTCATTTCCACTTAGGCTACTTCGAAATATTCAAAGAGTAAGTATGTAGGTAGTAGGTATGAGACGTTCTAATGCTGCATTGAAGGGGTTCTTGTTAATTTGAAAAGTTGTTTTCATATCTACCTACTTAGGTAGTTATTTCTAAACGAAATAAATATTCCAATCCTAATCCTAATCCTTACAAGATCTTTGTTGGCAAAGCTGAACTGATACATCACATCACTTTAATACAATAGAAGAATTATCGACAAAGAAATTTGCATCCTGTCATAAGTTCCGCTGCCAATGTTATGCATACCAATCATACGGGCGTACCTAATTATGGCTTCTTTATTCCAGGGCACAAAGGATGAGTTTGGCGGTGAGTACGTACCTAAGGTCATATAGTTTGAATCAAAGGTAGATGAAGCCATGGTGCTTTGTAGACTGTTCTGAAGCTCGTAGCTTAGAGAAGTGGTTCCTGGTCATCAACAGCAATAATTGTTAGAAGAGAAACATCAAAATATTTTGAGCATATTGACACTGCATTTAATATATACAATAAGAATTGAATGTATGTGGAAGTAGGGGATGTAAGCATCTTGAACCGGTCCTGGTCGCCCCTCGTTATCTCGTCAAATACCAATCCCAACACATCATACACATCCAAATCATCCCATCAACAACGGAACCGTGAAAATCCCGAATGAAAAAACGAATCTAAATATCATGTAGCTTGAGGTCTCGTGGGTGTCGCTTAGAAACACTTTCAGTCTCTAAGTCCCTTTTGGAGAAAGCACTAGAACGAGCCGGGCCGGGAATTTTGTATGACTGGAGGTTTGTCCAAATATTAAGGGCGACACCGGGATCGCTGCTCTTATACATCTGAGTAGCCGGCACTCCTGCGGGTTGCTGGTTACCCGAGCCAGAGATTTTAAGGTTGATGCACTACTTCAGTCAGAACCAAGCAACTAGAAATTCTCTTCAAAAATTCAACTTATACTAACCTGAGGATAGAACTCGGCCTGGCCTTCATGAGCCTTATGCAGCCCAAGAACTTCGTGCCGAAGGACGTAAGAGCCTGGTTTAATGTTGGAGGGGATTTTGACGGTAAAGGTATCGATGAACCCATCTCCCTCTTTCTGGACCTTCTTGTGGACTTCCGTAGTAGCCCACTTCTGAGTGTTCCAAGTCGGGCTATCTGCCATGCCAGGTTGGGTAAGACCTTTCTCGTAGAACTTGAAGAATCGAAGGTTGTTCTTGTCAACTTTGTCGCAGCCAGCATCGCCACATGAGGCAAGATAGTGCATCTCAGGGCCAGGATGCTCAAACCCGCCTATCGTGTTAAATCGCACGATTTGCAACTGAGATCCGGCAGCCACTGGAATCGATCCCTTAGCATTGGTTGCGCCTCGATGGCATATGATGTCAGGGTTGTTGACGTTGGATGCTGTAACGGGGCCTTCGTCTTCGGTCGTGAAATGCCAGGATACGACTTGGCTCTGGTCATCGTTTGACCAACGCTCGAAACCCTTATATGTTACTCCGTTGGCGATTATTCTGCGAACATGGCCATGTCCCAGGACCTCGCCTGCGGCTGCCAGAGCCAAGATGATAGTAGAGAAAGAAGGCATTTTGAGAAGAAGTGATCAAATTGAATGAGAAAGTCAACGATAGTAATGATTGAAGTGAAACAAAAATTGGGTTGACTTGCAACTTGGCATGCCAGATGGACTATCAGATGAAGGAAATGGGTTGGAATGAAGGGGAATTCTCACCGTGCCTTAAATACATACCTAGGTAATTGACGGATGATATTGGCGATACCGTCGGATCTCTCAGAGACATCGTCAAACTCGCAGCCTCAATCCTATTTCTATGTCGCTCGGTCTCTACGTATGGCCCTAACATGGTATAAACATGTTTCAACGAGACCAACGGTCCATAAAAGGCAAGTGTCAAGAAAGAGTACTGGGTGAAGGATCTAGGGTCGTCTAATAATAGGGGTCAATTGCTCCACACCATCTTAACTGCTAGGTCACCTAAGCTTCCTATGTAGTCAATCTATAACAGACTGGTTCACATGGGAACTCGAATATGTAAATGTTGACGGGTATAGGTACACTATTATTATTTTTTGACTTCCGACTTTAAAATTTAAAGGGCGTTTACGTAAGTACCTGTGTAGATACATATCAACAACTTGAAACAAACAAACAACGAACGTTTAAATCACAACACCATCCCTTTACTATGGGTATTTCAGTCTTGAGCAGATATACAAACAGACGGGAACCGTATCAAATACCTATATCTTGTATTTTCTATGAATTTAATATAGCTACTTTGGTACCGAAGTATCTACCTGCTCTATTAGATATGGGGATATGCCTTTATTGATGTATCTATCCAGTTATCCGGCTGTTCGCTTCCATAGCTGCATAACTTACTCTCTGACTAATTCTTCGGTTCAAGGTTTATTTCTGCTTAATCATCCATTTACATAATACATTTCTTCATTCTTCACTCAAAGTTCCTCTATTCGATTAATTCTTTTAATCCTACGCCCAGCGCCGAAATACATGCGACACCTTCCATATCACATTCTTGGCTGTCGAGCAAAGGGAAGCCCGTATCGATTTAATATTAGCAAGGGATCCTCTGAATCCTTACGAAGGCTGATCTTGACTTGGCGGTTCACCTAGATCCTAGTTGTCTGGGTAGCTGAATTATTACATCATTGATTGAATCAACACCAGTGCCGTCCGCCTTGTTCACCATCTCCTAAATGGTAGATTATCTATTTCAGACGCGACACAGCCGTCGACTTGCTCTTCACTATCGCGCCCGGAATTGTTTCATTTCCAATACCGGGGGACCTACCAGCTACATACAAAGGGCTTGCGAACTCAAGGATCACACAATGACAATCTCCTTTTCGAAACTTGTCCTACTCTCATTTCCTCTCCTCACCTAAGCAATGGTGACCACTAGGCATTGTTTGATCTTCGAAATAGACATGTCACATACAATCTCGTCTATCTGGGGCTTCCGTTACTATCCTCAGGGCTGCACACAAGTTATGTCATGTTTAGCGGGCGCTTCAAACTTGGTATCACGTATGGAATAGAGTATTGTTGATTTAAGTGAAAACGCGATGATGCGCCAACACCAAGATCCGGTATCCCTTATTAAGGGGATTACTAACCCTAAGCAATGCCCACCATTATTCAGCAAGCCACCTTTAGTCATCGCCAAATTCTGACTCAGAATTCAGTCATCATTCTAGTGAAGATGTTATATAAGCGAAACGTATGCTTACCTAAGTTTATAGCCGCTACGCATCCATCACTTCGGCTCCGAAACGGCTACCAGGTCATCTTTAAATCTAGCCAGCTGGAAGCTAACCATTATATTCTGATGGTGTGATTATGGACCGGTGATTGCGCTCACTAAGGCTTGCTGAATATCAGGCTTGAGTCGTTACAGGTACGTGGCAAAGACCTAGTCCTCGAATACCTCAACGTCTCATGGAGTCCGGAATAAAGGAGGTATCGGAGGTAATATCAATAAATTTAAAGACTCATTAGAATCAACGAAACCCGAAGAGCCCAAGTTGTCTGAACCATTCAACAATTCTGGTGATCGCATCATATGTATTGGTAGAAGTTACGGTGCCCCACTCTGTTCACCGTGATCCGAAGTGGTGTAAGTGTCAAGGGTACGTTGCAGATGGTAAGGATATCGACAGTCACGCTACAGCCACGCTACGCTGCCGGCGGCTCAAGCAGCTAAAGACGGCAGTTGAAATGCTAGTTCGGCTTCTGAGCTTCCATTTTATCCAATAACCTCTCTCCTTCAATGTCAATCTTGGCGGACTTTGTCACTAATCTCCGGCTATCGATTTTGGTTTAAATTATTATCCCGAATCCTTAGAAATACTGAGTTGTCGGAATAGAGGGGTTAGGGATGGAATTGAGGACTTTAGCAATTGGGGTTGGAAACAAATAAAAACCCATAGACTAAGACATTGCTTTCTCTAGTTTCCCTATGATGAGTCTATAGTACGTCAGAGTCATCTTATCAGCCTTATAAGAATTGGCTTAACCCGCCATATATATTTCTCCCGGTCCTTATAGGAGTTAGTGATTCTACCCCCGGATATAATAACACCTGCATACAATATGCCTTCGAACAACAGCGTCAAGGCGGGACTGTCGCTAATCGAGAACGACAAGTCCAAGATTCTGGGCTTGGCGGTCGGTAAACATGCCGACGTCCAACCCGGACAGTACATCGCAAAAGCTGGTAAGCCAAGAAGGGAAGGAAATAATTCAGGAAGATACCTACAATCTACTATACTAACCCGAATCTTTTAATCTTTTCCAGATGCACAATCTGCACCAGAGCTGAGCTTTGCGGATCTGTCGCCCGAGAAAACCTACCTAGTAGTGGGATTAGACCTAGACGCTCCGTTCCCGTCCTTCGGCGTGCTTGGCCCGATCCTGCACTGGATCCAGCCCGGCTTCAAGGCAGAACCTAAGGAGGGCGGCGGATTCAGTCTCAAGTCCACAGAACCGTTCGTAGCTAATTACATCGGCCCTGCGCCTCCCGGAATCAGTTCACCACATCGGTACAGTTTCTTTCTGTACGAGCAGCCCGAGGGCCTCGATGGGAAGAAGTACGCGCCGCCCGGTGGTAAGGAAATGGGCGTCAAGGGACGTATGCGGTATGACTTGGACGCATGGGGAAAAGAGATCAAGTTAGGACCGTTGTTGGCTTTTAATTACTTTAATAGTAATTAGAATTTTGGAGTCTGCTATGGTCAGGAGTTCGAGGGTGGATATTGACATCGTATGTGGGTTTTACCTACCTGGAAAGTTGGCCCCTGTCGATGAATCACGGGGCATTCAAAGATACCATCGTGTTCTTAGGTTAGAATAATGCTGTTTTTTTACATACCCACATGTTGTTCACGATATTGACTTGGCGGTGATGAAAACGGAATAGATAGCTCTAATTCGAAACAAGGGTTGGCCTTCGTGAAAAACAATCACCAGATTCGTGTTAGTCGAGAAAGTGTCTCATTCGACCTACTCTCAACATCATGTTTCGCATATTCCTTCTCCATTTCTTGCTCAACCCCGCGTTTTGACGACATTTGATTGTCGGTCCCGTATGTATCGATATTAGCTGTTCAATAAACCAAGATTGGGCGCTCGCGTCTGGACCTCTACGATCTCATCCCACACATACTATGTAGGTAGGTATGTATGTGAGTCGTCGATGACCTCTGTTGACATACAGAAGAAGAAAAAATCTAACTATTTTCGACGGGCCGCTCCCGAAGTGGCGGAAATCACGCTTGTCACTCCTTTATTAGCTCGCTGCCGAAGCCTGGTCGAGGTTGTGGAGTACCGCCATCATGCATATATACCCGAGCCCATCAGAGCGAGCTACCAGCGAAAGGCCAATAAGTGTTGTTGGGGATTGCGCCTAACCTCGACCGTTCGCTCTCCCAACTCAGCAACCACGTCATTTCCTCTCCAGTTGTCGTGGGTCCTATGGAATTTTCCAAAATTCGGTTCTGTGCTGTAGTGTGTTCCAGCGCGACGGTGCGGGCTGACAGGCTGAGAAGCGGATAGCCCGCGCCCGGGGGGCGTCAAGGTAAGATCGATGGATTGATTCCCAACATAATTTTCTACCTATGGCAGCTGCGCACGTGCATGAATTCATCTGGAAATATCGGGGGCTGTAAATATTTATAGTCTTATATAGTAACACAGGCCGATCACATTCGCCGACGGGCGACACGCAGGAGGATGGAGAACCTGTAGTCTCGTTTTAAGGCCTGATGTTCTGAGTCTTTAGGCAACTAATTTGTTTAGACTGAGGCCGGCCACCCGTACGGAGATTTTTGGATGGATTTTTCGCAACACGTGTAGCGACTGGATACCTACTTGACCGCCTTCTACTTCGGCCTCTACTTTGGCCTTTAGGCCACTCCGGCCTTTGGGTCAAGTTGGAGTCGTCTGCGAATATGCCCTTAACCCAATTTTACGTGTAGCGTGCATACCCCCTTAAGACTCGATCTGGATCGACGTGTCTCGCCCTGCTTATGTGCCGCTATTTGGCGGTTATTGATTAATTCGTTCAAGTAGCCCGTCGTGACCAATTTGAACTGACGCTACACGAGCCAGAAAACTAGATATGTTAAAGCGTGTCTCGAGCCTGTTGGGAGACGCAATCAGTACGTATTAGTTTCCAACCTCCAACTCGAATCCGAAGCGTCTAGAGCGGTTTATATATCCGATAAACCCCATCCGACCTCAACCCATTCACATATAACCTGGCTCTAACTCACGAGAAGTAAAACCAATGGTTCCGAAGATGGCAAAGAAGAAGAAGAGGGGACAATTGCGCCAACCTCCCGACCCGAACCAGCTTAGCAATCAAGTTCGTCCGTCTACCCCAGCCAGCACAGTCGAGCCTGTGAAGCCAGTCGAACCCGTGAGGCCTGTCGAGCCTGTCAAGCCCGTCGAGCCGGTAAAGCCTTTCGATCCGGTGAAATCCCCCAGTCCAGTTCCCAGCGTGATCAAGCCACCTAGTCCGGCGGTCAGCTCGGTTGGCCCGTTCCATAATTTTAGAGACGAAGAACGACTGCCGAGTCCACCGGTCGACGTACCAGAGGATTGGTCAAAGGTAAAGTAGACTCATGATTGCGATGTTCAGATACGTCCGACTGACAAATATCTCTTAGGAGGTTACAGACGAGAACAATGTCGACGATGTCGCAGAAGAAACTGTCAAAGACTGGGTATGTTTAACTCTAGAATCGTTGAAGCTGTCGTAATATCCAGATAACTCATAAAACTGTAGCCCTATGGCACTGATGACAAAGAAAGTCAAGTCCATTTTTTCGACTCGAGCCTTACGCGGCTATCTTTCGAGGACAGCGAGCGTAACACTTCCGAGGTACTAGCTACCGATTTCAACGCTGGCTCGACACAATCAGCTGATGAGGGCTATGGAAATATCAGTCCCACAGAGCCCGTGGAGCCTGCAGAACCTACAGACCTTGCAGAGCCTACAGAGACGATAGAGCCTATAGACCCCCCGGAGCTTCCAGAGCGATCCCCAGACTTCTCGCAGTATGATCAATTGCCTCGAATCCCACCCCCTACCGAACCTCTCAAAATAGGAGATCAATTTGATGTCGAAAAAGTTATCGGCGCTATTCAAAGCGGTTATCCGGCGACACAGTTGCGAGATTATCTGAGCTACTACCATAAGGCAGAGACAAGTCTCCTGAAAGAACATCTTAACGCGGAGATCAAGGGATTCCCGGCAACATTCTTTGTCGCCGAGACCAACGATGCGGAACTTATTCGATATTGGATCAAGTATGGTGGTGATCCGAATGCCACCCACGGACCTCTTAGCTTTCCCTTACTAGCCTTTGCCATCATCCGCGGCACCCGCTCACGATCGCAAGCGACGAAAACCACCGAGACGCTTCTCAGACTCGGCGCATCGCCTCACGCTATCCCGACAGCGTATTATAAGCAGTTCGATCGTGATCTTCCAGACTCCGGGCCCGATGATGAAGATTTGTACGTCATCGCGGATGGTGACAAGCTATGGCACACACCAGAAGTTCGACCACGGCTCGTTGCCGCGTTGAGCCTAACTCAGCGTTATCGACTCTGGCAAGCATCTGAAACGGGATTGGCATCCGGCCGTGAACGAACTCTAGCTATCCGAAAGGATGCCGTAGAAATACTAGGGCTGCAACAAACCATTATCGGGCAGAGACTGGCGACATGGACCTTGAGGAAGAGCTTTCTTGTGTAAGTGACATTTAGCGATTTCCGTTCCTCAATCTAACTCCCGACAGACACCTCGCTATGCCGCGCAAGAAGCCGCTGGTCCTTCTTTTTGCAGGACCTAAAGGACATGGCAAACATACTCTTGCGAACCGACTAGGAGACCTTTTATCGGTAGAACTCGGAGAGATCGACTATAGTGGTCTCAAATCGGACGAGAACAGCGACCTGGGATCACCTTTGAATAACTTCCTCGCCAGGAAAACCAAGCAACGAAGTATTGTTTACCTCAACGAGTTTGGGAAGACAACTGGGGAGATCCACAAAGCGCTTCTATCTCCCTTTGACCAAGGTATGTCAACCTATAAACCAGAGTGGAGGTGAATCGAAACTAATGCCCAATAGGAGAGTACACAGATCGGAGCGGGCAGAAAGTCGACTGTTCCCAGACAATCTGGGTTCTGGCAACAAACAAGTTCGACAACACTATCTCGGATTTCTGTCAGGCCAATAGCAAGCTCTTATACGACTCTGACATGCGATCGGAGCAGTACAACCTCAGGAGACAGCTTCACCGTCGTCTTCGCGACGAGTGCATAAGCAGCTTCGGAGCTCCGTTGGCTAGTCGGATTACCGAAATCGTCCCGTTCCTGACATTCGACTTGGAAGAGCAAGCTCTCATCGCGGATAAGTATATCATGGAGCTTGAGACAGAAATTGCGGGGCCGGTCAGTCAGTCAGCAGACCCGGATGAGGACAAACTGGTTGGCAATGTTCGATTGCAGATCAAGAACAACGCCAACGTCTGCTCTATAATCGCACGGGAAAGCTATCTGCCCGAGCTCGGAGCTAAGAGCATATCTCACGGTGTTGATGCGACCATTGCAAACCAAGTAATAAGTCGGTATTTGGAAGAAGGCGACGACTTCAGCGAAGATCAAGCTGAAACCAAGTTCAAGGTCGGGATGAACGAGGATAATGAAGTGGAGGTGTCGGCCTTTGGCGAGGGAACTAATGGTCACTTACTAGGACCGAGATATCCTTGGTAAGACTGTGGTTAATTGTATCGGTATGAGGGGTAATGGCTGGTGATGAGTGGATTCGATTCGATCTTGTAGTTTTTTCTTTTTCTTTTTTTCTTCATTTACACGTACAGATACGGTTTGGTGTATGATGTACCTGTACCTTACATGTTATACAAAACACAAAAGGAGGATGATGATTGATGAGGAAAAGATAAGATTTACCTAATGCAGGCACAAGATTCGCGGTCCGTGCATACATGGGTGGTTTCCTTCACATGCCAGATGGGAGCTTCTTCCGTGCCTTCGATGCTGTCAAAGTGCATCTCATGACGTAATTGACAAGGTTACTCAATTGAAATCATTGAGACGTACATGGCGTGCAAAAATGTAGAGATAGACATTCCATTCCATAAAAACCAAAGGTCGGATTGTAAACAATTCGAATAGGTCTAATTTATTTACTGAAGATCAACCATTCTCCCTTCTCACGCAATCTCGAATCCTACTTCGTCCGATACTGTTGTGTTGTGCTGTGCTGTGTTAACCTTGGAAGTTAACTGAGTATACAATTACACGACGTCATGGCACCCCAGGATATAGTATTCGATGCTTTATCCCAACTTCAAGCTGCAGTCCATAGTGCTATCAAGAGCTTAGACAATCCTATTCGTCACCCAATTCGTTTCCTCTCTGAAGTATTTCAATGGCAATTCTTATTTGTTTTCGGGGTGTTCCAATGGTTCGCCGATAAGATATTCTCCCCGACACCTCCTGGACCGAGTACCCGGTTAAGAAGACCGAAAATCGCCATCATCGGGGCTGGTATAACCGGTGTAACATCTGCTGCACATTGCATTGGTCACGGATTTGATGTTACCATCTTCGAAGCCGGGGACAAAAACAGTATAGGAGGTATATGGAGTGTATGCAGCCCACTTCCAAAGCGAGAATTGGTTCAGTCTGGTCCCTAAATACTGACACTATTATAAACGTCAGAAAGTAAACAATACGTCTGGCCTACAGATCCATTCTCTCATGTACAGGTTTCACCCGTCGGTCAAATGGCAAGGTGGTTATCCAGATAGACAGCAGATCATAAGCCAGGTTAAGCAACTGTGGAAGCGATACGGCCTAGACACGAAGACGAAATTCAACGTCAATGTCGACAAAGTGTACCAAAATGAGAAGGGCCGCTGGATCATCAATGGCCCGGACAATGGTCAATTCGAAGGTGTTATCGCAGCCGTAGGAACTTGCGGAGACCCGAAGATGCCTCGAATGGACGGCATGGAGCGATTCAAGGGAAGAATCTACCATTCGAGCAAGTTGACCGGGTACGCATTGAAACAGCATTATACTATATCTGGATGCCATTGCTAATAAAAGCGTAGTGTTGATGCTAAGGGTAAATCAATGATCATCATTGGCGGTGGGGCGTCCGCAGTGGAGGCTCTGGAGTTTGCTGCCGTACGTATATTTTTCGTGATGGTCCTTGAAACATGCTTAGCATCCATCACTTGACGCTGACGATGGACGCTATAGGAAGAAGGGGCTTCGAAGATCTATATCTTATCACGTAGCGACAAGTGGATCATCCCTCGTAACTGGGTAGTTGATGTTCTCCTTTCTCTAAACATATGGGGTCAGGAGACCATGTTATCTGCCATTCCAGAAGCATTGCTCAGGAAATTCTTCTACCGAGATTTGCAGGATCTAGCGCCGAAAGAGAAGGGTATTTTCATGGATACGCCTATGGTCAATTCGGATGTCATGGACAAGCTCCGCTCTGGCAAAGCCGAATGGATTCGATGCGACATCGAGAACTTCACTAAAACAGGCGTCCTCGTCAACAAGAGAGAGAAGGGAGTACCAAAAGGAGGCCCCGGTCTAAAGACTGACATTGAAGGCGATATAGTGGTAATGGCAACCGGATTCAAGAGACCATCATTGAATTTCCTTCCCAACGAATGTTTCAGCGGATCGTACGGACCGCCGAATTGGTATCTCCAAACTTTCCCTCCTGAACATCCTTCTGTCTCGGCCATTAACTGCACCTATCTGTCAGCCATCGGAACGGTCGGTAATTGGCATATTGGCATCTACACGCGGATCCTTCTCATGTTCCTAGTTGACCCTCTAACGCGACCGTCTACGTTCTGGATGGAACGGTGGATCGACATGACCAAATTCCTCAAGGCCTCATCCCCAACTGGTGCTTTCGACTTCTTCACTTATCTCGAGCTTCTTTGGTGGTTCTCCTTTTGTGTCACCATCAACCCATTCCGCTGGAAGTGGGCCACATTCGTATTCTTCGGCTTAGGGTTTGCGTTACCTAAGCGGGTGGTCCTCGCCGAGGATCAAATCCGAAATGGCTTAGGATTCGCAGATGCCGACGAGGAAAGTAGAGACATCGGTAGAAGTTTCTAGGCGAGCTCGAGTCGAAAGCGTCCACGACGAGAAGAACCCTATTTGTCAACCGCGGTTATGGATGATGGTGGGATTCGTGAGGTAGACGAGGAAGCGTTTTGGATGGATTCTGGCGAATGGTGTCATAAACCTAATGAGCCCGCGACATCAGGTTCCGGTAGCCCACCAACCTTATCCCCACATGGTTTGAGCCTCAATGGGGATTCTCTTCTCATTGATCAAGAACAACAAGTTCGTGAGAGATTTCGCAAGAGAATTATGAGAGGGAAAAGGACCTCGTCAGATGGATCTGATCACAATCTTTACCCATTGATAAAAGCTCGCGGGCGACCCGATAATCGCGATAATCCGGGGCGACGCCCTTTTAGGAGTGTAAGTTAAGGGGGAAACCTGATTCATGGTGTAATACATTTCATAGTGTTCGGTTAAAATCTTTGGCTGGTGGGATACGCGAATAGATGGATATGAAGGACAAAATATTTTTATCATGATTGTGCTAGGAAACAGGGCTAATATCTGTTTGATCGCGACAGTCAGTAGTGAAATTCTACCAAGTACTGCTATTGCACTTACGCTCAACCATAGAGCCACCTAGTATGTCCACGAATGGCTTGAAATGTAGTTTTAGCGTTTGCCGCGATCCCTACGTCCCCCTTCCATGACCTTAACACGCTTGTTGAATCGCTCCCCTATTTCCTTGGTGCTGATGCTGTGGCCACTTCCGCGAGCACTATCACCCGTATCCCTTGTTCGTTTTCTACTCTTTTCCAGCAGGGCCTTCGTACCTCTGCCGCCTTCTTTCTGCCTAGTTAACCGATTGATTCGGTCGACACCTTCACCAAGATCTCGCCATTCTTCACCACCAAATTGCATCCTGGAACTGCGGCCCTCGATCTTGTTGCGCTGAGTGCGCTCCTTCTTGCTCTCTTTCGGCAATCGCACGAAGTTAGACTCTTCGTAGTTCCGTCTATGCTCTTCCTCCTGTCGCTCTGAAGCCGTCTTCATCTTTCGACCGCCCGACATGATAGTGGTTCCGACACTGGGTTCTGCGACGGGCATTGAGGACAACTCGTTCGAGATGTACTCGTCCATAGTCGCGGATTTCATGGGTCGGCGCTCGCTTCGCTCTCTTCGCTCGGTCGTGGGCATCACGGTTGGCGTTATCTTAGGCGGGCGATATGCGCCTGTCTTATCTTGCGTCGTGGTAGCTGCCATACCGACAGGGTTCGAAGGTGTGACGAAGTTGGCGAAACTTGGGGCAAATCGCTTAGCTGAGATATCCAGCGCAGGTTTGGTTGGGCCTTCGTTCCCAGAAGCGTCGCTATCCTCTAACCCATCGTCTGACTCTGATTCAGACTCCGATTCGGCCTCGTTCACGGGTTGAGAAGCAATGCGATCTGCATCTTCGACGGCGCGCAGAATCTTATCGAGCTGGAATTGCAATTTCTCCTCGAGGGGTCTAACTCCCTTATCCAAGTATAGTCGCAATTCGACTAGTTTTTTTACTACCACGTCCGAGAGGTCTGTCTTATCTTCTTCCTCTGAGCTTTCCGATCCGGCATTCTTAGCATTTCGAATTTTGATTAGAATTAGGAAGACGAGGTTTTGTAAGTAGGAAAGAAGAAGCTCGTTTTTGACGTCTAGGAGGGACACTCCATCTTTGGTTGGCTCAATGCCGGATATTTTAGGAGCCGCTTCGAATGCGGAAGTTAATGAATTCGTCAGTGAGTCTAGCAAGACTGGTAAGGACGCGGGCGCCGCCATTATTGCGACAGGTAAGGCAAAACCTTGTTGGTGGTGTTTTAGACGGATCGTAGAAATCTCTAATTCGATTTTATTCATGGTTCAGAAACGAATAAAAAAAGTTTCGGGTCCGCGATAAAGATAAGAGATCCTTGTTCATGGATATTTCTTGATTGGCTGGATTTACTGTACCCTGCTGAATACGTACAGGTACCGTCAAAAGGCCTACGCTTTCGCCCCACCTTTAATGACTAAGAAAATCTCTTGGCAGCTGCTTGGGGACAGCTGGCTCGGAAGTATCCACATCATAATTTCATATGTAATGAGCTCCGAAATTTTATGAATCGTACAGCATACGGCATACGCAACCTAACATAATAAATATTTTGGAGCTGCTAGACCTTACCACTTGAAACTTGAAACCATCGTCGAAACTTTCTCTACCGGAGCCGTTCTCGCGCTAGTCGTCATTTGACATGATACTGTATTTGTATTTGTCTTAATTATTCTTCATTGAATCTCAACACCTCTTCTAAGTTGAGTCTCCTTATACCACCTTACCAAACGAGCCTTTGTGCTCTGTGATTGGTCTTGAATCCTTTTCTTACGGCGTTTGGTAATACGTAAGTTCACGACAACAAACTTGTTGCCTACCTCCCTACCTACCTATTCGACTATCCACTACTACCTATCCACTCATTGCATTACTACAACCGATTTGTTTCGAAGAATCGCTTGTTATGAGCTTGTCTGTTAACTCTTAATTAAGACTCCATGTCCTAAATAGTCCACGATGAAGTCGAGAACGTTTGCGCCGTCCTGGGCGTTCTGCTCTGCGCTGCTGGCCCTCCCTCAACTTGCGACCTCTTTCTACCTTCCCGGTGTCGCGCCAACATCATACAAGCAGGGCGACAAGGTCCCTCTCTATGTCAACAGCATCAAGCCCGTGGCCGCCCAAGATGCGCTCCTTCACTCTGTCATGTCGTACGATTATTACAATGAGAGGTTTCAGTTTTGCCAGCCCGAAGGAGGTCCGTCCTACGTATCCGAAAGCCTTGGAAGTATCCTATTCGGTGACCGAATCATGACTTCGCCATTCGAGTTAAATATGATGAAGAATGAGACTTGTAAGAAGTTATGTGGCGCGAAATATGACATGCCGTCAGCACATTTTGTCAACAAACGAATCATGCAAGGTTACGCCCTGAACTGGCTCGTGGATGGCTTACCCGCGGGCCAACATCTCCTTGATGACCTTACCGGAACGACGTTTTACAGTCCAGGTTTTGCTATGGGCACTATCTCGACGACCGACCCGGACGGCCCGACATTTTTCAATAATCACTATGATATTGTTGTCGAGTATCATAAAGTGAATGGAAAGGAGGATCAGTTGAGAGTTGTTGGTGTCATTGTCCAACCCGCCTCGAAGGCGTACAAGGGTGACAATCTGGAATGCAACGACAATCAAACACCACCCGTGGTCCTCGTGGAAGACGCTGGCGCCGAGACCGAAGTTACCTTTACCTACAGTGTATACTGGACGGAATCGCCAACCGCCTGGGCTACGCGATGGGATAAATACTTGCATGTGTTTGACCCGAAGATTCATTGGTTCTCTCTAGTTAACTCCGCAGTTGTGGTTATCTTCCTAACCGTCACCGTAACCTCCGTCCTATTCCGGGCCCTGAAGAAGGATATTGCAAGATACAACCGACTAGACCAGATCAACCTGGAAGATCTCTCTGGTACCTCAGCTCTAGAAGATGGTGTCCAGGAGGATTCTGGCTGGAAGCTGGTTCATGGAGATGTTTTCCGAACTCCCTCGCATCCTCTTCTCCTGTCAGTGTTCCTTGGTAATGGTGCTCAGCTATTTGTTATGACCGGCTTCACCATCTGCTTCGCTCTGTTAGGTTTCTTGTCTCCATCGAACCGCGGCTCTCTCGGGACGATCATGATTATCCTATACACACTTCTCAGTTTCGTTGGCGGCTATGTCTCTGCGAGAGTCTACAAGTCGATGAACGGCGAGAAGTGGAAGTTGAACATCGGGTTGACCCCTCTTCTCGTTCCCGGGATCGTCTTTTCGACATTCTTCTTCCTGAATCTCTTCCTCTGGGCTAACGGGGCCGCCGGCGCTGTTCCGTTCACCACGATGCTAGTCATCATCGGCATTTGGTTCGTTATCTCGATACCTCTTTCAGTCAGTGGTTCGTGGCTCGGATTCCGCGCACCTGGAGTCGAACCCCCCGTTCGGACCAACCAGATTCCCCGACAGATTCCTCCCGCTACGACTTACCTAAAGCCACTCCCCAGCATGTTGCTTGTAGGCATTCTACCTTTCGGCGCGATCTTCGTTGAGCTCTACTTCATCATGAGCTCGATCTGGTTTAGCAAGATCTATTACATGTTCGGCTTCCTCTTCTTATGCTATGGTCTTATGATCATCACGTGCGCCGCAGTCACTGTTCTTATGGTGTATTTCTTGCTATGCGCCGAGAACTACCATTGGCAATGGCGATCTTTCCTAGCAGCCGGTATGAGCGCCGGCTACATCTTTGCGAACGCCCTGATATACTTGATCAGCAAGTTATCCCTGGGCGGCTTATCTGGTACAGTACTGTATATCGGATATAGCGCTCTGCTTTCATTCCTCTTCTTCATATTGACAGGTATGTGTTACTATTTCCACGATCACCGTCTAGTATGCTAACATCATGATAGGATCTATTGGATTCTTCTCTAGTTGGTGGTTTACGCAGAAGATTTATGCATCTATCAAAATCGACTAAGTTACTACTTAGGGGGTAGCGAGAGAGAGGAAAGTGATGATGGTTCACCGTCCGAGGTAGGTGACATGGGGACGAACTCGGACACTGTACTATATAAATGTACAATCGGCGTCATTTTTCGTACGCCGTCTTTGCGACATTCGAACATGGGGCGAGACGAGATTTTGACGAGTTGCATAAGTGGTCTACGGGTACCAAAAGATCCCGGCGTTTCTAGGAGGCGTTCTTCCAGGTTTAGGAGGGCTCTCACATGTCATGAATAGAACGGGAGGAAAAGTCAGTTCCGGCCCCGGCGGAGCTGGGGTGGGCATCGGCCTGGTTATCCTCCATCCTACGTACTCGGGAATATCAATAAACTTCATAATTGCCGGACTTGTTATTTGTATGCCGTAAATTTGCTGTCGACCGTGCTGTTATTTGTCTTCCGGTGACTACCTACTATCTTTAGGAGTTTAAATTACTAAGTGGTAGTGGAATGCGATTTATGTACAGGTAGTAGTTAATATGGATACCTGCGGGATCGTACACTCCGGCAGGAGCTAGAGATGCCGGAATTTGAGAGTGGGGCCGCCTACTCCGAAGATCAAATGGATTCCAGTTATCCGATCTAAGTGGATAGATCTTTTTCAACACTGTCTAATTCAGAAATGACTGTGGTAATGCGGCCGTTGCAGAGATAGATAGGTACTCATCATGTTTTGTAAAACATCACAAATCATCTGGAATTTTTGAATTAATTTTAATTCGTACTTCCTAACCAGCGAGGACCTATCACATATGAGCAATGCCTTCTACTCAAATGCCGAAAGATCGCCAGACCCCCTTAATACCACTACCAGGCATACGTAGCAGTGACCGATTCTTACAATCGGCATATAGCTAGCTAGCAGCACCCCCCTACTCATCATCATCCTCGTCATCATCCGCCATAAACTGAAACTGCTTCTTCTCGCCCCCGACAGGCGAACTCGCCAACCCAGGCCCGCCACCCGCGCCGGCGCCTCCGCCGGAAATGCTCGCGCGCCGCCAAGCCTCCCTCTGCTCCCTCTCGCGCTCGGCCCGCACACGCGCCTGCTCCTCCCGCGCCCTGCGCTCCCGCTCTTCCCTCTCCAGTCGTTCCCGCTCCTGCGCCGCCTTCGCTTCTTCCTCTTCTTGCCTCTTGCGCTGCTTCTCGAGCTCCGGGTCGTAGTCCTCCGGGTCGATGCCTTGCTCGGAGAGGAAGGCGAGAGAAACGAGGGAACCCTGGCGAACTTGCTCTTCTGAGGGCCACGGGAAGAAGGCGAAGCCGTTGTAGGGGTTTAGACGCCATTGCAGCTCTTCCGGGAGCGCGGCGGGGTTGGCGTCGCCTGTTGTGGTTGTTACGGCGGGGTTGGGCTGCGCGGAGGGATCTGCGGGTTGCGAGATGCCGTTGGTTTGTAGTGCTGGGGCGCCGTTGGGGGTTATCCCGTCGGCGGGGGTTGCGACACCGGTCTCGGCTCCTGAGTTTGCTTGTGTGATGTCTGCGGACATGATACCGGCGGGAGGCATGGTAGTCTTACTAATGCGCCGCGCGTAAGCGAGTAGCTCATCGTAGTTGATGTCATAGCTAGGAATGTCGGACGGAAACACGGTGGCGGGCGCGCCGACGAGCTCTTTTCGCGTGTTGGCTAATAGGCGTAAGGTGTCCTTGATCTGGGCGTCGAAGCTGGCGGTTGCTGTGCGCAGGTCTTGTATGCGGCGGTAGTTGGATTGGTGGGTTTGTACTAGATGGTGCTGTGATTAGTATTATTAAGTAATACCCGGGTAAGAATCGATGATAATCGTAGAAGGTTGTAGAGGAGAAGCATTGAACATACGGTCTTCCAGGCCCTTGTTCAGCTCGATGTCAGCGAGACCTAGGTCATTAACTTGATGCACAGATGGATGGTACTTCGAGATCGAGTCGACAAGAGTGCCTAACGCTTTTTCGACGCGATCGAAGCAGAGATCAAGCTGCTTGTCCATTTTTCCGGAAGATGGTGTGTTGTGCGAATATTTAGGGCGTGTAGAGAAGGTTATGGCGAGGTTTGAATGTTGTTCGTGATTAGCTTCAATGAAGAGAGCTGCACAGGTACGTACAAGGAAGAGTTAAATGTTTCAGCTTCAATTAGTGAATTCCACTTTATACATGCGAAATATGTCTTTTTACATAATTATGTAATCAATATGTAGTTATGCGATCCTTATAGGTCTGTGGCGTTTGTGGCTGAGGATCCCGGCTTCCTCCGATGTCAAAGAATGTCGCGCAAGCTCCAATGAGATCCAATCCATTGAAAACCGGAATTGAAGCTGTCACCAAAATTCCTAATAAACCCTTGACGTTTACCTTCCATTGAACCGACTCCCTTCCACCAGAAGTCAAGATGGTATTCCAGGTACGTATAGTGTCGCTTCTTTACATTTATATCATATAGACTTACTGCATTCACACGAATTACGAGCTTGGATTATTATTGTGCGAGAAACCCTGCTAACCCGAAATAACCGCAGTCTCCCATTCTACGACAGTCCTACAAGAGCCCCTATGGGCCTAAGTGAGTGCGCCCCGAAACCGAATCGACCCTACCTATTTCCCAGATCGAAAATCGAGAGCTTGTAGTGCAAAATGTGCAGAGATTAGAAGAAGCGCACAGTTTGGAATATCAACCATCTGCGGACAAATGGCTAACCTCGGACGATCCAACAGGTACCACCTCCAACCGAACGTTGCGGGTTGGACATTCAAGCAACTTGGCAGCCTGTAAGCACCTCGACCATTCCCTTCGCCTTATATAGACACAACACTCGAGCTCTATCTACACCACACGAGCCGAGTCTCGTTCCAACTCTAGCAATAACAACAGACTAATACAACAACGTACAGTGGCTTTAAGGCTGGTGCCTTCGGAGGTGTAGCCCTCTTCGCCGTCATATTCTACGCATCCGGTATCCCCAGAGTAAAGCGCGACATCCTACAAAAGGTCCCCTTCATCGGAGGTCACTTCATCAAGGAGACCCCCGCTTCGGACAACGTAAGCTCGGACAAACTCCATTCCTAACTTTCACTAACCTGATCATGTAGCCCTTTTAAATTGGTCTGGGCTGGTGGCTTCTACTAGATGTGAAAAGGAGAGCGCAATGCCGGCTGGGGTAGAGCGTCTATGGCGAACCTCTGTACAAACATGACATCCGAATAGATCTCTTAAAACTCACAGTACCGTTGTAAAGAAACAAACATCGGCAGGATTAAGTTCCAAGCTAGGTCCATCTTGATTTGGACCACCCATCTATCGTCTATTATGCATGTATGGTGATAATAGTACAGTGGATGTTTTTCATACATCCCATATGATAGCCCCTTTTTATTTACCTATGCTTACTTTTCAGCCGCCACTTCCTCTTTCATTTCCCTCTTCATACGCGTGACGGTTCCAGCACCTCCGTATACGAGACTTGTGTAGATCATGGCAACGCTTGCGCCGGCATTCAACATCTCTAACGCCCCACGTCCGTTAGAGATTCCACCGGTAGCAAAAATGACCTTCTGCTCCGGGTGCTGGTTAGAGCTAGTCTTGGGTTCGTTCTCGGAGAATCCGGTGATAGTTCCTTCGATAGCTGTTATGCTAGCATCGGCAGCCTCATCAGCCGTTACCTTGGCCACGGTAGATTGCAACGATTGGCCATCTAGCATCTTCCGGTATCGCTTGACCAAATCCACGGTGCGGTCGAACATCATCGGGCCGGAGTACCCACCAGTCTCCGTCAACGTGACATGTTCCCTCGGCGTAATGTTCACCTTCGACGGGATTATGCCAGTTCGACGTTTCGTCGTGTTCCCTACGATAACTCCATCGACGCCACTTGACCAAACCGCCTGTACGATACCTTCCATCTGAGTATCTTCGTCCTCGTCCGGCGAGACCTTGACCATCACCTTAGGTTTCTCTTTCCGAACCGTCTTCTTCGCCTCGTCGACCACAGCGCTCAGTATCCGCGTCAAGGGCTCCACGGCCTGCAAGTCCCGCAAGCCCGGTGTGTTTGGGCTGCTCACATTGACTACAAGCACGTCCGCATATGGTGCCAGCCGCTGCACGCAGTATACGTAATCTCTCTTCACAGCATCCACGTCCCGCTCGTCCGTCTCCTTGTTCTTGGCGATCTGCACCAACAGCATGCGACCCGAGAGCAAGCTTCCCGGTGGTACGTTGGCCTCACCGTTTAGAACGCTCGCCTCGTCCAGTCCGACTTGTTTGGCGAATCGCCTAACCCGGTTCCGCAGCCGCATAGCCATGTCGTCGGCACCGCGGGAGTTCAGTCCGTATCGATTAATCAGTCCATCGAGAGTGGGGATGCGGAACATGCGTGGCTTAGGGTTCCCCTCCTGGGGCCGGGGCGTGCACCCGCCGATTTCGACCACAGCAGCTCCCAATGCGAACAGTGCGTCCGGGATTTCACCATGCTTGTCGAGCCCCGCGGATATGCCCACCGGATTTGCTAGCTGCGTGCCGAATACGGGAATAGCAAGCTCAGGCGTCCCTTTGGCGGAAGCACGTTCTCGTGGGTGTAGCCCTAGGTTATATAGGTTCTTCATGGAGGAGACGGCTGCGTTGTGGGCTTCCTCGGCATCTGGGAACACGAAACGGAGCATCGGAGGCACAACATAGCGATGGACGAAAGCGCGCGTGTCGGTAGTATACACGTACACTACGTAACCGGTTGCCGCGATGGTAGTTGCGTACAGCCATGGTCTTAAACGGGATATCGGCTGAGAGTCTGTCGACGTAGAAGCATGGCGTGTGGCGATTCGAGGACGAAGGTAGGAAGGAATTCGTTTGGAGGCGGAGAGTGGGTTAGCTGGCGAGGAGAGAAAACGCCAGGCTAATCGATGAGAAGATGCCATTTTGATGGGGTTGAGATGGGCATAGTAGCCCTCAATGGCATGCGGTTGTAATAAGAGCTATGATACAAACGTGAACAATTAATCTAATATTAATCTATGAGAGATAAAGTTAACGGGATCTGTTGATCGTTGAAGCTAAGAAATTCCCATTAATCTGAGACCTTCCGATTGGTGGGTTACCCACATGACCCGCTAAATACCCCTGCGCATCGTTTGAATACAGGTGTTCCAATATTCCAATAAGGCAATTGCGTGTCATAATATGTAGCTACAAACATTGAACCTTAACCTTGAAGTCTTTAACGAATATTTCATAGTACAACGATACAAAGATGGTTTGATCTACAACTTCTTGTCTAAGACGACTTTACATGTCAAATTGGATTACATGAAAATGGCTCCTTGGTTGGGGTTAGACCAGTCTTTGGTCCTCCAGCTCATACGCTACGGTCTCATATCTGCAGTCCTCCACATTTACACAAAACGTAAAATAGGACCTCTACACGCTGGATCGGCCATATTCACCTCTCTCACAATTATTACAATACTAGCACGACAATGGTTATCACTCGTCACAACATATGCCCCGGAGCCTTACCTTGTATGTGAATCATAAAATAATGTCACCAAATCTCATATAGCTAACTAGAACTAGGACGAAATATTTCATATTCCCCAAGCTCAGGTCTACTGTGATGGGAAATATAGTGTGTGGGATAACAAGATCACCACACCACCTGGACTGTTAGTTATTTTGACACAATTTCTGCCAAGTTCAGCTCACTTACACTAGAATAGCTACGCCTTGACTCTCATAGCAAATAGATTGGCTGGGTTCCCATGTTCAGTTTACTATCTTCGATTGTTCAATGTAGAGGTCACCTCCTATCTCGCCATAGCCGCGGTAACTTCCAGAGTTCGCCTTGAACAATTGAGATCAAGAGAGAACCCTCAGGTTCCAGTTCAGTACTCGGCTTATGCTATCTGGACGGGAATCAACATTGCTCTGTTCCCAGTCATATTATTCTTCTCCGGCTTATACTATACAGATGTTGTTTCGACATTTGTCGTATTACTTTCTTATACCAACCATCTAGGCCGGGTTAGTCAAGACAGACCCTCCTTGATAAACGATGTTTATACTCTCTTCCTCGGACTTCTAGCTCTGTGTATGAGACAAACCAACATCTTTTGGGTTGTGATATATATGGGTGGCTTAGAAGTCGTCCATGGCATCAAGCGATTACGCCCCAAATCTGTGGATATCCCGACTTTCAACACGCTCTCACAGCAAATCGGCTTCTATGCTTGGCGATATTCACTTGGTGATATTCATGATCCCCACGTATACGCAGCATCCCCTATTGGTACGTATCGTCCTCGACATTTAATATCGCACACGCTAATAAAATAGACCTCGTTATTTGCGTCGCAAGCATTGGAATCGCCGTAATCTGCAATCTTCCGAGCGTCATTCAGCGTATATGGCCACAATTAATAGTCCTGGGATCTTTCGTGAGCTTTGTCGTGTGGAACGGCGGCGTTGTTCTTGGTAAGCTCACTCAGTCGTCTCTTTCCCTATGTACAATCGTTAATTGATATTAGGGGATAAATCCAATCATGTAGCAACTCTCCACCTGGCGCAGATGCTCTACATCTGGCCCCTCTTCGCCTTTTTCTCTGCACCTCTATTTATTCCACAAGTTCTAAACCGTGTTTTGCACGCCTTCATCCCCCCCAAACCCCAAGAGGTGATCGATTTGCGGCCAAAGACAGGACCTTTCTCTAAAGAGGCAAATGAACCTAAGCGATCAGCCGAACTAAAGATATTCAATCGAGTTGGATCTAGTCACACCATCCACTCAATCCTCGTCCTTGCCGGCGCTCTGGTGGCCGCAACTTTTATTGTGGGGTTCAATACCATCATTCACCCTTTCACTTTAGCAGACAACCGGCACTACATGTTCTACATCTTCCGGTACACCATTCTCAAAGCATGGTGGGTTAGATACGCTCTCGTCCCCGTCTACGTCCTCTGCGGCTATCTATGCTGGGGTGCTCTACAGGGAGAGCCTTTCTCTAGGTACCACGGGAGCCCTGAGTGGACACAGACGCCATTTGATGGGCCTCCACCCATCGTGGTAATGCGACCGAGACCCTCTCAACCACCTCAGCTACCAGACGTATTAGCATCCTTACCACCACCTACCTCCTCCGCCCTCATCCTCCTCCTCGCTACTATCCTTTCGCTTGTTACCGCACCGTTAGTCGAACCGCGCTACTTCATTATACCGTGGGTATTTTGGCGACTCCTCGTCCCGTCCCATCTCGTTGTGCCATTTGTTCCTGGATCGATCGGGTGGAAATTCATGCCCGCTCTTGAGACAATCTGGTTCCTGCTCATTAACGCGGCGACGATGTTTATATTCGTCACACGTCCATTCTTTTGGAAGACACCGGATGGAGAGCTACTTGATAGCGGGAGGGTACAGAGATTTATGTGGTGATTTGTTGGTCCTGTTATCTACCCCGCGAATTAGCACGCGGTTAGATAAGTACCCAAGTAAATTGGCGAACAATCGCCCAATTCTCATAGCTCACGCGACGTTTTTTAATAAAACTCAAAACAAGTCACAAACCACCATAACGGAAATACAATCAATTTTGGTCTTCAACTTTTAGTCTTAGTATTCATCCTCTAAATAGTGAACCCTGGGAATTCTACCCGAACCGATGAGGAAGGTAAGCAGGTAAGGTTTTGAATGCAAGTATGTAGGATAGGATAATCTATTCCCCATGTACAAAGGCTCGCAAAATAATATGCAGTGAATGTAAGGTAATATCTTCCACGTTTTTATCGTGTCGCGCGTCATATGCAATGTTGATGTGAATGCCGATATCGATAATGTGTAGGTGTCGTCGTGTGTGTTGAGGTGAGATGTTGAGACTCACCAGCTCAATATTGAGCTAGTGATCTCGAATAAATATATTTCGTCTTCCAGTCCAGATACCCAGAATCCCGCGAACGCCGTTCCCCAAATAGTAAACTGTAACGCCGCGCCATGTACAGCTATCCAACCGATTCCGATAGTGTAAGTCCAAGGCCCCGTCCCATTCCATCCTTTCTTGGGAAGCCTTAGTATGAGGGCAAACTATCCCATGTATTTTTATTCGCCGTTTCTCACCATATCCGCTGGGGAGAAGACATTTTTTGTCTTGTTCATTTTCTCTATCAATATCCGACCTAGTAAGATATTCTATCCGAGTTTTGGATAGATAGACGAGTTCGTGAGACAGATCACAAACTTAACCGATCCAAGCTCAAGCGATCTTGGCTCCGTACTCGTTTCACGACACCCAGTTTAAAGAACCGCTCATCGCCACCAGCTGTCCGGCCTCCGATGTACCACTTATCCGCACCTAATACATCCCGGAAGCCCTCACTACTGCTATCGCTACCTCGCCGTCGACCGGATCCCGGAATGGGCATACCGGGACGGTGTGGTTGTGGAGAGTGATGTGGTTGGTGGTGCCTATGGGGTGGAGATTGTAGTTGATTCATTACTCCTCCTGTCCGCTGTTGCGGTTGTTGTGATGGAGACTGGCTTTGGGAGGAAGATGAGATGGATCGCGCTCCTGACGTGGAAGGGCTAGATGAAGGTTGAGTGGTATGTTTATTCGTCTGGGATGCTGCCGAGAGTGCTGGGGGCGTCTGTTGGCGGAAGGCGGCGAGGAAGGAAGAGAGGAAGAACGGGCGTTGAGACGAAGGCATCTTAATGATCCTTTGCGGTGTAGAAGGTAAGAGGTTGAATGGTGACTTCGATTACGGGTGTAGAAGGATGGCAGTATACACCAGGCCTAGAAAACAGGAAACGAGGATTCGAAGGTATTTATTGTCGGAAAATCCTAGTCGAATAGAGTGAATAGGCCCAATCACTAACGGATTGAGGATATGCGGTGTTTGGAAGAGTAGAGCCCGGACGTAGATAGTCGGTAGCCGGGAGTCTGCTTATTTATGCTTTTGGTCCTATCATAAATGGCTGCGTCGAATTCCCTCTATTGCCAAGGTCCCAAAGGTGAAATCGCGTGGAATAAAATGGTCGCAAACGAAGTGATCAGTACGGCGACGGATCGGAGGAGTGGTGATTAGGAGAAATGAACGCAAGCTGCTTTGATGACTCGCGTTAAAATGATGGGAGATATGGACATCGGGCGGGATTAACGTGACTCGCCTTCAGAAAGAAACTTATTCAAGGCAGAGCGAAACTGACGATGAATTTTGATTCGCGGTATTGAGATGTGTGCATGGCGTAGGTCAAAAGGGTTGTAATGCGTTGTAGTAGATCAAATGTGCGTGCGAGTTAAAAAATAATCCTGACGTAGAGGCACATACATACTTCAAGGAGCAGGGAAGGAACTTCCCTCGGCCAATCCCGGGTAACATGAGTTGTGTTATCGATCCGCCCTTCCCCTTCCCCCGCGACCGGTTACCCTAGGAAAGCGCTGGAGGTGGGTGGTGGGGTTATCCATAATGGATCATTTTGGAAATGGAGGGGCTCTAATTGGTTGTTACGCATAGTAGCTTCTAAGGTTCGGTTAGCTACAGCGAGCATGTGCAACTGCCAATTGAACTTTAACGCTCGCATCCACTAACTTCCCCTAACATCCACTAGCATCCGCTACGGTACAATACCTCCGGCCTACTGCGTTTCTAGTCCGTTACCCACTCGACCTAACCAACAAATGATAGGAAAAAACATTCGATCGAATCGTCGATCCGTATTTATATTACATCCTTCAAACACATTTCTCTCTTTCGGGACCTACCAAGCTGCCAGGCTTCCCCAGATTCTTACCGTTCCCCCGCCTGTCAGCCTGAAACAGCGAGATTGATAAACTGAATCGAATGTTTCCAATCCCCGACGCTCGCCGAATGACAACGATGATAACTTCATTGGTAACCTGGGGTCTTCTGCGGGGTCGTCTCCATTCCAGACCGTTGGTATCTTGTTATAGATGGGACGATATGAATTATACCCTACCCTCCAATGCATGTACATAGTAAGCTACAGACACCAAAGGGTCACATTTACGGTCGAAGATATCTAGTAACGACGTGACGAGTTGCCAACTTTGTAACACATTTCCGTCTGATGTCCATATTGCCAATATGACAACGAAAAGGTAGCTGAGTAACGGATGCATCTTGGCGTTGTTATTACATAGCATGCATCGGATAAGCACCAGTGGTAACCTTGGGACCCAGGCTGCCAGGAACTTGCACCAGCCGCTATCACGCAAGTTGGCAAGCCATATGCAAACTAGCAGATCCCCTTCCATGAGGTACCGCAGTCAGGTTACTATACCGCGCTAGCTATCTACTTGGTATCTTCGATCACTTGCACTCGACTTCGATCGACACACTTTATTCGGCCTACTTGGCGAGTAAGAGTTTCTATCCTGATCTGATTCGACCCCATTCTTTCTGTGATATGTCATGCTTCTAACAATCCATGTCGACGAATGTCCTTTTCAAGCTACAATTCGCGATATTAGATCACACGTAACCTCGGAAGGGAATCTTAAGATTAATAAGGGAGACATAAGTTCCCAAGCGTTTAGCAAATATCACAGGGTTTTACGAAGCATGTGCATGATTTAACTAGATACCAAGTATTCGTCGAGCTGGGTATATTTTGGTCGGGATTATCATCATTATGGGTAGACAAGATGAACATCAAGCTGTCCATGGATCCTGGTCTGTATAGGTACCCATTCCTTCTATATCTACTAAAATCATTGACCCGCGTGGACGTGAATTCGATCCAGAAACTCAGGGTTGACCATCGGATTGTGTAGTTCGGGGATGGTGCTCATGCAAGCCGCAGCTGGGTCTCCGCTTGCAGCTAGACTGCCATGCCAGTATTCGTTGCCTGGGAATGAGTTTCCGTCCCATGCGTAAGATACCACAAGCAGCTGGTCAGCTTCGTCGCCGGTCAACTTTTCGGCGGGTCTACGTTTCCCAAACATGATTTTGATGCCTTGTTCCAGGGCAATATTGGTGAGTATGTCCTGATTTTGCTTCGTTGTTTTGATCCATGACACATAGATTGTCCCTATCTGTCCCAATTTCCCTTTCAGCGCCGTCAAGGTTTCGCCGAGGGCTACAACATAGGAGTCGGGTTGACGAGTGTCACACATCCAGACTCCTAAACCAAGGCCGACGACATGTACGAACGCCTTCTGGCCTGCCTCATTTGCACGTTTGTTTGCTTCAAGAAGTAGAGTCTCAAGGGTCATTCTTATGCGTGCTCTGTACATAGGAAGATCGAATCCCTTATCCGGGGACTTTTCTAACTTGAAGCACTCAGTAAACGCACCCACAATGGAGGGATGCATTTGACCAGGCGCCACACCACTCAGAATTATATTGGAGTCCATCTGGTCTACCCTCTCGAAGCGTGGACCAACTAAACCGACGATGATGCCTCTGGGTTCGAACGTTCCCGGGGCTCCTTGTCGGCCCTTATTGTATCGGTCACCATCGTTGATGAAGTAGCTTGGACCGCTAACCCCTATTAAGCTTCCCAACATTATCTCATCGTAAGACAGATAATCTTGGAATGTCGAATAATCCGAGCCTTCCTTACCTATCGCATCCCAGAAGTCCCTTCCATCTGGTAGAAAAGTACCATCGCGGAAGAGCGTGGTATCACGAGAAGTGAGGAAAGACAGGGGGCGCTTCTCAATAAGTCTTCTGACTTGCTGTTGCCAAGTAAATGGATGAGCAAACAGCTTTTGTTCGTTGCTAGTCGCGGCCGTCCCGCGTTTGAGAGCTAGGAACCTATCAACAAGAGCCGGATAGTCTTGGTGGACGATAATTCGAGTTGCTTGTGCATCGGCTCGGATGACTTCCGGATCGAAATTCTCGACTCGATTATGCGTAGTGGGAATTGTGAGGTTAGACTCCTGAAGACCTAGGGATTCCATTTTGCTGTTTAATGCGTTGATAACACGACAATGCGAGATAATCAGGTAAACAAGTCTATTGATTAGCGGTGTTATAGTTTGAAGATGCTAGGTGCGAATGATGTATGCGCTGAAAATTACATACAATGATTATTCCCAAATAATGAGGGGGTCTATCGTTGCCTAATGCCAATGCCAATCAACCAACATAACTCTAACCAACATACATACTTCTAACCAATATCTACTAGGTATTCAAGAGATAACCCATTTTTATCGAGGTTTATTGAAATATGTGTTGAAATTATGTTGATTGTTCAAGTCACCGATTTCACTCAAATATCGGAACTGATAAGTTCCAAGGTTAACCTCTGAACCTCTGCAAGCTGTTGAAATACAGGGCTCATGTCCTGTATTCAATGCACTAGCCATTCTTTAGCAAGCAACCCCACTGTGCTGATAGTTAACAGCGCTACCGAGTACGGTGTAACCAATACCAATCAATACACTCCAGCGCGTCCCAAGCACTAACCCTGGTTCGAAATCATGATAAAACCTCACAAATCGACTTTCTACAATATTATAAATCTACCTCAATTGACTTGCCATTATATTGGTTTGTGTATAGTTAGGTGATGTTTGAGGTGTAGACTTCCAAGGAATGGCACTTGAGGTAGAATGACATGCTATTTCTTTGAATACCTAATTATTAAACTACAAGCTTCTATAAGACAATCATGATATCCCAATCCCTTTATTTGCCCATGTTTGCCATAGATAGGTAATGCCAACAAGTACAATCTCATTATATAACCGAGTACTTACTCATGTGTTGAGTTATAGTAAGTAATGAAATGAAAATTACAAAGAGTGTATGAGCGTGAGAATGTCTGCAAGAAGTGGTCTTTGTTCCGTGACAGCAGCTTCTGGAGTGCGTATCTATCTCTCCCGGCGTTGGGGTCTGAATCTGAACAGAGATACTATAATTTATTTTCGGCAGCTGGTATATCTAAGGAGTCATGTAAGCAAGGCGCTCGAAATGGGAGATTGCTAAGCAATCTGGGATCCTAAAATGGATATTACGCTTATGAAGTAAGGCAAGATCTTAGACGAAATTGCACTCCCTTCCCTTTATGTTATGAAAATTTTGAGTCTTGTCAATCATTACCGTTTCCCATATCATTTTCTGGCTTGAAAGCCACACGCACACGTTCACTAAAGATAATACGGCACTTTCGGTCAATTCTTATGAGAGCATCTAAACAGCTATACGTAGTGAATATTATGAAATGGATCTAATCTTAAACTATATGCACCTAATAGCTTTATAAGTAAATACAAGTATTATCGATTATGCTTAAAATTAACTTATAATATTTTATATGGTTATATTACACGAGGATTAATGTTAAATATTATTAATATTAAAATAAATATTATTAAATAATTATATATTATATTATTAAAAATATAATTAATTAAAAAAATATATTAATATATAAAAAAGTTATATATTAAAATTAATACGAAATTATTAAACGTTTAAAACTTAATATAACTTTAATATTTATTAAATAAATTATTATTAAATAAAATCGTAAACTTTTTTTCGAAAAAAAAAAAAATTATAAACTTTAAAACTTTAAAAAATTATTATATTAATTTTAAAATATTATTTTAAATTTATATATTAACTTTTATTATAAATAATTTTTTTTTTTTAAAAAAAAATCTATATTTAAAACTTACACGTATTATCGAATAAACTTTTTCCCATTATTAATTAACATTTTAATTTAAAAATTATTATAAGTTTTATTTAATTTATTTAAAAATATTTTTTTATAAATTTATAATTAATTTTTAAACTTTTTTTATAATTTTTTTTAATAAATATTATTATTTTTTCTTTTTATATCGTTACTTAAAAAAATATATTACTTTAATATTTTTTTATTCGTTTAATTTATATTTCGTTAATAATTATTTCGATTTTTTAAATTATTAAAAAATTTAAAATTATTAATAAATTTTCATATTTTTATAAACATATTAATCCGTTTATTAAATAATTTTAAAGTAATTTTTAACTTTACGTTTTTTTTTTCTTTAAAAAACGATTTTTTATTAAATTATTAAATATTAAAAAATTATTTATTAAAACTTTTTTTAATATAAATATTTTCGATTTTATATTCGAAAACGTTTTAATTGTTTATTAATTTTAAAATTTCGAAATCGTAATATATAATATTTTTAATATAAAAATTATTAAATTTTAAATTTTTAATTTTTTTATATAATTACGTAAAGTTTATTAATAAATAATTAATATATATTATGTTATTTAAATTTTAATTTTTTTATCGACGTTTTTTATTATTTAAATTAAAACGAAATATACCGATAATATAATATTACGCGTATTATTTATAACACGATTATATATTTAATATATATAAATATAACGATATTAAAAAATTAAATTATTTAATTTAAATAATAAATTTATAACGTTAACGATAAATTTTTACGATATATTTAAATTATTATTATTAAATATATTTAAAATAATTAAATTTATTAAAAAATTATTAATTAATTTATTTACGTAACGAAATATTATAAATAAGCTTTTTATTTTTTATATATTAATTTTAAAAAATAAAAAATATTTTAATAAAAAATAATCTTTTAAATTATTATTAAAAATTTATAAATTAATAAATTTTTAATTAAAAATTTTATTAATTTTTTTTATTTTAATAAAATTATTTATAAATAACTTAAAAATTTACGAACTTATATTTAAACCGTTATTAATAAATTTCGCATATAATTTATTTATAATAAAAACGTTAATACGAAATTTATATTTAATAATATTTAAAAACGTATAATTTCGATTTTATTATTATTTTTTATTTTTAAACTTTTAATTATTTAAGGTTTAATTTTTTTTAAAATATTATTTAAATATTTTAACTTTAAAACCCGAATAAAAACTACGTTTATTTTAAAAATTTTTTAACGAAATTAAATATACCGTTAATTAATTAATGCTTACGTGTAATTTAATTTTATTCGAATAAAACTTTTTATAATTAAAATTAATAAAAGTAAAATACTTTTTTTATTTTATTATATATTTAAAACTTTAAAAAATTTAAATTTTAATTTAAATAATTCGAATAATAATAACTTTTAAAAACTTTAAATTTTTAAATATCCATTTAATTTTTTAAAAAAACCGCCCCGTTTATTTTTATTTTTTTATAATAATAATAAATTAAAAAATAATAATAATTACGATCGAAAAAATAAAAATCGTTTTTTTTAAATTATCGAATATATTATTAAAATATTAATTATAATTATAATTAATTTTATTTATTTTAATAAACTTATTATTTATAATAATAAAAACTTAATTAAATTTAAACTTTAATTTATAAAAGTAAAAATATATTTAAAAATTTATATAATTAATTTTTTTAATTATTTTTATTATATTAATTAAATTAAATCGTTATTTATTAATAAAACTTAATTATAATATTAATAACGAATTAATTAAATTAAACGATTAAAAATTATAAATATTTAAAAAAATTATTATAAAACTTTTAAAAAACGTTTTAAAAAATTTTTTAAAAAATATCGTAATTTTAAAAAAATATATAAACTTAAATATTAAAAAAATATAACTTAATATATTACGAAGTTAATAAACTTTAATAAAATAATTTAATAATTAAAAATTACGTTTTAAAATTATATTACGAAAATTTTCTTTAATAAAATTATTAAATTAATATATTTTTATTAAAATATAATCCCGAAAATCGATAATAATTTTATTATTATTATTTAAAAAATTAATTAAATATACGAGAATATATTAATTAATTTAAGTTTTTCGTTAATAAAAAGTAAGTTTATTTTAATTTTAAAACTTTCGAAATTAAATTAATTTAACCGCGAAAAAAAAAACCGTTTTAATTTAAGTTAAAATTAATTTTTAAAAAATCCCGGTTAAAATAAAAACGATAAAAAACTTAAACTCGATTTTAAAAATAAAAAATAACTTAATAATAAAAAAACTTTTAAAAAAATTAAATAATTAAATATTAATTAACGTAAAAAAAATAAAAAAATTTATTAAAAATATAATAAAAATAATTATTAAATTTTTATTTATTTCGTTAAAAAAAATATTAATGGTAAAAAATTATTATTAAGCCCGGAAAAAACTTTTTTCGTTAAATAATTTCGGGATAATGTAAAAAAAATTATATCGCCGTTTTAAAAAAAGGTTAAAATTAATACGGTAATAATAAAAACTTTTTATTTTAAAATTTTTAAACTTAATAATTTTAATAATAAATCGAATTTTTAAATAACTTTTATATTATATTTTATAAAAATTCACGGTTAAAATTAAATAATATTTTTTATATTAACGTTATTAAACGTTTTTTTAACGATTTAAATAATTAAATATTTAAACGATTTTATAAAAAACTTAAATTAAAATAAAAACTTATCGTAATAATAATTTTATTTTATAATAACGAAAAATATTTTATTTATATTTTATTTAATATTAAAAACTTAATTTTTATATTTTTTATATTTAAAATTAAAATATAAAAATTACTTTTAATTAAATAATTAATTTTACGTTTTATAATAATTTTTAATAATATTTTAATATAAAAAAATAAACGTTATTATTTTAAAACTTTAATTTTACGTTATTAAAAAAATTACTTTATTTATTTAAATTTCGAAATTAATGTTTTAAATTTTAATTATAATATTTTTTTTTCGTAATAATAATTAAAAAAATATTAATTTTTATATTTTTTTAATTATTTTAAAAAAATTTAGTTTATTTTTAATTATTATCGTTATAATTATATTAATTAAATTATATATAATTTAAATCGCGTTATTAAATTAATCGTTATAATTTTAAAGAAACCCTGGCCGCGCAGTATGGGTACATCGGCTGATCCGCGCAGTAACGCTAAATTCCGCGCTAGCGCATTCGAAAGGTACCCAGAACGCCCTCATTCCTTTCAATCCACTTTGATCAATTGTTTCTCCTTCAAAACGCCTGCAAACCTAATATAATTACAATCATTTAAAAGCTCTCAATCAGCTCTATTTGGTACCCCATTTGCAGGCTTTGCGCCTTCGGTCTGAATGAGCTATTCAAGGTTGAAAAGATTCGGGCAGAGGGATAGAATTCTAAGACTTCCGCTCGCAGTCTTGTAGCGCCTCTAGGTTCAAACTGACCTTTTGTGACGTCACCAAGGATTGAAAGGATGCAAACAAACCAGATTGTAGATGCGATTGAGAGCTTTCAATTGATTGTAATTATTAAGCTTTTGACGTGGTATTGGAGGAGAAACAATTGATTGAAACTGGTCGGAGACTTAGGTGTTCCAAAAAGATACATTACGCGAAAAGATACATCTTCCCATATATTAGTTTGTATGGCGACGGAGGTACCCTGAAGCTATACCTCTTTCGAATTAGCGCTACTGCGCGGATCTGACGATGTACCTATACTGCGCGGCCAGGGTTTCTTTAATTTTATAAGAAAATATTTAAAAAATATTATTTTTAATTTCGAAAAAATTTTATAATTTTATCCCGATTATAATTTAAAAAGCCGGGTAATAATTTTTTAATTATTAATTATAAAATTACGTTATTAATTTTAAAAAAAACGTAATATTTTTTTAAGGATTTTTATACGTTATAAACGAAAAAAAACTTAATATATTAAAACTTTAATTAAAAAAAATGTTAAATTCCGGTAAAATTTAAAAGTTTATTTTTATTTATAACGTTTTTTTAATATTTATAAATAAACTTAATTTAAAAAACTTTTTTCGATTTATAATTAATTATCGAAAATTTAACGTTATTATTATATTTATTTATTATTTTTTATTTTTTATTTTCGAATTATAAATATAATTTTATATAATAAAATAATTTATTAAAATTAATTTTAAAATAAACTTTAATTTAATTTATATTCGAAAAAATAATAAATAAAAAATAATTTTTTAATATAAATACGATTTTTTTAAATATTTAATAATATTTTTTAATTTTATAAACGTTTTTATTATTTTTTAAATATATATAAATAATATTTTTCGTAATTTAATTAACGTTAATTTTTTAATATATTTAAATAATTTTTTAATTTACGTTAATATATGCGAAAAATATAATATTTTAATTAAAGAAATTTTTAAATAATTTATTATTTATAATTTTATAATTAATTTTCGTAAATATTATTAAATTATTTACGAAATTAAATTTTTTAATTATATTATAAAAACTTACGGCGTTTTTATATTTTAAAATAAAATTAAATATATTTAAAAATAAAAAGTTTTTTAAAACTTAAAAAAATTATAATAATTTATTAAATTTACGAATTTTTATTAACGGTTTATTAAATCGTTTTTATATATAATTAAATTTATTATAAACGTAAATAAAAAAAATAAAAAAAATTAAAAATAAACGAACGAAATGTAAAAATTTTTTAAAAAACTTAAAAAACGTTTTATTATCGTTTTAATAATAATTTATTTTAACTTCAATAAAATAACGTTTATTAAAATTAATATATTTAATTTCGTTATTAATATAATTTTATTATAAAAAAACGAAAATAATAAATTCCGTCCCGTTATTTTTTATTTTTATAAATTATTTTTAATAAAAATAAATTATAAAATTTACGATAAAAAACTATTTATTATTATTAACGTATTTTAACGTTAATATTAATATTTTAAAAATGTTAAATATTATATTAAAATATATTTTAATTATTAAAACTTATTTTATTTTATTATCGTTAAAATATTAAATAAATGACAAATTAAATGAATATAAAAATTATTTATTTTCGTATTTATTATTAATTATTATTTTAAAAAATAAAACGATAAAATTAATATTTTTTCTTAATTATTATAATATCGGTTTAAAAAAAAAGCTAAAAATTAACCGATTATTTCGATTTTATAAGAAAAATATTTTTTATATTTTATTAACTTTTTATTTTTAATTTTTATAATGGTTTTATATATATTTAAAAAATTATATAATTTTATTATTTTAAATTAAACTTTAAAATTTATAAATAAAATTAAATAAATAATTTTTAAAAACTTTAAATATTTTAATTTTTTTATTTATTTTTTAAAAAATATAAAAATACGAAATAAATTATTTTATTATAAATATTATTTTTACGTTTTAACATTTTTATAATAAAAAATTATTAATTTTAAATATAATATTAAAATTATAAAATATATAAATATAAATAAAACTTTAAAATTAATTATATAAAACTTTTAATAATTTAATATTAAAATTACGATAAAAAATTTCGTTAAAAATTATTATAAATATTAATAAAATAAAATTTTTAAATATATATTTTACGGTTTTTTATAATTTATAAAACTTTATTATAAATTTTAATATATTATTATAATAAACTTTATTATAAACTTTTTTTTATTAAATAAATATAATTTTATTTAAATTATTATTAATTTATTTATTAAAATAAGTTATTTTATTTTATTAAAAATAAATAAAAAAAAAACTAAAAATTTAATTAAAATTTTTATTAAAAAATATTAAAAATTATATAAAGTTTTTTTTAATATTATTTTTAATTAAAATTTTAAATTTATAATTTATATTTAAAAAAACTTTTTTAAATTAATAAATATTAAGTTACGTATAAATATTACGTTTTATTTTTAAACCGATAATTAAACCGAATAATTTAATTAAACTTTTAAAATTTATTTTTAAATATTCGTTAATTACGAAATAATAAATTAAGAAAATTTTTTATTTACTATTAAATTTATTTATAATAATATAATTTTTTTATTTATATATTTTACGTTTTTTTATATTAATTATAATTATTATTTTATTATTTATAACTTTTTTTTTAATGTTTTTCGTAATTTATTTAATCGATTTTACGTATATTAAATAATATAAATATATTAAAAAACGTAATAATATTTTAAAAAAAACCGGTAAAAAATAAAAAAATAAATTAATAAATGTCGAAAAAATACGTTCGTTTATAAAAAACGATAATTAATAATGTTAAATATACGAAACATTAAAATTAAATAACCGGTTAAAAAATTAAATAAAAAAATGTTAAAACTTTTTATAATTTAAAAAATAATTTTCTTTATTATTATTAAATTAACTTTATTTAAAAATTAAAAAATTTATAATTTATTTTATATTTTATTTATCGAATTTTATCGCGTTAATAATTAAATAATTTTTAATTTTAATTAAGTTTTATAAAAAGTAATTTTAATAAAAATAAAAAATTATTAAATAAATAAAGTTATAAATTTTTTAAAAGTTTAAAAAAAAGTAAAATATTTAATTAAATAAAAAAATTAATCAGTTAAAAAATATTAAACTTAAAAATTTTATAAATATATATTTAACGAAAAAATTAAAATTATTATTTTATAATTTTATTAATAAAATTTCGAAAAATTTCGAAACTTTTAAATTTCGGTTATATAAAATTATTTAAAAACGAATATTAAAAAAAAAAAAATTAATATTATACGAAAATTAATATTAAATATTATTAATATTAAAATAAATATTATTAAATAATTATATATTATATTATTAAAAACATAATTAATTAAAAAAATATGTTAATATATGAAAAAGTTATATATTAAAATTAATACGAGATTATTAAACGTTTAAAATTTAATATAACTTTAATATTTATTAAATAAATTATTATTAAATAAAATCGTAAATTCCTTTTCGAAAAAAAAAGAAAGGAACTATAAACTTTAAGACCTTAAAGAATTATTATATTAATTTTAAAATACTATTCCAAGCCTATATATTAGCCCTTGTCATAGGTTATATCTGCGGCTGATGGTACCGGTACCTTTTTCATAGTTACATCGGCTTGATGTGTCATCAGCCTTAAAGAATTATAGAGCTTGATAAGCTTGAGATCACCGAAACAAAACTCCAAATATCTATCTAGCCTACCCATCGAGAACCCAATTGATGATGACATAGTGCATAGTACATATTAAAGCATGGTTATACATTGTAGTAGAAGCCATACCGTACAGATCACACATGATATACTGGCTAGTTTTGAACTTATCATTTCCTGCCACCTTGAGCTTTGCTGATGCATCAAATGTGAGACCTGCCATTTAGTGGCGGTTTCCGCTGCAATGACCAAGGGAGACGAGGTCGTACAGCACCGTGGCGTATCCATGTGCAGAACTCCGGGTCCGATCCGGACCTTCTGGGTACATTTTACTGTGTTAATCCGGCTCGGCGACTCGACTAAATGCCATGCACGTAAGGCTCAAAGTTCCTCAATGTGTCAGTTTCTGTATAAGTGAAACTAGTTCGTCAATCTGTCCCAACATTATATTGATGCGCAAAAGCCATAATCGCTGTGTAACGTTTCGAGGTAGTGTTTGTTAGGAATCCCCATACCTGGCAGTTATATGCGAACACATGTGCGAAACTCGATACATGGAATGTCTGGGGAATAACCTTGTTAGCTCATGTTGCACCAAATTAAACTCATGACATGTCCTGTTGGCTGATGAGACCAGTGTAAAATATTTTTATTCTATCAGATCGTAAGAGAGTTGCAGACAGCTGCCAGTTAAGGTGACAGACTAAAAAGGAATATGTCCAAGTTATTTCCTTCTCGTTGCCAACAAAATGTTGCAAACCCTTGGCCCTTGCAATTGGTAATAGCTAACTTCTTAAACCGGCCAGAGGATGCAAATTACCTAGGTAGTTACACCAGAATGCTTGTATAAGTGGCTTATGCCTCCAAAGCCAAGAAGGATTTTGACCTTTTGCATCCTGCGCAGCTTCTGAGGGCTTTATGGCGAGACAAGATGGAACGTTCTCTCACCTACATATACATTATCAGCGGAACCTACTAGGTAGGTATACTTTCGATGATTACCGGCACAAATTCCGCTGACGCGTTCCTGCATTTATGGCAGTCGAGCTGACTTTCTTTATTGGACCCTGTTGGCAATATAAGCTGTAAGATACTCGGGAGTATAGTTAAGATCGACGAAATTAACTGGTAGTTAGGGCAACTATCTTGGAACTAACCTACTCAAAGATATTTGCTTTCGCATCCATCGATAGAGTTTATGGATCTGAAGAGCTTGGGGGAAACTTGCATTGATCTTCACGATTCTATCTCCTAGACGGCAGAACTTGAGTGGTTAAAGCAAGTATCCGTAGTCCCGGCTTTAAGTTGCATTATCCCGACTTGCCTACCCAGGCACATCGGAAGTAAAGCATGCATTTTGGGGGCGCCTCAATGTCTATACTCGCGGATACTCACTTTATGCGGCGCTGGAGGTATGTTTGAAGGGCAGTGGGTCGACACCCCTGAATGAGGTTCTTCCATCCCTATTCTATCCCTCGGGTGTCACACAGCCTCACGTAAGTTGGATATGGGGCCAAGCCAACCGGAACTGATGTTAGATGAGATATTCTCACTTTGGATAGGCAACCTTCCATGTTCGGTACTTCATAATCCTTGTCTGCGGCTCTCTAGTACGTGGGAGCATGGGTTTCCAAAGCTGCACTCTTCCAACAACCCAACGACCTTGTAGTGTCGCACGTGGGTATAATGTACATTGATCTGATGCAGGGACGGATGCAAGTAATGTAGAACATCAGATGGAGTCACCGTGTACCTCGTGAAATACGTCTGAAAAGGGTGGCTTGTAGAGGAAAAAGGGAAGGTGACGACTCGTTCGAATATCTATATAAACCCTCGACGTCCTCTTCTTTCTCTTATGACTCCTCGATATCATCCTCACAATCATAACCAGTCTTCTAGTCTCCATCACATCAAAACAAACCTACCAAGACACACATCGTATTCGACAATTCCCACCACTGTAAGTCTGCATTCCCATATATCCAGCATGACTAGCAACTAACCCAAGAAGCAAACAACAAAACCAAACTTCCAGTCAAAATGTACTCCATCACCAAGACCATCATCACTCTCGGCGCCCTCGTCGCCCCATCTCTCGCCTTCTCTGGCGAGATGACCTGGTACCAGCCCGGACTCGGTGCTTGCGGTCAGACCAACACCGCCAGTGACGCTGTCGTCGCTATGTCATCCCCAGACCAGGATGGACACTGCGGCCAGACCGTCAGCATCAGCTACGGTGGCAAGACCGTTACTGCTACAGTTGTGGACAAATGCCCCGGCTGCTCTGCCACTAGCATCGACGCCTCCCCTGCCGTCTTCCAGCAGCTTGCTTCCCTCGATGCCGGACGCGTCCAGATCACCTGGGAATACGCTTAGATTGGAGCATAGATGGAATCACTCGTTCATCCATTCATCTATTCATGTATAAAGCTTCACTCTCGTTATCAACTCGTTAGACTTTATCACACTGTACATAGTCTTACCTTCTTCTTCTTATCCTCTCCGATCATGTGGGTAGATGGGCATTGGCATAAAACATGGGCAACCAGAGATACTACCTAAATGGTGGCTTTCCTATCTACTTTCGTTAGCTGGACGGTGGGGTACATTGTCAGGTCGTCAAAATACAGGAGAATATAAATTTGCATCTCTACCATGATGGCTGTCCCCGTGAATTACTGGGAATAGAGTGAATTAGTACCCTAATATGTGAGGGAATATTGAAAGGGGGCTCCTGCAATGCTAGATTGAATACCTAGGTCCTAGGTAGGTACTAGATAGATGCTTGGTAACATTTCTTACCCTCAAGATCAAAATACCACAGTAGCCAGTGTAAGGGGCGGCTCAAAGGTTCCAAAGTACCTATGTACATCCACCTCGGTAGGTACCCAGATATGAAATATTCGAATTAAGCGCCCCCAAATACATGGATGAATTGTATTATCCCTTACTCCAGGAACAGCATGTCGTCTACTGTTCTATAAATAAATAAGCTCTGGGTAGCATCAAACCTTAAAATTGCGGGCCAATCCTGCAACCAGTACGTATTCCTTGCCCCTATTTCAACCACCGTTCTTTGGATTTCTCCCTTTCACGTGGCAGCTTTGAATCCCGGAAATTTTTACATGCATTGTAGCAACGACTTTTATACATATCAAGCTTGATATCCTACGTTACTTACGTTTCCCAACATAGCTACAACTCGCCATCCTCACCCCATCCTGTCGGGGTCTTGCTCATCTCAAATCTTATCAAGCTAGCGCCAACAATATCGCTATGTCGAAGTACAGGTCTATCTATCGACCTGCCATCCACGCACAAGCTTTTCACGTACGGTTTTGTCGGTGCGCCAGGAGCTTCGATGACTAGAGTTCTCTCCTGGCCGCCAATGCGATTCGCCTCACCCCCGGTAGCCACCCCGGCAGGTAATCTCAAGGTAACCTTCTCGAAGAATGGCGACCCGACTACGTATTCGTCGCTAGCCGGATTGACGGGGTAAAAGCCGAGTGCCGAGAAGACGTACCATGCACTCATCTGGCCAAGGTCCTCATTCCCGCTTAGTCCTGCACTCGTCGCATTGTAGTTATCCAACGCGATTCTTCGAATGCGCTCAGCGGCCGCGCTCGCGTATCCAATTAGCGAGTATAGGTACGGCACATGGTGGGACGGCTCGTTGCTATGCATATTATGCCCCCCATCAAAATGTTTGTCTAATTTCGCCTTCATACCCTGACGACCACCCGCGAATAAGTTAGCTAGCCCGTCTGTGTCGTGCATGACGTCAAATGTGTAAACCCATTTGTCGCCCTCGGTCCAGCCCCAACTTCCGTGTGCCCACGCGCCGTTCTCGTTTCGCGCTCGCATGAACTGCGTCTCTGCGTCCCAGATATTCGCGTAATTCTTGGCTCGCTTCTCGAGGGCCACGGCCTCGTCTACCTTGCCGACTGCTCGCGCGACGACAGCGCATGCGGCATCGTTAAATGAGTAGTCTAGTGTTCGAGAGGCCGATTCTGACCATCTATCATTATCGACCCAGCCGTGGTCCATATAACTTGTCAGCCCTGCCCGCGCCTCATATGGCGTGTCCGGTTCACGGTCATAGTATAGTAATTGCGTATCATTCTCAGGAGGTTCATAGGCATCCTTGCGCACGGCGGTCCAGGCTTTCTGCAAATCAAAAGAACAAAATCCGCGAGAAATTGCGTTCGCCAACACGGCATCGGCGTTGGTTGCGATCATAATATTAGTTTCGACCATATTCGCCCACATCGGCAGTCTTCCGCTCCAATCAAATATTTGAAGTAGGCTTCGCATCATATTGTTTACGCGCTCAGGAGCAAATATTGTCAAGAGGGAGTGCTCTGCTCTGAAGGTATCCCAGATAGACCACGATTGATAGTACGAGTCATTTGTTTCGTGGACGCTATCCGTATACCCGCTGTAGAAAGTACGGCTACATTGAGGGTCTCTGCTGGTAGGTTCGGAGAAGTCGCTCGGGTACTGAAGAGCGTGAAACAGACCTGTATACCAGATAGTGCGTGGATCATGTTCTTTATCCGTCGAGCTGATTCCTTCGATTGTTACTCGGCCGAATTTTTCTAACCAAGCTGTCTTCGCATTGTTGACCGTCTCTTCAAAAGTAGTACTATCAGGATTCTCAATTTCCAGATTTCTCCGAGCTTGGTCGATGCTAACGAAGGATACCGCGGTCCGTACTTCAACTCGCTTTGTATTCTGATGAAAACTCACGTATGCGCCGAGTAATTCGCCCGATGCGCTTTTGGTCCCCTCAGATATGTTGGCTCGATGAGAAGTACCGTATGATTCAAATGGCTCCGAGAAGCGGGAGACGAAATAACCCCTGAAACTGGCAGGCTTGTCAGGTCCCAATCGATAGTCTTGGCGTTGTGGATTACTGCCAGAAATCTCATTCTTTTCCGGGTCAATCTGAACCTGTCCAGTCCAATTCCGACGAGTTACTTGGATAGAAACATAAGGCTTAACTGGCTGATCAGTCTGATAGTCGTCCGCGATGTTGAAGTCAAGTCGCAAATGACTTGTATGAGCAGATGCGGTCATTGCAACTTGAATTTGACGAGTGTAGTTCCCTACGTCGTCACTTCGTTTTCTGATACGTCCATTCGCCCCTCTACGGACATTGTCAGGGACCGAACCAGCACCGCCAGGCACGGGCCCTCCTCCTGCGGCTTCTTCTGTCAAGTCCCAATCGTGCTCCCCTTGCGTGTCCGCATCTAGAAGGACTTCGTAGACATATGGTGTACTATTTTCGTCTTCCTTGCGGAATGCTAAGCCGCGATGTTCAAATGTCGGTTTCACTTCCGGTGTCCATCCGGGGGTTAGTACCACTTGACCTAGCTCGCCCATCCAGATTGCCGGTTGATGTGTAGCTTGGAATCCATGAATGAAGGCATCTGTGTCGTGGTATGGTACCTGTGATATGTAGTTCTCGCGTGTTTGTGGTGTCCATCGCGTCATGCCGAACGGTACCGACACCGACGGGATCATACCACCATTATCATCGGCCGAGATTCCGTACGTTCCTATCTTCGGATTGACATATTGAAGTACGCCTGAGTTGGCGTGGTAACCCGATGTGCGTTTTCCTTGAGAATTCGATGTTGTCTCTATTTGGCCTGTCGGGCTAGAATAGGCCGAGGCGTAAAGGGTCCAGAGACTAAAAATAAGATATGAAGCCATAGAGTACATTATTATCTTCACTTAAGCCACTCTATGATACCTAGGTGTTCTCATGTCGATTGTTATACTCCAGGCCGAGGAACAAAGAGGTCCTACTGAACAGTCCGAATCTTTGTGATATCCGTCCCCAGATGCATCTCCATAGTGCGGGGAAGACCCTTGCCATAGAAGGACCCAGGGTACTGGTAAGGTGACATATTAACTCGGACCCGTGGCAATATTACGTGATAAATTGATGTAAGGGTGACTTTGATTAAACATAATGTATAGGTATGTGAGGATGAAAAGGATAGATACCAAGTAGTTTCGTTAGCTGTAACTTTGTAGAGTTTAATATTTTGTTAGAAGCAAAATAGTGAGAGATGTTGATGAAGGCTAATAACCTTTAGGAACACCCCGGTCAAATTGTGGGCCATGACTTTTGTGGCTGAAAGTGCCCGCACATCTAAAAAGTAAAAATTCCTATTCTGAATCTAACACAATTAAATATCACTTCACAACACAACAGACACATAGGAACAAAAATAATCAATATAAACAGCAATAGAAATTGCAAAAATTCAGGGTTTGGCCGGGGATTGAACCCGGGACCTCTCGCATATTTGCATAGGTTTTCCCTAAGCGAGAATCATACCACTAGACCACCAAACCAGCTACAGTAGGAGATCCGCCATCCAGCCAAAGGCCGGACGCTAGGATCTGTCCCCATTGAGATTTCGATAGCTGCTAATTTGACCCATAAGGGCCATAAGGGAGCTACCATAACATCATCAGATCGTCTAGAGACGAAGGAAATTCAAAATCAAACTCATCGAACACAAATGTAAATGATCTATGTTGAGGTATGTCAAGTATGTCTACAATTATTCCAAACGACACGGATCCTTCAGGATTCTCAAAAAATGGCTACAACAAGACGGGCAACCATCTATCTGTGGATCAGTATGGATGATAGACAACTTGCTCTCTTAGATATATCTCTGGAACAAGGCTCAATCTCAGAAAAAGAATGCTTTCAAAGTAGCCAACTTCGAAGCAAATGCCTCTTCTCTCTACGACTCATGCTGGTCGAACTTTGACTCAACATAGAGTAGGTAACTTTCGAATAGATCCACCTCAAGAGTAAAGCTGTTCGCAACGATCTCTCATAACCTCCTGATGTTGGCCCGTCTTCCTAGGAGATTGCATACGGCAGTTGAAGATGTAAATAGCAACATTATACGGTATATGCATTGATCATCATAAGCGGTCAATTGAGGCGTCTAACATTTTTTTCACTTCATTTTTGGAAAGCGGGAATCACGCAAAGAAGCCTGAGCAGCTGAATCTCGCCCCATAACTGATCCCATAACTGATCTTAGCGCGAAGATACATTTTGCAGACACGAAAAACATCTCGATGGGGGAATAAGGATGAGGCTATCGCGGCTTTTCCAACGAATCGACAATATATTTCCAACCAAGACCTTTATATGGTTCAGAGTTTTGAATAATTTCAGGGGTACATACCAGGTACCTATCGCAATGTTCACAGTTCATGTGGGTATTGATATACAAGACATGAGTCTTACCGAATGATCGTCTCATGTCGATCGTAGGGCTGGTTTGTGACTTTGCAGTGTTGAATTATTCGTGATTAACAGACCATCTATCATGATAGGACTATACCTTGGCACTATAATTAAATATTTTTAAAATAATTTAATAAAAATGTTGACTTTGTATGTATGAAATGACAAGATGTCCCTGATATCGAATAGGTACCGATAGGCAATTACCTATTCAAGCTTGAACGGATGCTTAAATCAGACCTGAGGCCGCCTGCCCCCACGGGGAGCAGGGGTTCTAACTGGAATGGTTCAGATACTGCGACATGCGGGCTGACGTTCACACTCGCTAAAGCGCTTAGCCCAGAACCCCAGCCAGCCTCACTCGCCCAGTCCTGCAGATCAGCGGTCCCCTAGAAATCTATCTTGGACGAAAGTGGTAGGTCAGTCACACCTAGGTTTCGTCTCGATAGGAGTACACTAACCAACAGATGAATGCCTTCAGCTGCCAATTCATTCAGAAGTTTATGAAATTTAGACCTTCTGACTGCCTTGCTGTCACTCTGAAACCCGATACATAATAATATTCTACGCCTCTATTGGATGACCGCATTTACCAAAAGGGATAAGCCGTTTGATTATTTCGTCCCCGTAGCTTTGTCTTGGCGATGACAACTCACAAGTTTCCGAGTGGATGAATCAAGAATAGCCCTGGTCCATAAGCTTCTTGGCTGCTTCAACGGTACAAATTGCTTATTCAAATTTCTTCCCCAATTGAAAATGTATTTGGTCTTGCATCTTTCCTGTCTATTTCGTTGCACTGGAGTCGATTGGGGTTAATGCGTTGAAATAATAACCTCCGGGACGCCAGTTCGTTCGTCTTCAGTCTTCTTCTCCGTTTCTACTATTTCGGTTCTCTTTCTGTTATTCCATTGATACCTACAGACGAGGGCTGAATCTTGGCAATGGCATCGCGCGGTAGCAGCGTCCTTAGGGACCGCGAAAAGGCCCCACGATCCTCCCGCAACGGCGAACGCGAACGCGAACCGTCGCTCCCTAAGACCCGACAAGAGATCGTGAACGGCCCTAGTGAGAAAAAGAAGGGTCTTTTCCGAGTCAAGTCGGCCGGAGAGTCTGGGCGAAGCGGCATACATCCCCTCCAATTCTTAGCCATCACTTGGCGTTCTAGCAATTGGGTATCGCGAATGGTCAATATCCTTTGGCCTTTCGTACCAGCTGCCATCGCCGCCCACTATGCTATCGAAGAACACGCAGTGTTGAAGTTTAGCTTGGCCTATGTCGCGATGGTACCATGCGCAAACCTCATCGGCTTTGCTGGCCAGGAGCTGGCGAGGAAGTTGCCACACATGCTTGGGGTTCTCACCGAAATCACTATTGCCTCTATAGTCGAAATCATCTTATTCATGATTCTACTTTTCCACGACGAATATTATGTCATCCAAGCCGCTATTCTGGGATCGATCTTGGCAAACATGCTGTTATGCTTGGGACTCTGCTTCTTTGCTGCTGGTCTTCGACGAGAGGAAGCCACATTCCACGCCGCCGTCAGCGAAGTCGGCTCAAATCTCTTGCTCATCGCGTACGTTATGACTTACCCCCTAACCCTACTCTCCTATATTATCGCAAAATTCTGGGAACTAACGGCTTGCAGTGGACTTGGCCTAGCAATCCCCACAGTCTTCGAACGTTCAGTCACGAATTCGGGGTTCAACCTAACTACGGAAGAAATCAGCAACAGAGTGCTCAATATTTCTCGTATCATAGCAATCCTATTGATCATCGCCTATGGAGTTTTCATTTTCTTTCAGATGCACACGCATCACGGCATCTACGATGAGCTTTATGAGATGGATGAAGAGCGAGATGCCGATGGTCACAAGGATCGGACGAAGGATAAGTACACTTTTATCGAGTGCATCTTCGCCTTGACGCTTGCCGTAGCCCTCGTGACATTCATCGCCATCGCTCTGGTGGGAGAGATCCCCAATATAGTGGAGAGGCATAGTATTTCCGACCCGTTCATGGGTTTGATCCTAGTTCCTCTGGTTGAGAAGGCTGCCGAGCACTTGACAGCCATCGACGAGGCGTGGGATAATCAGATCAACTTTGCTTTATCTCACTGCATCGGCGCTACCATCCAGACTGCGATGCTCAATGCCCCACTGGTTGTCATCGTAGGATGGATCGCTCGGCGTCAAATGGCCCTCGAGTTTGAGATTTTTGATATCGTCATGTTGATCCTCGCTATCATTACCGTTGGAAACGTCCTAAGAGATCAGAAGAGCGATTATTTGGAAGGATTCTTATGTGTTATCGTTTATGTCGCTATCGCCGTCGCCGCTTTCTACTTCCCGAACCCTCACGAAGCTGCCGGTCACGCAACAACGAGCGAGACAACTAGTGAAACGACAAACGAGATCACAGTCCACGCGCTGAGACATTTCGGTATAATACAATAAGATTGGAGAGGATAGTTGGAGCATGCATTCATCAAGATTGGCGTTGAAAAGGAAGATATTAATTGGAACGGTCGCATCTTCATGGCATAACTTATGAGCTCAGGAGTTCCTTGTTATCTATTGCTACGGGGCCATTATTTTGGCAGGTTGAGCATCTATACGAATTCATTATGCATTTGACGAGAATTCCTACTTTGTCGTATTTTACTAGGCAGGTATGCACATCAATTATGAGAATATGTACCTATCTACCTACCCAGTAGGTATTTTACAAGAAAAGTGAACATTGACTTGAGTCATTGTTGAGAAATGTTTGTCGTTGTATGGTGTGGTGAGTGCATTCTCTTTATCCGATTCTGTCATCCGCCTACTAACCTCAGAAGTGACAATTAGTTAACAAGAACTATGAGAGCTGTATCTTGACCTCTTACCCACTGACTACTATCTAGATTCCGGGCTGTACAACCAGAGCAAACTTACCATCAGAGTTTACAGGGTCTTACTCTCCATCCAATCATCGCGAAGAATTTCAACTCAAGTTGACGCTTTTGGCAATGCGCTAATTGGTAGTCCGAACTTTGCAACTGTACCATGTCAGCAATCTCTATGTTAACCGCATACATATAACTTATGCGCCTACATAGGTACCTACCTAGGTACCTATATGGTTATACTAACCTACTACCTACTAAGTAGATGTACTTCCTATTTAGGTATGATACTCTAATATCGAATGTGAACCCTTTCCTACCTACTCATGATTCTATCATTTTTATATCAGTTTTCACCGTTTAAGTCCTCCTTACTGACTTGATTAGGTACCTACAGTTCTAGTCTTACTACTCATCTATATCCATGTCTCCGTCGGAATCTCCATCAGAATCCGTATCCTCATCATCGTCCTCTTGGGAATCCATATCCTCGTCATCCTCCTCCTCTTCTTCATCCCGATTTTCTTCCTCGATTTCTTCCTCGATTTCTTCCTCGCTGCCCTTACTAAAGAACGTATGATCGGGATGTACGACATCTCGAGACACGTAACACTTGAAACATAGGCAATACGAGACATCCGCACATTCTATACACTCATGGTACACTCCCCAGAGCATCTATAATGAATGTTAAACCCGCCCATACGTAATGGCTGTAGACTTACAAGAAGACAGGCATCGCAATAACCACCTCTACTTGGGACTCCTTTTTTGCGCCCACCAACGCGCCAGGCCTGCGGATCCTCTACGCCCTTGAGCTCGCTCTCATTGGGGGTGAGTATATCAATGATATCTTTTCGGAGATCGTAGTACACGGCAAGCCTTAAAGGTGTCCAGCTCCGGTCCAGGCCATCCCCTTCAATCACCTTTTCCGCTCCTTCTCTTATAAGAACCCTTATTATTTCTAGGAGCGTATCTTGGTTGACTTCCCAGAAGTGGCTTGCTCTCAGGGCCCATAATAAAGGGGTCCAGTTGTCACAATCTCCACAATTCACAAGGTCACTCCTTCTCTCCAACACGAACTTGACCGTGTCTAATTGTCCACTAGCAGCTGCGAAGTGCAAGGCGTGTCTTTTCATGATGTCAACGCTATCTAGACTCCCTCCATGTTCCAAGAGAAGTTCGACATGTTCTCGCGTCCGGTAGAGGGCGAAATGGATGGGTTTCCTAGCTAAATGGTCTCCACTGGTAGTTTGAGCCTTATGGTTTATAAGCTTTTGTACCAGGGATATGTCAGAAGTCAAACAGGCCAGACCAACAACATTATCCCCCCAAAATGCAGATTTCTGTCCCAAATCGATGTCTGGATCTTCCAGAAGATAAGATATGATATCGTTTTTCCATTGCTTGTTTTTTCGGAGTAAGGCGGCTTGCAATGGAGTCCCCGACGTTGTCTGTAGTGGTTTATTCACATTTGCCCTTTTTCGAAGTAGCTTAACCATGTCAATGGATCCATGGCGACAGGCTGTATGAAACGGCCCCGACTTTAGATTTTCAGCGTCAACCTTAGCACCCCGATTTATGAGAAACTTGGCAGCGGGTATATTATTAGAGAAAGCCGCCATAGATAAAGGTGTTGGAGAGTTAGTTTCAGCGCCTTCGATATCTGCTCCACGATTGACAAGCATTCGAACGATACCCTCATCGGTTGTTTCTCTAATGCAACATAGTGGAGTTATCTTTTGACGACCGGTAGCCTGGTCTATGTTGACATTGTACTCCAATATCAACTTGACGAGCGATAGATGCCCGCTAAGTACTATACGATGGAGAATACTGTCTACATTCGCACCCGGCATTGGATAGGAGAGCCTTATATTGGCTTGGATAATTCGTTCTGCTATTTCCGTCTTGCCCTGCTGGATAGCTTCTACGAAACCCGTGCTTAGGGTCTGCTGAGATGGGTTCGCCTCGAGCAGAGCTTCAACAACATCTAAGCAACTCCATTGGAGAGCCAATTTTAGTGCCGTGGACCCCTTTGAGTTCTTCTTGTCGATATCGGCGCCAGCCGCAATCAACATCCGCGTAATGAGCACGTTATCAGCTGCAGCGTGTATGGGATACCACATATCGCTATCCCCAACTCCGTTTACATCAACATTCGCCTCAATAAGAGCACGACACAGCCATGCTGTACCTTGAAAAGCTGCATTGAACAAAGGCGTCCGATCGTACACCATGAGGTGTTTAGGATTGTTATTGCGCACAGCTCTTGGATAGATCCACAAGAGAACATCGTGGAAGTCGTCCTTTAAGCGTATGAGTTCTTTCACCGTATGCCCTAGAGCTTCGGTCATAGGAGTTATATCTTCCATCCCAAGTGCTTCTGCGCGGTTGTAAACGGCCTGAACTATGGGAAGTGAATTGGTTGAAATCGCTTTGCTTAAGAAGCTTCCAATCTTATCTTCCATGGTTGACCTTTGAGTATGGCGTAGAAGCTCGTTACAGACCTGGATATTTTGCATCTCGATAGCTTGGATGATCAATGTATCGTCCGATCCTAGCTGGCTCTTCAAATGCGCTATCAAACTCAAACAGCACATGGTTCTGTTAGACGAAATCGCCGAGCGAAGTGCCATCTTGTCTCTATTGACTCGGTCTTGCTCGTCGACCTGCGGCTTCGACTGTAGTAATAGCTCTAGTATCTTGTGCTGGCCATATTTTATGGCAGACTGAACAGCTTGTTGGTGGCACTTAAATTTGGTCTCATCAGAGATATGCTCGTTGGAGAAACTAAATTGGAGGAGTTTGGTAAGGATTTCTGAGTAACCAAATTTACAAGTCGAGATCCATATAATCTCCATGTCTTGATCTTCTAGCAACGCCCAAATGATAGAGCGAACTCGGACTTTCTCGGAAAGCAGCAGAGCATCTACTACACCGAGGCTGTTCCTTTGAGCAGCATAATACATAGGTGATATAGATACACCATCTGTATGCGGGACCTCCGTATCCCAGTCCATGGTGTTATTTTCCGTGGCTTTAATAAGCTGCCGAATGAAATCCGCCATATCAAGAGTTGCCGCGCGAGAGAGAATGGGATGGATACTTTTCATGGGGACCGTCCCATCATTCACCCCTGAGGTAAAAGATGAAATAGATTTTGCGTGTCCAATCTCTATCGCTGCCAGGATTGGTATATCAGCTACCTCTTTAGACGTATCCATTCCTAATCTAGTGGCGAGTCCGGTGTTGTCGCTTCCTAAAGCTATTGAAAGAGCGTACGACCTCTTCACCTTAGAAGAGGGAAGGCTCTGAAATCTGGTCATAACTGGCGAAATAAAACTTCCAAGGTTGTACTTGGAAAATATTAAGAGGGCGTCGTTAGGGTCGGCTGGTTCGGGGTAAAGGGGGTTCGGCAACCCCAAGGGATCAAGAGACCTATATGTCATAGCCCAAAGACCGATGCGCTTTCCATCATTTTCCATAAAATCCCGCAAGAGTTTGCTACTTGTCGCTTCATTAAAGTCAGCTGCAATTCCATGCATCGGCCAGTATCTAACTGCATAATATAAAAGGTTGTCTCGGTCATCGAGGAACGGCGGTCCCGGGGAAACAAGTCCTTCTGACATCGCGGCCTCGCCCTCAGAAGACGAAAGATACGCGAGACATGACTTGGCCAGACGCTGGTGTACTTGTTTCTCTTCGTGTATCGCGATATGATATTCCGAGTTTGCATTATTCCTCTTAAGGAGAAGGTCACGAAGATCATGGTGAGCTAGGTGGACTTTTCCGCTCTGGATAGTGACCAGCCCTTTAAATACGTAGCTCAATCTCTGTGATAACGACCGCACAGAATCCCGTTTTGTTTTGGTTGGAGAATTAATCATACTCAATTCCGAGAGGGTCAATGGCCTGAATGAGTATAACAATACTTCTAGGATTGATGAGGCCCATTCGCGATCGGCGGAGGTAATTGACAACGAAACACTGTCGAGAATCTTCTGCACAGATGCTGGAAGAAGTTCTGACAGATATTTTTCCACGGAGCTCTGGGATAGGGGCAGATCTGCTACTCTGAGCCACGAGATAATTAGTTGGCATAAATCCCAATCATGGATGCATGATTGATGTAATTCAACTAAAAGTTTCCGACAGGCATAAAGTTGTGGCCTCTCTCGGATAAGTGAGGACCAGCCATCAACCTCGCTGATATATACGCCAGTGGTATTTAGATTATTGTCTGTACAGTGTGCAAAGTGCGATCCAGTTCCTGTCAGGCACTTCAAGTTCAGTTCTTGGGAGGTATTATCGCAGTCCATGGGTGTGTCCACTACTTTCAAGATGGGAACATCGATTTCATCTTTGGAAGGTAGCCAACTAGAATCTGAAACTGTGCCGACTACTTTGATGTCTAGTTCACAGTCCTTGGCCACTAGCTGCAATTTCCGAAATAGCCAAATACAGGATGTGGGCGCCTTGTCAAGGCTACCAATTAGGATAGCAACGGGTACCTGTGCTCCAGATGCCTGTATCTCAAGGAGGATATCAATGAAGAGAAAGTAAAGGTCGTCTATCTTCCAAAATTCGCTTGGGGGTAAAGTTGAAATAGTTGCTCGAATTTCATCGATTAATTTTTCCCGTCCCAATTGCTGGGAATAATTGATAAGCTGACACAGCAACGTCACCAACATCGACTCTATAGAGTTTAAATGGGTATCTGTCGCCTTGAACACGAAGTATAGTAAACGACGTCCAGAGAATGGCCCGGCGACGGGTTCTATGAGGTTGGCTAGGACGTTGCTTGTTATATCCATGCCGTTATGAGGGAGGTCAAGTAGTAGAACTCTGAATCCTTGACTCAGTTTCCATTGTTCAAATTTGTCGAGGCCTGAGAGTCCTTGGCCAGGAAATAATTCTTGGGCTGGATACTGTGGGACTGCCACCGACAAGAGGTTGCGTAATTCATACGCCAATTTTTCGCCTTGTAGCTAACGTTAGAACCCCTGATCTACAGTACGTAGGTATCGTTCTCACAATACTGGAATGTCATCTCACCATTTTCATGTATGATTCCCTCCAAGTTCAACTCTGCCCAGGGAATGGCCTTTGCGACCTGATCATACGAGACTCCCGTTCCCCACAGCCATTCTAATGGTGTCAACATTGAGCTTGTGAATTGATCAAAGATCTGAAATGTACGGCTTTGTATTAGCACACATTGGAAAGGTAAGTTTGATTGAATATGGTACATTGAAATGCAGTGAAGGAAGTCTCACGTACCCTTAGATCTGGATCTGAGCTTGTTGACATAGTACTAAGAATGAGAGACGAGAGAGGGATTTTGGTTGCAAGGAAGTCATCATTAGTTGAAATCACCCAATCCCTAAGGTCTGAGGCGCTTTTCCACGCCTCTCTTTCTGGAATCTTCTTTTTGGCGAGAACAAGACGGACTAGAGCTAGATCCAGCTCTTTTATAGATCCAGTTCTGTGAGGGGAGCAAATGAAAACCTAGACGTATCAGAGATGGATGAACCTCCATATCCTGTTCTTCCATTATATTTCTCCCGCTGGTGCTGGGTTTATACTTACTATAGCTTTTGTGCGGCGACATATGTTCTTAGACGATTCAGAGTATCGAGAACCTATCACGAGAGACTTCAAGTAGGTAGAGGTTAGCTCCCCTCGCCAAAGTGATAACTTGCCTATGGTGTTGTTAAATTAACTCTTACCTCCTTTAGAAAGATACCTGCAATATCCTGTGCAATGAACATTATGGGCAGCTTGAATTAAATTTATTAGTTAGCATGATGCGGAAATCTGTGTGGTGAGAGGCTTGTGACATCAAACTTACTTTGCTGTCATCTTTTCTAAGTGTGTCCAGAGAATCGAGAAGACGAGTTGCTTCGTGTTGCATCTTGCCGGCTACGAAGACACCAGGAAGTCTGTCCCATAGTTCGAGCATATATAACGAGACGCGACAGTTAGGAAATTTACTAGCGAATTCATTTTTCCACCAAGAGACTTGATCCGGACAGGCATCGCATGGGCATATTACAACCACACTATGAGTAACAATATTCCTTAGCAATTACCTCTCGAACAGCGAAACATGATAACAGCGACGAATATTGAATACAGTAACGTACTCGGCTTGGATAGGATAGTCTCCTTTCCACAAGGTGTTCAGGCTAGACATAGTGTGGTTTCTGTGGCATTCACCACGGGCAGTTCCGGGTTTAGTGAATTGGCATGACTATTGTGGGAAGTTCTTCCAAGAATTATGTTAAGAAAAGTATGTAGGTAGTAGGTAAATGGTAGACAAAACCACTACGATAGAAATCATGTCATCCCCCTATCTGTTGATTCGAATACGCCCCCGGTTCCTTCGTTCACGCCTAACTCTGTAACTTTCAGCTGGCTGCAAGCCATGTCCCAATATGGACCTGCACATGAATTATTACACATTATAATTGTTCAGCTAGGAAAAAGTGACCGGACAGCCGGATCAAGTTATGAAGGGTGACATTCACCCCCCCTTCTTACAGACTTTTCCACAGTGTGACTTCTGTCAGCACCGGGTCATCTAATGGCACGGCGTCCAAGTTGGAGACAATACTTTCATCGTACTCGCGCAAGCGGTTGGTGGGTTTCTTTGCTGGATCGAACCACACGGGGTCAACACGTCGAGGCTGTTTGAACAATGCAGAAGCCCATTGACGAAAGGCAGTCATCCTATCTGCTTGAACACTTATGTTCACCGAGACTGCGAATTTTGATAGGCCGTCGCGCTTGATTAAAACTGCACATTGCATGCAGGTAGGCACACCGGTCTTGTCGGTCGTATTTTCCATCAGTGTCCATGATGCACTGTTAGCAATGCCGTAGTTATCGCCTTCACTATCAATAGAACCCCGTACTGCTGTCGTACTAGTTACATCCGCCTCCACCGTCTTATCCCGCCGAAGTTCTGCTGAAATTGTAGGGACAGGGATATTGGCGTCGACAATCCCACTAAAGCTCGTCGTGGTCCTTTCCTTTCTTGTGGTAGGTTGGATGCTATATCGGCCTTCTGGATGAATTTTCAAGACGCAAGGGTCAGGGTCAGCTTCATCTAAGGCGGAGAATTTGACCTTGATGCGGGCTAGTTTAATCCGCCTAGACAAGTCATCCTCTTCGAAACGGAAGCGAAAGATGATGAGGCTACCTTCGTCGCTGTCGGCACCTGTAAGATGGCCATGAACAATGTCTCGGATGTCACAGCGGATGTGGACTAAGTCTCTCTGTTCTAAGACTCTGTCTCTCTGCCACGGGTTCTGCGGATCGTTCTCGAATCGGAAGTTAGCCCCGACATTGGTCTCATCAGTAAGAACCAAGGACCAACCGGGAAGATCGTTGTCGTGCCACGAATCAGACATATTTAACAGAACTGGCAAATCCTGAAGCAATAACTACCTAGGTACCTAGGTAGGTAGGAGGTAGACAATGAGCAGAGCTTCTGCGCATCAGGAACGTCGACTAATTTATATACCTTAGGTAGGTAGGTACCTAGTTACTAGGTATATAGGCCTCCTACCTACCAACACTACTGTGATAACTACACCAACGCTCTAGTTTATCTACACACCTTACGGCGTTTAGGTAGGTACCTACCTAGTACCCAGTACCTACCTGCCTACCCACGCCGCGTCCTGCCGTGTTACGTCTAATTACCTCCGACTCGCCGTATGAATTGTCAATTCTGTTTTTCGCCAATACTTAACCATCATAAAAAACTAGGTACCTACGATTCGGTTTTTTGGTTCGCAATACCAAGACCATTCGTTCAATAGACTACGGTAAAAATGACTAGTTCTAACAGTCGACGCCAGAATGGAGATTCCGATAGTTCCAGCGAAGAAGAATCCGAGTACCGCAAACAACTTGATAGAATGGAAAAAATGCTTGGAGATGATTCCTGGGCCGATGACAATCATGACGAGATGAAACGAAAATTCATCATGGAATTCGGTTCCATCGTAGGCAAGCCCTCGCCGGAGGATGAGGATCAGAAGAAGAATATATTACACATACTGGCATCAAAAAAGTCCCGCCGATTCCATCCCATGATTCAATGGATGATTGGCTATCTGGATGATAAGAAGTACTTGAATCAGTTACTAAGAGACGGCAGTGACGCGGAAGCGAAGCCACTGACGTCGGCGATCAAGAATAAGAATATCACATTCATTAAAGCCATCCTCAAGAGCAAAACGGCCGAGCTTGGCGATGTTCTAGGGGATTACGTTGAAAATCGACGTAACTGTATCCACTATATATTCAAGAAAAACATTCCAGCCGAAATTTCCCAACAACTCATAGAGAAGGCGAGTGAAGATACGCTTGCGGCCCAAGATGTGGATGGCGCGACTCCCCTTCACATGGCTGCCGAGATAAGTAGTAGCTCAAAGGGAAATCAACTTGATACAGTGAGAACATTCTTGAAGTATGGTGATAAAGCACTCGATCGATATAGAAAGGCAGGAGGATATGGCTCAGTATACCAGCGCTTTCAGGAATCATTAAATAAGAGGAATAAATATGAGAATCAGAATGAGCTTGCCTCGGGAAAAGTAGAAAACGATATCGAAAGCTGGCCCAGCCAGGACACAAGTACGAAGTACGGCCAAGATGAAAGTAAGGACGAAAAGGAAAGGAACAAAAGCCAAGCTCAGAAGGAGATGAGCAGGAAGGCATCGGGGAGAAAGATTTACAGGGAAAATGACTTCCAGCCATCATCCCCCAATCGTGTGTCGACCTTCGACTCTCAGACATCAGCCCAATACCAACCAAACGAAGGGCGACGGGTTGACGTCCCGAAAAACTCGAATTCATTTGAGATCGCCCCGCAAAATAGCGCACAGACGAAGTATCTGGAAAAGGCTGCTCTAGAAGTGAAGCTACACTATCTTCGTACGACCTTAAGGCACGATAGCGGTAGAACTCATGACGATGCGAAGAAATTCCTTTACGGTCCGAACGAGAAAGGTGACGTCCTGATCTTGTAACTTAAGGATATTTCTAGTATAGATAATTGCTGACCACTACATACCGTAGACCACAAGCATATTTCCTTCCCCTTTCGTGAGGGACCACCAACTCTTTCGCGCGATGTATTTAAAGCGACGTACGACGATTGGGTTTTTGACACCGCTCTGCAATCGGTTGCCGTTCGTCGACTTGTATTCGGAGGTAAAGATGCGGATAAAAAGGTTACAAAAACCGGTAGGAGGGATATGGAATTCCTATTCAATTGGCTTCGCGGAAAAGGCGTTCGTCATATTATCAAAGTTATTGTTCTCGACCAGGAATTCCCGGCCCATAGCGACGAATCCATTGAGTTGGCCTTGAAAGATTTTAACATTGAGGTCCTAGATTGGCGTAAGACGGACTTATGCCCGGGTACAATTCGAATCGCTTGCCCCGGAGTCACGGAGCTCCATGTGTGGTGGAGTGGAAATAACGGGATCCTCAGGGCATGGAGTGCGCCTGATGGTCTTGCCAAGCTGGAGAATCTTAAGGACGTCTACATTCGCAGTAGCCAATCCGACGTAAGTTTCCAAACTCGACCTCGCTTAACTTATTGTTTTATGCTGACATATCCGTGATCCCGATAATAAGTTTCTCGACTCGCCAGACAGGGTAGATGCAAATATTAAAGCATTCAAGGATGCGTTAGAAACCGAGCGGATCAAGTTTAAGGAGTGGCCAGCTATCACAGTCCATGTTCCGGATTTCAGGGCGAACAGGTCAACGGAAGTAAGCTCAAATACGGCTTTCCCGCCGAATTTAGTGAACCCGACGCCCTCAGCGGGACATGATTGGCTCAAGACCATGGACCGTTTCGTCGGCGGTATGAAGGGTATCGCTCTAGATACAAATGACAAAAGCATCCCGATGGAGCTTCGCGGCGACGTCAAGATAGCATTAATCGACGACGGCGTAGAATTGACGGATCGGATGCTGACTGGTTGTATTTACGACGGATGGAGTTGTAATATGGATTACGAAGGTAATGACTACTACGGAATCAAGCGGTCTTACGGGAACTCGACCACACAACATGGCACCCTAATGGCCTCGATGATCCGTAGGGTATGTCCGAGGGCTAAGATCTTCGTCTTCAGACTCGAAGTCACCTCCGACGAGGGTAAGAGGGCGCATTTCACCGCGAAAAGTGCGGCGGAGGTACGTAAACAAACAAACATCAAATCCCGCTTCTCTTGAAAATGCCGGGTTACACTAATACTAGGTATAGGCGGTTGAGAAAGCTGCCAATGGCGACTTCGATATTATCTCTATGTCATGGACGGTTAAGATCGACTCGAAGAATAAAAGGGATACAGATAGATTATCTGAATCTCTAGGCAAAGCCGGGAAGAAGGGGAAACTCATGTTTTGCGCTGTTCCGGACAGTGGCGACAAGGCTGCAGAAGAAATCAAACAATTCCTCCCGGTAGGCTGTGTAGTGGCTGGTACGAAGATCTTTAAAATCGGTGCCTCCAAGGCTGATGGGAGTACCTGGTTCATGTCTGGTTTAACCAACACCGAATTCAGCTTGCCAGGCCACGAGGTTGACAAACACACAAGCTCCCAGATTCGGTTAGAGAAAGAGGATCTCAAAACGGGCTCATCGATATCTACTTCCCTGGCGGCAGGACTGGCCGCGCTGATCCTGACCTGTCTACGCATTGGAGCGATCTCTAGGTATAAACGGGATAAAAAAGATTTCGAAATAATCAAACCGTGGGTGACGAAGTTTCGCGGTACCGATGCCATGAAGGATATCTTCACCAAGATGGCCAGCCAAGGCGAGAGCAACAAGTATATTCACGTATGGTCCACGTTCGGATCCGCATCCGAAACATTGAAGAAGCTCGACTTCGACATCAAGGAAAAGAAGGAACAGTTGGAGGACGATCCAGAGAACAAGAACCTGGTATCTGAGATTGAAAACTTACAAGGTGACCAGTTACGGGCTATCGAAAACGTTGCGGAAATCTTATTCCACTTAGCGACGTAGATGGCGTGTGTAAATTCTTACCGTGCTGCCGTGTCGCGTTTTTCTTCAGTGGCTAAGAGACCTAAGCACTAAGTTATAGCGATTATCCACTAAAGTTTAGCGCATCGATCACTATCAGGTCTAGGTTAGATTTAGCTGCAAAGATAGGAGATCTTACAACGATATATCCGACAACACCGATATCTCCGTAGCAATTGTATTTATTAGGAAAGCTTTACGACAGTAACCTAATCTAATCTAGTGTACGGCGTTTTTCTTCACAGTATCTTCTATACATGACCATGGTCCATGACAGTACTCCCCTCGCTCAAGAGTTCATTGAAACGGTCGGAGGGTAGCGCTCGCCAGCAGTGGTAAATTTAGCCAAAGTAGCGTCGATCTGCGCCATCTCCTCGTCCGTAAGGTCAATCAACTTGCTATTCTCTTCCACTCGCGCCGCCGTCGTCGCACCTGGGATTGGGATGATCGTGGGCATGCCAGGACGTTTCGCTACCATCCTTGTCCAGTTGATAGCAAGCTGGCCTGGTGTAACACCCTTCTTCTTGGCTAACTCCTCGACCTGCTTGACGAGCTGCAGGTTGATGTCGAAGTTCTCGGGCGAGAATCGAGGGAAGTATTGAAGCATCGAGTCCTTCGGAATGTCGGAGTGCTTCTTTATCTGGCCGGTCAACATACCTCTTCCAATTGGCGAGTAGGCGACGATCGGGATATCGTATTGCGCACATGCAGCCACAACGCCATTTTCGAGGATTTCGGTGGAGAATCTACCACTGTTAGCCTAAAAATCATCCGATTATTTCTATTGGCATGACTTACAGCGAGAGCTCGGCCTCTACGGCGACAACCTTGACGATTTTGACGGCTTCGTGGATCGTCTCAGCTCGTACCTCCGACAACGAGATGCCGCCAATCTTCCCTGTCTCAACATACTCCTTTTGGATAATGCCGAAGGTAGTTTCCAGAGGCCACTTTGGGTCCCTGCGCGCGAATTCGAACATGTCGATCTTCTTGCGGCCCTTGAGCTGTGCAATGGAATCGTCAAGACTACGACGGGTGTTCTCAGGAGAACCGTCTAGCGCCCCTCCGTCTTTGGTAGCACCACCTTTGATGGAAAGGACGAACTTATCGGCGTCCTCGGGATACTTCTCCAAGTATTTCTCTAGAAGTACTAGGCTGTTGTACTCCGGTGTTCCGTACATTTCGCCTCCGTTCCAGAAGTTCACTAGCGAAATGGTTAGCAACTCGGTAAGTACTCGTTGGTGAATAGTCTAATATGTGTACATAGGCCTCTTTGGAAGGGAACAATAATGATATGGAGTTCGTCAACATACTTCCATTTTTGAGCGCAGCGCGCATGGCTTCAAAGGCCTGGCCCTGCGAGCACGGGTTTGCCCTCCAGGTAAATCCCATAAGGCCAAAGCCGATAGGGCCTACTTCCTTGCCAATAATCTGAGGCATCTTCGTCGTGTGATTGGTGTGAATTGGGAGTTCCTGTAAATTTTATTTAGAAAAAAGGGGTTAGTCTTCCAGCAATGATTGATACCGTTGCTGGTTTGATGAGTGTTGTCTTGTGTGACCAAACATTTTTAAAAAAAATCGACTCAGCAACATCTTCTATTTTATACTACCTATACATTTCTATAGAATCTTCTATTTTAATAATACATCGTGAGCTCATGGAGTCGCTCTCTGGTCACGATCGGGTTTATTATTTCCAGAATTTTAATTCCGACAACAATAGTACGGGAATCGGCCGTGAGAGGGGACTTGGTTCCGATGTGGGTGGAATCCGATATCTCCGCATGTGATTCTATACCAAGACCATCTGTGCCACCATCTGTGCCGCAATGGACCAGAATAGCGTCTGAGCAAATGGACTATGTGCGAATTAGTGTTAATAGTACTGTAAAGCACTGTGAAATGACTATCCCCCTAGTACCTAATGCGCGTTCCATACCAGCTAAAATACGAGTTAGCTACCTACATCCTATGATAATGAGCTTGTTCACGTCCGGGTTTACCTCACCTCAATTTGGTATTTCAGGGGATCAGCTCCCATTTCACATATGTCCATGGAGAGGTCAACTCCACAGATTCAACCCAATAGATCACCGACGATCACTTGACCTGTCATAACTGCCAGTAACTAATTACGGTTATTTTACCATATACTAAACTTTAGCATTGTTGGTAGAATTAATTATCGCCTAGGTAGTCACTCTCATGCTACCTAGCCTAACCAATAGGACGGCTTAATACACTTTACAGATACCCAGTAACGTGTAAAAGCACCTTATAGTTGAAGACCGTGTTACCTACCTAGGTATGTAGTTACCTAGTAAGTGATAGTAACGGGTCGCTCTCTCCAACTTCTGTTTATATAGGATTAACACCAACCCTTCATCCAAGTTCCGTTGGTGACTAAGCCCCTTATTTTCCCTAGAAGGTTACACAGGATAACAAATGCGCTTCTCACTCTAAGCTACAACTCAAACTTAAGGACTCATTCTTTTCTATTTTATCAGTAGTTCTTAGCATAAGCGATTCGGAAGTCAAAAGCATATTCATATAACTTGAGATGTTTCTTGGTACGATCCCTAGTTAATCTTGGAATTTAATTGCCATCGGAGCTAAATTGAGCCATATCAAAAGATGTGCCCCAGCGCGCACTCAGTGGCGTGTCTTAGATTAATGAGAAAATAGTTATAATGCATGTGTGCTCATATTTAGGTACCTAGGTATAATACTTGTCTTGTTTGTGAATACCTATGATCGAGTTTGATACCAATGTTGTTGGGGGAATCTCTATTGGATCATTACGTAATCTGGTCGAGGGGATTATCTCCTAACCTTTAGGTAATACCTGGTCTCTTAAGTTTGGGGGGGCAATAATGTGAACCCATAACTTCCAGGCATGTTAATCAAGGCGGTATATTGATGAATGTATGCTATCGGGCTGAAGTCTAGACTCTCTTCACCTTATAATATGCTGCGATATTGGTGTGGACCATTCTAGAGTGACTGTTTAAACTTTGTCCGCCCATGATAAAAGTTTTGGGATATAGAAAGAAAGATCTCCTAGCAGATAGCTTTACTAGTCCAGGGGTTCTATGGCATGGTTGAGTCAGGACACCCGGATGCCCGGACAATCCGATGGGAATAATATCGGAAAACTTGTTAGACTAAACCAAACTAAAAATGATTGGCCTGATTTTGCTAACGTGAACGTCATCCGACGCCTCACCCGCGTTCCTAATTGAGTTCCCATTCTGCAGGGTGTTCCATTCTAATGATAAGCATACGAGATATCTGATTGGATCCGCTGTGGCGGATTAAGGAACGTTCCATCGAGCCACAAAATTTTCCATTATCTCGATGGTATAGCACTATTCAGGAACCAGTAAGATTTGCGGACTCGTTTATTCGGACTAGATGCTAGTGCAGGATATGTGGGATATATGTAGGTCCCCAATCTCGCGCATTGCGCTGAGCCTCAGGATAGCATTCGAAAACTCTTTCCGTACACTCAAACGGGATGTTGAACGACTCCCACGCTGTCCCCCCAACGGGCATGGAGAAGGGCCAGCCGCAGTCGACAATGAGCGAATCTAACACAGGAGCAGACCAAGCTCTGACTGCGCTTCAGAAAGTTGAGGTCGGTACCGCATCTCACCCCATTCACTGGAATCCGGTGAAAAAATGGGCAGTCATCAGCGTCTACTGCTTGCTACAAACCTTCATCGCTCTCTCAACGACCACATATGTCAGTGCTGAGTTTCTCGTCAAAGAAAAATATGGAGGATCATCACAAGTCGTAGCACTTGGTCAGTCTCTTTTTATCGTCGGGACAGCAGTCGGACCGGCCTTTCTAGGTCCTTTATCGTACGTAATCCCGGACATAGTCGGTTTTTATGACCCTTGAACCTGCCAAAGCTAAATGATTGTCTTATAGTGATATAGGAGGGCGAAAATGGGTTTATGTGGGTTCTATCGGGATCTATGCGATTTTGAACATCGGCACCGCGCTGGCACGCAACTTGCCGATGCTCATAATTTTTCAATTCCTCTGCGGAGCTGCTGGAAGCACGGCTCTGTCAAACGTGGCTGGCACCATCGCTGATCTATTTGGTGACATGGATGGGGCTGGCCAGCCAATGGCGCTATTCGTCATGTCTGCCAATTATGGGCCAAGTATAGGCTCTCCGATAGGAGAACTGATCGCGGAAAATGAAAGGTTGGGATTGCCTTGGATTTTCTGGATCAAGTGAGTCTGCGTTCTAAGTTATACAAGGGCTTTTTCTTAACCTTGAGTAGCGTTATCATTGGTGGCGCATTTGCCATCATCATGTGTTTCATTCCAGAAACACTCCCGCGGATTATTATCAGCAACTCGGCAAGGAAAAATAAGTCATCGGACCCAACCGAACTAGCTGTGATAGAGGAACGTGTAGATGTCCTGAAAGAGATGCGATTCGTTACCTCGATGGCTTTTCGTATTATGCTGACTGAACCGATCGTCACATTCTTGGGCATCTACAACGGATTCGCCTATGGGCTGCTCTTCTTGTACTTGGATGGAGTATTCGACGTATTTGCTGTCAATAACGGATTATCGTAAGTGCTGCTTATCTTCCTCATGGGGCTGGATCTAATAAGACTAGGTATATCGATGCCGACCTCACGTATCTGAACTTTGTCGTCAGCGTTACCATCATGTTCGCCTTTATTCCAGTTCAGACTTGGTTTTACAAGCGCGACCGAAAGAGAAACGGTGGCGTTGGCCGACCGGAAGCGAGATTCTTGACCTCGCTGTTTTTCGTCTGGGGATTTCCGATATCTCTTCTATGGTTCGCCTTTACTAGTGATGGAAGCGTTTCGTACTGGTCTCCGGTGGTAGCTGGTGGCGTGCTAGGATTCTGTGATCCGCTTCTATGGCTCGCGATGTTAAACTACATTGCCGATTCGTACACCAACGTTGCCGGGTCGGCAATAGCAGCTTTTTTGATACCATCTTTTCTAATCGCGGCTGGTTGCTGTCATATTGGTGAGTAGATCCGTTCAAAAGCACTGCTAGACTTGATTCTAACTTCAGTGAATTTAGGAATCGTCATGTTTGACAACTTAAGTACTAAATGGGCGATGGCTATCCTAGGATTCGTCTCATTTAGCCTTGTGGCATTGGTATATGTCTTGTACTTTTTTGGGCCACGAATTCGATCCTGGTCGAAGTTGGCGAAGAAGTAATAGACGGTGATAACATCGTCTTGGATATCATGGTGTCAAGCGATTCCTGTCTATATCTTGGCAATTGATGTTGGATTTGGCATTTCACTGCCAAGACACTTTATTGCTTTATCATATCGAGAAGAATTCAAAGTGTATCACGTGATGGATGACATAAGGCGTTTGGTACCTGCCGTAAGCGCTTGCAATTTACCCCACCATGTCCTACTTACAAGGTACCGTACCTATCTCATATGCAGCTGCGTCCCTTCATCTTAACTTGGAACTCTTCAACCTTGTCGCCGTATACCTAGACGAATAACACATGCGAGTCTCTTGGCCGAAGCTGCCATATCGACCTTGACTTTGCGATTCTTAAGTGTTCAAGATGTCCTAGAAACATATCCCTCCCGAAGGCGACTTGGATTGTCAGCCCACAGCTCTGGGAAACGGCAACATTCATGGATGCTGACGCACTGACTGCAATACATCAGAGATCCAACCAATAGCTTGATCTATCACTCCAGACGAAGAACAACGTCAATAGGTAGCTATTGTCCTTATTCTCGTTCTGTCGCGTCAGAAGCTGCATGCCGAGATCGACTTATGTATCATCGAAATGGGTGGCTTTGTTGAAGGAATGAACACTAAAAATCTTCGAAAATAGGTACCGTGATATTATAGGGGGCCTGTTATAGATGCTACTCAGTTATTTAGGGCTGGTCTAGAACTAACACCTAAGTTGCTAAGCCCTATGCAGCCTGGAACATCGCTTAGGGCCAACATGGGTGCCGAACATGAGAGGCGAGATTTCTCGGCCGTACTAAAATTAGGCAACAATAGGACCGGCCTTTTGCTAGTGTAGAGAGCGAAGGAGGTATCTAGGCTGCTAAGCCGCCTCTAGAATCGAAATTCTGCGGAAGTACATATATCGAGTCGAGCCATCGATGAGTTTATTCTGATCATGAGATCAATCATTTGATGCAAATACGATGTACGTCTTATTCTTGAACCTAACCTGGACCTTGGCCTTGGATTTTAGAGAGGAAAAGGACAAGGGCAAAAAGGAAAGAAAAAAAAACTGCGCCGCACTGCCTAATCTCGAGTCATGATGGAAGTTAGATCCGCTAATGGCAAGTTGCCCCGTTGGCGGGAAGGACGTTCTGCTGAAGACCGGGGTAAAAACAAAAGGCTTGGCTCTCATTTATTTTCCATAAAATCAAGACGATAGACTCCCCTTTTGATTTTCCTCTCTTTTTAGTCGATCCTTTCCCGTGTTGTTCTCACCGGGTCGTCACTCGTTATTAATACCGACCATATCTCTTCACCTTCAAGTCTTTCGTTTCTACACAATATATTTAATATCTAATATACAATAAATTTAACCTTACTCACCGTCTAGCCTTGTTTTAGTCAACAAGGCGAGTGACAACTACAAATATATACTATTATACTGTTGCGAAAAATGGCTTCGAACGAGACATCGCAACCGGTGAATGAGACGAGGGACGAGCATGGGATTTCTCCTGTGGACGATGCGACGAGAGCAGATCGCGGGAGCGTCCCCCGAGAATCAGTGAATGGGGACGCGACCATTCAACCACCGTCTGCTACGCGCCAGCAACCGCAACCTCAATCTCAACCCCCTTATGGACCGTACCAATACCCACCGCAGCCGTACTATACTCAACCTGTTCGCCTTCTCCCACGGTACTCGAAATCCTGGACATTTACCAAACTCATCCTCACGCTCTCCCTCATCATCGTCGCCATTATAATCATAGCCTTAGCATGCGTCTTCCTCAACATAGACGGCGAGGCACAATGGATCGCCGTGTACGCCTTACCTATCGCCATCGCTTCGATCTTGTGGAACGGCGCAGAACTCATCACCTTTTTCGTGCGCTCGCACAAGGACGAAAAGCGCGGCATCCACCCCGGTGCTCACGTAGGCCTGCACTTGTGTCTCTGGATCGCTTCCGTGTTCGCCGTGCTGCTCTCCGTCACCGAGGTCATCATCGTGCAGTCCAACCTAAGGGAATGCCAAGAGTCGCGGAGCAGGAGGTACTCGTATTATAGCTACTGCCGCGAGTACTCTAAGATCGACATGAACGGTAGTTACCTCCCGATGCTGCGCGCAGTGGCCGCCTTCTTCTGCCTCATGCTGCTCGGCCACTTTATCCTGTTCGTCTTCGCCTGCATCGACACGCATAAGCGCAATATGCTGAAGCCCGCCGGTATGGTCGTTCCTCCTCAGGGCGGCATGTATTACTCTCCCCCGCAACCAGGCGTCGCGCCTTACTACCCCCCTATGGCGCCCCAGCAACAGCCAGCTTTCGCTGGCCAGCCTAACGTACCTAGTGCTGTGGGACAGGAGACAGCGCAGAATTACCAGAACTTCGCCGGCTTTTATGCACCAGCGCCACCGCAGCCAACTTACGCCCCGGCGCAGGCTGCAGCAGGCCCGAATAATGAGAAGGTTGTGCCCGTTACCTCGGCATAGGTTGGATAAATATTGTGGCGTAAAAGCGGATTAGCAAGCATTGTGATAGCGATATTGTGGTGGGCTAGCTGAAGGCATTCTGCATTTGTGTTTAGCGTTCTTGCGTGGTTCGACGAGACGATATGTGTCTATTGATATCGATATAGGCATTGGCTGTTTTGGATGTTAATGTTGATGTTGATGTTGTCGGAGATACCCCTGATTCGTTGCGTGGGAGGACTAGGAGTTGAGTCTACAGAACTTATTAGGTTAATGTACAACCTTGGGCATCAAGGGTTTTATTATCAATTCGGGAATTCCTTCCGCTTTATGGAGTCGACGGAATGTATGTGATCGAGCGATATTGGATATTGGCTGTCACGTGTGAAAAAATGAAATCTGTGTTATGCTCGATGCAATCGTGCATTGCATAATGGTCGCAATATATGTATTTCTGATGCTGACAATGGACAATGACGATTCGATAGGTGCCCCTGACGTGGGGTTACTCTGTAGGTTTTTTATTGTTTTCTTCCCCGCCTCGAATGATTGGAATGATTGGAATGGCTGGAACTTTGAGTTGACAGGTCGACCCCTTTTGGAAGCGCCTCTTTTAAAGGTACCTCTCAAGTAGATGCGTGGTTTGAGTTGTCAAACTTCCGGTGACGCGCAACGGTATTTCCTAGCTGACGAATGAAGAGTGTTTACTCGTTTTCGTGATGCCCAATGGATTACGTGCCCGAGCCTCCGATATCCAAGCTGTTTATGTCGTAGGGAAAGAATGACAATATCAAACATGGTTGATACGGTTCTATGCGAGCCGGAGCTTTGTATCCTGCATTTTGATGCATACACGCAGCGATCCTTTCCGATCTTGTTTGGTATTGCAGTCCTATTGATCCCCAGCCTCGAGCTTTTATATGTATTAGATGTTACCTACGTAAGTGTATTCCTTGATAGGTACCTAGAAGTTGTTTGTGAGTTATATAGATAGGTGATTAAAAGCTGAGTAAATGGACTGCGAACCATACCTCCCTAGTACCTACCTATGTACTAGACATGTATCGAAGTATCGATATTGAATGATCGAAAGAAACGGAGTTGGCTCCAACTCAAATGGAACATGGGCTGTTTTGGAAATCGATTGATGCGACCTCGTCTGATATTGCCTATTGCCTATTGCCTATTACCTAAGTATCGCCGTCTTGCCATCTCACCTCTGGTATGTATACAGCATCACTCTCTGACAAACAACCTTGACTTAGGACAGGTATGACAAGTTACCTGGTTGTTTCTTGTGTTCTCTATCACATGCGGTCTGGTCCGGTATGTTAAAGCAGGTATCTTGGGTTACCTACCTGTTAAACCGCCAACCGATGACACACAGACGGCTGACACCAACAAAACAGTAAACTGACTATTTCATGCTTGATGTGTGAGGTGTGCACTACCTTTTCGATCGAATTGTCTTATCGGAACTCACTTTTCTGGGACCTTTTCATTATTGAAACTTCGATTTCTAGAGAGAAGAGGGGAGAACGAAGAAAGAAGATACAGATAACATAATAATTATACCCATTTCTGTCAGTACAGATTTGGAAGTAATAACCGTTATATAAACGTCGCTCTTACCCCGGACCAGGCCGTTATCCCTTAAGATTACCGAACAGTAATTCAACTAATACCAAAGAAGGAGCCGTCAGGTTATCGGCAAGGACTAGGTCGCAACCCACGTCCTACCTGGGTCCTAGCAGCCTGGGCATTGAGCAGGCCAGAGTGGGGTATAAACACAGACCACCCAACTCAACTTTATTCGGGCTTGCAAAAGGTAGCAAAGTTGCGCCCGCCCGCATCATCCATGCGAGACACAAAACCCCGCCATTGATAGAAAAAGTTACCGTACCTCCAGCTTACCTTCACTGACTGATACATCCGTACAAAAAAGATACAAAGGCACAAGGCACAAGTGCAAACTTGTAGCGTGTCCAGGTGAACTCAAGTTGGAAGTTGCTCCTCCAAGCTTCGTCGTACCGCATTTTTCTCGACACTGACGACATCGCGCTATTCATTTAATCATCTTTCTCGGCCAAACTTTCACCAAGCACCAAGCATCAAGCACCTTACCGATCTTACCCAACTTACCCGCACTCCGATAACTTGCAACTTACAACTTACAACGTGCAACCCGCAACTTGCAACTTGCAACTTGCACATTTCAACCTGCCAATCCCGCACCCGCACCCGCGCTTCTCTATACCGTTATCTATCTTACCCGTCGCGGGCTAACGTTTCTTGCTAAAGGGGTGTTATGCATCGAGTTGAGTTGAGTTGAAGTGAGAGAGAGAAGAGAGCAGTAAATAATAAGTAGTTGTTAGACTTATTTTTTTTTGTTTTGAGAGAGATAGCTGTTCTACCCGTCTACGTCTACCGTCCACAGTCTACCGTCCACGGTCTATCGTCTAGCTTTATCTTGGGTCGCTCCGCATTTCTGTGTCCTTTCTTCTCCTCCACACCAATAACACACACCAATAACATACAATAACACACAACAAAAAGTCTCACCACCTCCCGTCCCGCGCGTGACGACGCGCAACCTATCGTCCATCATGAACGACGAAGATGCCATGGCCAATATATACAAAAAGATCGAGCGCGAAAAGGCTCTGATCAATGCTGCCAATTCTATGCGACAGCAGACCAACAACGATGATGTCAGATCCCGTCTCGACAGTCAGATGCGAGAAGGTCGTCGGAACCTCCAATTCTTCGAAGAAAAGCTTCGCGATTTACAGATGAAGCGTATTGGACAAGGAGTCGACAGCATGAGTATTGGATCCAGCTCTACTGCCACCGGTTCGGGTCGTCCTCCTAGTGGTGATGTGCGAAGCGATGGTCAAGGGCCACCTATGCCTCCCCCCAAGGATGCCGGCGACTGGTCAGGCGGAGATAGGGCATCCTATGGCTCGTTGCCATATAGTCAGATAGGTGGCCACGGAGATTTAATGCCGCCACGACATCCATTCACCCCTCCAGGCCCGACCTCCTCCATCCCCAAACTGAGACCGAATTTTACGAAGTTAGGTTTGTCACACCTTTTTTTACCCTTCTACCCTTCTACCCTTCCACACACCGTAATATTGTCTATCTTTACCTAGTAGCTTCAATATTCTCGCCTCCCAGTTGGTTATCACTCAGGCTAATCTCTTGACCAAATCTTTATAGATCTAATAAAATATGACACTCCGTACCTCGGTCCACGAATCCAACTCATGCTCTCCCAGATCGAGTTCAAGCTCAAGGTTGAGGATCAATATCTCAAGGGAATAGAAAAGATGGTACAGCTCTACGGCATGGAGGGTGACCGCAAGAGCAAAGCGGACGCCGCCGCTAGGAAGGTTGAGAGCAAACAGAAGATTCATCTCTTGAAACAGGCACTCAAGAGATATGAAGAGCTCCATATAGACGATTTGGATTCGGCCGATTCCCCCGATGGTCTGCTGTCCCCTCAGTACCTAGAATATCCACCTCGTACTTACGGCTAACCATGTTACTTTATCCAGATGACAGTATTAATATGCCGAACTTGCGCAAACCATTAACCGGACAGCTTTCGATTCGCGTCGTTCAGGTAAGGGACGTCGATCATGCTAGTACTGGGCGGTTCTCGCGAGGTCCGGAAACCTTTGTCGCTGTTAAGGTTGAGGATAACGTTGTCGCGCGGACGAAGGTGTCACGGACGGATCGGTGGGAAGCCGAATACCACAACATCGAGGTGGATAAGGCGAACGAGATAGAACTTACAGTATACGATAAGCCGGGCGAGCATGCTTTGCCTATAGCTATGCTGTGGGTACGAATATCAGATATCGTGGAGGAGATGCGACGAAAGAGGATCGAGGCCGAGGTCAATAATTCTGGCTGGGTGTCCGCCGATAGGATGGGAGGACCGGGTGCACCTCCGCCTCAGTTCCCAATGGATCCGGCGCAGCCTCAATTTGGTGGTGCCGGCCCTACGTCTCCGACTGGTGCAGGTCCGAGCCAGCAGCCGTTCGGTCCCCAAGCCGTGCCGCAAGTTACGTCCCAACCGATCGACGCATGGTTTAACTTGGAGCCTACAGGTGCCATCCACCTCTCCCTCAACTTTATAAAGCAGAACAAGGACCGTAGGCCTGTGGACTTGGGGTTGGGACGAAAGGGCGCTATCCGTCAACGCAAGGAGGAAGTTCACGAGATGTACGGACACAAGTTCGTGCAGCACCAATTCTACAACATCATGCGTTGCGCGCTGTGCGGAGATTTCCTCAAATATTCGGCAGGGATGCAGTGCGAGGATTGCAAATACACTTGCCATACGAAATGTTATTCGAGTGTGGTTACGAAGTGTATCAGTAAAAGCAACGCCGAAACGGACCCGGAAGAAGAGAAAATCAATCATCGCATCCCTCACAGGTTTGCCCCATTTTCGAATGTTACAGCCAATTGGTGTTGTCACTGTGGTTACATTCTGCCCTTTGGCAAGAAAAACTGCAGAAAGTGTACCGGTATGATAACCAAACTTTCCCTCAGTCTACCTCATGCATTTAGCTAACGTCTCAACAGAATGTGGACTCACCGCACACGCGCAATGCGTTCACCTCGTTCCGGACTTCTGCGGTATGAGTATGGCTGTTGCTAACCAAATCTTGGAAGGCATCAGAACACAAAAACAGCGACAACAAAAGGTCACTTCCTTGAGTGAAAAGACCCTAAGACAAGGCAAGATGAGCCCTACGAGTTCATCGGGTCCTATGTCGCCTTATGGCAGCACTCAGGGAGGGCCTTCGTACCAACCGAGTATCGCTTCTCAAGAGGCAACCGACGCCGCTAAGGCCATGTACGCTAGTCAGACATCACCCTCGAGACCGGTTCATCCTGATCGCACTTCGTCTGGTTCGAGCGCCGCCGCAGCTGCTGCTGCTACAGCTGCCATGAGCGGCACTATGGCATCCCAATCGAGTCGTCCGGGACAAATTTTGGATTACTCTTCTGGCAGAGTAGGAGGTTATGGGGGAGCTTTAGATGCTCAAGAGGATCCGTATGCTGCCGGCCAAGGATACAATATGCCTACGCAACCTAAATATAACCCAGCAGCATACGCGAATGTTTCCAACTATCCTCCAAGCCAACCGCAAATAGCTCAGCAGCAGCAGCAGCAGCAGCAACAGCAACAGCCACGTCCAATCCAAACCCAATCACCCGCGCCGCAAATACAACAGCAGCAGATGTATACTCCTACAGCGCCTGTGTCTAAGCCTCAGCCGCTACAGGAGACCCCTTCCCTAATATCTGGTTCGACGTTACCGCCTCCTTCGAGAAAACCCTTACCTTCTGCAACGGATCCGGGCACAGGCCAGCGTATCGGGTTGGACCACTTCAACTTCTTAGCAGTCCTTGGAAAGGGTAATTTTGGTAAAGTTATGTTGGCAGAGACGAAGAAGTCCCGCCGTCTTTATGCCATAAAAGTGCTGAAGAAGGAGTTCATCATCGAAAACGACGAGGTTGAAAGCATTCGATCAGAGAAGAGGGTATTCTTGATTGCGAACAGGGAACGTCATCCCTTCTTGACGAACTTACACGCATGTTTCCAAACCGAGACGAGGGTATACTTTGTCATGGAGTACATTAGTGGTGGCGATCTGATGTTGCACATTCAACGTGGTCAATTTGGCACCAAACGTGCCCAGTGAGTGTTTTGAGAGACGATATGAAACGAAATATGTGCTAACAATGTTGGTAGATTTTACGCTTCCGAAGTCTGCTTGGCTTTGAAGTACTTCCACGAGAATGGCGTCATCTATCGTGATCTCAAGCTTGACAACATCCTTCTCACCTTAGACGGTCACATCAAGATCGCAGATTACGGTTTGTGCAAAGAAGACATGTGGTATGGTTCGACCACGAGTACCTTCTGCGGTACGCCAGAATTCATGGCCCCTGAGGTATGTGTTCCACTCCTAGTTTTACTAGTTTCAGTCGCTTTACCCAGAGTGCTAACTCGGTTCCAGATCTTATTAGATAAAAAATATGGGAGAGCAGTTGATTGGTGGGCTTTTGGAGTTCTGATTTACCAGATGCTTTTACAGCAGTCTCCCTTCCGAGGTGAAGATGAAGATGAGATCTACGACGCTATCCTCGCGGACGAGCCGCTTTATCCCATCCACATGCCTAGGGAATCAGTTTCGATCCTACAAAAGCTTCTTACAAGAGATCCTGACCAAAGACTTGGTAGCGGACCAACTGATGCTCAGGAGGTTATGAGTCAGCCATTCTTTAGGAACATTGTATGGGACGACATCTATCACAAGAGGGTTGCACCTCCATTCATGCCCACCATCAAGAATGCAACGGATACTAGCAACTTTGATTCTGAGTTTACTAGCGTCACACCAGTTCTAACGCCGGTGCAATCAGGTAAGGATATCTCTATCCCTAGACATCGTCAACACGAACACTCCGAAGATGCTAACATGGTCATAGTTCTGTCCCAATCGATGCAAGAAGAATTCCGCGGATTCTCGTATACGGCGGATTTTGATTAGTCGTCCTCAGCCGAAGGATCTAAGAATTCATCGGAGAGTGGTAACAAAAGAACCAGGAAATGAAGTAGAGAGATTTTCAATCGTTCTGTTGTTAAGCTATAGGTATCGCGAAACGGAGGCGAGGTGTTCTGCTAGTTCGAGGCGCATTGAACAAAAAGAGAAGCTGTTGCGGGCTCGATGTGACCGAAAATACCACGAACGGTCTTCGGGCCACGGGACACATTACACAAGAGGCGTTTCGTGTGAAATTGTCATTCGCTGGGCGAATCTTTCCAAAAAAGCAAGCAGACAACCCGTTCAGCACATTTTCTAGAATTCGTCGAGGAGTGGCAAACAAGATGCTATCGCGCAGTTTACCCCGGCATATAATAATTTGCCTTGTTAATTAGACCAGTTGATAATGCAACCATCACCCTTCTTTTCCACGTTAGACGGGCCGTACTCTACCATACCACACATTAGATCGCGTCACGTTACTTAAGTGAAATGATCCATATAAGAAGATTGGGTATCGTAGTGTTTTTTTTGTATTATACAATGTACCTAGTACCTAGTCCTAAGAGTTTCTTTTTTAACAATACGTACAGATCCCTAACGGATCATAGATGATAATGATGATGATGATGATCTTCTATGTATTCTATGCTCACGCTTATGTCCTTCGGATAAACAGGATAGTGGCTATGGTGCCTACAACCGCGGCACCGGCGGCGGCGCTCTCGAGCGCTAATACGGATACGTCTCGTACCTTGATGAACACCTTCCTATCACTCGATAGCTCGGCGTATATGGCTTTCCAATAATCCGGGTCGGAGAGGGCTTCCCTCCACGGGACTTTCGGCGGCGTGTCTATTCGTATAAAGCTCTCGCTCGGTTGCTCTTCCGGTTCTTTCGTCGTCGTCTTCGTCTTACCCTGCTCCCCGCCAACACCCGCCTCAACCGTAACCGGAACAGCGGCGGCGGCAGCAGCAGTAGCAGCAGCTACTTCCTCCCTCCTCCGCATATTCTCAAGCTCAACCTCCTTCCTCCTGATCTCCCGCTCCAACATCCTCTCCTCCTCCATCGCCTCGCGAACCTTCTCCTCAAACCCCTTAACCAACCTCCGCCTGCGCCAGGGCTCAGCACCAAACTGCAAGACCAAAAACAGCAAAATATTAACACCCATCAAACCCCACGTGCCCCACGTACTCATACGGCGAATCTTGTCACTCCATATTTGCTCCTCGTGATACCGCGACAGGATGCCAGTATTCAGTTCTCGACCCAACCTCTCAGCCTCACGCTCCGCATCTTCGAGCTCGTTTGCACGGTCCTGCACGCTGGCCTCTAGGTCGTAGTCTTGTCTATACAGCGCCGTGAACCTCTCGAAGTCGGCAGGCGTCCAGGTCTTTTGTCGGGCCAAAAGAGTGGTTACTTCGCGCTGCGTGGCGGAACGCGAGGATACGGCTGTTTTGTAGGCGGAGCGGGCGCCGTGGAGGTTCGCTTGTGCGGATGCGAGGGAGGATTCTAGGGCGGAGATTTGCGATTTTAGGACTTCGATCCCGGAGTACCCTGTTAGGTCGTTGATGCGTTGGGAGGCGGCGAAGAGGGTCGTTTGGGCGCGGTCCATGAAGGCGGATAGTTGCCGGTTTATATCCGAGCGCCGGGAGTTTTGAGTGGAAGGGAGGTCGGGGTTAGGGGCTGCGGTTGAGGAATCCGGGGGCGGTTGCGGAGAGGGGGGTGGTGGTTGAGGTGGTTGAGGCGTCGGTTCCGGGTTTGGTGGTGGTGGTGTTTTTGCCGGTTCTGGTTGTGGGGGTTCTGGGGGAGAGGCCGGAGGGGGGAAGTGGAAGATGAGAGGTTCACGTTGTTCGGGGGCAGCATTTTTCTCGCTCCGGCTTTCGCCATTGGGAGGTTTCGGAGGGTCAGAGGAGAAGAACCGGCGTTGCGTTCGGTTCAGGCCTAGGACATGACCGTGCCGGCAACTCGAGCATGCGGAGGTGGACGGCCGGCTCGGGACGAAGTTCCTTCTCGATTGAGGAGCCAATTGATCGAAAAGGAGCCGACGACTAGGCCCGAATATGGGCTTCAGGGCCCGAGAAGTCGACATCGAGGCGGTGAGGAGGCGGGCTGGAAGGGAGGGGGGGGAATGCCCTTTTTCCTCGAATTGCGCGAAATCTGGACAGGTGAGATTCGTAGTAGTACAGAATCAGGATTAGATATGACGCTGCTTAGTCGGACCGGAAAGAAAGGGCAAGGTTACTTCGATCGTAGGAAGGAAAAAAAAGAAAGAGGCCGGGGAATACCCGGCCACCGCCCTGTCGCCATAAGCTGGATAAGGCACGATGCTACCCGGCCAGCTGCCAGGATGTTCTTGCCAAGAAGCGCTAATAAGCCTCAGTGGGGGTTTCCATTTTAGCAGAAAAGCATCGCCGATCGTCAACAAATTTGATGGAGGGGGAGATGGAGGGGTCAATATGGTTGGAAAGTGCCCCGCGGATCGCTCTTGTTTGACGCATGTGTTTGGTATCGGTGTTAGTATTGGCGTGGGTCGGACCCTGAACCTTACATTCTCTGCATTCTGCGAAACATTTTTACCTTTCTTTATTTTTCGCTCATCCCTCCTTTTCCTATCTTACCGGTACGATATATATACCTACCGGTCTGTGTTGTTCGTGCATCTTCCCGTCTCTTCTCCAAGTTTGCTAGACGCAAGATAACGCAAGGCAGCCTACAAGAAAATCAACCAGTCGTTTAGTGTGTGACGTCACTCTTTTTTCCGCGGAAGTTAGATCAAAGTCCCTCATAAGATACAGGGATATATGATATAAAATAGAGGAGAACAGCCGGAATTATTGAGGTGTCACCATCAAAACCTCGGGAGTATCACCATCATTGTCATCTTAATATTACTAGATACACGAAGAACGACATGGCTCAGCAAAACGGAACCAATGGCACAAATGGCGTTAACGGGACGCTTCCCGCGCTGCGCACGCAACCTAAAGCCATTTTCTTCACCGACTTCGACGGCACCATCACGTTACAGGACAGCAACGACTTCATGACTGATAACCTGGGATTTGGCGTGGAACTCCGGAAAAAGGGGAACCATGACGTACTATTCGGGAAGCGTACATTCCGTGATAGCTTCCAAGAGATGATGGACAGCGTCAAGACCCCTTACGACCAATGCATTGCCACACTTCTCAAGAATGTTCAACTCGACCCCTGCTTTGCCGAGTTCTTCAAGTGGACCCGTGAGAATAATGTTCCAGTCGTTGTGTTGAGCGGTGGTATGCAACCTATCATCCGTGCTTTGCTCGCTCATCTTGTTGGAGAGGATGCTGTTCAGCATATGCAGATTGTTAGCAATGATGTTGAAGCCCGACCGGGTAAGACTATCAACGACGAGGATGGTTGGAATATTAAGTACCACGATGGCAGGTGAGTTCTCATAGACCCCTTACTCTTAACCCTTTTTTCTCACTTCGGCAAAATGATTATCATTTACCGGTTTTCTTTATCAATTATTCCCGGGTTGGTAACACAATCAATACGGAATGCGTAAAAATAAATAGTGTAAGATAGGTCTCAATGTGTAACTAATACATTTATTTTTCATTATATACAGTGACTTTGGACATGACAAGTCCCTCGAGATTAAACCGTATGCTGCTCTACCAGAACGGCCTATTATGTTCTACGCCGGAGACGGTGTATCTGATCTTTCCGCGGCGAAAGAGACTGACCTGCTATTCGCTAAGGCGGGGCGAGGTGAGAACCCCTTTCTATGTTCTTAAATACCTATCCAGTGAAAATAGGAAGCAGTAAATTAACCAACTAATTAGACCTCGTCACATACTGTGAAAACGAGAAGGTGCCCTTCGTCACTTTCAACGATTTCTCCGACATCCACAAGGTTGTCGCGGATGTAGTCGAGGGAAAGATCAGCGTTAGGGACGCAGCGAAAGGAAGACTATAGATTCGGACATCTTAGATCTAGAAGGGTGAACATTTACCCCTTTCTCTTCAAACTTTAGAGAAGAAAAGCCTGCATCATCTCTAGGTACCATTCAGGCTAGACAGCATCGTCTAGGCAAATTCCGGTTGGCATGATAGACATTACCCATAGACGGGCGGATAGATAGGTAGATGGGTAGTGATCTCATATTACCTCGAAGTTGAGCCAGTGTCCATCAAGGACCTAGCTTCCGGTATTACTAAGCATGCATTTTTTAGAGCTTTAGACAGTCATCGCGATCAATTGAACGGATGTCTATTAGTATGAGTTGAATATGAACTGAGTGATTCTCTCCTTTTAGACTTATCATGTAGTCTGATTAAGAGTGGGGTTAGGAGGTACTAGAAATAATGGCAAGTCAATAAAGCACGGGGTCACCCTACGCATACGAAGGAATGGATTAGTATTATGGCATATGCTTTTAACGTGCAGAGAGTAGGTATCGTAATCTGTAATATCACCAACCACCTTGCCGTATAAATAATTACCTACCTAGGTACCTCAACTACCCATGACAGCCATCACCTTTTCCCAAGGATATCATCTTAGCCCCCTGAAGAAAGTTTTCCGTCATCCATATGAATGCCTACTTACGCAACCCTACCTATGCGTCCAAAAACAATTCCCTTGTCATTCCATCAATACCTAGGTAATCGAGACCCAATTCAATATTATGAATTATCATACTCGTTACTCCGTTCTCTTCCTCACGTCAGGCAACACGAACCAACACACCAACATAGCCGCAAACAAGCCAATGGCAACGGGATGCATAACGAATGTCCCAACAGCCTGAGCGAGGAGACCGGTAGTGAACGGGGCCATAGCACCACCAGAACTACCAAAAGCACTGATAATTCCCATGCCGCTAACCTGCTCGCGGCGCGATAAGTTTCGCGTAAATATAGCAGCAGCGCAAGGATAAACAGGACCGAGAAGTAGTCCGACGATAGCCAACGATACGGCCTCACCGACGATGTTGGGAACTAACCAGACCAGCAGTTGAAAGACGGCGGCGCCAACAACGAGGAAATACACGAATAGCTTCTCGCCAATTCTGGAGCTAATAGGTGAGAGACAGAACCGGCCGATAGTGATACCAGCCCAAAAACCAGAAGTCACGTATCCGACGGATGAAGGTTCTCCGTTGCGTGCAGATATCAAAAAGGAGATAACCCATCCAGAGATCGATACTTCGGCTCCTTGGTATGCGAAGATGAAGATGGCTCCTAGGATAACGACCCTGGACTTAAAGGCGAAAAGCATCATAGACATATCGCCGCGGGAGCTGGTCTCAGCCAGTATATTCGATTCGACGCCACCGAGTTCCTTCTCGTAGTTCCAGAATGACCAGGTCGAGAAGCAGGTGTTGAAGATGGCAAAACCGAGAGTCAAGAAATAGTACCGGCTCCAGGCGGCACCAGAAGACACAATGGCCGTTGCGACGAGGGGGCCGACGATACCACCAGCGCCATAGCTACCATGCATAGCCCCTAACATCGTTGTGTTATTGCGTAAGTTTGCACAGAACACGTTACCAATAGCCAGCTGAATAGCGCATCCAAAGCCGAGTAGAAAATAAGATATGGCGACTAGAGGAAATGGCGCTGTACAGATAAAGGGGATATACCCGATTCCCATGCAAATTTGAGAAAGGGCAATAGCCTTGGCCCTCCCAAAGCGTTGCCGAATCTGGTCGACGAAAGGCGCCGCCATGATAAAGCCCATAGCATTTCCGATGAAAATGAGAGATACTACGGCATATCCGATGTTATAGTCGCTAATAAATTTACCATTGTCAGACTATGCCTAATCTTTATACGCGCTCCGTGATGAGCATGCGTTAACGGAACTGTACTCACGCTTCCATGTACGGAATAAGAGCACCAGGGGCGGAATCAGTCAATCCCGCCATGAAGTTTTGGAGGCAACAAGCTGCCAAACGAAATTTATTCATAGGCGGATCGTTCAAACCTGGTAAAGCATCGACAGCATCTACCGGTTCGGCTGACTCGATTGGTGTTCCTGGAGCAGTCATTTCAAGGTCAATCTCCTCCCGGGGGGTTGTAGCAGTAGAGGAATTGTTGTCATTGCGGGCGTATCGGAGAGATGTAAGCTCAATAGGGTCTTGCTGAGGGACGGCAGGATAAGTCCTAGATACTACTCTCTGCGGAGCCGCTGGGAGAGTATGCTCGCGCGTGAGCGAGTTTGATTCGACTTGGACAAGAGTCGCGAATAGTGATGCCTCCATTTTGAAAACTTATCTCATAACCTGATTGGAAACCTTGATGGCAAGGTAAGGTTTGGTGAGAGAAACTACTAGAGATAGAGAAGGGAGAAGGGAAAGACGAGAGGATTAAAAGAGAGGAAAATTGGGTTTTTAGCTGCTGATTATCAAAATTTTCAACATTGGTAGTGTGGGAAACCCTCTAATACCCAAAAATACGATTACCTATCTAGCACACGACATGGGAAATATACCTACCGAACCCATAAAATGACGCTCGAGTAAAGAGTTCGCGATCCTATCGGTGAGTTTGCTCTGCGAGCCAACCAGCCATGGCATCTCCTCATTCGTAATCGAGAAGGCTCGGGATTGGGTATCCAGGGTCTTATCTGCCAATCATAGCAGATCGTGGACAGAAGGAAAATGATTCTTTCACCTAGCTCTAGGAACTCCACTGCGATGACCGGAGACTGGGGGAGGGCTGAATGGGAAGTGGAAGGGGAAGAGGAAGGGAGTCTAGTCGCGAGCGGGGTTAGCGTGGCACGGCGTTGCTACTCACGCGGTCGTAAAGCTTATAAGCTCACAATCTCATGAGCTCAAGAGTTCATGTCTGTCATGTCAAGAGCTATGTGTTGTATGTGGAGAATCCTATTGGGTAGATCATAAACCTGTTTGTGGTTCCGCATGCAGGGCTGAGAAGCTAAGAACGAGGATGTTGGAGAAAGTGAGAAAAAAGTAAGAAAGTCTGGAGACGGTGCCTCCAATTACGGTAGTTCCGCCGGCTTAATGTCGGTGGTCCGTAGCTGGATAAACATCGGCTTACCCCACGTTTCTTATTAAGCTGGGGAGAAAGGAGCCAGAACCAAACTCTGACCAAGCAGCTAAGGTTCAATTTCCTTCATTTTTACAACTACAATTTATGATAACTCGTACTATTAATCTATATCGAAGTGCACCATACACCATTAAAACTTTGAAGCGATACCTATGATGATATTGCACTAGGTATGTAGCCATCAGCTGCAAGGGATAACTTGCGTCTATGCTAGGGGAGCACAGGTACCTGGTACATTTGCGGGTTGTCGCGGAATATGTATCCATCATATTGGATGTATGGCGTTCGCAGCGAACGAAATGGCTTATGTCGTGACACAACACTGATTTTACCATTGTCTAGGACATTTCCGCAATTCCAGTTTATCTGTCGGGAACGAGTTGCCTTCCAACTTGGGGATCAGATCAGCCGTATTTCCCGCCCTATGGGGACTCCTCGATGTGTGCTGTATGCTCGATCATGCTTCCGTCAGGAGGGCTGTATTTGCCCATTGTATCCAACTTTCCTTCCACTATAACGATTTCTTCCTCGCTGCCAGGTGCCAACCGACTCACGCCGATATGAGTTAAGCTATACGGATCACGAGTCTTTCTTTTACCAGCATGAACATATGGACCCAAGTCTAGTTCATAGCCACCATTTCTACCATCATGGTGATGGCCATGTGTGTGACGATATCTATCCGATGCACGATCACGATTAATCCAGAACTTCCGTTTAAGCATTGGCGTAATGAGGGGTAATTGGCCCGCCACTATCCCCACGAAGTCTTCACGCATAGACCACAGAGCTGAAACGCCCATTTCGGTCAACTAAAACTGCTTTGTAAGTAGGTAAACGGCCTACAGGTATGGACCTACCTATACTGTGGGTTTAAACGTACGTGGAATACTAGCACATAGCGAAGAATCGCTGCAAACATGCAGAAGAACCCGAGGCTAAAGAGAAAGACAAGTCCGACCTTCTGGAGCCGACTTGTGTGTAACCCGATGATAACCTTTGGGAAAGTTAGCCATACAGGATGTGACAGATCAAGTAGAGTATGTATGTATATATACCGGCGCCGGGATGAGCATGATGCAAATGTCAGTGAGTAAGTTGAATGCCAAAATAATGGTAAAGAAAACCTCGTTCTGCGGCACACAATGAGCTGTTGGTAATAGTATCAGCAGGAGCATTTTATACTGGAACCAAGACGGATAATACGAACATCCAGGATCGGGCCAGACTTGCCACAGCGCATGAAAGGGGTGGCAGTAGAGGCTGAGTGTCAATACTATAACGACTGCGGAAAGTAGCACCAGTCCCATCACTGGTTTGATGAAATTCTCGACCCATAATCCCCTGACGATACGCTCATAGAACAACAACATGTTGAACTTCAACGTCCATATTATTATGAAATAATTGGAAAGGCCAAATAAAAATATCTGGGAGCCATATTCCCAATCATGGTATTGTTCAGGCGGCATATTTTGTCGTTGTTCGTGTGTCAATTGGGAGGTATGCCGACCTTCGCAGACGGCAAGGAATATATGACCTATCACAGGTGCTGCTGTCCACATGCACTAAAAGGCTGTTGGTTAGGTGGTTGGTAAGACAGAAGGGGATTGGGTAGACATCATAGTTATGGCCATACACCACCGCAACTTACAAACACAGCGACGATGATATAGTCATCTAATTGATAGCCCCTGGTCCCGACAAATTTGGTTCGACAATAGATCCGGGCAGCGATTGCTAGAGCCCCGAAGAAGTAGAGAAGCCATATTTCTACGATATATCTGGTGAATCGCTTTTCCATAGCGCCAACAACAAATGGAAAGGAAACTCTTAGCGAGTAGGTCTATGAGTAATAGCTGACATGGAGGTAGCCTCAATTAATAGACTTGGATGGTGCGCCGAGCACTAACAGATAGGGCTTAGAGCAAGGTATAACGGAGTTAAGTGAGTCCATGCTGTCCGCATACATCAAACTTCTAAGTACATATGATCAACAATCACCTCATGGGCGTGTGCCTACCTCCTAGAAGATATCCCTGATAGGTTTCCTAGATAGGTCGACAACATCTGTATAGGAGATTTTCAGTAAAAGTAAATGCGGGATAATGGGTCTTGCTAAAGCTAACAAGAACTTATAGCGTGGGTTCCGGTGTCATTCAGCTAACCCCTGAAACCGACGGATGTCATCGATATTGATCTACAGCAGGTGTTATTCGGACCCCGAACTCGTACGGACATGGCTCACGATACAGGGTGACGCAATAAGGTAAAGAATGTATGCAATGGTCTTATAACTTCCAAGGTTGGTACGCGCAACTTGAAATCATCTACAAAATTCATTCAAGGAACTTACCTGCTTACTAGGTAGGTACCTATTCATCCACCACCGTCCACCAACATCCACATGGCCGCTCAGGCAGTTAGGGCCTCGGGATAAAGGGGAAATATCCGTAAGATAAACCGAAAAATGCATATGATCATATACGGAATATTTATTGCCAATCCTCTTTTATATGAATATTTGCCTAGCATCTTCTACCCGAGTAGCAGACGAGAATCTTATGATTCCTTGCCTATTCAGCCTGTCAGCGTAACTATATGAAGCTTAGCTAGGTAATGTGGGACAGTCCCGTATAATACAAGGAACATTCGACAGGGGGTTTCCTGACACGCCGTATTCGAGTCGAATAGCCTTACTCTAATGGGTCCGCATGAGATCGATCCTTTCCATCCATGTTGAATACATAAAACATATCTAGATAAGAATAACACCATGCTTCAAAATATCAATCGAGGGTAAACTATCTCTTTTCAACAGTCATCCTACTTCATATATTAAGCAAGAAGTACTAAATCCCCTGCCATGGCTACGATCCGAGTTGCAGTCATCCAGTCCGAACCCGTCTGGCTTGACCTTGCGGGGTCGGTCAAGAAAGCCGTAGGGCTTATTGAAGAGGCCGCGAAGGGTGGTGCTAGGATCGTCGCCTTCGCGGAGTCCTGGATACCTGGGTATCCTGCATGGATATGGTCCGTATTCAACCCTAAGTTTCACGATTATCCGAGAGAACCGGCTAACATACAAATCATTGTGATAGGGCTCGTCCCGTAGACTTCGAACTCCAGACTAAATACATCTACAACTCGTTGGCCATCGAGTCAGATGAGATGGAGCAAATTAAAGAAACCGCCAAAAAATACTCCATCGCCGTGGTACTAGGGTTCTCGGAGCGAAGTCCTTCGAACAGTGTCTATATTGCACAGGCCATAATATCACCACAGGGTGAGCTTGTCTTGCATAGACGTAAGGTTAAGCCAACCCATATGGAACGTACTATCTTCGGCGATGGCTCCGGAGGCGATTTGACCAATGTGGCCGAGCTCGACTTCGGCGCTCCACTTGGCAAGATCAAGGTCGGAACTTTTGCCTGCTGGGAACATACTCAGCCACTACTCAAGTATCATAGCATCACGCAGGGCGAAGTGATTCACATTTCCATGTGGCCACCGATAGACCCATCAACCGGTGTCGACCATCCAGGTTTATGGAGTATGACAGCCGATGGATGCCAGAATCTGTCTCAAACATATGCTATCGAGAGTGGTACTTACGTCTTGCATGCTACAGCTGTGTGCTCTCAGGATGGAATCGATGCCATGGGTACCCAAAACGGACTTACTTGTGCAAAGCCAGGCGGTGGTCATAGTTGCATAATTGGCCCTGATGGAAGACGCTTGACCCCGCCGCTTGGTGATGGTAGCCCCGACACTCAGGGAATCGTGTATGGAGACCTAGATCTAACCAAAGTAGTTGGAAACCGCGGCTTCCTGGATATCGTTGGTCACTATAGCAGACCTGACCTTTTATGGCTGGGCGTGGATAAGGAGAAAAAGGAGGTTGTGGTTCCAAAGGTGACGACGAAACAGTCACAGCCGAGGCAAGAAATTATCTAACTAGGAGCGGTAGCTCAGGATGATCACCACTAGCATACTCAACAATAATTGAAATAAATTCTTCAGCCCGAGAGATCCGCTGAGAAAATTTAATGTCGCTGTTAAGTATCAAGAGTTTTTGCCAAACAGAAAAGCAGTGGAACGCTCAATACCCACAAGGTAGAGAGTGGGCCAACTATACCTAGGAGTAGCCCTAGATGCCATAAATTTCTCGGCATGAGACCAGTCTAGACGTATTGTCCATACTGCACACCCAACACATGACGGCATTTTAAGGTAATTCTAAGGTACCCATTTAACCCCCTAACATAGTCTTATTGCCGTGTTACTAAGCTATACCGAGCCCAGGGAGGTAGCCGTCACCATGGTGTAAATATTCAACATATGATTCATCATTAGAGAAGTTCGTAGTTATATAAAATCGTCTAGTTATCATGGAGCCTACAACTCATCTTCATGCAAGTACTTACCTACCTAGGTATATACTATTACACATTATATCTCACTCTCATAATACTAGCGAAAATGGTATGTCGTACAAGGGAAGGTCAGGAGATGGCCTCCCATTCCTCCGTTCTATTCTCTTCCCCAATACCATGCTTTACGAAACTCAATATAGAGCTTGTTATTCAAAGCTTGGAGCCCCCTCACGACGAGGATGAGACCGCCTGGGAATATATCACTTCTGGATTTCAACATAGACTCGGTCGTCACGAGAGATATCGCTGGGAAAAGTCCGGTTATGCCCTGGCGATGTTATTACAGAATACCGATTATGATTACGCAGCGCAAGTCAATATTCTTGACCTTTTCGCACGCACAGTCTCAGACAACTTAGGTGTCGTCAACAATCTAGGTGAATGCTGGAAAAGCTACATGACCGATGGCAACAACATAGAACTGAGCTGGGATTGGCACACGGGCATCGAGAAGCCGGCCGTGCGATTTTCTATCGACCCCATCGGCATGGGTGCCGGAATGACTAGCGACCCACGCAATGGGATGGCCACAGCCAAATCCAAAGAGTCAATATTGCAGGCGTTACCAAATATTGACATGAGTTGGTTCAATCATTTTGAAACATTCTTCCGCGGCGAGACGGAGAGTACTTTCATTGGTCTTGAGTCCAGAAAGAAGTGTGACTTAGCCGAATGTCATGCATCAAAGGTGTTCTGGACCTTTGACCTGGGCGAAAAGGACATCACAAGCAAAGCTTATTTCTTTCCGGGGTACAGGGCCCGTGCCATGAACAGGAGCAACCTGCAAGTCATTAGCGAAGCTATCATTTCGGCGCCATCATGTACCCCTGAAAGACTAGATGCGTTGACCATGTTTTCTAAGTTCGTGCATGAACACGAACGGATGGGACGGTCGCCCTTGAGGCTTGACATGCTAGCTGTCGATATGGTGGAATCCTCTAGCGCTCGCCTCAAGATCTACTTCTATAGTCGCCGGACAGATTTCAGATCTGTCTGCGAAAATATGACACTTAGAGGGCGTATCGCAGGGCCAGATATGGATAGGGGCCTCAGTCGGCTAAGGTGTCTCTGGGAATCCCTTTTTGACCAAGAAGGCGTATCGCCGGATACACCCCTTAGCTCAACAAGCCATCAGACAGCAGGAATCTTGTACGATGTTGAATTTCGCCTGGGGGATAAAGCGCCAAAAACGAAGATCTACATGCCTGTCCAGCATTATGCACGCACTGACGCGCAGGTCATAACGTCCGTGAGCAAATTTATGAACGCCCAGGGGATCAAGCATGGAGGGGCTGCAAAAAGGAAGATCGGATGTCCCGGGCGGGAACAGGCTCCTTCCGCGCGCCTTGGCCCATCGTTGCCAACGCCTTCTTATGCCGACGCTTTTAACGCAATCTTGTAAGTTGCCTGCGCTAAAGATAATAGGACCCCTTGAACTTCTGCGAATCCCCCACACTAACTCTCGGTTAGTACCGATGAAGCTATACGTTCTAGCCGAGGCCGTCATACTCGCGTAGCCTGCTCGATAGAGGCCGGGGGCGCGTTAAGAGTTGTCTCGTATGCCAATCCGCAAGAAGGGAAGTTCATCAGGCATACACCACAACAGAGTTCCTAATAAGATCTCTAGGTAGGATATTAAAGATAGGGAAACATGTTTATGGCATTCCCGAAGAAGAGAAAACTCACTAGACAAGAAATTGGTTGGTATGAAGTTCCTTAGATTAGTAATGGACTATTGCAAACGTAAAAGGCATGCCTGCGGACTCGTGGACACGATATGATCGACGTATACAGGGATAACAAGTGGGTATCTTCATGTAGGTGCGTAACCTTTAGCCTGTGGATATCTGCAGGCTTAGAAGTCAAGACAGTGAAGATTTGTCCCTTGGAGCTCATTTTAATGTCCATCTACACATAAACCCAGACTCTCAGACCTCAGGACCGATGTTACGGTGGATAGTACTGCACGAAACTTCGTACGAATTCCAATTCATGCAAGAAGACTTATGGACTTGCTGACTCTAGGTGCGAGTTATGAAATTCGCTTAATTTTACCGTGTTTAGTTTAGAGGAGAGCATGTGAATAGAAACTGATCGGCGAGGTATAGTCATCTCTAGCCAATTATGACTTTGCGGAGTTTCTATAGGTAGAGAAGTTGCGATGTTTCCTAAGGCACCCAGATTCATAGGTAGATAAAGAGATACTCTGCAATTATGTCAAATGGTAGGTTTTATGTGAGATAAACTTGGAGAGCTCGTGAGAAAGCCTACAGTCGGTGCTCCAGAACAATGAGGATGCCCCCCGCCCCCTTTTGTTAAGCATTATTGATCCCACTAGAGCAATGGAATTATAGTGCCATTCAAGCTACAACCTGCTGTATCCGTAGTAAGCTTATAGTGATCACCCTTCTATACCAGGTACCTAATGAATGAGCCTTTAAGCCCCCCAGGGCTCTTAGGGGTATGCCACGACGCATTCAGTCAAGTTTAGGTATATTTCAACAACTCCTCGCCAAACGAGATCGAGTAAATTTCAGCGCCGCATCTACCTAATGGATCTCATCTTCATGGGTTCCCCGAACTGGACCATACCAGGTAGGTAAGTTGCACATACTGTTTAATATTAGGTGTCTCTCAATAACATTGTTACCTACCTAACATCTTTTTAGATGGATACCAATACATATATCTGCTCTTTCGGTTTAAAAAAAATTACAGGAATTTGAGAAACACGCTGCGCCTGCTATGGGGCGGGTGATCAGCTAGACCAGTGCGGCGGTTCAGTGTCTTGCATGATAGGTACATACTCATCCAATCGACGATCGCGTTTTTACGACGAGGCCAAGCTCTATGCTGCATTTCTGTGAAGCTCTATATGAGCCCTAGATCCAGGTTCGAGGGATTAAGTATAAAGGCAATCGCTTCTTCTAGTCGGGTGATGGTCTGTCGCAGACTGAGTGGGACCTAACGTCCAATCCTGGGTATTACATATACCAAATAACCGAAGAGGCAAAGTTTTAGCGATTGCGAAGACAGGAACATAACCGAAACGACAGCTCCAGCGATAGGTGAAGCTTGCTATGGCGGAAGGGGAGTTAGAGGCTAGGTCACATCTAACTGAAATCCTGTGGAAATAGTTAATTTGGATTAAACTCCCGTCTGTAGTTTTGGTAATAGTCGAGCGTTGTCATGCAACTCGCGAAGACTCTATGCCCACTAGTTTCCCTTCTTATTCACTATAGTCCAGCTGAAGAGTGGCACGTAAATCGTTGAGATCATGTTGTGTGTAACTCCCGGATTCCACTACGGCGTTGTAAAACCCGTCCCTCTCTTCCCAATCCAGGCGACCTGAAAACTGGCGGACTTGTTCTTCGAGGTTTAGCCACATCCATATGATATCGTTATAGTCATTTTCTGCAAATCTGCTGGCGTAGGATCTCAATTTTGCTTTCAAGATGTGTTGCAGATCCAGGATTTTGTAAACTCGGGTACCCCACGGAGTAGTAGCAGTGGCCTGGGTAGAAGCTTCTGCGATATTTCGAGGGGCGCCGAGATTACCTTGAACACCTAATTAGCCCTCTATATTATATGTATTTGAGACAAGTGTGTGGCGGATTAGGTACCTACCGGCTAGTATCAAGTCCACTAAGACTGGAAGGGGTTCAACCTGCTCGCCATACGAGGGTCCAGTTAACACAAAGACACGTGCAATTCCGGTAGAAGCTGCGGTAGGACGTGGTCGATAAATCCTGCGATATCTTTAAGTATAATTTCATGGACGCATTGAAGTTGGATACCTATCATCCGAGGCCAGAAGAGTGTTCAAAGAGCGCGGTTTCATATCAATCGCCAAATCGACATCGGTAGTGGTGCGTGAGTCGAAGCCACGAAGTTGCATGCTTAGGCCACCCATTACAGCGTACTCAGTCCCTGCTGCCTCTAGCTGCCGAACAATATATTCCAGCGCATAGAATAGGTGGTCTTGACTTGCTTTCCCACTTTCTTCCTCGAGCTCAAAAAGCTGATCAATTGTATATTCCATGGTTATAGGGGTGAACCCAGTGTTAGTCGATGCCGCCATATTATGCAATCCAAGCAAATGATCGATGCAATGGGTATAGATCCAGCAATAGTGGAAATCCCATCTGGGCAACCGTCCCTGATATATCAAGCATCATGAGGCTGTGCTTTTGAAGTTGTGACAATCAAATCATAGGTAGTAAGCAGATCGACAGCGGTCTTTAGATTAGTCCTCAGTTAGGTATACCACGAATATTCTCCATGGACATACCATTTTCTTCCTGGTCGTGGTTATAAATAGTATGAATATTGACCTGATATGGGTTTGGCAATAGAGAGTTTCGCCGGACAAGAACGGAGAGCGGCACAGCTGCAGACCCGGGGCACGGGCACTAAGCCCCCTAAGCCGGAGCAGAAACAGCCCTAAACCGGCAGCCCTGGAGAGGAGGTGGGGCTATTAGTGGTAAGTATCCAGTAGCCCTTGCCCCGCCCCCAGACCTAAACCAACATCGTTCCTCCTTGCAAAAATCCCCCCGATCCGACCTATTCTTAGAATCTCTATCTCCAGGTAGATAGTTACATAATAACTTGGATATTTTACGTTTCTTCCTGGTCATCGATTGATCGTATTTCGACTTTCTTTTCATGAGTTCCTCAGACCCCCTTTTGACTACGGGTGCTATCCAACTTCCAAAGCCTGGTGCTAAAGCTGCTAGCTATGGTGGCCGTGGCATCGTAGAAGTGCGTGATGTCATTCAAATACTCGAGACCGCAAATATACCATGCTGCGTTGTAGGAGGTTATGCTTTGGTGTATTACGGCGCTCGCATGGTTCCTAACGTAAGTACTTGAGCTTATCAAAACAGTCAATTATTGGGACTGAGTTTAAATAGAACTGGGAGATCTGCGTCCCGACAGATTCTTTTGAGAGGGCGTCAGCCATGTTCATAGTGACACCATTGAGTGAAACCTATGAACCTTGGGTAAAGATCCAACCACAGGTTGGGTCTTTGAAACACACATATCCTCAATTTAGACTAAAAGGGGTGAACTTCTCGTTCTTTATTATCCCCGCATTCGAATATTTTATTCGATGCGAGCCCTCAAATTTTGAAAAGAGCGAACGAGAAATTCCCTTCCCCAAGCTTGAATGCTTTGCGCAGAGTCTTCTTGATACGCAGCGTTATCTCGACCTCACCAATCTCATCGATGGGATGGACCTATCTGAAGAATGGGGCGAGGAGCACTTGAATTTGGATAAGCCAGGTGAAATCGAGTATGCGAAGGAAAAGAACGAGAAAATTGTCGCCTCTCTTTCAGAATATCCAAATTCCCGGCCGTCACGACTACGCGATACCCCGATGGACCTGAGACAGAAATGGCAGACAATCGTGAGGACGAAGCAAAAAAGGATAGGCATTGAAGTTCCTGGACACCTATATAGCACACGATTCCGTATCAAGGGTTCACCAGACCCTCGATTACGAGAAGAGAGGAATATATGAATAAGAACCTTGAAAATAATAGGTTAAATCCAACCATTTATCTAGGAGGTAATGAATAAAGCAATACAACTCATATCTAGTAGCTGATAACTTCAAAATAGATTCCAAATAAATTTTGAAAGGTTCCTTGAAAGTTATTAGCCTTCATAGAATCATAGCTGAAAAGGCCATGATCATTGGAGAAAGCTTGGTACAGTATGAGACACAGTAAAATAAACTGTACAGTGTAAAGTTCCTTAGGCACTGTAGGCGCAAAAATATGAATCGCATGGAAATGATGACGAATTGGCAACCTTCAATCTCTAGAGGCTTAAACATTTCTTCAGACTGATTGGTCACCAAATAGTGACAGGTAGATCAAACATGCTTGAGCGATGAAACTTCACATGTGCTTAGGGAGTTCACATAATGGATGGCATCTTGGCAGCCTTAGATCGATCTTCATGTTGTGTAGGTGGCAGTGTAGGAATATAATTATCTTCCGTACTAGGTAGTTTGAGATGTCATCCAACCCATCACACAGTCATCATCGGCTGCATCGGTCAGAAAGTCAGCAATATTTTCCAGAATAGTGGCAAAGAGTAACACGTGCAATGAAAATGTGACCAATTTGAGAGACGTATGTACCTAGTATCTCGTCTTGAAGCGTAGGTACGTATGAGCTAAGCAGAGAAAAAAATGGGAAAAAAGAAAAAAAAAAAACCGATCAGAGACGTTGAGGACCAGAACGCGCTAGAATTCGTAAGACCAATCAGAGGCTGCATGGCGAACATGGCTGTAGCATTAAGCTTTCTAATTGGCCAATTCCTTGAGTTCAATTAAACGCGCTTCGACTTTGACGCGTCACGACGCGTTTTCGTGTCACTCCCAGCGCAGTCCCGCCCTTCCCCTCTCCTCGCCCACACCCGCTCTGCCACATTCGCTCAGACTCTCTCCATTGTGCCGATACCTTCCAGTTGAAGATAACGAGATGAGCGGGATGTCCACCGATCGCGCCAAATACCGGTTGAATCCAACCGGGGATTTTCTTTCTGTAAAGTGCGTGCAGAGCTTATGCAAAGTCACCTGAAGAAACCAATCATTTACAACCATGTCTGCATGCCTTTGCTAAGGATTTTGCTCTGCGAATGACTCGCAACGAGGACTCGCAAGTGGGGAGAAGAGGTATTACTTGTCGTTTATTGTATCTAGCCGTCCCATCAATAATTAGAATCCTTAAACATCTCCCTTGAGATATGATTAGATTCTAGGGTTAATAGTTCAAAGTGCATCATGTGTACCGTAGCGGGAAAAGGGGGTTTTTAAGAATGATTCTTAAAAAAGAAATATTTCTTTACGGAGAATATTTTTCTTCTTTTTATATACTTTTTTATATAAATTTAGTGGTAAAGTATTTTCGTGGAATTTATTATGCCGTAAAATTATTTTTAAACTTGTTAATTATTTTATAAATATTTTTTATTTTTAAAAAATTTAAGGAATAATTTTTTTTATATAAATAATTTTTTCCGGAAATAATTATTTTATTTATTTTTTATAATAAATATTTATATTTATTTTTTTAGAATTAAATATTTCGTTTAGAATTATTTTTTAATTATAAGAATTTTTTTTTAAAAATATTAAAAATTATTTTATATTAATTAAAATTATTTTATAATAATAAAAATTTTTTTTTAAAAGTATTAAGAATTATTTTATATTAATTAAAATTATTTTATAATAATAAGAATTTTTTTTAAGGGTGTTAAAAATTATTTTATATAAATTAAAATTATTTTATAATAATAAGAATTTTTTTTTAAAAGTATTAAAAACCATTTTATATTAATTAAAATTATTTTATAATAGTAAAAATTTTTTTTTAAAAGTATTAAAAATTATTTTATATAAATTAAAATTATTTTATAATAATAAGAATTTTTTTTAAAAGGTATTAAAAATTATTTTATATTAATAAAAATTATTTTATATTAATAATAATTATTTTTTTAGTAATAAAAAATATTAATTAAGTATAAAAAATCATTTTTAAAAAGTAATAAAAACTATTTTATATTAATAAAAATCATTTTTTAGTAATAAAAAATATTAATTAAACATTAAAAATCATTTTATAATAATAAGAATTTTTTTTAAAAAATAATAAAAATTATTTTATATTAATAAAAATTATTTTTTAATAATAAAAAGTATTAATTAAGTATTAAAAATTATTTTTTACGAAAAAAAATTATTTTTAAATAATATTAAAAATTAATTTATAAGTATAAAAATTATTTTTTAGTTATAAAAAGTATTAATTAAATATTAAAAATTATTTTTTAAATATAAAAACCTTTTTTAAAAAGTTTAAAAAAACATTTTTTAATAATAAAAATTATTAATAAAGTATTAAAATTTATTTTTTATTAAAAGGAATTATTTTATAATAATAAAAATTATTAATTTATTATTAAGAATTTTTTTTAAACGGTATTAAAAATTATTTTTTAATAATAAAAATTATTAATTAAACATTAAAAATCATTTTTTAATAATAAAAATTATTAATTAAATATTTAAAGTTATTTTTTAATAATATAAATTATTTATAATTAATTATTATTTAAAAGTATTTATTTAAAGTTAATTTTAAAGTTTTTATTTACTTTTTTATTATTATATTTAAAATTAATATTAATTATATAATTATTAATATTATTTTATTTATTTTTTTTTTTATTAATTTAATTATTAAAAGCTTTTTTAAGTTATTTAAAACTTTTACGAATAATAATAATTATCGGTTTTTTTAAATTTTATAACGCGCGGGATTATTTTTTTAATCTTAATTTTTATGTAATTTAAAAAAATTAAAAATTTTTTAAAGTTTAAAAATTATTTCGTAATTAAAAATTTCGTTATAAATTTAAACTACGTTATATATAAAATTTTTATGTTATTTATTAACTTTATTAATTATCGACGTTTTTTTTTCGGTTATTTAATATTAACGGTAAAAAATAATTAATTTTATTTTATTTTTCGAAAATATTTAAAGTAAGTTTTAATATTAACATTAAAGTTTTTTACGTTTTTTTTAATGTTTTTTCGAAACCCCACGCGTTTTATTTTTAATAAAAAAGTAAAAGCTTTTACTTTTTAAGTTTTTATTATTATGTTTTTTTATTTATTAAAAGTTAAATATTTTATAAGTGTAAAATATTTATCGTATTTTTATATTTTTTACACCGTTTTTATACTTATTCGAACGGTAATAATATATTTATATAAAATAAATTAAAAAATATCGGTTTTTTACGTTTATTTATTATATAATTTACGTTAAATAAAAAAAATAATAAACTTCGAAAAAATAAAACGTTATTTTTATTAATTTTTAAAATAACGTATAATATTTTTAAACCACTTTTTTTTTTTTTTAATTTTTTTTTCGTTTTAAATAACTTATTCGGATTTTTTATTTAAAAATTAATTTATTTAAATAAATTAAAATTAATTTTCTTATAATTATTCGTTATATTTAAAGCCATGAAAATTTTATTAAAATTTTCACGTTTTATTATATTTATTTTTTATAATTTTTTATTTATTTTTAATATTTATTTAATATCGAAATTTAAAGTTTTTTCCGTTTTTATTATAAATATTATAATAATTATAAACATAATTATTATTTACTTAATAAATTAAAATAATAATACGTTTTTATTATTAAAAGTATTATTTTAATTAAATATTTAAAAAATATTCGAACCGTAAATAACGTTAAACGTATTCGAATCGATTTTAACTTTAATTTAAGTGCGGAATTCTTTCCGGTTTTTTTAAATAATTAAATTTTAATTAATTTTTACGAGGTAATTTTTAATAAAAATATAAATAAAAAATTAAATAAATAAAATTAAATAAATAAATAAATAAATAAAAAAATTAATATTTAAGTATTTAAATATTTAATATATTTAAATAATATAAAATTATTAAAATTAAAGTTAAAATATATAAATTATTTATACATAATTACTCGTATAAAACTTCGTGTTTTAAATTAATAAATTTTTTATTAATATATATACGAAAAATATTAAAAAAAAACGAAAATACGTTAATATTTTAAGCCACGTTTTTTATTATTTACGAAATAGCTTTATAAATATTAAAAATTAAGAAATATTTTCGCATTTCGTAAATTAATTTTCCTTTTAAAAATTTAATTTTTTTTTCGTTTAATTTAAATCTTTTATTAAAGTTTTTTATTTATTCGAATAATATATAATCGTTTTTTTTTAAAAGTTTAAATATATTTATTTTATTTAAAAATAAAAATAATTAAAAATATTTATTTTTAATATTATTATAGTTATTATTTACTTTAATTTTATTGGATATTTTAAAGGTTAAAAGATTTTAAGGTTAAACCGCGTTAACGTTTTAATTTTTTCCGTTTTATTTTAAAATAATATTTTTATTTTTAAAAATAATATTTTTACGAAATTAATGATTTTTATTATTATTTTTATTATTATTATTATTAATTTAATTATTAAAAAATTAATTATTTTCGTTCGATAAATTATATATATTTAAACTTTTTTAACTAATTTTTATTAAAAAATTTTCATTATTTAACGGATTATTATTATTAATTTAATTATTATTAAATAACGGATTATTATTTAATTAACTTAATTTATTATTATTTAAATTAAATTATTTATTATTATTAATAAAAATTTTTTCTTTTCGATTTTAATTATATTAATTTTATATATTACGTTTAATAAAATTTAATTATATATAAAATATATTAACATTAAATATTTAAATAAATATTTAAATATAAATATATTAATAAAAGTTAAAATATTTTTTTATATTAACTCGTTTTTAAAGTTAAAAATAAATTATAACGTTATAAACTCGTTATATTATTTTAAAAATGTTTTTAATAACGTAATTTTAATAAACACGAAAAGTTAAAATATTTAAATAATTTATAAATAATATAAATATTAAAATTATATAATTTTAAATGAAAGTGTTAATTAAATATTTAAGTATATATATAATAAAATAAAAGTTATAAATAATAAAAAATAAATAAATA